AAGCCCAAGCTTTAGTCTTAGCCTAAGACTAAGCTTACGCTCATACCTAAAACTAAATTTAGCATAAAGCTAAGCCTAAATCTAAGCAAAATCTTGATGACTATGCTTAAACCTAACGCAGGGCTAATTGTAAGACTAATGCTAGGTCTAAAGCTTTGGCTAGAGTGAAAAACTTATTCAAAAAGGGGTGCATTTTAGGCATAAGACTATAGCAAAAGTACAAACACGAATGATCTCTACCCAAATTTGTCATTAAAAAACGTCAAAGTTGAGAATTAATTCTAAAAGCGGCGCCAAAAGTGCAATGACAAATGAAATAGGACATAAACAAAGGCTTGATTAACGTTTCCCAAATTGGTTCTTGGTGGGTCGAATCGTGGGGTATGGTTAAGGAATGGCAATCCATAGATCAAGTTTTGAACTTTTTTTAAGAGGGCATGGTAATTTTTTAATTTTTTGATAGGGCTCGGTAATTTTTTGGTAGGGCGTGGTAATTTTTTGATAGGGCATGGTAATTTTTTGATAGGGTGTGGTAATTTTTTGATAGGGCGGGGTGTTTTTTTTATAGGGCGTGGTAATTTTGTAGGGTAGGGTAGGGTAATATTATAGTAGGCTAGGGTAGAAATGTAGTGTTTTTTAGTCTTTTTTAGCTAAAAAAGCTAGACTAGGAATAAAAATGAAGTGAATCATGTGTAAGAGGAGTTTTGAAATTTTATTGAAATGAGCAAGTGACAGCTATTTTTTGATTTTTCGAAGATTTTAAACTGGATTTTAAAGTTTTTAAAGCTGTTTTATATTTTGTAAAGAAAGTTCTCGAATTTTACTTTTTGTAAAGAAAGTTCTTGCCATTTTATGTTTTGTAAAAAAAGTTCTTGCCATTTTCAGTCTTGTAAAGAAAGTTCTTGTCATATTTTGTTTTGTAAAGAAAGTTCTTGCCATTTTTTACCTTGTAAAGAAGGTTCTTGCATTTTACTTTTTGTAAAGAAAGCTCTTGCCATTTTATGTTTTGTAAAAAAAGTTCTTGCCATTTTTTGTTTTGTAAAGAAAGTTCTTGACATTTTTCAAAGTTTTTATGACATATTTTCGTCATGCCAAGACGAAAAAAAAACTCAAAACAATAAATTAGCACCCCTAACTCATTGTCGAGTAGTTTTGTTGATTGTTTACCACGTTTTTTTTTATTTTCGAAAGTCTCGGCGCATCCGGCAGATCACAGACACTTCAACCTTTTTGAAAACTTGTGTTTAGGTGGGGTTAGGTAGGACTAATGAATGTAGGGGTGACGCAGATAGGCAATTTATTGTTTATATTAGGACTTAGACCAAAACTTAGACAGTTTAGGCTGAGATCTTGGCCTAGGCTTAAGCACTGGTCTAGGCTTATGATTAGTCTTACGCTCAGTCTCAAGCTCAGGATCAGGCTCAGGCTTAGGCTTAGGCTTAGGCTTAGGCTTAGGTTTAGGCTTAGGCTTAGACTTAGGCTTAGGCTTAGGCTTAGGCTTAGGCTTAAGCTTAGGCTTATGCTTAGGCTTAAGCTCAAGCTCAGGCTCAGGTTCTGGCTCAGGCACTGGCTCAAGCTCACGTACATCCTAAGGCTTAGGCTTAGCCTATGCTTTTAAACTTAAGTGTAAGTGTAAGCCAAACCCATAACCCTAACCTAAATCTATGACTAAGCCTTAGCCTAAGCTCAGACTTAACCTCAAGCCTAAGTGTTAAGCCTGAGCCGCACTATATTTCTATTATAAGCCTAAACGTTGTAGGCTAAAATTATGTCAAGACTTACGGCTAAGGCAGGGCTCTGTTATATGTCATAGCTTGATAGAATGATAGGGCAGGGTAAAACACAATTTTTTTAAATTCGATTTGAAAAACTGTCATTTTTTTGGAAAACAACATTAAACTTGTGGTTTTATGGCCGAAATTGGACGCTTTAAATGAACCTTTCCAAATCCCACCCCGGTTCTCGTTGGGCAAACATTCGAATCTCTTACTTTATTAGGGTTGAACCTCGTCGTCGGTTGTGTTTTGGCACGTTTTCGAATAATTTTTTAAGATTTAAAAATTTTTTAAATTTGAAAAAATATTATATTTTCGATTTGTAGAGAAAGTTCTAGCCATTTTATGTTTTGTAAAGAAAGTTCTTGCCATTTTTGATTTGTAAAGAAAGTTCTTGCTATTTCTTGTTTTGTAAAGAAAGTTCATGCCATTTTTTGATTTGTAAAGAAAGTTCTCGCCATTTTTTGTTTTGTAAAGAAAGTTCTTGCTATTTCTTGTTCTGTAAAGAAAGTTCTTGCCATCTTTTGATTTGTAAAGAAAGTTCTTGCCATTTTTTGTTTTGTAAAGAAAGTTCTTGCTATTGTAGTAGCAAAACATTGAGTTTTGGAGTTTCGCAGCCTGCGGGTGACATGTTGTACGATAAATTGTATTTTTTGCTTTGTAAGGAAAGTCTTGCTATTTTTTGCTTTGTAAGGAAAGTTCTTGCCATTTTTCAGTAAAAATGCCAAATATCAGCCCATTACCTTATCTCAAGTGCAGTGATTTACTGTATCCAAGGGTTACAGAGTAATTAAACCACACACAACGGGAGATAGTAGACAGATTAGCGTGTATTGTACTATAAATTGACATGAATAACATTGAACAATCTTGCTATTATTGTTATTAATAGACTTTTGTTGTTCAATTGGGCGGTTGGCTTCGAAAAATGGCAAGAACTTTCTTTACAACGCTTAAAATGGCAAAAACGTTCTTTACAAGGCTTGGAATGGCAAAACCTTTCTTTACGAAACAAAAAATGGCAAGAACTTTCTTTACAGCTTTTAAAAAGCCATTTTTTTCAAATTTAAACCATCTGCCATATTATATATGATCCTCCCTTCACGTAGTAGCAATGCGTAGTTAACCTACGCAATTGGGCGAATCATTTTGTTCGATGATTAATCGAAAACACTTTTTGGAACATCGGAGGGATGTGCTCTTTTCCCTCATTTCTTATCATTTATGTGATAATAATGACGTTGAGCTTCTTTATATTATAAGTTTGAAGGGGATATTGAGGTAGGTAAAGGAGGAAGGTGGAGTACGAGAAACGAAATTTGGGGGGGGGGGGGGGAGTGGTAGAGCAATATTAGGATAGGGGAGGGTGGAATTTTTTTAAAATTGGTCACATACAGTTAAGAAATAAGTTTTTAAACCTTATTTTAGTTATTTTTAGCCCTAAAAATGGTATTTTAGTCTGCACGGTGCAAAACATTTTTTGGACTGCACAGTGCAGTCATTTTTTTTAAATTCATTTTGCCATTCGTTTTATAACTATTAAACTTAAAATTGTTCTGATAGCTTTTTATTAGTCTGGACTAAATGTTATGACCATATTTGTTATGTAAAATACGCCAAAAAATTTATTGTGCAAAAACAAAATTTGTTGCACGGTGTTAAAGAAATAGTTTATTGCACGATGCAATAACAATTATAGGGGTTAGGCAAAAATTCATCTTGAACGTCATTTTTAAAATGAAAAACGACAAGAATTTTCTTTAAAAAATGAAAAATTGCAAGAATTTTCTTTACAAAACATAAAATGGCAAGAATTTTCTTTACAGAATGAAAAATGGCAAAAACTTTCTTTACAAATTGTAAAATAGCAAGAATTTTCTTTACAAAACAAGAAATAGCAAAAACTTTCTTTACAAAACAAAAATTGGCAAGAACTTTCTTTACAAAACAAAAAATGGCAAGAATTTTCTTTACAAAGCATGAACTGACAAAAACTTTCTTTACAGCTTTTAAAACAACTATATTATCAATGTTGATACACATATTACACTTGTTTGTCTATTATCCCTTATATTATTATGCCCGCTTACGTGCCCCAGCCCCACTAAATTTGGCTTTAATGTTAATTCGATTCCGCGAATGCCATTTTCCTTTTCAATATCCGCCGAATTCGAAACGTTTTGTGTGGGAAAATTTGAGGCGAAAAAATCCCTTTTTTTTGACACTTTTTTCGTCTCACCGCCTCAGGGCTTGAGCAAAATCTGGGCTTTGTTGCATTTTTTTTGGCTTTTCAAGTTTTCAAAATTTGAAAATTTTGTGTTACGTTCGGTTTGAAATGGCATTTTTCGCGGTTTTTGGCCGATTTTTTCAAGGGAGGGGTAAATTTTTTTTCGACGGGGGTAGATTTTGGGAGTGTGGTGTTTTGGTAGGGTAAGGAACTTTCTGACATGGCAAACTTTTTTGGGCGAGAAGGGTAATTTTTCATCGTCAAGGGGGTAGGGGTGAAATTGTTTGAGTGGGGGTAGATTTTTCGGGCGGGGTTAAAAAAATGTTAAACAAAAAAAATAAAAGAGATGAGCACAAAGCTTCAAACTGTAATTGTAACACCCCTCTTTTCGAATCAAGCTGGGTATTGGTATCTAAAACATCAGAGTACAACTGCCTTAGTACATGTATATTCAACACGTTTTAGAATGATCCTACAAACATTAGAAATCGACTTTCTTGGCATTCTAATAGGGCAATTAGAACACAAAATTGCCTTATTCTTTACATATGATGCATATTTTTGCAATTTAAAAAATGGAAGGTGGATGGAAGATTTGTAATGTAATTTGCACTGAAAATCTTCCACTCAACTTCCACTTTTATAAATTGTTAAGAACACGTTTTTAGACCATTTTAAGACTTTTTGAAAACGGAAGTTTCTTGGAAGATTTTCAGTGCAAAATACATTACAAATCTTCCACCCAACTTCCACTTTTAAAAAGTGGTCGATTTTTGATCTGTAATGAAAGTTCTTGACTTTTTATGTACTGTATAGAAAGATTTAACCATTTCTATCCTTATGTCATTTGTCGTCAAATTCGCGTTAACTTCGGTATTTTAACTTACTCTCCTATAACAATGAATATTACAAGTTTTATAGCGATTTCATTTCAGAATCCTGGCCCGTCTAGTGTAGCAGGTACCTTTCGAAACTGAGGTTATAACAAATCCGACAAAATGGCCGACTTGGAGGCAGTATTGGCCGATGTCTCCTATCTGATGGCCATGGAGAAGAGCCGAAGTCAGCCGGCGGCCAGGGCCTCAAAGAAAATCATCCTACCCGATCCTAGGTAATGCTTGATTTAATTTTACCATAAAATTCATCATTTTTAATTTCACTGTCGAATATTTTTAATTTTATTGTACCGTGCAATGTTTTAATTTTTCTGCACCGTGCAAAAAAATTTGTTTTTTATTACTGTGAAACTTAAAGCGTATTTTCGGCAAAAATATTGTCATAAAATTTATTCCATACTAATATAAAACTACTAAAGCAATTTTTACTTTTAATACTTCATAAAGAACGGCACAGTAAATTTTTTAAAAAACAATGCACCGTGCAATCCAAAAAAGTTTTGCACCGTGCAAACAAATTGTGGTTTTTTTGTCATTTTATCGGTTGTAAAAAACGTTTTTGCACCTAGTTCCTAAAATTTGGTTTGAGAGGGGGCACAAAGTTATTTGAGAAACCTTATAATACCAAAAATCTTCATTAACAGAAGCTTTTTATCTTATTTTATATGATTATGCTGTAATAACATGTTATCGTTTCAGCGTACGAAGTATCATGCAAAAGTATCTCGAAAAAACCGGTGAAATTCGATTCGAAAAAATTTTTAATCAACGTCTCGGCTTCTTGTTATTGAAAGATTTCGCGGAAAATGTGTCCGAAACGTCGTGTCCACAGATCAAGTTCTACGAGGCGGTAAGTGTTACCTAAATTTTAAAATTCGGTTTCAAATTTTAAAATTCAGTTTGAAAAGACGATCAAAATGATACCTAAAACGTCCAGATCAGTAGCGTAGTTTTTGAGTTCGAAATGGTTGAATTTCGATATGGTAGTAGGTCATTTTGATGGTCTTTCTTTGTTTTAAAAGCAAAAACCAATTGAAAAATAAGACCAATACCTCTTAGAGAGTTTTCCATTCCTTTTTCCTTCTTTGTATATCAAATAACATTGTTATTACATCTTAAAATGGCAGTTTTACCTCAAAGTCGACCAAGAAACAACTACTATCTTTGAATTTTCACATTAACAAACAGCTAAAAACTGGTCAAACTTATGTTTAAATTAAAGCTCATATAGCATTTTATCCTTTTCTATACCTCATCTTACCTTTGACATCAATTTTACCACGTTTTAATTAATCTAAAAAACCGTGCACAGCATGATGAATATTGCAGCTTCCTGCCACATTCCGCTTTATATCTTTTGATCGACACATCACATTGTTCTATGATTTGTATGCCTAAATTCAAAATAAAAAGACGATTAAAATGATACCTAAAACGTCCAATGCCGTGAACTCGTTTTTGAGCTTGAGCATGCAACTTTTCGATATTGTAGTAGGCCATCTGATCGGGTTTCAAGCCGAAAATCCTTGAAAAAGTGGGGGAAAATACCTGAAAGTTACAATTTGAGTTAGGATTATGTTAGATAGATTAAAAATGACGTTGTAAACATAAAATGAAGGCAGACCTTCTTAGTTTGACATCAAAAATATTGTTTTAGATAAAAGAATACGAAAAATTGGAAACGCCAGAAGAGCGATTGTCCAAAGCCAGAGAAATCTACGATCATCACATCATGGTGGAAATGCTGGCTCATTCCCATGTAAGTTCTTTGAGAAATGGCATAATTTCCAAAAAAAATTAATTTTTGAAAATTTTAATTTAAACTTTCAGCACTACACAAAAGACTCATTACAACATGTGCAGAAGAACTTGATGAAGAATATCGTTCCTCCTGACCTTTTTATGGTAAGTTTTAAAAAGAATGGCACAATGAATGTTTTAAAAATGACTGCACTGTGCAATGTTTTAAGCTTTTGCACGGTGCAACAAATTTTATTTTTTTGCGCTGTGCAATTGGAGGCGTATTTTAGGTAACAAATATGTGTCTGCCTTTTAGGCTAGACCAATAAAAAGCTATTAAATTCATTTTCACATTGATAGCTTTAAAAAGAATGACACAGTGAATTTTTAAAAAATGACTGCACTGTGCAATCTAAAAAAGCCTTGCACAGTGCAAAAAGAATTGAGGTTTTTCGTCATTTTATAGTTTGTAAAGAAAGTCTTGCTATTTTTCATTCTGTAAAGAAAGTTCGTGTCATTTTAAACTCTGTAAAGAAATTCCTTGCAATTTTTTTTTCTTGTAAAGAAAGTTCATGCCATTTCAGCCCTATGTAACGGAGATCTGTGAACAATTAAAAGAAGACGTCTTCCCCAAATTCCTTGAAAGCGACAAGTTTACCCGGTTTTGTCAATGGAAAAACCTCGAACTGAACATGCAATTGACGATGAACGACTTCTCAGTGCATCGTATCATTGGTCGAGGAGGGTTTGGTGAGGTTTATGGTTGCCGAAAAGCTGATACTGGAAAGATGTACGCTATGAAGTGTTTGGACAAAAAAAGGATTAAACTAAAACAAGGTGGGTTTTGATATTTGATGTATATCTACCCCTACCCCATACCCAATGCAACCTCCCCCTTACCTCATACCCCTACCTCTACCCCTAGAAAACAACTAACTACCCCTTCCCAAAACTCCACCCTGCCTCAAAAATCTACCCCTCCTCAAAACTACACGCTCTCTCAAAAATCTACCCCGCCTTAAAAATTAAAAAAATGACCCCATTTTTACCCTACCAATATCATTTCACCCCCCCCCCATACCTCACCCGGTCTATTTTTACCCTACTACACTTACCCCCACGGAGTTTTACCCCCGTACCTCACACCGCCTATTTTTATCCTGCTCCTATCATTTTTACCCCCCCCCCTACCTCACCCCGCCTATTTTTACCCTACCCTACCAAAACTTTTCTTACAATAGTCATACTGTATCCTCTTCAGGTGAAACCCTAGCCCTAAACGAGCGTATCATGTTGAGTTTGGTGTCGACCGGTCAGGACTGTCCATTCATCGTCTGCATGACCTACGCTTTCCAAACCCCGGACAAGCTCTGCTTCATCCTCGACCTAATGAACGGCGGTGATCTACATTACCATCTCAGTCAACATGGCATCTTCAGCGAGCAAGAGGTCACCTTCTACGCGGCCGAAGTCATTTTAGGCCTAGAGCATATGCACAATCGGTCAGTCGTGTACCGTGACCTGAAGCCGGCCAACATTCTGTTGGACGAGAATGGGCATGTCAGAGTATCGGACTTGGGCTTGGCATGCGACTTTTCGAAAAAGAAACCTCATGCTTCGGTCGGTACGCATGGATACATGGCTCCAGAAGTACTGGCCAAAGGTGTGGCCTATGATTCGTCGGCCGATTGGTTCTCGTTTGGATGCATGTTGTACAAGCTCTTGAAGGGACATTCACCTTTCAGACAACACAAAAGCAAAGTTGTAGGTTATCTTTGGAGTTGGGGGGGTAGGGTAGAGTAGGCGGGGTATTGGAAAGGTACAGTTGGGCTAAGACGGGGGGGCTTGCAAAGGTACGGCAGAGCTAGAGCAGGGACTTGAAAGGGTACGGTAGGGCTAGGGGAAGGAGTTGGTATAGTACGTTAAGGAAGGATACGGTAGGCGAGGTACAGTACGGCGTGTTAGAGGCAAGGTAAAGTAAGGTAGTGCTAGGATAAGGCACGGTAGGGGCCAAAGTAAGGTACGGTACAGGCTAATATAAAGTACGGTAATGTTAAAGTACGATACGGTAAGACTAAAGTAGTGGTATCACGAGCTAACGTAGAGTAAGGTCGGGTAGAAAAAGGTAGGGTTGGGCAGGTTTTGTAGGCTTGGGTAGTGTAGGGTAAGGCAGGTTGGGTAAGGTACAGTACGGTACGGTAGCGCTAATGTAAAGTACGATAGGGCTTGGGAAGACTAACATAAGGCACAGTGGGGGAAATTAAGGTGTGGTAGGGCTAGTATACAGTACGGTAATGCAAAATTATGATACGGTAGGATTAGGGTAGGGGTATTGCGGTAACGTAGGGTGCGATAGGGCTAAAGGAGAGCACATTAGGGTCTAAATAAGGTACAGTAGAGTTAACGCAAGGTTGAGTAGGACCAGGGTAGGGGGTGTCATAGACCTAATATAGGGTTAGCTAGGGTAGTGTTTGGCAGGGTAATGTACAATTGCGTACAGTAGAGTAGGGTAATGCAGGGTAGGGCGGGATACGAAATAATTTGACTTTACCTCATCAGTAATACCCATGCCCCCAGCTCTACCCATACCTTGTCACCTAAACTATATTTACCTCTGCCCTTACCCATGTCCTTAATCTTACCCTCAACCCTACTTCTACCCCTACCCTTCCCCGCCCTTACCTTTGCTCTTACCCGTACTCTGCCTTCACCCCCGCCCTTACATTAATATACTTACTAAACTTTTCGATCTTTCAGAGCCAAGACAAGAACGAGATTGACAAAATGACCCTAACTCAAGACATCGAGCTCCCAGATCAAGGTTTCACGCCAGATTGTCGTGACCTCCTCGAAGGACTGCTGAAACGCAGCGTGCACGAACGACTAGGCTGTCGAGGCCGTGGTGCTGAAGAGGTACGAACCCACCCCTTCTTCAAGGGCGTGGACTGGCAGGTGGTGTACCTCCGCCGAATGACCCCACCCCTAATTCCGCCTCGAGGCGAGGTGAACGCGGCCGATGCCTTCGATATTGGCAACTTTGACGACGACGAGGTGAAAGGCGTGAAGCTTCAAGAAACTGATGCTGAGATGTACAAAAACTTCAACATTACCATATCCGAGCGATGGCAGAACGAAATCGCCGAAACTGTATTCGATGTTGTGAATCAGGATGCTGATAAGATTGAAATGAAGAAAAAGAGCAAACAAAAAGCTAAGCTGGCGGCCGATGAGAAAGGTAAGGCTTGTAAAGAAAGTTCTTGCTATTTTTTGATTTGTAAAGAAAGTTATTGTCATTTTAAGATTTTTAAAGAAAGTTATTGCCATTGTGTGTTTTGTAAAGAAAGTTTCTGCAATTTTTTGGTCTGTAAAGAAATTTCTTGCCATTTTATGTTTTGGAAAGAAAGTTCTTACCATTTTAAGTATTGTAAAGAAAATTCTTGACATTTTGAATTTTGTAAAGAAAGTTTCTGTCGTTTTTTGCAGTGTAAAGAAAGTTTTTGCTATTTTGGCATTGGAAAGAAAATCTTTGCCATTTTTTTGAACTGTAAAGAAAGTTCTTGCCTTTTTTTGCTTTGTAGGGAAAGTTCTTGCAATTTTCTCAACATAATATTGATTTTGTTGTTTTGCAGCCCGCGGGTGACATATTATACGATAAATTACATATTTTTGGTTTGGAAAGAAAGTTCTTGTTGTTTCCTGTTTTGTAAAGAAAGTTCTTGCGATTTTATGCTTTGGAAAGAAAGTTCTTGTCATTTTTTACTTTGTAAAGAAAGTTCTTGCTACTTTTTATAGATCACTCCGTATTTTACCTTCTTTTTTCAGATTCTGACGTCATTGTTCACGGCTATATCAAGAAGCTTGGCGGACCATTCACATCAGCTTGGCAAACCAAATACGGCAAACTATACCCCAGTCGATTCGAAATTTACGCCGAAAACCTGGGCGGTAAACCTGATGTAAGTACTTTACTATATACTACTCAAAAACCGCATATTTTTTATTTTGTTCTTGCACCGTGCAACCAATTTACTGACTGCATGGTGCAATTTGTTGAAAAAATTTTAAAATTCAATTTTTTGAAAAATTGAAAAAAAAGAATGGTTCTTGTGGTCTTAAAAACATTTTTGTTTTACAAATTTACTTATGTCATAAAAATAATGGCAGTTTTAGTCTATTTTGTGCTGACTTTGGGTCATTTATTGGCTTGCACCGTGCAATCAAAAAATGACTGCACAGTGCAGTTTTCTGTTTCATTTTTGAAGTTTTTTAAAAAATCCAAGTTGATAGAGATGTTCATTTTAATTTTAAAAATACTTTTTGTTAACCCAGTTTCAATATATTTTAGGTAACAAAAAGTTATGACACATTTTAGATCTCATTGTAGTTTCAGCTACCTCTATAGCTTGTGATCTCAAAAACCTAGGTTTAAAGTGTCGATAAGAACAAATTGTGGTTTCTGATAGAAGCATATTAAACATCTTTTGTCACAAAAACACAAAACATAATGAATTTTGGTTTCAGCTGGTGTTTATGGACCAAATGGAGGAAGTTGCGGCCGAATTACAGCAAGTGAAAGGCGAAAGCGCCATCGTTATTCGGCTACGGGAGGGATTCAAGGAAAACAAAATCATCTTAACAAATCAGGTATGATAAAGGGGCGTTTTATCTTTGTTTTGACAAAATTTGGGGAAATTTTGTCAAGTTTGAGGTATAGAAACATCAATTTATAGGTATACCATCTCATTTTTGGCCATTTTTTCCAAAATTTCAATCTGTTTCAGGACGAAATCTCGCTGAAAGAATGGCACACGTCCCTGCGAACCGCCCATCGTGTTAGCGCCGAACTGTTGGCACGCATGGGCAAGAAGGCCATTAAAATCTACGGCATCAACCACGACCCAATGCTCAACGAAAACGAACGGCCCGGCTCGGTGAATCGCATGCTGATGAATCGAGCTTCGTCCGTGGATTCGGGAATTTGAAAACAAAAACAGAGAAAACATTTGTACATTCCAGTCTAGTCATTTTTAGTCAATTGAAAGGTTTTGCTTTGAAAAATTGGACTGATTTTGAGGTTTTGGAGGAGGGTCTTATGTTATCTATGGTGGTGTTGGTCAGTTTTTAATGATACAAGATGGTATTGGGTAAGAAATGGGTTGAGTTTATACTTTCTACTGCCAGGGGCCTTTTCTAATTTATAAAAACGTATAGAAGGCTTACTTAATTACTTTAAGATCAGTAAACATCAACTCATATTATCCATGGTGGATCGGTCAATTTTTAATGTTTCAAGATGGTAATGGGTAATAAATGGATCGAGTTTATACTTCTTAGATAGCTAAAGGCCTTTTCTAACGTATAAAAATATTTTCGATACCTACTTGGCACCTTTGAGGTCAGGAAACATCAATTTATGTTATCCATTATGATTTTTCGGCAAAAATCTCAAATTTTTGTCATTTTTTGATGATAAAAAATCATACTGGCCTATAAAGTAGTCAAATTGGTACTTATCAGATAGCTAAACATCTTATCTATCATTTAAAACCAATTACATTCGCCCACCTGACCAACAAATCTCGTAACAATTAAAAATTCAACACTACCTCCAAGCCGTCTTGGATAATATAAATTTAGGCCTAGAAACCTAACTAAACCATAGAAATATTCCAAGAGCCTTAAAATCAGTCCAATTTTAACTTATTGTAACATATTTTCAAAACGGCAATGACTTTCTTTCCATTTGTTTCTTTCTTGTGAACAGAGCCGTATATGGATGTATAATGTAAACTGGTGTTAAATCATGCCATAACACTTTTCGATTGATCTCAACTTTTATTTACAGCTACATAACATCTTTTACTTTGGGTATCAATTTTAAACTACTTTTAAGGGAGTTTGAATCTAAAATTCATGTTTTTTGTTCAAATTTTTTCGATTTTTTGGTCATGGTCAATATAATTTTGATCAAAAACATAGTTAGGCCGTTCTAAAATTGACATTTTTTGATTGTATTGTAAAGCATAGATATTTCCCTACAATTTAAGCCTGATTTTACCCATTTTGGCAGCACTATTTTCTTGTTACAAGACTATATATTATACTACCTGACTTCACACTTAATATATCATTGTATCTTTCGATCCCCATGCAACTTCTAGTCACAGAAGCAAAACAACAAACCATTGAGTTACCGGTCTTCATCCTACCGTATCCATGCCGATTATTCGAAGAAAAAAATTTTTTAAATCTCAAAAAAGCGTTTCGTTCTCGGCACATATCCGATATAAACTATTACTAATTGGACCGAGATATTTGAATTATTTATCAAATTTTATTGAATAAAAATCAAAGTTTTGGTTGATTTTTGGTTTGGTCGTGTATATTTTGTTATTTTTAAAAACTGATCAATTAAAAAATTTTAAAGGCCGGTCAAAAAATTTGTAGATAAGTCAAAATTTCGGGTTTAAATAGGCTAATTGGTCAATTCTACATACTTTTTAACCAACTTAAAATTTCTATTTTTTCACATATTAATGTTACAGTAACTTCATGGGCTATCGGTTTTCACGGTGCAATCAAAAGAGACTGCACCGTGCAAAAAAATTAAAGCGTTCAACTATAACTCTTTATTGACTAAAATGGAATGAAAAACTGAAAAATGGAATACTTTTGAATACAATAACAAAAAATCATCATTAATAACATATACCTTTACATTGAAAAACAAAATTTTAAAAAAATCTTAACTTTATATCTAAAATCCTCATTTCCAATGCAAAGACTAAGAAACTTCAAATTGAAAATCGCTTTAAAAGCTGTTACAATACCTCGTATTTTAGAAACTCATACGTACTGTGGCTTTCTGGCCTTCATAATCAGAAGGGCTTTCACCTGGCTTCAGAAGTTTGCCAATAAAGTCGTACTTCACTGAAATTTAGTATTTTAAGTCAAAATTTTAAAATACGAAATATTTTAGGCATAAAAATCTTCCAAAAAACCATTTCATACCCAAAAACCTCACTTACCTCTGAGTTTTTGGTCCCATTCCTTGGCATCATTGAGATCATCTTGAGTTAGGTCAGCCCAATCGTCATACTCCTCCTTGACGGCCTTGGCATCAAAAGTGGCAAGTGCTCTAGTCGCATCATGACCAGCAAGATTCTCATAAGCACCACCTGGACCGTAAAAGTCCTTGCCGCGGGTTACATCGTAGATCTGGAATCGAAAAGCTTAGTTTTTTTATATTAATGTAGGTATACTTGATTAAGGTGTAGAACTTTTATGATATTGTGATGATAACTTAATGAAATTAGATAAAAATTGACATAAAAAAAAAGTAAAACTTAATGCTTTATAACATTCTTAAATCAATTTTTTAATATTTAACCAAAAAACCAAGAATTCGGATATTAACCAAGATTAAATGTATGACTAACTTAGTATTGATATAACTCAAAGGAAAATTAAATTAAAAAGCTACAACTTCGCAAAAAAACAAGCATACAGAGTTCTAACTATAAATTAACAGTGAAACACAAAGCTTCACCAATAAACCCTGAATTATCTTATTTTAGGCATCAAGGTCTACCACAAGATAACTAAACACATTTGATTCATTTCTAACCTAAAAACAAACAAAAAATCAAAAAACTTACATTACCACAAACAGCCAACAATACTCGTTCATCCTTAACACCATCAAACTGACGAAGCTCCTCCAAAGTCATGTCTTTCATGTCCAAAGGAGGTAAACGTGGAGCAGCCTTTGGAAACTCAACCTCCGCTTGCTTTTTGAAAAAAAATCTGTACACTAGGTAACCTAATATGGCTAGCAACACAATATCCCATGGTCCTACTTCTAAGAGTTCCGACATTTGTATCATTCTGAAAAGAAAATTAAAAAATCATATTACACTAGATGTTGATGTACAAAATTGCTCGTACAAAAGTTAAAATACAATCATAAAACGTAAAATTGTTATCAAAAGGCTTGCCACAAACAATAGAACGTTATTAATATCATTTTTTCACTAATCTCCCATTATATTACACTAAAGTCTTCTCCAAATAAAGCCGCCCATTTCTTAATGTTAATCATCAGAAAACACAACAAAACTAAAGTGAAAGCAAGTAAATCAAACACTGATGTAAAAATCAGCTCGTGAGACAAGTTTTCAAGTCAAGGTCATGTGTAAATTTTGGAAAAACGTTAAGAAATCGGTCGGAAGAATTAAAGAAGAGCAAAAGTCCCTCATGAATAATATAAACAGCATACTAATTCCACCCAATCGACATTATTCACCAACATTTTAATTTGACGATCTTTATGGGTCATATAGACAATGTTCATGGCTTTACGACTGATAACAATCGCGTTTTATACCTACAACAAACGTTTTCGAGCCACAAAAACCTGTTTTCCGACCCACAAATGCATAGTATAACAGTATCGATCTAGAGTAAATAAAAACAACGGTCTTAAAATGATTCAAACGACAAAAAACGTGTGTGTTCAAGCACAAACTACTTTGTAAGCACAATTTTTTGTAAATTAAAATTGCTCTAAGACGGAATGCCAACACATTTGCGGTTGCTTGTTTTCGTGTCGGGACTAATTGAATATTTTATTACGGTGGATTTTCACAAAATTCTTGGTTGTTCTCGCAAAACTTTGACTTTTGCTCGAAAAGTACGTCAAAATGGCCGCTATCACTGATGCTAACAATGCTAAACAAGTTCAGGACTTGAACACCAAGCTCCAGCAGTTCGCCTATGTCGAAGGGTAAGGTTTATATTATTTTTTCTTGTTTTTAGGCGATCTTTTGGTCTTCTGTGGATAAAATTAAGAATAATTGATTGTATTATTGCTCTTAAAATGATCTTTTTGTAGATACGAACCAACTGCTGCTGATGCCGCTACTTTTGCCGTCTTCAAGAAGGCCCCAACTCAACCAGCTTTGGCTCGTTGGTACAAACACATTGCTTCCTTCAGCGAAGCCGAACGTAAAGCGTAAGTTAGTTTTGTTTGTGTTTAAGGTTTTTAGATATAAATTAGAGGTTTTTATCTTATTTGAATGGGTTTTGGAGAGAAAAACTATGTTAACATGGCTGATGTGATAGATTTTGTTAAAGTCGTTGTCCACTCGAAACTCGACTTGTATTTGAGTTAAAGTTAGAGTTATAAGATTCTAAAAAGACTTTTCTGTATTATAAAGTTAGTTTGACTATTATATTGATCTTATTTAGCTGGAAATCAGGATCCGGAGCCTCGACCTCAGCTGCTGCCCCAGCCGCCAAGGACGACGACTTCGACCTGTTCGGATCAGATGAAGAAGACGATGATGAGAAGGAGAGAATCAAGCAAGAGCGTCTGAAGGCCTACGCCGAGAAGAAGTCCAAGAAGCCAGGACCAATTGCCAAGTCCAACATCATCTACGATGTCAAGCCATGGGACGACACCATTGACCTTGAGGCTTTGGTCAAGAAGATCAAGGAAGAGGTCGCCATGGACGGTTTGGTATGGGGAGCTCACAAGATCCTTCCTATCGCCTATGGAGTCAACAAGATCCAGCTGATGTGTGTTGTTGAGGATGACAAGGTATCCTCTGACGATCTTGAAGAGAGAATCACCGGTTACGAAGACGAGGTTCAATCCGTTGATGTTGTTGCTTTCAACAAGGTCTAAGTTGCTAAATCTGTTGTTTGTTACGGAATAAACAGTTAATTGTTAAGCTTATTGATCTTTTTGTTAATTTTTAAGTTTTTTGATAATTTTAAGCTTGTTTCGAAGAAAAGCTACCATAAGATGTCTTAGAATTATTTAAAAGAGCATAATCTTCAACGTTCTCGTCAAAAATGGCATCATCGCCACTGTTATCATCGAGAAAGGCATAATCTTCAATATTATCATCGGGAGAGGCATCATCTTCTTTTTTATTACCCAAAAAACCGTCCTCTTCACCCTTATCATCACGAAACCCATCATCCTCCTCTCGCTGATCCAGTTTTTCGAATCCAATAAAGAAACAAAAATGGATTGGTAAAGTGTTTGATCCGACCGTTAGATGTACTTTCGTCTTTTTCTCCGTTCCAAACCCCCCTCATGCCCTTCCTTATGTAGATGCATTTGCGGCGACGAGAAGTCAAGGAGCTGCCATCCAGGGCATGTCAAGATTCGCAAAAGGTTTCCGACGATTTGTAGAAAGTCTGAATAGCTGAAAAGACGAAGGGATCGCTTTCTTTGGGTAATTATTAAGTCATCGGAAGAGGGGGGGGTGTGCTTATGAAGAAGTTAGTTAACCGGATGTTTCTGCTTGGATTTGATATTATATAAAAATTGTTTTGTCTGTGTTTATTTGGTTTTTGTTTTACAACGGTATTGTTAATGATAAAAGGCTTAAAATGTTGCTCAATAGGTTTAAAACAGAGCTGAACAGGCTGAAAGTGTTTAAATTAAGCTGAGTTTCTTGTTTTTACCATCATTTAGCAAGAACTTTCTTTACAAAATACAAAATTGCAAAAACTTTTTTAATGATTCAAAAAAATATTTATTTTGAAAACTCATTTCGAAACATTTTTGGTCCATTTTAGCTCTGTTTCTAAAATCGGCTATAAATTTTATCTACTGACTGTGTAAAAGTGCATTTTCGTAAGTTTTTTAATTTTTTAAAAAGTATAGTGTATTTAGTAGGATAAATAGCAAGAATTTTGTTTACAATACAAAAAATCAAAAAAATTTCAATTTTTCTGCACGGTGCAATCAATTTTTCCAATGCACGGTGCCATCATTTTTTAAAAAATTATTGCTTTCTTTACAAAACAAAAAATGACAAAAATTGTAAAAATTTTTACATTGCAAGTAAATTTAGGATGACTTACATTACTTTTGACTATTTTTTCTTTTTTCCAACTCAGCTTCTTATAGCTAAAACGGTCAAAACAAAGTTTTAGCGGTTTTTTCGGCGCTTTGAACCTTTTAATAGCCTGAGGCGTGAATCCTCGAATCGAAATCCTGTTCCGAAGGAAGCGTAATTATGAAACTAATCCGTGACAAACGCTTTTTCAGCATTTCGAACCGTTGGCGTTTGAGTATGGAGACGTTGTACAGTCTTAATGACTTTAACATATACAAGGACAATCAGTCGACCACACTTCATCATGACTACGAATACTCGTGAGTTGTTCTTTAATATAGCAAGAATTTTCTTTATAGGTTAAAAAATGACGAAAAATTTCTTTACAAAAGAAAATATATCAAGAAATTTCTTTACAAAACGAAAAATGGCAGGAACTTTATTTACAAATCAAAAAATGACGAGAACTTTCTTTACAAAACTAAATAAAAATTGCAAAAACTCTCTTTACAGAACATAAAAACCGTCATTTTGGCTAATTTTAAAAATCCAATACAAATAGTGACATTACGCCGAAAAACCAATAATTTTTGTGACATTTTGTCAAAAAATAAAAATAGTTTTTATTGATCATAAATAACGATTTTAGCTAGAAAATAGCAAGAAATTTCTTTACAATTCATAAAATGACAAAAAATTCAAATTCCTTGCACTGTGCAAAGCATTTCTTCAATTGCACAGTGCAGTCATTTTTTAAAAAGTTAATGTGCCATTCTTTTTGATGCTACTAAAGCAAAAATGTTTTTGATAGGTTTCTACTAGTCAAGGCTACAAGGTATGACTTTATTTGTTACCTAATATAATGTACAAGTTTCTCAGTGCAAAGAAGAATGTTTGTTGCACTGTGCAAAGGATTAAAAATACTGTGCAAACAATTTGTTTTTTTTTAGTTTTTGTAAAGAAAGTGTTTGCCATTTTTGTTTTGTAAATAAAGTTTTTGCCATTTGATGGTTTGTAAAGAAAGTTCTTGCAATTTTTTGTTTTGTAAAGAAAGTTCTTGTAATTTTATCGATTAAAAACCTAATTTTTGACTATTTTTCAGTTACCGACTGCCATTCGAACGAGTAGAGGACAAGATCGGATGGACTCGGCGATTCCAGACCTATTGGGGACATTCCTTCACAATTTCCGTCGTTTATTACTTGGCAATCAGGGTTTTACAGCGAATAATGAAGGATCGTGAGCCATTTCAGCTCAAAACGCCATTATTTTTGTGGAACTTCGGGTTGGCACTGTTCAGTATCGCTGGATTCGTGAGGTTTGCTGAGGTATGGTAGGAACAGGGCGTTTTTATCATTTTTAGTATTATTTTTGAAAAAAAAAATTTTAATTTTAAAAAATTTAAAAAAATGTTTTTAAATTTTGTAAAAAAGTTACGATTAAAGACAAAAAAAGACCGCATTAACTTTCTTTACAATTTTTAAAACCTATTTTATCAATTTTTAGCGTTTTTATTCAAAAATAGAAAATGGAAGTTAGTGGAAGATTTGTAATGTATTTCGCACTGAAAATCTTCCACCCAACTTCCGCTTTTAAAAAAGTCTTAAAATGACTTAAAAACACCTTTTTGACAATTTTTAAAGATGGAATTTTGATGGAAGATTTGTAATGTATTTATTTTGCACTGAAAATCTTCCACGAAACTTCCATTTTTAAAACGTGTTAAAAATGCGTTCTTGGGTCATTTTAAGAAATTTTAAATAATGGAAGTTTGGTGGAAGGTTTTCAGTGCAAAATACGTTACAAATCTTCCACTTAACTTCCACTTTTTAATAAGTGTCAAAAACGTGTTTTTAGGTCAATTTAAAAATTTTAAAAATAAAAAAAAGGTTTATGAACTTAAAAAAAATGTATTTTTCAGGACTTCTTTGTGGCCTGGTCACGGCACGGTTTAGAATACTCCTTGTGCCATTCTTGTAACCCGGATGGAGTTGCTGCCTTCTGGAGTTTGGCCTTTGCTTTGTCGAAGATTGTCGAGTTGGGCGACACTTTGTTCATTGTTTTGAGGAAGAAACCGCTCATTTTCTTACATTACTATCATCACGCTGCCGTGCTGGTCTATACTGTACATTCAGGTTGGTTCATAATGTTAAACTAGGAGGGTATGGTATTTTAGGACAATTTGATTAGGCTATATCTTAAACTGGCAGTATTTTTGAAAATTAAAAAAAAACTTATTTTTTGCACGGTGCAATCAATTTTTGGATTGCACAGTGCAGTCTTTTTTTTTTGAAATTTCACTGTGCCATTCTTTTTAATGTTACCAACACAAAAATTGTTTTAATAGGTTTTTATTAGTCTAGACTACAAATTATGACAATATTTTTTACCTAAAATAAACCATAGATTGCACGGTGCAAGAAACAGAATTTGTTGCACGGTGCCAAAAATTAATCTGTTGCACGGTGCAAGGAATTTTAATATGGGATAGGGTAGGGCACTGTATGATTTTGTAGAGTAGATTAGGGTACTGTAGCACATTGTAGAGTAAGGTAAAGTAGGGCAGGGTACTATAGTGTAGGTTAGGGTACTGTAGTATACTGTAGAGAACGGTAGGTTACTATAAACATTATTTTCTATCACGTCCTATTAATAATGGCATTTCAGGCGCAGAACACACGGCGCCAGGCCAAGCTTTCATCACCATGAACTACTTTGCCCACGCCTTCATGTACTCATACTACGCCTACAGTGCCTTAGGCAAAAGGCTACCAATGTGGGTGTCGATGACCGTGACCACAATCCAAACGATTCAAATGTTCTTGGGAGTGGCAGTGACATCTTTCGTCTACTACATCAAGGTCTACAAGAACGAGCCGTGCCAACAGAGTATGGCCAACCTGTACCTGGCGTTCCTCATCTACATTACCTTTGCCGTGCTGTTCGTCGAGTTCTACGTGAATGCCTACTTCAAGAAGGGCAAGAAGAAGGCCGAGTAGGTATTGTAAGGCTCAGGCTGGACATTGTAAAGAAATAGAAAAGAACGGATTACTGTAACTTATACCGTAGAACTAATGGTACCGAAAATGTCTTTCATTTTTAGAGGAATTCACTGATATTTATTGACTAAATAAATTATTTTTGACTAGTCGACTTTTAGTTTTATGAGACTTTGAAGCCTAAGGCAAGTTTTGAACTTTTTAAAAAAGTGGAAGTTGAGTGGAAGATTTGTAATGTATTTTGCACTGAAAATCTTCCACCCAACCCAACTTCCATTTTCAAAAAGTCTTAAAATTACCTAAAAACATGTTTTTGGCACTTTTTAATTTTTGAAATTTTTTGTTTTGTAAAGAAAGTTTTTGTAATTTTTGTTTTGTAAACAAAGTTCTTGTCATTTGAAACAATTTGTTTTCAAAATTTTCACTTTTCAAAACTAAAATGCACTTTGGCGGAAAAAGTAAAGTTGAGATTCGCCTCTAGAGTTTTTCTTTATTTGAAATTTATACTCTCGAATGCATAACTTATTTCTATAAGTATGATGTGTCCACTTGATATTATACTTGAAGATGTCACGTTGTTTGAGCTTGGAAAGGGTTTTGGGGCGTATTAATAGCACGTTTCAAGTTTGAAATGGCTATTTTGATCGATAAGACCCTAAAAATTCTTTAATTAAAAATTTTTTTTACTTTTAAGGTGGAGTAGGGTAGGGTAGATTAGGGTATTGTAGGGTAGATTAAGGTAGGGTAAGATAAAGTGGGTCAGGGTAGGGTAGAGCATTTAAAAACCTTTCAAAAATTTTTTGCATTGTGTTTTCATTTCTTAATGTTTTAATTTCTTTGCACCGTGCAACAAATTTTGTTTTTAACACAGCGCAATTTGTTGCGTATTTTAGGTTACAAATATTGTTCTAGGTTTAGCCTACCTAGTAAAAAGCTATTAAAGCCATTTAAACTTTGGTTGCTTCAAAAAGTATGATACTATGAATTTTTTAAAAATGACTGCACAGTGCAACAAATTTTGTTTTATTTACAGTGCAATTGAGCGTGTATTTTAGGTAACAAATATTGTCTTACATTTTAGTCTTTACCAATAAAAAGCTATTAAAACCATTTTTACTTTAATTGGTTCAAAAAGAATGGCACCATAATTTAAAAAAAAATCCTGCATTGTGCAACGAATTTGGTTTATGCACAGTGCAAATGATCGCTTATTTTAGGTAACAAATATGGTCCTACAATTTAGTCTGAACTAATAAAAGGCTATTGAAATTATTTTTACTTCGAGTTCTTCCAAAAGAATGGCACAATGAAATTTTTAAAAATGACTGCACCGTGCAATGGAAAAATTGCTTGCACCGTGCAAATAAAATGAAATTTTTGCCATTTCATGTTTTGTAAAGAAAGTTTTTGTCGTTTTCCAGTTTGTAAAGGAAGTTCTTGCTAATCTAAGCCTTGAGAAGAAAGTTCTTGCCATTTTCTGTTTTGTAAAGAAAGTTCTTGTCATTTTTTCTCCAAAAACCAGTTTTTGTCATTTGTTTTTCGTTTTAAAGTAGGTAATGAAAAGAAAATGTTTTGGCAATCCGGAAACAAGCTTGAGGAAACTTTTTATGAGCCAAAAATAAGGACGGGAATGTTCTTTTCAATTACCTGTTCTCTCAACGTTCCTCCTCACGGAACGGTGTGTGGCTTCTTTAATTTTTATTTTTTGGTCCCATCTTTTGTGAAATCTTTAAACGGCGTGGAATTTTTATTTTTTTTTCAAATAGCAAAGGATAAGCCTAAAAAATTTAAAATTAGGCTGTTTGTGGGCTTTGTAAACAAAGTTTTTGCCATTTCTTGAGTTGTAAAGAATTTTTTTGCCATTTTATGTTTTGTAAAGAAAGTTCTTGCCATTTTTTGTTCTGGAAAAAAGTTAGGCTTAAAACAGATCTATTAAGCTTAGTTGTAAAATTATGCTTAAAACTGTTTTCTTAGGCTTAAATCTGGTCGACTAGGCTTAGAACTAATCTATTAGGCTTAGCGATAGTTGATTAGGCTTAAAAATGGTTCATTAAACTTAAACTTGGTCTTATAGGCTTAGATCTAATTTTTTAGGCTTAGAACTAGTCTATTAGGCTTAAAAATGGTTGAATAGGCTTAGTGCTTGTCGGTTAGGTTCTATTTCTGAGCCTAGTAGCCCAGTTTTAAGCCTATTAGGCCATATAAAAAGAACTTTCTTTACAAAACGAAAAATGGCAAGAACTTTCTTTACAAACCGTAAAAGCCTAGTTGATCAGTTTTAAGCCTAATCAACTGGATCTAGTCTTAATCGACCAGTTCTAGTCTTTATCGACCAGTTCTAACCTTAATCGACTAGTTAAATTAGGCGGTTATGTTTCCAAGTATATATCACAGTAATAACCCCTCCCCAATATTTAATTTGGTCTCGAGGAAGTGTGGGACAAATTCGCTGCCAATTCGCCCAAATTTCATTTCGGAACGAGTTTCACTCGGAATTCAAATAATTTTTTGTTTAAATTCTCCCCTAAGGCATTTTCTCATCGGGATTGGGCCAGTTTCATACTGAGAGTTTTCGCGAAAAAGGTCAGCTTTGTAAACAAAGTTCTTGCACTTTTGTTTTGAAATTTTTGAGATTTTTGATTTGTAAAGAAAGTTCTTGCCATTTTTTGATTTGGAAAGAAAGTTCTTGTCATGTTTTGTTTTGTAAAGAAAGTTTTTGCAATTTTTTGATCTGTAAAGAAAGTTTTTGCCATTTTTTGAATTGTAAAGAAAGTTCTTGCCATTTTTTGTTTTGGAAACAAAGTTTTTGCTTTTTAAAATGGTCAAAAGTTGATTTTCAGCCTATTTAAGGAAATTTAAAAAATGGAAATATGGTGAAAGATTTTCAGTGCAAATTACACTAAAAATCTTCCACCTAACTTCTACATTTAAAATATCATAAAATGGCCTAAAAACATCTTTTTGACACTTTTTAGGTGTGGAAGTTTAGTGGAAGATTTTCAGTGCAAGTTACATTACAAATCTTCCACTCCACTTCCACCTTTAAAAAGTGTCCAAAATGCGTTTTTAGGCCATTTTAAGACTTTTTTGAAATGGAAGTTGGGTGGAAGATTTTCAGTGCAAATTACATTACAAATCTTCCACTCAACTTTCACTGTTCAGTACTTTTTATTTTTGACCTAGAAAAGAAAGTTTTTGCTATTTCTTGTTGTTTGAACATCATATCTACTTCAACCTTACCTTATTACCCACCCTGGTGCTACCCTAGCCTTTCTCTAGTCCTACCACATCTTTTATCTCATCTTCACATTCGATTACCCTGGCCTTTACCCAAACCTTACCAGTTTTTATAATACTTGTGTCTATTTGAAATATGATACATTTGAAAAAGGATGTCATGGTAGGTTATGCATGTCAATTTCTATGTTGGTGTATCTTCTTCCAACTCTACTGTTTACTTTGGCGTTTTTTTAAAGTATCTTTTACATGGAGCATATATATTGTCGCTATTGGTGGCTTTTCTATCTTACTTTGACTTTAAAACAATAGATTTGCTATCTAAACTTACGACGGTAATTGTTTGTTCTAAAGTATTATTGTAACTATTAATACTGTATGTAACTTTTGTGAGTAAAATGGCGACTACAGTAGATTATTTGCTTATTGGCAACTTTTCTGGTAAGCTTATTCTTTATTTAATAAATTTATGTCGAAAAAGTGTAGTAGCTCCCGTATCTTATATTACAGTATATATAAAAAGCCTAAGCTTAAATCTAACTTTGTGTTTAAGCTTAGTCTTAACTTTAATTATAAGTCTAAGCTTAAGCCTTAATTGGAACTTTAACTAGGCCTAAGCCTAAGCCTAAGCCTAAGCCTAAGCCTAAGCCTAAGCCTAAATCTAAGACTAAGCTTAAGCCTAAGCCGAAGCCGAAGCCGAAGCCTAAGCCTAAGCCTAAGCCTAAGCCTAAATCTAAGACTAAGCTTAAGCCTAAGCCGAAGCCGAAGCCTAAGCCTAAGCCGAAGCCGAAGCCTAAGCCTATGCCTATGCCTATGCCTATGCCTATGCCTAAGCCTAAGCCTAAGCCTAAGCCTAAGCCTAAGCCTAAGTCTAAGTCTAAGCCTAAGTCTAAGCCTAAGCCTAAGCCTGAGCCTAAGATTAAGCCCAAGTCTAAGCCTAAGAATAAGCCTACGCCTAAGCTGAAATCTAAGATTTAAATATGGTTATGATACGATATATAGTACGATGACAAAAACTCATGTATACGTATGTTGTTGCCATTTGTAATCTTGTCTATGTATCCTTTCTTTCCTTCTATCCACCATAGATCTTGTTATAGTTTTGAAAAATTTCAATTCCCGGCGGACAGAACGGCGTGAAAACGTTCTGAAAACTCGATTTTTTCGCTGTTTTACATAAGTCAATGTCTTGGGAAGGAAAGAAGAAAAAATGGGGGGGGGGAGAGTAGGGTAGGGTAAAGCAGGGTAGGGGGCAGAGAGGGAGAGGTTAGTAACAGGGCAGGGGGGTGGGGCAGAAAAAATGGGAAGATTAGAGATTAACAATGTTTTTTAAAACTTTTTAAGAAAATTTTTAAATATAGAAAAAATTTTTTTTGCACGGTGCAAACTTTCATTTCCTTGCACGGTGCAAGAAATTTTATTTTTATCACAGTAAAATCAATGGCGTATTTTAGGTAACAAATAATACTCTGAATTTTAGTCTTAATTAATACAAAGCTATTGAAACAATGTTTACTTTTTTTGCTTTTAAAAGAATGGCACAGTGATTTTTTGAAAAATGACTGCACTGTGCAGTTCAAAAATGTTTTGCACTGTGCAGAAAAATTGAACGTTTTTTGCTATTTTTTGGGTTTGTAAAGAAAGTTCTTGCTATTTTTTGTTTTGTAAAGAAAGTTTTTGCAATTTTTAAATTTGTAAAAAAAGTTATTGTCATTTTTTGACTTGTAAAGAAAGTTATTGCAATTTATTTTTTGTTTTGTAAATAAAGTTTTTGCTATTTATTTTTAAACTTGAAATAAAAACTTGTTTTTGTTATTTTTTTTAAATTGGTATGTTAATTGTCGTTTTATAATAGGAACATAAACATTCAAGTACAAAGTGGGGTACATTTTAAAAATACTTCCTCATACCACGTTTGTTATCAAAAATAAAAGAAAATTTTGAAATTGATTCGTCCGGAAGTGTCACTCTAACTTTTTAACAGTTTGTTGTCATTTTTTTGCTTTAAAATTAGATTAAAAAAGTTTTGTCGTTTTTTCTTATATAATCATTAGTAAATTGACGACAAGACTTTTTAAACCCATTTCAAGTGCAAATTTCTTAAATTTTACAAACCATCTGGATAATCCGTGAACTTTTGAAAGGAAAAACAATTGTTTCGAAGAGGAAACACAATTATTTGTGATATTAACCCTCCCACACCCGTCTAGTGTCATTTCGAAAAAAAACGTTTTTTTTCGTTTTAGCTTTGAAAGTAAAACAAAACCAGGGATTTTGAGGCAATTTGATTAGCTTATGGCTTAAACTGGCATAGATTTCTACTATTTTAAAATTTTTTATTTTTTTGCACGGTGCAATTAATTTTTGAAATGCACAGTGCAAAAAAAAATTTGTTGCACAGTGCAGTCGTTTTTAAAAAATTCATTGTGCCATTCTTTTTGATGCTATCAAAGCAAAAATGAGTTTAATAGGTTTTTAGCAGTCTATACTAAAATACAAAGTAAGATTTGTTACCTAAAATTATTTAAAAATTGCACAGTGCAAAAAACAAAAATTGTTGCACGGTGCAACCAATTTCAATGGAAGGTTGCGTAAGTAAGGGTAAGGTAGGGTAAGATAGGGTAGGGTATGTATTTTCTAGTTTGAACGTTCTCATAATTGTCCAGATTTACTTTGTGTTCTTATTGAGCATTTCCGGATGCACTTCCTGAAGCCACCTTGTTTTGTCGCGGGCTTCCTGAGGCTTCAAATGAAGCCAAAATATTTACAACCAATTTGGAGGGGATTGTGTCTTTACAGTCTTTTTTGACTATTTTATCAATTTTTGACTATTTTATTTTAAAATTGCATGAACTTTCTTTCCAAACTAAAAAATGGCAAGTACTTTCTTTACACAACAAAAAATGACAAAAACGGCTGTGTTTTGACAAAATAAATATAAATATATGTCTAATAAGTATAGTTACATATATTATTTGTACATACAAACAAGGCTTGTTATTTTATGTCTAATAATAAGCTGACGTATAGAAACCCTCATGTACAACATAATCTCTAATTAATTTTTGTTTGGTTATTATACTGTCTGTGATTATTTTTTACAGTTATTTTTAATCTTAAATAGCAAAAATTTGCTTTACAAACTTCAAAAATGGTTTTCGGAGTTCATATATTTGCACTGTGCAAAAAATTTTTTAGATTGCACGGTGCAGTCATTTTTTCAAAATTCACTGTCACATTATTTTTGACGCAATCAAACTGAACACTGTCTTAATAGCGTTTTGTTAGTCTGGACTAAAAGTTATAAAAACACGTGTTACCTAAAATGAGCCACAATTTGTACAGTGATAAGAACAAAAATTGTTGCACGGTGCAATGGAAGCGTGTGTTAGGGTAAATTAGGGCAAAAAATGGCGAGAACTTTCTTTACAAAGCAAAAAATGGCAAGAACTTTCTTTACAAACCAAAAATTTGAAAAAACTTTATTTCCACCACCAAAAATGGCCGCTTAATGCTATAAAGTACAATATTCCCTCGGCCAGACATTTCCCAATGACATTCTACATTCATGTACATTTATATTTGTACACGTCTCGCCAAAACAGTCGGATTAGATATTATTGTTTACCACAAAAGATGCTCCCCCCCCCCTATCCTTTAGGCCAAATAGATTATTACGCTTCAAGTCATTCGATAAAAAAAGTTAATATTGGGATTGGTGTTATGTCAACATACATATTTATTATAGTAAATGTAAAAGTTGGCTGGATTACTAGGGGTTTTTCGGGTTTTACTGTGATGTCATAGAGTATTTTTAGTCGAAAAGTGAAAGTTCTTGCCATTTTATGTTTTGTAAAGAAAGTTCTGGCAATTTTTGGTTTTGTAAAGAAAATTCTTGCCATTTTTCGATTTGTAAAGAAAGTTTTTACCATTTTTTGTTTTGTAAAGAAATTTCTTGCTATTTTTTGTTTTGTAAAGAAAGTTCTTGCCATTTTTTACCTTAAACCAATAATTTTATTGCACCGTGCAATATTTTTATTTATTTGCACAGTGCAGCAAACATTCATTTTTGCACTGTGCAAATTGTGGATTATTTTAGGTAACAAATTTGTTTAATTCGTCTAGGCTGCGCTATTAAAAAGCTATGAAAATTATTTACACTTTGATGGAATTAAAAAGAATGGCATAACGAATTTTTAAAAAATGCCTGCACTGTGCAATATTTTAATTTCTTTTGCACTGTGCAACAAATTTTACTTTTTTTGATTTAGCTTGGTCCAATAAAAGGCTATGAAAACAATTTTTGCTTTAATTGTTTTAAAAAGAATGGCACAGTGAATTTTTAAAAAATGACTGCACTGTGCAATTAAAGAAATTTTTTGCACCGTGCAAAAAAAATAGAACCTTTTTGGGATTTTCTGTTTTGTAAAGAACGTTTTTGCAATTTTCAAATTGGCCATACTTAGTTTTTAAATATATATTATGTATATTTTTTGTAAAATACGTTTTTGACAGCGACGTTTGAAACACGACTTGTTCACTATAATATACCAAAAGCTTGTTTATAGTAAAGGTTTGAGGTTGTGGTTACTAATTACTCTTATGGGAGTTACTTACGCAAATAAATTTTTCGTGATTAATTCTACAAATCTACTCTTTAATAGTTGCTTTACTATGTTTTTTGACAAATTGTTATCAGTACAGCACAAAAAAAATAAAAATTTCGAAATTTTTGTTAAATGTAAACAAAGATCTTGCCATTTTTTGTTTTGTAAAGAAAGTTCTTGTCATCTTTTGTTTTGTAAAGAAAGTTCTTGCTATTTTCATTATGTAAAGAAAGTTCTTGTCATTTTTTAATTTGTAAACAAAGTTTTTGCCGCTTCGTAGTTTGTAAACAAAGTTCTTGCCATTTTTTGCCTTGTAAAGGAAGTTCTTGCCATTCCTCATTTTGTAAACAAAGTTCTTTCAGAATCTGGCCCGCTTTCGTTGGAAATGTCGCCCCGCAGGGCATGTTTTCCGACCTGTAAGCCGCCAGAGAAACGCGACTTCATGGACACGAATCCGGAACGAAACGCCACCGACTTCTATCGTTCCTACGACCCGGTGGTGGGGATCGGAACGGTGGGCATATTGTTGATTATCATCCTGATGGTGTCGCTGAAGTCGATGATAAGGTGGACGATTCAGAAGTACAAGTTGTGGACGTACGATCGGAAGTTGAGTCAGGTACAGCGACAGAATCGACAGAAAGACCTGTTGTCGACTTATCGAAGCGAAAATGGCAGTACTAATGGATTGGTATGAGATACTATTATTTGGTGCTATTTTGTACAAGTGTGGTATTGTACATTACAGATTTGGTACTATTTGGTACGAATCTAGTACTATATAAGATAATTTAATTTTGATACTGTATAGAAAGAGTGTGATACTATATAGTACAAGTGTGATACTATATAGTACAAATGTGGCACTATATAGTACGAATCTGGTACTAAATAGTACGAATGCTATACTATGATACTATTTAGTACAATTTTATAGCTATATGTTAAATATAAAATTTAATACTATTTATTACGACTGTGGTACTATATAGTGCTAAAATATTCTTGGATTTAACAACTTGACACTATATAGTACTCAGTACTGCAATATTTTTAAGTTTACTGAACATCCATTTTTCATCTAAAAATTGATTTTCTACAACTAATATTACTGTAACTACTCTCCTATGATACAACTACTACAATCAATACTATATGCTCAGATACTACGTTTCGATATTTCTACACAATAATGTTCAAAGGTAAGTTTTATATTATACCGTACCCTACCCTACTATATCCTTACCCTACCCTACCCTACCCTACCCTACCCTACCCTACCCTATCTACCCTACCCTACCCTACCCTGCCCATTAATTTAGTTACCCTATTTTACCGTCTCTTACAGTACGATACCCTGATGAATCAAATATTTTAAAATTTTTTTTAATTTCAAAAATTTCAAATTAAAAAAAATCATTTATTGATTATGCGTTTTGACTGTAATATTGCAACAAGCCGACAAAGCACATTGCTGACAAAAACTCATGATTTAGACTTTTTCATCTTATAAAGAAAAATTTTTTTTAATTAAAAAATGTATAACAAAAAAATGTCAATCTGGTTTTGCAAAAAAAATTAAATTCTAATGAAGACTTTGTAAATCTCCCTAAAATAAGATGACATCTTCCATTTTTTGTAGCAACGTGCCCCATTTTATAAATTATGGTACTTGAATGGTATTGTGATAACAATTTTTTAACAAACTTTAGTATTGGTACTATGATACTATGTTTTCTACAAATTTTAGTGCTAACAAAGCACCATGGTACTAATTTTTTAATTTTTTGGAACTCTGTAGTACTAACAGACTTTTTAAACTTTTAGTACTATTACAACATCAATTCCAAAAAAAATTAGTACGAGTATAGCATCGTAGTACTGAATTACAAATTTTTTGTGCTCATATAGTGCTAAAACCCTTTTTTGGTTTTTAGTACTATAACAGTACCATTATAGTAAAATAATGAAGACCTTAGTACTCAGAGGGTACTAAAATATCATTTTTTCACCAAATTCCAGTAGTATCATAGTACAACTAAATTTAAATTTTTGGTGCTGTATAATACTAAAAAAAATTTTTCAGTTTTTAGTACTATACAGTACCATGTACCAAATTATTAAGTGTCAATGAAATCTTGGTACTCAGCGAGTACCATAATACTATTTTCCATCAAATTCCGATACTACCATAGCACCATAATACAAAATAATACATTTTTGGTGCTATATATAGTACTACAATTTTTTTTTATTTTTAGTACCATACAGTACCAAGAACCAAATTACAAAAAGGGCATTGAAATATTAGTGCCCAGACAGTACCATTACACCACATTTTTAACAAATTACACTGTTTTCAGATATGCAAATTTCTACTCCAATTCTTTCACGTCCAGTTATTGACCGCCTCCTCTTCAGATCTCATTCCCAACGTGTTTTATACGATTCAACGGGTTCTAAAACAAAACAAATAAAGATTTTTAATAAGCCTTTCGTATTATATTGTTATAAGAAAAGTAAAGTAAGTATTTCGTATTTTACATCAAAAAAGAATGGCATACTTACCAAGTTTCAAGCGTTTTGAAGCCAGTTATGAGCCTTTTTTGAGCCTTTTTCCTTCATTTTGTGATATTTACATGGTTAGAAAGGCAAGTTTATAACCCTAAATAAACACATAATATAAGGCACGTCATATATAAATGTACTATAAAAGACACGATATACAAAAATAACGAAAAAATCGAAAAAACTTTGCTTACAAAGCAAAAAATCGCAAAAAAATCTGGTTTTAAATGTCTGCACGGTGCAAAAAAGATAAAAGAAAAAAATTGCAAGAACTTTCTTTACAAAACAAAAAATGGCAATAACTTTCTTTACAAATCAAAAAAACAAAAGAACTTTCTTTACAAAACAAAAAATAGCAAAGAACCTTATTTCATTTTCACGGTGCAAAAGCTTTTTTGAATTGCACAGTGCAGTCATTTTTCAAAAAATTCATTGTGCCATTGTTTTGTAAACAATCAAAGTAAAGACAATTTAAATAGCCTTTTATTAAAACAGACTAAAAAAGAGAACAATATTTGTTACCTGCAATACGTCATAAATGGCACAATGCAAAAAAATAAAATTTGTTGCACGGTGCAAAGAAATAAAAAGACTGCACGGTGCTCAGTAGAAAATAATAAAAATGCATTTTTAGAAAACTAAAATGGCAAGAACTTTCTTTACAAAACACAAAATGGCAGGAACTTTCATTACAAAACAAAAAATAGCAAAAACTTTCTTTACAAATACAAAAATGGCAACAACTTCTTTTACAAGCCCAAAATAGCCCTTCTTTACAACACAGTAACTGAAAAACCAATTGGAAGCCACATTTTTTCAAAACTGCAAACTTCCAAAAAGTTTTCTCCGTTTTAAAACCCGTAATCAATCATTGCAAACAATAAAATTAATCATTTCTTTAATTAACCACACGAACAAAAGAATCTTGTTGTAATTCGTGGCGAATTAGCTAAAACAATGTCATTATGAAAAAAGAAGCTTGCAAAGTGAAAAAATAAAGAAATTGCAAGAACTTTCTTTACAATAGTTGAAATGGCAAGAACTTTCTTTACAAAACAAGAAATAAAAAGAAGTTTCTTTAAAAAACAAAAAAAAAGGCAAAAACTTTCTTTACAAAAAAAAATTGCAGAAACTTTCTTTACAAACTAAAAAATGGCAGGAACTTTCTTTACAACTTTCAAAATGACATTTTTTATAAATAAAAGCCGAAAAAAGCCTTGAAATTTCAAAAAATCATTTGTAAATAAAGTTTTTGCTATTTTGCGCAATGTAAAACAACTTTTTTGCAATTTATCAATTTGTAAAGAAAGTTCTTGCCAATTTTTGTTTTGTAAAGAAAGTTCTTGCCAGTTTTAATCCCGTAAAGAAGTGCTTGCCATTTTTCTTAAAAACCCCTATTTCACTCCAAAATCCCTAATAATGCAAGAATTCCACGACTTTTTTTTCCTAATTACAATCACATTCCTTAAACAGTAACAAGTCAACGTGAGAGAGCTCGAAAACGTTTTCTTGATTATCAGTCGAAACACGAGACTCTCGACCACAAAAAGCGTATTATCAAACACTGACGACTGAAAAATGCTTACAAATTTATCTTTTTATAGCAAAAACTTTCTTTCCAACCTTTTTATTTTATTTTTACTTTAATTTGAGTTCATTTTTGCACTGTGCAAGCCATTTTAAGACTGCACCGTGCAAAATATTAAAAAACTGCACAGTGCAAAATAAATAAACTTAACTTTTTTGAGTTTTTCAAGGACTTTTGAACCAATATATTGAAAGATAATAGAATGTGTTCTAATTCAAAATAAAATTTTTCACAAAATTTTATATTTTTACTTTTTGCAAGGTGCAAAATAACTAATTTTAAGTTCTTTGCACCGTGCAATCAGTTATAAAAACTGCACCGTGCAGTTTATTGCCAGAATTATAAAAAAAAGAAACACTAAATGACAAGAACTTTCTTTAAAAATAAAAAAAATGCAATAAATTTCTTTACAGAGCAAAAAATACAAGAACTTTCTTTCCAAAACAAAAAAATGCAAGAACTTGCCTTACAAATCAAAAAATGGCAAAAACTTTCCTTACCAACCATAAAATAACAACCCGTCAAGTTTTAATATTTTTATTACATTTATAAGTGGCAATGTGATAACCGAGTTATTACAGGCTTATATTGTACAATTTACACTACAAATCAAGAAAAAAGTAGTGAACCCGTCACAAAATCTACAGTTTCGACCTAATTCAAAAGTTTTTGCATTTCAAAATTTTAAGTTTTCAAAAATTTCATCAAATTTCAAAAAAAAAAATTCAAAAAATTTTTTAAATCCGCAAAAACTTTCGTTCCAATGACTTTGAAACTAAAATACTACAAATATCACAATATTTACAGTGCTTCTAGGTCCACGTGCCTAATGTCCGGGTACTTTCGAGTGATTTTTTGTTCGATCCGGTCGACTTCGTCGCCGATCTTGTCTATGATTCGTTCGCCGTGCTCCACCATGAACTCTTCCAGCTGTTCTGGTTTTTCCATTTGTTTTACTTCCTAAAAAAAGTTATATTAACCTTGTCACCACATTTTGAGTACTAAAAACCTAGCTAAAATTGATTAAAACCCAAATGTTTCTTAAAAAAGCATCAAAAATCGATGTTGTAGTAGATAAATAGCTCATTAACCTAATGTAAAAGCTATATACTTGTATACGATTGACTTTAATAACTTCTCTAGTATCTTTGCTATCATATACATCCATTCAAACGTCAATATAATAAAATTCCAGCCCTTTGCCACCAAAAAACGACCTTACACTAGCCAAAACTGACCTTATTCTTCCCTTCAACCCCTTATATCACCCCCAAATCCCAAAAACCTCAACTCCCACCGCTTCCCAAACTTACATCCAACATCTGACTAGTATTACATTCCTCCCTCAAGTACTTTTCCGTGATTTGCGCTCCATTAAAGTCCAATTCCGCCTTGAATCTAGACTTTTCCACGCCAATGGACGTTGCTTTCACATCGTGCACGCTGCGTATCACCGGATCGTTCTCCAACTGGCATACGATATCATCTGTGATCCTTTTGGGTAATGATCGTCCTACTAAATGTGCTGAATTTGTCCGAATGATAAAGCTTGACACTGTTCCTAATAAACACCCGATGAGAATTGATCCTATACTGTCTGGAATCGTTGAATTCAGTAGTGATGAGGTAGTTACGGCTCCGGTAGCTATTAAAACACCTACTACGGCGGCTGAATCTTCTAGTAGGACAACGTTTAGCGATGGATCGGCTGAGGATCTAACTGAAAAATCAAAATTTTAAAATTTTGCTATTATCAACGTTCAAAAAATACAAACCGTATTTTAAATTACTAAAGTAAGTATAATATACCCAAAGAGATTTAGATAGACTCACAATTCTCTTACCTACCCAAAAATCTCAAAACTACTCCAAACTAAAACGTGTACCCACAGAATTATCAAAAAATCTAAGTACCTATCAAATGCCTATGACAATGTAAATGTTTCCAAAAATCCAAAAACCAATACAACCTACCATAATTTATCAATGACATGTTAGCAGCACCTGCTTTCCTCTTTACCTCACGGTAGGCAGTCAGTCCTGAACAGCCTTGGAAACAAAATGACATGCCGAGAGCGTAGTAGGCCTAAAAATCTACTATAATATTGAAAACTGACTTATAGATAAAAAAATCTATACAAATATAGACCATAAATTTAAAGTACTATTCAACATAAACTCTATAACCTATTAAAACATCCAAAATCGAAAGTAAAACAAGGTTTATATCAAAAATCACCTTAAAACCAAATGTTATCTCTAAAATCTGATGTAATATCAAAAATACCTTACATAAGTCATTGGTTCGAGTTCTCCTGGATGAAGTAGTCCACTAATGCCATGATACATTGATAAACCACATCCAAAAGCAAGAATTCCACATCCACTGATTAAAGAAGACACGTACCTCATATTACCATAGCCATAAGGGAAATTCGGGTCTGGGTTCTTGGACGAGTACCTTATACCTGAAAGTTGTCCATTTATATCTTCTACAGAGTCAGTAGTAACTTTTGAAAAACGTTAAAGAACCTTCAGGCTCTCAGATTTCAAGATATAAGCAATATTATATTGTTCATCATTAAAATTTGACCAAAAAATTAACTTTTCCTAAATTTTGACACACAAACTATAAATATCCTTACCCATCAACAAGATCATTTGATTACAAGTGTCCATAGTGCTGTGAATCGCTTCAGCAAACAGACTTTTACTTCCGGTCAAGTATGCAGCAGCAAACTTGCCCAACATGTCGCAGCAGTTCAAAGCAAAGGCAATACCCACAACTCGGTCAGCTCCTTCTGTCACAGCACCTTTTGTCGTACTCTCCACCTTCATTCGTAACCTCATCCTCTCATTGTCTGACAGTTCACGCCCAGGCAGTAATTGCCGTTGTTTCGCGTATATCGCGCTTGGGCTTCCATGAACCTAAATCTATAAAAATAGAAAGAAATAACTTACTTTGATGGCTTTGGATTTGACGTCTTCAACGTAATAGAGCTTCCGTGCACCAACTTGGAAGTCTGCGGGCTGTGGTAAACCTCTGAAAGAATAGGAGATAAAGAAAAGAAGTTTTTGATATTGCAGTAGATCAAATTGCTCGTTTGGACAAAATTGGTTATAACTTCATGGAAAAACATCCCCAACCCTTTTCGGGACGTATTTTACAAAGCCAAGTAACCCCCTTTCCTAATAAAACATGAAACTCAGCATAAAAGCTAACATTCGACTTTATTTTCTCCATGAAATTATAGTAAGTCCTAAAAACCAGAAAAAATAAGCAAAACTCACTCTAAATCAGTTGATTTCAAGTTAAACTCAGCAAGAGCTCGCATTTCATCAATTTTGTCCTCATCGTACGATGACGTCCTCCTTGGGCTCCGCGCTACCTTAAACAACTTGTTCTTCTTTGATTTAATAATGTCATCTGCCCGAATTACAGCACTGTAGCTTATTAACCTGTATGAATGTACTGTGGGTCGGAGAAGCAGCGCTAGAAAATTTTTTGTTAGTTATGAAGCTCAATTTTGTAAGTAATGGGTTTAAATTATCAAAAAGTTAGCATTTAGGTATCAATTTTGGAAAAGATCTACTTGATGGCCAGATTATCCCGTCTACCTTGTTCTTTTAAAGTCCTAAATATAAAAAACACAAATAATAACAAGACTTACCTCCCGACAAAAGCATTCCGCCTGAAATGTGTTTCAAACTTTGGGAAAATTCACAAAAAACCGGAGCGAGAATAATTAATTGTAAGCTGTTGTGTTTCCTTTCATTGACTCCACAAAAAACTGTTCTTCAACACTATCCGAACTTTACAATAACACCATTTGGCCACAACTGAAACAAAACCTGTTTAAAATGAGGTAAGACTATATAAGGAACGTTTGTCTATCTTAAACTTCAGTTTTAAGCTAAATTCTGTTTCAATCTAGTGTAACATAATATAAACGGCCCGAAACTGTTTCAAATCATTCGATAACAACTTAAAAACTATATTAGAAGTTGATTCAAAGTTGAAAGAACGTTTTCTTTGTGTTTGACGTTTTTAAAAGGTCAAGTGATATGGTTTATCACACTTTTTCATTACGTTTTCTTCAATTTTACAGCAAATTTTGATGGAACGCAGCCGATTTACAGGCGTTTCGGAACATAAAATTATGGAAAATAAAAAAAAATGTGAAAAATATATGTGGGGAACAATATAAAAGCAAAATATTTTACAATTTAAATATATATATGTTTTAAAAGTGTAAAAAACAGCGATCGTTCCATAAAAAAATAAAAATTTTCCGTTCGTTCGAAAAAAACCGAAAGAAACAGCGAGAGAGCGCGTATTTTTCGCGGGCTTTTGACCAGAGAAGGAAAGAAATAGCGAAAAGACTGTGCTGTTTTTCTCTGTGTGCAAGTTAACCCAGTCAAAACACAAGTGCATAGAATAGCCGGTTATATAAGCGAGAAATGCGAACATGCTTAACGTTCATTCCAAATGGACATATACTAAAATTGGAACAATACAGAGAAGATTAGCATGGCCCCTGCGCAAGGATGACACGCAAATTCGTGAAGCGTTCCAAATTTTTTGTCAAATTTACAATGAGGTGTGACTTTTAAAATGTCATAACCTGTAGTACAACACTCGGTATAATCTGAAATTTTGGGGTTAGATTGCCTTTGGGGTTGTTAACATTTACTCAAAATTTTAGTTTTAAATAGAAACTTTTTTTAAAATTTCATATTTGAATTTGGCGCCAATTTTATCACTTTTTTCAGCTAAAATTTCAAAAAATCATAGTATATCTTTCTGAAATTTTGCTAATCAATAATGATCGTATTTTACAAAATACCCGTTTATTGCCATTTCTCTTCAAAAAAGTTACACAATTACTATGTACAAGATCAAATGCAGTATAATATGTAAAACATAAAGTAGTGAACATAAAACAATTTGAGGTGAAAGTTGGAGATAAATGCTTTTCGAGGTGTAGACTAGTTATTTCTTGTTCATGTAGTGAAATTTCTAGGCGTTATCTACGTCTTGACTTAGTATTTTGGCATATTTTGTGGCCATCTGAAAGTGAAAAACATTGAAATTTTTGAAAATAATGTCATGACATGGCATAACATTACTAGAAATGTTATTTTTATCAATTTTAAAGATTTCAACTTTCAAAAAAAATTTTAAAAATTTTAAATTTAGTAGGTAGGGACAAAAATCCGTATTTTACCTTATCAATGAAGTCCTTGTTGCCACAAAATTTGTCATAAGCAGTGGTTTGTTTCTTTACGGGGCTATTAATGCACATTCCAATGAATTCCTGTCGAATTTCATCAAAAAGGTGGTCGAGACAATGTTTAACATTATGGAGTTTACTTATTGACCCTTCACAGTTGGTACACAGTAACAGCGGCTGAAAAAGGCAAAAAGCTTAGTTACAGTACACAAATCATAGTTACATTGGCATTAAAAGGCATAAAACAGCACGTATGAAAATGGAAGTTGAGTGGAAGATTTTTAATGTAATTTGCACTAAAAATCTTCCACTCAACTTCCATTTGCAAAAAACCTTAAAATTGCCTAAAAACGCGTTCTTTACCCTTTTTGCAAGTGGAAGTTTAGTGGAAGGTTTTTAGTGTATTTTGCACTGAAAATCTTCCACTCAACTTCCATTTCTAAAAAAACTCAAAAACTGTTTTTTAGCCAAAAGAATTGTCAAAACCTTACCGAAACACTTGGTTTTTCACTAAATTCATCATGATCAATTTCTTCATCGACACGGGTGTTTACGTTATCCATTACAGTAGTTAAGCTAGATAGAAGATTGAATAGATTGTACAAAATGACTTCTGAATCTGATTCACAGTTCTGAAAAATGGCGTTTTTAGTTTACACCAAAAAGCATCACCCCTACACATACACCTACCCTGTCCTACCCTTCTCAACCCTACCCAACCCCTACCTCAAAAATCTACCCCTACTTCAAACATTTACCCCAACCGCTACCTATGCCTCTAAAACTTATCCCCACCGCTACCCTAAAGCAAAACTCACTCCTACCCCTGCCTTAAATATCCACTCGTACCCTCATTTCAAAAATCTGTTCCTGCCTCAAAAATCTACCCCAATTTTTACCCCGCCCCTCCCTTTCATACCCCAAGAAGAAAGATGTAGCTGACGTATTTTACCCTACCTCACAAAAGCTACCGTAGTTGGCGTTCCTTCCATAATTGCCATGAATTTTGACCATTTTGTTGAAACTGTCAATCTTTTCTTTTAAATTTTGCAAAATTTCAAAATTTTCCAAAATGTTACAGTACACATCTTCTATCATCCCTATTACTGTGTGTAGACCGTGAAGTAGAGGGGTGGAGTTGTCATTCTGAATCTTGTGAATACTTCCAGGATAGACGACTTCTTTTATCAGTAAAAGAACGGTCGATTTTAATGATTTTAAGGTTTCAACTGGTAAAGCTTCTGAATCATGTTTACCATGAAAGTCTGTAGTCTGCTGCTTCAGTTTGTCATTTTGAGCTTCTGAATCACAGAAAAGAAGCGAATCTGCAGTCTGCTGCTTCGACATCTGACGCTGAGCTTCTGAATCAAATTTACCGTGAGAATCTGTAGCTTGATGCTTCGAAATCTCACGATGAGCTTTTGAATCACAGTTATCGTGAGTATCTGTAGCCTCTTGCCTCAACATCTCACCATGAGTTTCTGAATTACAGTTAACATGAGAATCTGTAGCAGAAGTTGAAGCTTTTCGACGGTGAACTTCTGAATCTAATAAAATCTGAAGATCTTTATCGATGTTGCCTTCTGACTTCTTGTTACAACGTGGAAGACTATGAACCTCATTTTTGTGATCACAGTAACCTTCAGAATCCTGCTTGCTATTGAAAAGTTTATCAGAATCTTCACGATTGCCTTCTGAATCCAACAAACCAAGAAGTGGTTTACTAGAACCTTCACGATGACCTTCTGAATCCAAAAGACCATGAAGAGTTCTATCAGAATCTTTACTATAACCTTCTGAAACTTGTATTTGTCTAGCATTATCCTCACGCTCTTCAAAATGTCCTCTTGAATCCAACTGACCATGAATAGTTTTACCAGAATCTTCACGATGACCTTCTGAATCTTGTAGTTGACAAACAGCATTTTTAAGACCATTGACAGTGCTTTGACCGTTAGATTCACCTCTGTTTTCATCGTGACTTTTATTAGGTATGACCTTATAAACACCATTAATTTTCAAAGCAATACCATCGCCTTGTACGTCTTTTTCTGTAGCCACATCAGCTTCAGAAGTATAACCCGCATTCACCGTCTCTTTGGCTACTAAACCCTGAAGCACAAAGCCTTCAGAATTTGGAGTTTCTTTAGCTTTCACGCCAGGACTATTAGTGTTCTTCATCGTGCTCTCCGGACCTATCTTTTTCAATATTCTTTCCAGATTCAGATTCTTCTTCATTCGGCCTTCTGAAGCCGATAACTTCTTTTTAATGCTTTCGGATGGTGTTATATTCTGTTTAATCTCTTCTGAATCCCTATTTTTACCCATTAAGCCTTCTGAATTTTCTATTGTTCTCGTAATGCCTTCTGAATCCCCTGTCTTGTTCATAGTGCCATCTGAATGTCTTAACTTCACCGTAAGGCCTTCCGTATATTCTTTCTTCTTTGTGTTGCCTCCTGAATCCTCTGTCTTTTTCATGAAGGCTTCTAAATCACTCGTCTTCGTCGCAAAACCTTCAGAATCAGCTGTCTTCGTGAAGCCTTCTGAATCCTTGGTAATCATCATAACCCCTTCTGAATCTTCTGTTGCCTTCATAACGCCTTCTGATGATGTTTTATTACATAAAAGCTCTTCTGAATCCTTAGTACTCTTCAGAATTCCTTTAGAACACATATCTTTTAACGTAGTGCCTTCTGAATCCATATTTTTACCTACCAAGCCTTCTGAATCCATATTTTTATCTATCAAGCCTTCTGAATCCAGCTTCCCATTTACCGTGTCTTCAGAATCTTGAATACTTTCAGAATCCAGAATCCTACTCACATTCTTTCCCGAATCCTGTTCCATAACCTCTTCAGAATCCCTTCCTCTGCCTTTACCAACCTCCTTTTCCATATCAACATCATTACAAACAATCTGCAGGTCATCAGAGTCAATGGGTATGGCCGAGAACAACTGGTCGATCGGATACAAAGGCCTAATGATGGCTTCGTTCTTGGTTTGGGAAATGTATTCACAGTTGATTTTGATGCAATTTGACATCATTTCATCGTACCAGACGGCGTACTTAAAAAGGAAAAGATAAAGTACTATTGGCTTATACTAGTTGTACCAGAGGTACCATTTGTACCAAAAATTAAAATTTTTACAAATTTAATAAAAATTAGCTGAAATAGTACCAAATTTCTATAACTTCCAAAAATTTTTGCAATATTGTACTAGTGGTACCAATGGTACCATTAATACCAATTTTAAAAATAAACAAAGATCAAAAAATTATTGTACCAGAAGTACCTACTTTCGTTAAATTTAAAAAAAACAGTACTAGTGGTACCAATAGTACTAATAGTAGCCAAATCTAAAAAATGGACGTAAATCAAAAAATGAACCACCAGAACCTAATTCTTAATTTTTGAAAATTTGGTACATGTAGTACTAGTGGTACCGTCAGTAACAGTCGTAATATCAATACCATTAATACCATCAGTACCAGTTGATCAAATTAGCTTTCTATTTAAAACTACAGTAATGACAGCCATTTTCAACACTTACATGATCAGTCATGTTGTAGAACCCATACATGTCTTCAGTTTGACAAGGCTCAAACCTCAACTTGACCTGTTTCTCCACTCGCCAAATACAAACATCCTCAATGTCCAAATTCAACAAGTCGTATTTATCGACCACAAAATCACCTTTTGTCAAGTTGTCAGTTTTCTCCAATGCCAAATATTTTAGTTTTGTTTCATCGTCTAAGTCATTTGCATGCTTGAATGGATCGATGATAGAGTTTCGACGGGTTGAGATTGGGTGGGCTTCAGTGGAACTGCATTGGGAGAGCCTGAAACTTGAGTTTTGATTACTGTACTTCACCTCTATTACCCTACCCTACCTTATCTTATCTTACCTTACCGTACCCTACTCTACTCATCGATATACAGCTAAAACGTACCTTACTTTACCATCAAATCTCTACCGTACTTTCGGTCAAGAGCATAGAGCTGCTGCACCTTCTACCACTGTATCTTACCTTACTTACTCGTCTCTACTCGCAAATTACCTTACTCTTGCCTATCATTCACCACCCTACCCTATTTTTCTCTGCCCTGCTTTACCATGTTCTAAATACATTGCTCTGCCCTACTTTAGCTTACCTTACCTTACATTACTCTACCTTACCATATCCAAACTACTATTTACATGCCCGTATTTTACCATACCCAACCACTAATATACCTTATTTTACATTATGTACCCTGTGTAAGAGTACTGTAGGCATAGGTACCTTTCAAACACGATATTGTAGTAGAAAGTATATTAAGACCTACCTATCAAACTCCTCCAACGCTTCAAACTCCTTCACCGAAGCTCTTCTCTTCTTCTTTTTCTTGGACTTCTTGACAGCACTAGGCAGATATTCATCCTCATCATCCTCACTATCACTAACTTTTCGTCTTTTCTTTGAATGCCCAAAATTACCGTATGAATCCACATTCTCAGGTTCTTCGTAGTACGAAGCCGGCTCCTTTTTCGTCATTTTAATAGTCAGCTTCAGTGATGGCCTTTCAGATTCGACCTCTTCTTTAACCACAACTTCAAGCTTGGTATTCTCATTCGGATCCGAATCCCAACGCCAAGCTTTTGGCGTCGGATTCACTTGAATATCAGTATCGTGCAACGGAAAAACTCGAATCCCAGCTTCAGAATTGGCTTCAAATTGTTTTTTGACAACTTGAAGACAAGTCTTCTGGTCGGGCACGGCTTCAATCGGCTTAATTTTTATCTTAACGTGCTTGTTCTTGTGATGATGGTGATGTTTCGGCTTGACTGGATGATAGACTGGCTGAGGTATGGAGATTTTGGGGATGGGTTTTGGTTCGGGCTTCTTTTGGACCGGTTCAGAAGGAATGGCGAATTCATCTTCGTCAAAATCGTACACGTTTTTTGAGTCTTCTGTAAGAAAATGAAAGATATTATAGTAGGTAAAGGTTCCATTAGTTTTTTTTGTCTATTAAGATACACTGCTCTACCCTGATTTACCCTACCCTATAAAATCTTGAACAATTTAGTCAAACCCTACTCTAGCCTATGTTGCTAAGCCTAAAATTGAGAAATAAGCCTGAATTAGTGTCCTAAGCCTAAAATAGTATTTCTAAGCCTAAAATTACATCCCTAAGCCTAAAATGATGCACTAATCCTTATTTCGATTAATAAGCCTAAAGTTTTGTTCTAAGCCTAAAATTACATTGCTAAGCCTAAACTTAGTGATAAGCCCACAAAGCTGAGTCATAGGTCTACTTTACCGTACCCTAACCCATTCCGTCTTTCGTAATGGGCTCAATCCAAACTAGTCCCTTCCTAAAACAACTTTCTCTACCTTAATCAATATTATTCTCCACAACCTTTTCAGGCTTATTTTAAAACGTTTTTAAAATCCATACTTTTCTTGTCCTCCTTTTGATCATTCAAGTCCAACTTATAAATTGGCACCTTCTTCGACCCTTCCGCTTTCTCTTCTTTAGGCTTATCCAAAGCCTTAGCAAGTAGAAGTTTGTCATCCTTTTCCAACTTTGTATCCGGTAGAAATGAGATCAGTTTAGATGATGATGGTGAATCTACTAGGCCCTGATTCCCTTGTTGAGGTAGGTTAAAATCAAAAGGTTTAAAGGTAGAAAACATCGACAAATTTGTTGAAGTTGTATTTGATGGTATAGTTGAAAACAGTAATGATGAAGGGTTAGCTGAGGCTGATTCAGTTGGGGAATCGGGTGGGGTGAACTACAAAACATAATTTTTATAAAAATAAATGATAATAGTAAAGATCAGTGCTGAGTAATAGGGTAGGATGAAACGAGATAGGAGTGATTAGGGTAGGAGTAAGCAGAATAGAATAGGGTAGGGCAAGATAGTGTAGGGTAGGGCAAGGTAGAGTAGGATAGGTTAGCGTGCGTAAGGTGGAGTAGAGTAGGATAAGTTAAACTGGGATGAGGTAAAGGTAAGGCAAGATAAAGTAAGGCAATGTGGGGTGGGTAAGGGTAGAGCAGGAGGGGAAAAAAAAACTTTTAGCTACAGAGCTGTATAATAAATAAAAATTCAATTTACCTCAACTGTATCCAAACTCAAGCTTTCGGTAGCCAATTTCGGAAATTCCACTTTAAAACTACTGGCCATACCATTAAAGAAGTCTATAAGTTTCGCATTTTTATCCGCTTCATCTTCTTTTTCCTTTTCTTCTACTTGTTCTTCTTTCTTGTTGTGATCTACTGCAGCTGCTGTTTCTTTCGATAGTGTTGTTTCTGATGGTAAAGAGGGCTTTAAAGCCTTATTTTCTTCTGTTGGCTCAGATGTTTTTAAGTTTTTCGGACTTTCTGAACCCATTGCTTCAAATGCTAATGAATCAGTAGGCTTTTTAGGAGATTCTGAACATTCTTGATTTCCTGTAGAACTATCTGAAGGTTTTTCAAGCTCTGTAGGTGTTATAGAGCCCTTGTTAAGCTTGGTAGAAGATACAGAATTCTTGTTGAACTCTGTAAATGTTGTAGAATCTTTTCCTAACTGATCAGCTGCTTCTGACTCTTTATGTAACCTTGAAGGTTCTGAAAATTCCTGAAGATGTAAACCATTTTCTGTCTTTTCTTTAGGTTCTCTTGGCGCTTCTGAAGGCAATCCAAAAGCTAATTCAGTAGCTATATCTAACATTTTGTCTGTATCACCAGAAGTGTCAATATTAGAGTTTTTTGAAGTATCTAGTATATTAGAAGCCGCAGGCGTTTGCGAAGGGTCTAAATGAGTCGTAGCTTCAAAGTTTTGTAAAATGCCTGGGTGACCTCCAAAACCTTGTAAACTATCTATCCGTTGATTGTTTTCTGTACACTTGGCAACTCCTTGTTGTACATCATCAAATCCAGAAACTGCATTTGACTGTGACGAACCAGACGGAACTTCTCTACTTTGTAAATGACTTGGTTGTGCTGGCGGTGAAAACATATGAGTTGACATAGCCAGTCCAGACATATTACTCGGTGGTCCATGGAAAGATGAGTGACTCATAGGGCCATGAACTGATGATTGGCTAGCTGGATTGTGAAGCGAGGCTTGGCCCTCTGGCCCATGTTGTGAGATTTGGCTAGCCGGACCATGGAACGATGAAGTAGAACCTGGTCCTTGATGTGACATTTGACTACCACCATGAAACGAAGCATTACTAGCCGGCCCATGGTAGGACTTGTTACTCTGTGGTCCATTATATGGTATTGAACTCCCTGGGCTTTGAGAAAAACCATTTCCAGTCCTAGACAGGGCGATTGGCACACTTTGCGGACCCATTTCTTGTTGCAAAGCTTTAAAATTTGATGTTTTAGCGGCTGTAGACCTTTGAAAATCCTCTTGAAGATGATTTGAAGGTCCTTGTAGACTTCCAGGTATAATATTAGACCAATCAGTTTTTTGAGAAGACCCCGGAATGTTGGTTGACGTTCCAGGGAAGCCATAATACCCTTTATCAACACCAGATGTGACAGGTTTCGTATTTTGTTCATATTTACTCAGCTTTTCAGCCAACTCATTCAAATCCACTGAGTCCAAATCAATTTCCGCCTTACTGTAAACCTGATTGATTGTGGGTACAGTAGGGTAATAAACCTGATTTCCCAGCTGAGTTTGGTTTGGATTCGATAGTGTGTTAGCTAAACCTTGTTGATACGTCATCAAGTTTTGAGTCGCGTTCATATTGTTCATAACCCTTGACGTACCAATTTGTGTAGTAGATAAACCAGCCAAATCTGGAGGTATTAAACCTTGTTGATTACTATGTCCGCTTAACCTTGGGTTCAAAACGTTATCAAGAGCATTTTGTTGACCATAACATGATGTTGTTGGATTATATTGACTTCCAAACGCTGAATTTTGTTGTAAATTACCCGCCTGACTAATGTTAAGCATGCTTGTGTTCTGTTGAGTCGCATTTAAGTTGTCATTCAAAGTTCTTAATCCATTTAAATTACTCTCAAGACCTCCAACGCCATGATTCAACTGATTTTGGCTTCCTGCACTAAAATCATCCGGTTGGTTGTTAAAAAAGTTGCCAGGTCGAATGTCCAAAAATTCGCTCAGCGCATCAGTTTCCATTTGACTGGTCAAAGGCATCTAAACATGAAAAACTTATATGAAAATATTAACTTGCTTTAGTTGAAGACGATGGCAAAGACTGAAAATAGTTGTTGTACCCGTTATCAATAGTGTTAAAAGGCATATTGGGAGTAAGGGAAGTCGATGAAGAACTAGAAAACGCACTCAAGTCGGAATTTGGTACCGATGGCACTGAGTTGTTGAATAAACTTGGGTTCTGGGCAAAGAAATTTGCGTTGGGGTATTGGCTTGGCCTATAAAATAAACATTTATAACGTAATTTCTTATGTGTTTTTAAGTTTGAATTATATTGTTTTAACTGATAATAATAACAAGAGCATCATATCTTACCGATGATTCACAGAATTTTGAATTATATTGTACATTGCCGCCATCTTTGCCTAAACAATAATATCAGCCTCCCAGTGTGAACAGCAATACAAAACTATAGTTATTATATTCTTAAAATAAAATACAAAGCAACTATATCCCTTACAGAGTCCCAGTCGTTGCCTTGAGGTTGGCCCCAGCCATTAGTGTTACCACCATAATTGTTAATATCTTGTTGTAGGTAGTTGGAATTTATCAAATTCTGATTAAATTGAGGTTGATTTCCATTTGAATTTTTGAGATCATTTAATTGAGATAGTGTATGAACAAGATTTACATTCTGTCCGCCTCCCAACTCTATAATTTTTAATTATTTTGTTTTTATCACATCAATGGTTGTTGCTTTTTAAATCTATGTGTATTGCTTGGCTAGCGTTCAACAAAGCATAGCTTAAAAGATTCGCGAAAACCTTTTGTTTTATTTTGTATTGTAATCTAAATTTAACAAAAAGCTTAATTTTACATCAATTTTGTTATATCTACACCAAGTCTATGATCGATAAATCAAATTTTAGTTAAAACAGTCATTTTCCATTAAACTCTATCATCCGTAAGATTCGTATTCTCCTTAACACTCTAAAATCAAGAAAAAAGAAACAAAATGTGACTTACGATTTAATTGATTCGCCAAGCTTCCTTGAAAATTGTTCGGTATAAACTGATTCCCATGTGGATCCATTATACAATACGACTAGATTTTAGATCTACCATGAAGTAAGCCAACAAAAAACTGTTAAAAAGGCACTGTATAGTACAAAAACAATTAAATTTTTTCGATAAAAATAGTTTTCGCAAAAACAAAAATTTCCGAGTGGGGCGAGTCGCGCGTTCCTTTGGAAAAGCGCTGCAGACTGCGAGACGATTTTATACACTGGAAAGTGTTGTAAAGGTGAATGTCTTATCAAGTTTAGTCGTCTGTACGTGTGGAAAATGTTTTTTAATTTAATAAAACAGTTTCTAAGTCCTTTTTTTATTTTTTCATGTTACAGTTGATTTTATTTTTTGTGCTGAACTTTCTCGGATTTTTGGTCTTTCATCAGATCTGGTTGTGGTTGGATAAGGTAAGATTAAAGTGCGAAAGCAGGTTAAACTAGGTATGAAATTGGGTTCTCATTGTAGAAAAAACATTGGAGAATATTATGCGTTACCTTTTTTAATGTTTTCAGCCAGAACCATACGATTACACGACGATTCCTGGCCTAAAATGTGAAGAATTAGGCTTAACAAAGGCCGAGATCCAACTGCCAAAAACGGCCAAGCTTTCATGGGATATATCTACATCGGCAGGCAACTTGGATGTGGTAAATAAGTTTGCAAATGTTCATCTGTTTTTGAGGCATCTGTTTGTTACGTTTGGATCATTGGCCGCTTTTCATTGGGGAGCACGGTATGTTGTGAACGTTGGAGATTTGGAGACGTTGGTGCAATTGAAGGAGTACAAAAAATGGTTGGGTAAGTGTTTCTAAAATATGTCCTTGACTGCTTCAACCACAGTAAAAATTTATTTAAAAGTTGAAACTTAAACAACAAAGTTAGCTTATATTATAGTAAGTATGCTACCTAAAAATATTTTATACAAATGAAACAAATTTTAAGAAAATCTTGAAGATTTATCTTTAGTAAAGCTAAATCCATTTGCATTTGCCTCAATTTTGCTAAATGATCAACGTTTTTTTGATCAAAGCAGTATACCTTATACTGATGTTCGTTATCAACATAAATTGTTTCGTCACTATAATTCTAAAGATTATTTGACTGAAAATGCTTTGACATTAAAGGAACATCATCATAGTATATATAATAATGTGTTGGTTATGATGTTTGAGGAAGAAATCGAGCTAAACGCTCATCCAATACCTGCACGGGTATGTTATCCATGATAATATTGGCTTTTTGATCTATAACTTGGTTTTTATATGGATTTATTGTAGCTAAAAGATAATGTTAGCTAGGCCTCAATCTCAGGAATGTGTTTTACATAAAATTTTATAGATCCCTTTACTGATTGATCTTAAAATGATAGCAGAATCTTCACCAAGACATCAGCTTCAGTGGCTGGAAACTTTTCTTCGTATAAAATGAATTTTTTGTAGTCAGCTTTAAATAAAGCCTACTTTTAAAAATTTTAAAGCTATTTTTTCAATATTTAAAAACTTATTTTTTTTCATAACATACCTAATGTACTAATTTATTAAGTTACTGGTAAGCTTGAGTTACGCTGAAGAATAAACAAATTAATTATGAACGCATTTAAAATTTTGATGACTTGTATAACGTCAAGAAGTTACATTGTCATAGAAAAAATGACAAACTTTAATATTGCTTGAGGGTTTTTTTTTCTATTTTTAAGCCTAACTTTACTATGTTTTGGCTTGCTAAGCCTAAGACAACTAAACGTATGCCTACTAAGTTTAAGGCTTTTAAGCCTAAGCCTTCTAAGCTTAAGCTTTCTAAGCCTAAGCTTTTTAAGCCTAAGCCTTCTAAGCCTAAGCCTTCTAAGCCTAAGCCTTCTAAGCCTAAGCCTTCTAAGCCTAAGCCTTCTAAGCCTAAGCCTTCTAAGACTAAGCCTTCTAAGCCTAAGCCTTCTAAGCCTAAGCCTTCTAAGCCTAAGCCTTTTAAGCCTAAGCCTACTAATCCTAAGTCTACTAAGCTTAAGCATGCTAAACCTAACCTAAACCTTGTTTAAAATTAGCATACCTTCGCTGCCAGCCGTTCGTATCTTGAGACAAACACAAACATCAACCGGATATTTTTGAGATTTTTTGAGTGGGAAGTGCTAATCATTTGTGAACAAGGGTTGGGGGAGGCCCGGCTTTTATTGCGCTTTTGACCGACTGATGGGATTCTCAGGGTCTTTGGACATTGTTATTGGCTTTTAAAAATTTTCTTGGGTAACTCTTGACATTTTGTTTGGAAATTTCAAAAAATTTGCACTGTGCAACATTTTTCAAAAATTCACTGTGTCATTATTTCCGAAGCATTTAAAATGAAGATTGTTTTAATAGCTTTTTACTAGTGCTGGTTAAAAGTTAAGATCATATTTATTACCTAAAATACTTTTAAAATTTTACTGTGCTTAAAAAAATTTGTTGCACGGTGCAAATGAATTAAACTTCTGCACGGTGCAAATGCAAATAGTGGTTTCTAAAGAGATGGGAAAGCAAAAATGGACTTTTAAGTTCGAAATGGCTAAAACTTTCTTTACAAAACAAAAAATGGCAAGAACTTTCTTTACAAACTAAAAAACGGCGAAGACTTTCTTTACAAAACAAAAAATGGCAGGCACTCTTTACAAGTTGAAAAATGGCAAGAACTTTCTTTTTCATGTTTCCTATCGTATTTTACATTATCTATACCTTGAAGCTTTGTGCTTGATCTTCTGTGACCTTTTCTTCTTGATCCTACAGAAACTTGTCAAATAAACCTCTAAAATTACACTGTGTTTTCAATGTAAACAAGGAATACAACGTCATTTAATGACGTAGTTAACGGGTAATTACGCTGTTACTTTATGATTTACGCTGTAAAATATAAATTTAAAGTTTATCTTTGGGTTTGCACTTTATTTTGTATTTTTGGTTAATTCTAACTTTGCATTTTTTTGGTTTTTGTAGGCTTAGTTTTAGGCTTTGTTTATGTTTTGCCTTATGTCTGACCTTAGGCTCTTGCTTAGGCTTAGACTTATTTAGGCTTTGGAATAGGCTTACCAGGTTTAAAGAAACTTTAAATTAGAAAGCTTAGGCTTAGAAGGCTGAGGCTTTGATTTTGGATTGGAACGCTTAAGCTTAGTGGGCTTAGCTTTAGGCTTAAAAGACTTAGGTTTAGCAGACTTATGCTTAATAGGCATAAGCTTAGTAGGCTTAGGCTTAGCAGGCTTAGGCTTAGTCGCCTTAGTAGGCTTAGGCTTAGTAGGCTTAGGCTTAGTAGGCTTAGTAGGCTTAGGCTTAGTAGGCTTAGGCTTAGTAGGCTTAGGCTTAGTAGGCTTAGGCTTAGTAGGCTTAGGCTTAGTAGGCTTAGGCTTAGTAGGCTTAGGCTTAGTAGGCTTAGGCTTAGTAGGCTTAGGCTTAGTAGGCTTAGGCTTAGTAGGCTTAGGCTTAGTAGGCTTAGGCTTAGCAGGCTTAGGCTTAGTCGCCTTAGTAGGCTTAGGCTTAGTAGGCTTAGGCTTAGTAGGCTTAGGCTTAGTAGGCTTAGGCTTAGTAGGCTTAGGCTTAGTAGGCTTAGGCTTAGTAGGCTTAGGCTTAGTAGGCTTAGGCTTAGAAGGCTTAGGCTTAGAAGGCTTAGGCTTAGAAGGCTTAGGCTTAGAAGGCTTAGGCTTAGAAGGCTTAGGCTTAGAAGGCTTAGGCTTAGAAGGCTTAGGCTTAAAAAGCTTAGGCTTAGAAAGCTTAAGCTTAGAAGGCTTAGGCTTAGTAGGCTTAGGCTTAGTAGGCTTAGGCTTAGTAGGCTTAGGCTTAGTAGGCTTAGGCTTAGTAGGCTTAGGCTTAGTAGGCTTAGGCTTAGCAGGCTTAGGCTTAGTCGCCTTAGTAGGCTTAGGCTTAGTAGGCTTAGGCTTAGTAGGCTTAGGCTTAGTAGGCTTAGGCTTAGTAGGCTTAGGCTTAGTAGGCTTAGGCTTAGTAGGCTTAGGCTTAGTAGGCTTAGGCTTAGTAGGCTTAGGCTTAGTAGGCTTAGGCTTAGTAGGCTTAGGCTTAGTAGGCTTAGGCTTAGTAGGCTTAGGCTTAGTAGGCTTAGGCTTAGTAGGCTTAGGCTTAGTAGGCTTAGGCTTAGTAGGCTTAGGCTTAGTAGGCTTAGGCTTAGTAGGCTTAGGCTTAGTAGGCTTAGGCTTAGTAGGCTTAGGCTTAGTAGGCTTAGGCTTAGTAGGCTTAGGCTTAGTAGGCTTAGGCTTAGTAGGCTTAGGCTTAGTAGGCTTAGGCTTAGTAGGCTTAGGCTTAGTAGGCTTAGGCTTAGTAGGCTTAGGCTTAGTAGGCTTAGGCTTAGTAGGCTTAGGCTTAGTAGGCTTAGGCTTAGTAGGCTTAGGCTTAGGCTTAGTAGGCTTAGGCTTAGTAGACTTAGGCTTAGTAGGCATAAGCTTAGTAGGCTTAGGCTTAGCAGGCTTAGGCTTAGTCGCCTTAGTAGGCTTAGGCTTAGTAGGCTTAGGCTTAGTAGGCTTAGGCTTAGTAGGCTTAGGCTTAGTAGGCTTAGGCTTAGTAGGCTTAGGCTTAGTAGGCTTAGGCTTAGTAGGCTTAGGCTTTGTGGGTTTAAGATCAGTAGGCTTAGGCTTAGTAGGCTTAGGCTTAGTAGGCTTAGGCTTAGTAGGCTTAGGCTTAGTAGGCTTAGGCTTAGTAGGCTTAGGCTTAGTAGGCTTAGGCTTAGTAGGCTTAGGCTTAGGCTTAGCAGGCTTAGGCTTAGTAGGCTTAGGCTTAGTAGGCTTAGGCTTAGTAGGCTTAGGCTTAGTAGGCTTAGGCTTAGTAGGCTTAGGCTTAGTAGGCTTAGGCTTAGGCTTAGCAGGCTTAGGCTTAGTAGGCTTAGGCTTAGTAGGCTTAGGCTTAGTAGGCTTAGGCTTAGTAGGCTTAGGCTTAGTAGGCTTAGGCTTAGTAGGCTTAGGCTTAGTAGGCTTAGGCTTAGTAGGCTTAGGCTTAGTAGGCTTAGGCTTAGTAGGCTTAGGCTTAGTAGGCTTAGGCTTAGTAGGCTTAGGCTTAGTAGGCTTAGGCTTAGTAGGCTTAGGCTTAGTAGGCTTAGGCTTTGTGGGTTTAAGATCAGTAGGCTTAGGCTTAGTAGGCTTAGACTTAGTAGGCTTAGGCTTAGTAGGCTTAGGCTTTGTGGGTTTAAGATCAGTAGGCTTAGGCTTAGTAGGCTTAGGCTTAGTAGGCTTAGGCTTAGGCTTAGGCTTAGCAGGCTTAGGCTTAGTAGGCTTAGGCTTAGTAGGCTTAGGCTTAGTAGGCTTAGGCTTAGTAGGCTTAGGCTTAGTAGGCTTAGGCTTAGTAGGCTTAGGCTTAGGCTTAGTAGGCTTAGGCTTAGTAGACTTAGGCTTAGTAGGCATAAGCTTAGTAGGCTTAGGCTTAGCAGGCTTAGGCTTAGTCGCCTTAGTAGGCTTAGGCTTAGTAGGCTTAGGCTTAGTAGGCTTAGGCTTAGTAGGCTTAGGCTTAGTAGGCTTAGGCTTAGTAGGCTTAGGCTTAGTAGGCTTAGGCTTAGTAGGCTTAGGCTTAGTAGGCTTAGGCTTAGCAGGCTTAGGCTTAGTCGCCTTAGTAGGCTTAGGCTTAGTAGGCTTAGGCTTAGTAGGCTTAGGCTTAGTAGGCTTAGGCTTAGTAGGCTTAGGCTTAGTAGGCTTAGGCTTAGTAGGCTTAGGCTTAGTAGGCTTAGGCTTAGTAGGCTTAGGCTTAGTAGGCTTAGGCTTAGTAGGCTTAGGCTTAGTAGGCTTAGGCTTAGTAGGCTTAGGCTTAGTCGCCTTAGTAGGCTTAGGCTTAGTAGGCTTAGGCTTAGTAGGCTTAGGCTTAGTAGGCTTAGGCTTAGTAGGCTTAGGCTTAGTAGGCTTAGGCTTAGTAGGCTTAGGCTTAGTAGGCTTAGGCTTAGTAGGCTTAGGCTTAGTAGGCTTAGGCTTAGTAGGGCTTAGGCTTAGTAGGCTTAGGCTTAGTGAGCTTAGGCTTAGTAGGGCTTAGGCTTAGTAGGCTTAGGCTTAGTAGGCTTAGGCTTAGTAGGCTTAGGCTTAGTAGGCTTAGGCTTAGTAGGCTTAGGCTTAGTAGGCTTAGGCTTAGTAGGCTTAGGCTTAGTAGGCTTAGGCTTAGTAGGCTTAGGCTTAGTAGGCTTAGGCTTAGTAGGCTTAGGGCTTAGTAGGCTTAGGCTTAGTAGGCTTAGGCTTAGTAGGCTTAGGCTTAGTAGGCTTAGGCTTAGTAGGCTTAGGCTTAGTAGGCTTAGGCTTAGTAGGCTTAGGGCTTAGTAGGCTTAGGCTTAGTAGGCTTAGGCTTAGTAGGCTTAGGCTTAGTAGGCTTAGGCTTAGTGAGGCTTAGACTTAGTAGGCTTAGGCTTAGTAGGCTTAGGCTTAGTAGGCTTAAGCTTAGTAGGCTTAGGCTTAGTAGGCTTAGGCTTAGTAGGCTTAGGCTTAGTAGGCTTAGGCTTAGGCTTAGCAGGCTTAGGCTTAGTAGGCTTAGGCTTAGTAGGCTTAGGCTTAGTAGGCTTAGGCTTAGTAGGCTTAGGCTTAGGCTTAGTAGGCTTAGGCTTAGTAGACTTAGGCTTAGTAGGCATAAGCTTAGTAGGCTTAGGCTTAGCAGGCTTAGGCTTAGTCGCCTTAGTAGGCTTAGGCTTAGTAGGCTTAGGCTTAGTAGGCTTAGGCTTAGTAGGCTTAGGCTTAGGCTTAGTAGGCTTAGGCTTAGTAGGCTTAGGCTTAGTAGGCTTAGGCTTAGGCTTAGCAGGCTTAGGCTTAGTAGGCTTAGGCTTAGTAGGCTTAGGCTTAGTAGGCTTAGGCTTAGTAGGCTTAGGCTTAGTAGGCTTAGGCTTAGTAGGCTTAGGCTTAGTAGGCTTAGGCTTAGTAGGCTTAGGCTTAGTAGGCTTAGGCTTAGTAGGCTTAGGCTTAGTAGGCTTAGGCTTAGTAGGCTTAGGCTTAGTAGGCTTAGGCTTAGTAGGCTTAGGCTTAGTAGGCTTAGGCTTAGTAGGCTTAGGCTTAGTAGGCTTAGGCTTAGTAGGCTTAGGCTTAGTAGGCTTAGGCTTAGTAGGCTTAGGCTTAGTAGGCTTAGGCTTAGTAGGCTTAGACTTAGTAGGCTTAGGCTTAGTAGGCTTAGGCTTAGTAGGCTTAAGCTTAGTAGGCTTAGGCTTAGTAGGCTTAGGCTTAGTAGGCTTAGGCTTAGTAGGCTTAGGCTTAGTAGGCTTAGGCTTAGTAGGCTTAGGCTTAGTAGGCTTAGGCTTAGTAGGCTTAGGCTTAGTAGGCTTAGGCTTAGTAGGCTTAGGCTTAGTAGGCTTAGGCTTAGTAGGCTTAGGCTTAGTGAGGCTTAGACTTAGTAGGCTTAGGCTTAGTAGGCTTAGGCTTAGGCTTAGCAGGCTTAGGCTTAGTAGGCTTAGGCTTAGTAGGCTTAGGCTTAGTAGGCTTAGGCTTAGTAGGCTTAGGCTTAGGCTTAGCAGGCTTAGGCTTAGTAGGCTTAGGCTTAGTAGGCTTAGGCTTAGTAGGCTTAGGCTTAGTAGGCTTAGGCTTAGGCTTAGTAGGCTTAGGCTTAGTAGACTTAGGCTTAGTAGGCATAAGCTTAGTAGGCTTAGGCTTAGCAGGCTTAGGCTTAGTCGCCTTAGTAGGCTTAGGCTTAGTAGGCTTAGGCTTAGTAGGCTTAGGCTTAGTAGGCTTAGGCTTAGTAGGCTTAGGCTTAGTAGGCTTAGGCTTAGTAGGCTTAGGCTTAGTAGGCTTAGGCTTAGTAGGCTTAGGCTTAGTAGGCTTAGGCTTAGTAGGCTTAGGCTTAGTAGGCTTAGGCTTAGTGAGGCTTAGGCTTAGTAGGCTTAGGCTTAGTAGGCTTAGGCTTAGTAGGCTTAGGCTTAGTAGGCTTAGGCTTAGTAGGCTTAGGCTTAGTAGGCTTAGGCTTAGTAGGCTTAGGCTTAGTAGGCTTAGGCTTAGTAGGCTTAGGCTTAGCAGGCTTAGGCTTAGTCGCCTTAGTAGGCTTAGGCTTAGTAGGCTTAGGCTTAGTAGGCTTAGGCTTAGTAGGCTTAGGCTTAGTAGGCTTAGGCTTAGTAGGCTTAGGCTTAGTAGGCTTAGGCTTAGTAGGCTTAGGCTTAGTAGGCTTAGGCTTAGTAGGCTTAGGCTTAGTAGGCTTAGGCTTAGTCGCCTTAGGCTTAGTAGGCTTAGGCTTAGTAGGCTTAGGCTTAGTAGGCTTAGGCTTAGTAGGCTTAGGCTTAGTAGGCTTAGGCTTAGTAGGCTTAGGCTTAGTAGGCTTAGGCTTAGTAGGCTTAGGCTTAGTAGGCTTAGGCTTAGTAGGCTTAGGCTTAGTAGGCTTAGGCTTAGTAGGCTTAGGCTTAGTAGGCTTAGGCTTAGTAGGCTTAGGCTTAGTAGGCTTAGGCTTAGTAGGCTTAGGCTTAGTAGGCTTAGGCTTAGGCTTAGTAGGCTTAGGCTTAGTAGACTTAGGCTTAGTAGGCATAAGCTTAGTAGGCTTAGGCTTAGCAGGCTTAGGCTTAGTCGCCTTAGTAGGCTTAGGCTTAGTAGGCTTAGGCTTAGTAGGCTTAGGCTTAGTAGGCTTAGGCTTAGTAGGCTTAGGCTTAGTAGGCTTAGGCTTAGTAGGCTTAGGCTTTGTGGGTTTAAGATCAGTAGGCTTAGGCTTAGTAGGCTTAGGCTTAGTAGGCTTAGGCTTAGTAGGCTTAGGCTTAGTAGGCTTAGGCTTAGTAGGCTTAGGCTTAGTAGGCTTAGGCTTAGGCTTAGCAGGCTTAGGCTTAGTAGGCTTAGGCTTAGTAGGCTTAGGCTTAGTAGGCTTAGGCTTAGTAGGCTTAGGCTTAGTAGGCTTAGGCTTAGTAGGCTTAGGCTTAGTAGGCTTAGGCTTAGTAGGCTTAGGCTTAGTAGGCTTAGGCTTAGTAGGCTTAGGCTTAGTAGGCTTAGGCTTAGTAGGCTTAGGCTTAGTAGGCTTAGGCTTAGTAGGCTTAGGCTTAGTAGGCTTAGGCTTAGTAGGCTTAGGCTTAGTAGGCTTAGGCTTAGTAGGCTTAGGCTTTGTGGGTTTAAGATCAGTAGGCTTAGGCTTAGTAGGCTTAGGCTTAGTAGGCTTAGGCTTAGTAGGCTTAGGCTTTGTGGGTTTAAGATCAGTAGGCTTAGGCTTAGTAGGCTTAGGCTTAGTAGGCTTAGGCTTAGGCTTAGCAGGCTTAGGCTTAGTAGGCTTAGGCTTAGTAGGCTTAGGCTTAGTAGGCTTAGGCTTAGTAGGCTTAGGCTTAGTAGGCTTAGGCTTAGGCTTAGCAGGCTTAGGCTTAGTAGGCTTAGGCTTAGTAGGCTTAGGCTTAGTAGGCTTAGGCTTAGTAGGCTTAGGCTTAGTAGGCTTAGGCTTAGGCTTAGCAGGCTTAGGCTTAGTAGGCTTAGGCTTAATAGCATTTTGTGCGTTCCTTGATCCGATCTTCTGAATGGATTTTTTGTTTATTTGATCTGGATTTTCTCACGTATAGACAGTTACAAAAAGACGACTAATGGGCTGGGAAAGGTGGTTTTTTCATTTTCTTCTTATTTATTGCCTTGTTTTGCCTTGCCTTAGCCTTGCTTTAGCCTTGCCCTAGCCTTGCCTTGCCTTAGCCTTGCCCTAGCCTTGCCTTAGCCTTGCCTTAGCCTTGCCTAGCCATAGCCTGTATTGCTATGTCCTAGCCTTGAAGTGAAGCTTTCATTTTGCTTCATTCTAACCTTGTTGTATCCCAAAATGTCTCCGCTCCTGAACCTTTCCCATTCAAATGGACATTTTATCTTTGATTGACCAATGAACTCATCCTCTGGCCGGTCACTCGATATTGTTTTTTGCAAAATTTAGCAAAAAATTGAGAAAAAACGGCTTAACAGCTGATTGCTCCGCGATTATATTATTCTAGCCTTTGCAAAATCAAAGGAAATTGACTTTTGGAAATGACCGTTTGTTTAAAAATAATATAAAGAATGGGCCTTTAGGTGGGAAAAGGGATTTTAAAGTTGTTTTTTAAATTTAGGCTTGTGTTAGCAAAATACGATAGCTAGTTAGGTTTAAGATTGGGCTTAAGCTTAAGGTTAGGAATTATCTTGAACTAGGGCTTAGGCTAGTTTGGGGTGTCGGCTTAGACTTATAGTTAGAACTTAAATTTAAGGTTATGCTTAGGCTCAGGCATAGGCTAAGGCTTGGGATTGGGTTAAGCTTAGGTATAGGCTAGGCTAGGGCTTTGCTTAAACCTAGACTCAGGTTCAGACTTTGGCTTACTTAATAAGCTTTGGCTCAATAGGCTTAGAAGGCTTATGCTTAAAAGGTTTATGCTTAGAAGGCTTAGGCTTAGAAGGATTATGCATAGAAGGCTTAGGCTTCGAGAAGCCTCATGTTTAGAAGTTTTAAGCATTGGTTAGGCTTATATAATTTATAGTGATAAAAGGTAAGGCCTCGCAGAAATTTGGAGCAAGATCCCAGCACTCGCAGTCATTTGTTGGGTCGTTTTACATCGAGGCAAATATTACAAAATTTAAAAATATTACATAAGAAAACGTTGCGTAATACCATTTCTTGCAATTTCTCTAAGGCTATCTAGTAATATCATTAGTATTAGGTAACACCGCTAAAAAATATATAATTTTTTTGTTTGTTAACATAGGGTAGGGTGGAGTTTGGTAGCACACGGTAATATTGATCATGATAGGGCAGGATTTGTCAGCAAGTGCTTGTGTGAGGTCTGGTAAAATACGGAATATATTTTTTTTGAGGTATGAGGGAGAGGGGCGGGGTAGAAAATGGAGTAGAATTTGGTAGGGGTAAGGGCTAGGTGTCTGGGCTACATCGAAAGGGTCGGGAAAGGTAGGGTAGGGTAGGGTAGGGTAGGATAGGGTAGAGTAGAGTAGGGTAGGGTAGGGTAGGGTAGGGTAGGGTAAAGTAGGGCAGGGCAGGGCAGGGTAGGGTAGGGTAAAATAGGGTAGGGTAGAGTGGGATGGGGTAGGGTAGAATAGGGTAGAGTAGGGTAGGGTGGGGTGGTAGGATAGAACAGGTAAAGGTAGGGAGGGTACTGTGAGGTTTCTTTCATCAATTTTTTGACCAAAAAAGGGCAAAAACTTTATTTCCAAACTCTTAGATGTTTATGTAAACACTTATTTTTACTACAATTTCCGCTATCGTATATGACCAAATTCAATTTATTCAAATTGAATTCTGATCTTTTTCTTCCTAATTCCGTCGTCTGCGAATAATTTTTTTGCGAAATTTAATTTTTGAAATTGCGTCAGAGGGCATTTTATGTCTTTTGATTTGCGATTTTAAATGCCCGGGGACACATCATATTTGTCAGCCGGCTGGCAGGAGTGTTCTATTTTAAATTTTTTGAAATTTAGGGGTTTTTTGATTAAAAATGGCAAGAACTTTTTTACAGAGCATATAATGGCAAAGACGTTCTTTACAAGGCTTAAAATGGCAAGAACTTTCTTTACAAGGCATCAAATTACAAGAACTTCTTTTACAAAATATAAAACGGAAAGAACTTTCTTTACAGGGCGTAAAATTACAAGAACTTTCTATAAAAACCGTAAAATGGGCAAAACTTTCTTTACAAAGCATAAATTGACAAGAACTTTCTTTACAAGACAAAAAACTTTCGTTCTGCAAAAACTTTGTTTACAATTTCAGCCCAAAACCTTGTGGCCACCATAAATATTGAATTTGCATATTGTTTGATGTTTTGGTGCGAACTTTCTTTCGCTTTTTGTCTTATTTTTCGACCGAAAGCAGGGATTCGTGAGATTTTTTTTCGAAAAACGAATTTTTCGAAATTTTTGGAGGGAAACGCAAAATGGCGGCTTTTTGAATAAATTAACGAATGAGTAATATAGAGATGGTGAAGGTTATAAAAGAACATAGGGATGGTGATGAAAGTTATAAAAGTGGGATTAGGCTTTACTGTGACTCAGTTATGCTATTTATAGGCTTGTTGGATATTTAGGCTGTATATAAAGATGATTTTGGCGAGCTTTTGGTTGTTTAAAATGAATGAAAGGGCAGTTTTACAAATGGAAGTTCAGTGGAAGATTTGTAATAGATTTTGCGTTGAAGATCTTTCACATAACCTTCGTTCACAAAAATACTTGTTGAGCGAGAATGGACAGGGGCTTCGGTAAGGCTTGAATAGGCATAAGTAGGCTCGCATCGAGATAAACTGGACAGGGGTATAATTGTGTAGGGCTACAATCTAAAATGGGCATGGGTAGGCTTGAATAGCGGTATACTGACAGAGGTAGGCTTGGGTAGACTAAAAGGCTTGCTTAAAACTAAAATGGACGGTGGTGGGCTGAATAGAACTACAATGGGCGGGAATAAACTTTGACAAGGCTAGCATGAGTTTATTTTTGAATAAACATAGGGGGTGACTTATTTGGTAAGATGTATATAGTGATCCATGTTTTAGGGGGACCTATCGCGGGGGAGGGGCGTGTTTTATGTTTTGTAAAGAAAGTTCTTGCCGTTTTTGACTTGTAAAAGAAGTTCTTGCCATTTAATGTTTTGTAAACAAACTTTTTTGCTATTTTAAGTTTTGTAAACAAAGTTTTTGCCCTTTTGTTTGATCCCTCACACTTCTGACCCATATTTCAAAAACTCGGGGTTTTGTAAAGAAAATATTTATCTCTTCTGATTGTAATCTTAGGAGTTATAAAGTTCGAAAAGCGACGAGGTGAAGAGTTGGAACGGCCAGCTGACATTCGTCTTCAGTTAAAATTCTTAAAACATGTTCGAGGTTTTTCCGAACTCTGGGTTTTCCGGATTTTTTGGGTTAAAATTTGGGTAATATTCTGAGTTTTTTTTACTTAAATATCAAGTTATTTTGATGATTTTTAAAATTTTATTGTTCATTTAATTCTGTGCTCTTTCTTAAAGCAATTTTTGGTGTTATAGAGAACAGAATTATTTGAAAAAAACTTAAAAACACAATATATTATGTTTTTCAAATAGATCTGTGCCCCTAATACTGCAAATTTGCTTTGAGAGTGGGCATAGAATTAAATGAACAACCTAATGGGTTGTCTTTTTAGCTTCAAGGTATATCTTTAAATTTTGTTACCTAAAAAATTAATTTATCTTGATTTTTTTTGGATTTTCATACCCAAAATAACTGTATTTTTTGTGTCCTTCGCGTTTTTAGGAGTCTTTAGTTCTTTAGGATTTATTTTTGATGTTTTAGGGTAAAATTGAATGATGCAAAGAAAGTTTTTGCCATTTTATGTTTTGTAAAGAAAGTTTTTGCTGTTTTTTGCTTTCTAAAGAAAGTTCTTGCCATCTTTTGATAGGTAAAGAAAGTTCTTGTCATTTTTTGCCTTGCGAAGAAGCTTTTTGCCATATTTTCCCACTAAAAACAGTTATTTTTATTGCACTGTGCAATTTTTGTTTAACTGCGCTGTGCATCAAATTTTCTTTTTAACACAGTTAAATGTTTCGCGTGTTTTAGGCAACAAATGCTGTTCTACATTTTAGTCTAGACTAACGAAAAGCTACTAAAACTATTTTTACTTTGATAGCATTAAAAAGAATGGCACAATGAATTTTTAAAAATGGCTGCACCGTGCAATCCAAAAATTTTTGCACCGTGCAACTCAAATTGTCGAAAAAAATTTTTCGTTGAGCTTCATTTTTAAAAATTGGCAATTTCTGATCTCAAGTACAACCTTTTTTTTGTCAAATTCAAAGAAATTCCAACATTTTGCAAAGACAAATATTATCATATATCAAAATAGTGATAAGGAGTATCGAAAACAATCAAAAAATGTTTTCAGATTATGTCCTTTTGTATTAATATCAAACTTTGATTTATCTTGTGATTATCAATTGACGTGTGGTAGGAAATGTCATGATATTTAAGGATTTAATACTGTATTGATAAAGCTATTTTTTGTTGCAAATGGCAAGAACTTCCTTTACAAATCAAGAAATGGCAAGAACTTTGTTTCCAAGGCTTAAAACGGCAAGAATTTCTTTTACAGAACAAAAAATTGCAATAACTTTCTTTACAAAACATAAAATAGCAAGAACTTTCTTTACAAATTAAGTATGACAAGAGTTATCTTAAAAAAAGTAAAAAATAGCAAGAACTTTCTTTACAAAACATAAAATAGCAAGAACTTCCTTTACAGAACAAAAAATTGCAAGAACTTTCTTTACAAAACAAGAAATTGCAAGAACTTTCTTTACAAGGCACAAAACGACAAGAACTTTCTTTCCAAAACAAAAAATTGCAAAAACTTTCTTTACAGTACGTAAAAATTATGAATTTTCGTTTGTTTTTTCCATTTTTTGGCCATTTTCCTCTAATATTATAGTACTTTGATATCAATCTTGATGTTTCTTCAATTTCCCTTCAACTCCCAAGCCTCCCGACTTCAAATCGCAGTTCGAATTGAACTTTATTTTGTGTTTGTGATCCCCCCCCCCAACATTCGAAACGGCACACGTTTTTGCCTCGTAAAAACGTTTCTCGGCACCTGTTTTGAAGAAGCGGCCGCTCTTCTTCAGGTGGGACACGTCAAGTCAAGAGCACGCAAATTAGGCCGAAAAAGTGTTTTCTTTTAATAAAGTGTAATTTAAACCTTAAGGTACAATTAAAAAGGTGCAAAAAGGGATGAATGGGGAGAGGATTTTGGAGGTTATTATTGTCTATTATGGGGCAAACCGGTAGGATAAAAAAATTAAATTTTTGGGGGGGGGGAAAAAATTGGAAACGGGAGAGAACCAGAAAGTAGAAACTTCTTCGGGGAGGGGTGAGGAAACGGGAAAATTAAGAAAAAAATTGACAAGAAATGGTAGATAAAGAAAGTAGAGAGAGTTAGGAAACGAGAAAATGGCAAAAACTTTCTTTACTAAAAAACATTTTCTGTTCTGTAAAAAAAGTTACTGTCATTTTTCGATTTGTAAAGAAAGTTCTTGCCATTTTTGGTTTTGTAAAGGAAGTTCTTGCCATTTTTCGTTTTGTAAAGGAAGTTTTTGTCATTTTTAGTATTGTGAAGAAAGTTCTTGCCATTTTTGGTTTTGTAAAGAAAGTGCTTGCTATTTTATGTTTTGTAAACAAAGTTCTTGCTATTTGATGTCTTTTAAAGAAAGTTCTTACCATTTCATGTTGGGTAAAAAAAATTTTGTGCCCTTGTTTGCAACATTCCAGGTCATTTCCCAACCCAATCTAAAATTAGGTTGGCCCAAAAATTGTACACGATGCGTTCACGTCGGTGTGCATCACGGTGGACGGAGGGGGGAAGAAAGAAATTAGGTTTTTGTTTTGTGGACATACCTTCGTATATAGCTCCGGAAAAGAGGAACGGAAGTAGTTTTTCCTCCTTTTTTCGCCTACAAACCCTTTTCCGAATCCGCGAGGACTGTAGCCAAGCTGTTTATACCCCTTTTACCTTTCTTTTGCCCAAACTGGATCAGTCTTGGGCAGGGGAAGGAGAGGTGGGGTGATTTTTTGGCATTTTGCAACGTTTATTGAATGAATATTGACTTGGTTGTCTTTGCCATTTCTTTTTCGATGGTCAATGGACATTTTTGATTAAACTATTGTTGAAAATACAATTTTAAATACCTAAACTTCATTTTAAAACTAATTCTAACTTGTAGTTTGACCTATTCGCCGCGTAACATCAATTTGAAATTATATTGTAGTAGGTATCAGATCAGCTACCTTTACACCTCAATTTGTAACATTAAAACTTGTTTTTGTTGATAGCTTTTATTTTATCGATATTAAGCATACAATAAGGATCATTTTGATACCAATATCGTTTTGAAAAAATTGGAAGAAACTTTCTTTACAGGCGAAAAAAGTCAGGTTCGGTTTTAAGGGTTTTTGGCCGTTTTTTTCAAAAAATGTTCCTCATTTTTAGTGAAGGGGATTTCTGTGGCCGTATTTTATATTTTGGAATTTCTAACATTTTGTATTTTATATTTTGTCATATTTTGCCCTTTTTGCCTCAATTTGTCCCATTTTCACCTATTTTCCTCCTGTTTTCACCCGATTTTCCCGCGGTTTTTGCCACTTTCAATCGCACGTTCCTCCCATTTTCCTCAAATTCTTGTGATAATGGTTGTCGCACGCAGCGATAATATATTCCGCGTTTTGATTCGAATGTATTTTCAGTCGAAACACAATAAATTGGCCCATTAGAAGGACAATATGAGATTATTGGGCCGACGCGAGCTAAATACGAAGCAAAATGATGTTGAAGCGGCGAATCCAGGACCTGACCGTTTGTTTCACTTACAACTTTTCCTGTCTTCATCCGCAGCGTGAGTTTTTTGTTTTTTGGTCGATTTTGCATTGGAGGTTTTGGAATTTAAAAAAAAAAGAAATTAAAAAAATTTTTTTTTTGTATAAAGGGACTATACCATAAAGATTATTTATAGTTACGTTTTGACTCATTTAATGTAATAAGAAAGCCAGATTAAAAAAATTTTTAAAAATTTCAAAAAACTTCAAAAATTAAAAAAATTTTTTTTTGCGAATAGGTCCTAAAATACCTTTGAAATCATTTTTGGTTACTCTTTGACTCATTTCAGAGCATGGAAACAAGGAATTCAGGACGAAATACGAATTATGCGAAGAGATTCAGAGAGGCGGCTTTGGTATTGTATATAAGGCATATCGGGTCAGAGACCGACTACCGGTCGCTGTAAAATATGTGGAACATAAACATGTTAGGGATTGGACTATGGTGAGTTGTTTATCTTTTTTTTTGTTTTTTTATTTTTTTTTGAAAAATTTTTATTTTTAAAAATTTAATTTTTGCAAAAACTTTGTTTACAAATTTTTTTTTATTTTTTAAATTTAAACCACATAAAGTCAAGAAAAATGGTCTTTTACCTTATCTTAGTCATTTTTAGGCTTATTATGTTTAAAAATATATTTTAATTTGCACGGTGCAGAGCATTTTTTGGATTGCACGGTGCAGTTATTTTTTAAAAATTTATTGTGCCATTCTTTTTGATGCTATCAAATTGAAAATAGTTTTAATAGCTTTTTATTTGTCTAGACTCAAACACAGAACTATATTTGTTACCTAAAATACGCTAAAGATTTAACAGTGATAAAAATAAAATTTGGTGCACAGTGCATTAAACGAAAAGTTTTGCACGGTGCAGATTCTTTTGCCATTTTTATATAATACTAACTTAAAAAAAGCTTTGTAGCTTCTAAAAGTGATAAACAATAACAATTTACAGTATTTGTTACCTAAAAATGTGATTTTCAGTGCGAAAACCAGCTGATTCCAACCGAAATCTGTCACTTGGACATGTGTGGTCGGATCAGTGGTGTCGTGGACTTGGTCGATTGGTTTGCAAGGTAAATAACATGATTTATCATTGTTTAAGAGTACAACGGATGTTGAATTTGCAGAGGAAATTTATGTGTTTTATTCAAACTGGCAGATTTAAAAGTAAAAGTTGGGTGGAAGATTTGTAATGTAGTTTGCACTGAAAATCTTCCACCGAACTTGTACCTTTAAAAATGGTCAAAAATGCGTTTTTAAGTCATTTTATGATATTTTAAAAATGGAAGTTAAGTGGAAGATTTTTAGTGCAAATTTCATTACAAATATTCCACTCAACTTCCACTTTTTTAAAGTCTCAAGAATGGTTCTTATGATACTTAAAATGCCAAAATAGGGTCAAAAATCTAATTTTTAATCTATTCATACCTAATTTCATACCTAAAATACTTTGTTACAGTAGCAAAGGCTTTATGATAATAATGGAACGGCCTGAACATTGCCTTGATCTGTTCGACGTTCTGCACGTTTATGGCCGTTTGGACGAAGAGATCGCGAAATGGATTTTCGTGCAAGTAGTTGATGCTGTGCTACAGATGCGGAATGAGCATGACCTGGTTCATCGGGATATTAAGGATGAAAACGTTATCATCAACATGGATACGGGAGAGGTGAAGCTGGTCGACTTCGGAGCGGCTGATTTCTTGAATTCGGCCGAAAAGAAGGAATTTCAGGTAAGAGTGAGAAAAATGGCAAGAACTTTCTTTACAGCTCAAAAACTTGCAAAAACTTTCTTTACAAAACAAAAAATCGCAAGAACTTTCTTTACAAAACAAAATATATGACTTCTCGTATAACATGTCACTCGCAGGCTGCGAATCTTCAAAGCTCAACATTATGCAACTAAAATGGCAAGAACTTCCTTTACGGGCCATAAAAAAATCAATTTTTTAAAAAATTAAATGTTTCAGGGTACCAGGTCGTACTGTCCGCCCGAATGGTTCAAACACAAGCATTATTTGCCATTAGAGGCCACTGTGTGGTCGTTAGGAGTCTTATTGTACATACTTGTCACGGGTCAGATTCCCTTCAAAAACGAGATTCAGACGTGTTTGGGAAGGCTACAGTTTCCGGAATATGTTTCTGAAAGTGAGTTTTTTTAAATTTTTTTTTTATTTATTACTGTAGCTTTGGATAGGTTATTGTATTATATTTAGTAGGGTGGGGTTATGGTAGGCTTGGGTAGGGTGTTGTACCTGGTAGGGTAGGAAAAATAGGGGGCAGATTGTTATAAGAAGGATACTGTATTTTTGAATGGATACTGTAGGTAAGAAGTACTGTAGCTATGGGTGGAATATTGTATGTGGTAGGACAGGGTTATTTTAGAATTGGGTACGGCAATGTACTTGGTAGGGTATGATAAAACAAGAGGAGGGATTGTTAAAATGTAGGGTACCGTAATTGCTGTTGGGTACTGTATTTTTGAATGGGTATTTTCTAAAGCAGGATAGGATAAAATAGGGGAGGGATCAAAAATGACTGTATTTTTTGAATGGGTACTGTACGAAAGCAGTACTGTAGTTTGGGTAAGGTACAGTATCGGGCAGAGTAGGGTTGTGGTACGATAAAAGAGGAGAGAGATTGGGAAAAGAAGGGCACTGTATTTTTAAGGGTACTGTAGGGTGGGATTTAGTTAGTAGGGAAACAGGTAGGGTATTGTAGTGCTGAGTAGGGTGGGGTAGGGTAGAGTAGGGTAGGGTAGGGTAGGGTAGGGCAGGATATGGCATGGTAGGGTAGGGTAAAGTAGGGTAAGGTAGGGTAGGGTAAGGTAGGGTAAGTTAGCGTAAGTTAGAGTATTATAGAGTACGGTAGGTTACTGTAAAGAATTTTAAAGCCTTAAAAACCTAAAATAAGCTTTAATTTTCAGGTTGTTCAAAGTTAATTCGAAAGTGTCTTAACGTAACACCCAAGCGGCGTTTCACATTGACCGAGCTTCGTAACCACGAATGGATGTCTGGTGCTGCTCTCAACTATGCTGGTACTTTTCATCAGCTTTTGAAGCGACGTTCGATTAAAAAAGGCACTTGGAAGAAGCGACGAAACTCGGTAGCCTGCTACGATGATTCTTCCGATGATTCTGATTATGAATGTGGCCATAGGAAGAGGTTTTCGAATAATGGTGAACCACAAAGGAGTAGGGCTCTAGTGGTACCGCCTGAAGCTATTGAGCGAGCCAAAATGATTCAGGAACAAAGGGCTTCTGCGGTAAGATTTTTTTTTGAAATTTACCCTTACCTTACCCCTACAATACCCTACCCTACCCTACTCTACCCTACCTAACCCTAACGTACCCTACCTTACCCTACCCTACCCTACTCTGTTTTACCCTACCTTACTCTACCCCTACCCCTACTTCTACCCCTACCCCTACTTCTACCCCTACCTTTCCCTACCTCACCCTTCTCCTACAACCGATTTCCTACCTCCTTCTCTCTACCCCTACCACTTACTTTCTACCCCTTATCCTCTACCCTTACCCTCTACCCCCATCCATACCCTATACTCCCTAATGTACTAACATGACTTCACGATAGAATTACCGTAACCTAACAAACCTTAGCTTTTATCCTTTTTGTAACTTAATTCTAAGCCCTATCTTTTAGTCTTGATATCTTTCTACCCAAGCCCTATCCTTACATAAAACCCGCCTAAGGAGAGTTCCCCTCCCCCCAAGCCCTACCCTTATCTAAACATCACCATTTTCAGAGCCCCAACCTCTGCCGAACCCCCGCCTCCTCTCGTCCACCCACCGTTCTCCACACCCGTCTAGAAGACTTTGATCAACCAGACGTGGACCAATTCGAAACAGCTCGCGAGGAACCCGAAGTCTTTCACACTGCCAGAACAAATGAGCTTATTCAAGAGATTGACAAGTTATTTAAAGACGATGAGTTTAGGCCTAAAAAGAAGACCTCGAATTATCGACCGTCGTTACAAGAGATCAAGGACCGCTACAAGCGGTTGCATCAAACACAATCGACCGACAGTTTTATGGACGTTTTCAAGTCGGTTTCCAGCGATTTTCAGTCGATTCACAGCTCTTCGGTCACGAGCTCTAGGTTACGGTGGGTTTTTTAAAAATATTGTTACTAGGATTTAAAATGGCAAGAACTTTCTTTACAAAGCATAGAATGGCAAAAACTTTCTTTACAAAACAAAAAAATGGAAAGAACTTTCTTTACAAAACAAAAATTGGCAAGAACTTTCTTTACAAAACGAAAAATGGAAAGAATTTTCTTTACAGAACAAAAAATTGCAAAAACTTTCTTTCCAACAACTAAAAATTCCATTTTTAGCCAAACGTCAATTTACGAATCCGTAACTTCATCACAACGTAACGCGGGTAGTATCTTCGACGACTGCAGCTCCTTCTCCTCAGCCCTTTACTTTTCAACCTACGAAGACGATGATGATGATCAATACACGAAGGAAAACGAAGATCGACCACCACTTGATCGGCTTGGTCAATATGAAAAGTCGTTAAGATCGCTAATGATGGGCACGTCATTCGATGATGCCTTGGAAACGCATCGTGATCAAATTCCGGAGATTCCAATCGACAATCTGTCGCTACATGCCGATTCATTGTCAGATGACACTGACACAGAACTGGTTGATAGTGTGATTAAAAATGAGGACGAGGTTGATGAGACGAAGTTACCACCCCCACAGCCAAAGAGAAGTTTGCAACATCAGAGGAAGGTGCCGAGGGTTCAGAAGATCTTCAGTGGAATCAGAAGGGCTAGAAGTTTGAAGGTTCCGTTCAAGTAAGTATGACAATTTTTAAGTTATGTAGCCACAAAATGACGTTGGTGTTTTCTTTGAAGTTTTTTTAAAAGTAGGGCGAAGGTAATTTTTTGACCGTTCTATTATTGTATTATGTGCCGACATAAAGGACCCGCCATACTTTGCCTGCAATTTCCTGTAAAAAATGGCGGGTTCTTTATGTCGGCACCTATTATCATAGATTTTTACTGAAAATGGCAAATTTTAGGTACGAATTGAGGTATAAAACCCAAAAAATATGAATTTTATCCTATTTTTGTATTTTAGGTATCAAAAGGGCAATTTTTAAAAATGGAAATTGGTGGAAGATTTGTAATGTATTTAGCACTGAAAATCTTCCACATAACTTCCACTTTTAAAAAGTGTCAAAAACGTGTTTTGAGACCATTTTAAGACTTTTTTAAAAATGGAAGTTTAGTGGAAGATTTTCAGTGCAAATTACATTGAAAATCTTTCACATAACTTTCACTTCTAAAAAGTCTCAAAAACTTGTACAAATATGTAGCGAAACCTAACCGGAGGCAAAAAATCAATTTTTTTATTCAATCCAATTTTATCAGATTCATAAGATTCTGAACTGAATTACCTTGATAATCTTACAGATCCGACAAAAAATCAAAAGAATCGACCGAACGTGAAAGCTCTCTAAACGCAGTTAAACGTTTATGCTCAAAAAGTTATGACACATTGTTTGTCCTTTCGTCTGCCATGTCTGGCAAGTCCGAATCTCTACCCCGGTTACAATATTCTTCCATACAACCTACAAACTTGAAAAAAGACATGAGTAAATCAAAGACAAGTGATGAGATTACCGGCAAGCATTCTCCGTCAGTACGTCGAAGAATCTCATCGATTCGACGGAGGTTCGGGTCAAATAAGGCGAAAACGAGCGCTTTACAAACGGAGACGATGCGCTTTCCATTGGCCGTGTTTGATGTTTGTTCTCAACAGTTACCCATGCTGGAGGGGACTAATGACAACTTTTAAAAGGGTTTTGGTTATATTATTGTAATTTTTAGCAATCCATTGTAAAACCCTAATGTTTAACAGGGTGTTAGTCTTGTACCGCGCACAGCTTTGGTCTTATAGGTTTAAAAATAACTAGTAGTACAAAGAGACTACACGGTAAGGTAGGCTAGGTAGCAAAAAATGTAGTACAAGCCTTATAACTCTAATAACAAAGGTGATACAAGACCTTTAGCTCTAGCAATAAAGTTATTACAACAAGTCTGCACTACAAGGTAGGCTTAGTATTAACTTAGCCTCCAGAACAAGCTTGTCAAGCCTAACCTTACCCTGATTTAAAAAAAAATTGTTGAATTCTTCAACTTTTTGTTTATATGCTTTTTTGTACTTATTTTATCTTTTTTTGTTATACAAATGTTACAGTAATACTTTAAAACGAGTCTCAATTTAACATCGGTAATTCTAAATCTGATTTTTTTGATTTTACGGTTACAAAAAGCCATTTAACAGGAAATGTTTATGATAAAAACATGACTTAAAACTTGTAATAAGAACCCATTGTCTGCCTGTAAATATTTATTGTCTTTGACATTTTAAATACCTTGTTTGTTACAACACAATAAAGTACAATTGCTTATTTACTTTCATTCATAACATAGGACAACAAAATAAAAAACAATAAATTATATTATAGTAGGTTACCAATATGAATCATTAAGGTACAGCAGGTTACCAATACGAATCTTAATTTTTTAATAGTTTATCCGTGTTAAAAACAATTACTCAGTAATCTATGCGTATATTTATAAAATACAGTGTTCTTAAATCCGACCCATCATGGGTAGATCAACATCAACATGATCATTACAGTGATATCTGCAGATCTTTGACATACAGTGATGATGCTCACAGATTACTTCCACTTTCCTACATTGGCTAAGCCCACAACGATGATTGCATTCATGCACATTACACCGCATATACACGTCCAAGGACATCGGCTTAATGTTTGCCGCTGAACAACATACAATTAGTAAAACGAAACATAGTAGGACAGTAGCAAATTTCATTTTTGTACCACTAAGGATTCAATACAACAGTAAAACAAAAGAATACTAGAAATCCAGCAATGATTTTTAACAATGACATGTCTACAAAAAGTACTCGCTTATAAAGTACGATAATGAATTCATATGCACGTTATCTGATCATCAATTCCCACCAAAAACCTTTAAAAATTACAAAATTGATTTCATAAAATTGGGTATGATGTATTCTGTTGCATACGTCAAACATTAAGTAGACGGGTTACCCAATTAACATATATTAATGTCTCAGTGTGCATCTGTCTTATACATTGAGAAAACTGAAATCAATTACCACAGAAGAGGTTGTTACTAAAAGATTATTGTGCACTGTAATCTTTTATTTGAATGACCATAAACAAGATGTTTGTCTGTAACACCTTATTTATGCTGTAGTTCTTCGATCAGTGACCGTCAAAACTATAGAATGTTCTCCTACAATGTTGAAAAACAAAACATCAATAATTTACACGTTTATTGTATAAGTTAAAGCTATTCGGAGGTACTCAAATGTTTAAGCTACATTCATTTAAAAGTGACACGCAGTTACGACGGTCACGAACTAAAACTATCTTCTGACAACGACTAGACATTGGTGGTTTTAAAGCTGGTGGACATTCGGCCGGGTTACAGAAACCATCAAGGCATTTCATTCCTTGAGCGCATTGAAGGTTTTGGCAGCCTGTAAGCAATGTTGTTATTATTTGTGTGACACATCCACACACGCAACAAAAATAAGATATGAGAGTTATTTCAAGATTATAACACTTTGAACCAAGTCCTAAAAAACGATTTGCTTTTGCCTTCTTCTGGCACTTTGCTTTTGATTGGGTTCCGAAACATGAGGTCGTAAATAATAACGAGTTTTTGTAACAAGGTCGCTCATTATTTTTGCAGATAAATACAAAGTTACTCACTTACTATTAGCGTGATCTTTGGCAACAACTTCACACGCTTTGGCGGGTACACAAGTGGCATTCAACGCGCTAACTTGAACAAATCCATCGTCGCATACACACGTTCTGATACATTCATAGTCATGTTTTTTACAATCTGGTCGTATTTCAACGCATGTTGAGATACATGGAGCTGCACAGTTGTCGTAGTGTGAATTTGGCGGACATTGTAGAGTTAAAGCTTCGTCTTCTAAAGATCTTACATCATCTAGGTAGTAGTCGTTGTTTGGCGGACTATAGTGTTTAGTTATCGGATGACACATTCCATCGTTTGGTGAGCATTCAAAGCCTTGCGGGCATCTTACTGTACGACATAGAGGATTGGGGTCCAAATCTTCGGATGTTAGGGGTTCGTCTTGTACGCAGCGGCCTTAAAAATCATTTTGTCGTTTGGAAGTTCAATCAGCATTGTTGATTTTTATAATACTTGGGCTTTATAGATATGTAACTTGAAAAATGATGCTTACTTTCCGAACAACTAAAACCAGGAGGACAGATAATGCCTTCACAAGGGTCAGCTTGTATTGCTTCGCCGTTATGTCGGGTACAAACACCACTAGTACCATCACAATGATAGCCGGGTGGACAAACAACGTCTTGACATTTGTTCCAATCTAATGCGAAGTGTTGTAGGCCTTCGCCTGGCACACGGAAACGGCGACAAATGCCAGTGTTGTAATCGCACGATAAACCGGATTCACAAGCTATTTCTGGACATTTTGAGGTAATTTTTGGTATGTACATATAAGTGACTAGCTGGAAAAGGTTCATAAGAGTGTGGAGATCAATGTTACAAGACACTGATTGCCTTTTAAAATTAAGTGTTGTAGGTTTTGTTTCTTAAAAACAGATTTTTTTGAAACCTTAGAAGCCGTGGTTACTGTAGCTCCAATAAAAAAATTTAAGTTGTTATATCAGGGCACCATAAGCTTACAAAACCCTTAACTTACAATAACAAAAACGCATTTTTCTCTCAACATGACCAGCACGTTACACAGTACGTCACATAAACTCTTGTCCTCTCGCTCATTTCATAATTTCGGTCGTTAAACACCGCCCACCACCAAATTTAGGTAACGGTCAGTGTTGACGTGACCCAGACCGAAAAAGCACCGATTGTGGACACACTGAAAAACACAAAACTAAAAAATGTTTTTGTTGCGCGAAAAATCGTGAGCCAAATTCTTTCGCGCACCTCCATGAAAATATTATTGTTTCTTGTTTATATAAAGGAAGGAATTGAGGAGGCAAAGGTCGGTAATGGAGATGAAGGCCGTAAAGAAAACAATTTCGCATGGAGAAGACTGAACGCGCCACAGTTTACCTGCACGGTAATTATAGACTGTGAAAAACAAAAATTTACTTTTTAAAATTTTTGGCGGGTAATTTTGGTTTAAAATTTTGAAATTTCAATTTATGATAAGATATTGATTTTTGATGACAATAAAATTATTTTTGGAAAGCAAGTTGAACATGGCCTTTCCTGTTAATTTTAGCAGGGTTTTTTCCTAAGCTCTGCCCCCCCCCCTCACCAAAAATAAAACCTGAATGTCCATCTTAATTTACAAGCCTAAAAGTAAAAATTTGAATCCACAGTACATGTTACACTACCCATCCAAAAATTTGAATCCCCATCGGAGAATTTATCCTAATAAGCAAATCTCTTCGCCGAAAATTGAAACTTGACCCGCTTTTCGGTCGATTTTATTAACGTGAATATATACTTGAACTCCCACTTTACGATGTCGTTAATATAAAAACAAAAAAAACATAAGAACAGATGAATAAAGTTTTTACGACATTTGAAGTTTGGGGTATGGGGGCATGGTCAGACAAAAAACAGACTTAAAAATCTATCCCCCCCCCTCTCTACAAAAACATTTTTTTTTGAAAAAAGTTGAAGGTGCCTTCTCTGAGGATCAAAAAAAAACTAACCCACAGAAAAAATTTTTACCCGCCCCCCCCCCTTCTCCCGAAAAAAAATTTACCCCGCCCGATATTTTCCATTACTATTTTCATCTCTAGTACTAGTACAAATGCTGTAAAAGCTAGTGAAAATAACTGTACCCCCTACCCCTATCTATGTCTACAAAACAAATTTTTTCTACCCTTTCTTCTTCGAAACCCTCCCCCAAAGTTTACCCCGCCCGATATTTCCCATGCCAATTTGATTTTAAGTATTAATAAGCATGATATAAAACCTATTGAGAAAGGTCAAAATGACTAAAAAAGGATCATAATGACTATATTTTAACCATATACAGCTCTGAATGCTAATCCTAAAGGTCAATACGCATTAGTAAGTCACAAAAGACCCTCTCCATTTTACGCCAAACAAAAAGTTTATGTCAAAACATTAGCTAACAAACAAGAAAAACACGTTGATCAAATTACAAAGTGAAAAACAGAATGTATTAGGGGGGGGTGTTTTAATAAAAATTTATGGTAAAAACAAAGCCGGGAGGGGGGGTGGGGGGGTCATATTGCCATGGGGAGGGGGGTTAACTTGAGCATAAAAATTTTTGTTTGTGAAAAGGTCCCCCTCTGCGGCATCTTGCCTAAATGGCCGTAAAGTTGAAAACTTTGAAAAAATATTGAAAAATAAGGCCTGAAAAGTTTCAACATGTGGTCTGAATAGTATCTTATCATTTCTTTTATGATTTATTCATGATTTAAATGACATCTTGTTCAAACAATAAATTTCAAGGAATTAAAACAAACAATTTCAACGTTAGTTTTTTAAATTTTTTGTTTAAAAATGTTTTTGAAATTTCAATTTTACACAATATGATAGCTTGGTCAACTACCAACTTCATTTTCCCCAACCCATGCTCCTAGCCTAGTCCTAGCTCTATCTTTAGCCCTGTACCCATACCCCTACGTCTATCCACCCCTAACTTGACAAAAACCCAAAACTCCTGGTTTGATCAGGTGAAGTGACCATAATGACAAACCATGTGTTCACAAAACAAAACTCCGGCGCTTTTAAGGGAAAACCGAGGGAAAATAACCGAAAATCCGACCCGAAACCACTTTTTTGCTGGAATTGCCCTTTTCAGGAGAATCCTCAAAACCGGTTCATGAGTGACAAATTTTTGAGGGAAAAGTGGAAATAATTGAATTTTAGAAAAGTTTTTGATTATAACTACAAAACGACAATTTTTGTTTTGTAAAAGCTTTGCACGGTGCAAGCAGTAAAGGAGACTGCACGGTGCGAAAAATAAAAGGAGAGTGCACGGTGCAGCTAACAAATAGACCTTGCACGGTGCAATCAGTAAAAACAATTTGCACGGTGCAAACTATAAAAGGAGAATGCACCGTGCAAGCAATCAAAAGAGAGACTGCACTGTGCAGCCAAATATAAATAGATTTTTCACGGTGCATACAATAAAACGATACTGCACAGTGCAAAATATGAAAAAATGATTGCACTATGCGAAGACAATTAACTTTTAAATAAAAAATGGCAAGAACTTTCTTTACATAACAAAAAATGGCAAGAACTTTCTTTACATAACAAAAAATGGCAAGAACTTTCTTTACATAACAAAAAATGGCAAGAACTTTCTTTAGAAAACAATAAATGGTAAAAACTTTCTTTACACAAAAAAGTGGCAAGAACTTTCTTTCCAAAACGCAAAATGGCAAACACTTTCTTTACAAAACAAAAAAAAATCTTAAAAATTCAAAAAAAAGCTTAATATTTTCAAAAATATTAAAATTTATTTTCAAAAATTTAAATTACAATCAAAATCAATATATTATCGTACATTCTCATCCTCATTTCATACAGTTCGGATCATCCAGGACCTGGGAACATTTGAAATCGCACAGTTTCATTCCAGCCGGTTCGTAAAATTTGCATTCGGCTCCTTCACTCTCCGCCCCACCGTACACCACTCTACAGTAATACTCGGGCAACTTGTCCTCGGTACAATCGGAGTCGTCTTCGCACGTATATTCTGAAGATACGATGAATACGAACAGCAAAAGGCACAGTAAAGTTGGCTTGAAAGAGAACATTCGCGTTGCGACTGGTCGGTATGACAGTTTTAGAAATGAATGAATTAAAAATGGAAAGATTGTTGAAAATGAATTTTAAAAAGTAAAAATTTTAAAAAATGAGAGTAAATGTCATGAAAAATGACATTTGTTTAGAATTACTATTTTTTATAAAATTTTAATACCTCAATCCGCGGACATTTTTCATAGTATAACTTGGCAAACGCAGCTCGCACTTGTTTCAGTTGCGGCCGTTTTGCCCTCAAAAGTTCTTTTCACTTTGAACAGTCGTTTTCTAATGTTTCAGCAGTTTGCCTTCAAATTGTTGTTTGAAATGTGATAAAATATATAGAATAACTTATCTCTTTATCTATTTAACTTTTTTTATAAATTTTGGGTTAATATTGCTTTATTTTTGGATTTTCTAACTGTTTCTTAGCTAAAACAAGGTTATATAATGTTATATATCGCGAAATGTATGATTTGAATAAGTAAAATACGTTTATTTGAAACTTTTGTTTATATTTTTTACGTTTTAGAGTAAAGAAATTGCACCAGACAAAGAAGGTTGAGGAGTTATGGCTGGGAGAACACCTTCGTCAAGCCAAATTTTCGTGAAACTGAAGGGAACGCATAAAACGGGCTAGATATTACCTAAAATATTATGTAAAACGAATAATAAGAAGCAGGAAAAGTTCATCTACAAGTATGTTTAACTTTTTTGTTTTATTTCTTCTGTTTTTAGGTTGATTTTGGGAAGAACATCTTCAACATGCCTTTCTTGGAAAAATGGCCGAAAGCGGATAAACCAGGACCTATATTAACTAAAATATCATGATATAGGATCAGTTAGGTAAAAGACGAGTTGATTTACATGTAAGTTCTGTTTCTGCTGCGTTTTTTTTTGTTTTTAGGTTAATTTGGGAAAGTTTTGTCAAATTTTGAGATAAGAACCATGGATAATATAATTTTAATCAGTATCAATGTTTTTAGAGAAAGTGCATGGATGGTTGTTTTAAATCAGTTGTATTAGACAATGGGCAATGTTCTTAGCTGAAAATCAAGACCAAGAGAGTAATGTGCTGTTTAGAATCAAACTTTGAATTGGTTGTGGTATAGCTATATGAACTATCACTGCCAATTGGGTTTAATGACTCCAGTAAGTTTGCTTTTTATGATTCTTGAGAGTTTTTAGTTTTTGAAGCTAAGGTAACACATATTTTGTCAACAAAAAGCTACATTTTACGCTTTTCCGATATTATCTATGGTGTCTTGACGTCATGGATAATATCAATTTTTATGAACGTAAAAACTTTTTCTTATTATTATATAGCGTTTATTAAGAGTTATTCTATTAACAATTTCAATAAGTGTGTCAACATTGAATTACAAAAAACTGTGTTATAATAGCTGGTTATTTAATGTCGTCGCTTCATTCGTCGTGTAAATCGTCGTATTGGTACTATGGGTGTTACGGCTTCTTCTATTGTCTCATAATCGTAGTCGTTGTCTTTGTATAGGTCTTCTGATCCGGACGTGGCTTGAGAATCTGAAAATTTTGAAGGTTTTTTCAAAAAAAATTTTGAAATTTTAATTTTTTTTGAAATTTTAAAACTTTTTATTTTTTAGGTGACGAAGGTTGTTTATGTTATCTTAAACCTACCTTTACGGCTTTCACTTTCACTTTGTTCTTCCATATGACTGTCACCAGACTCACTGTCATCGCTCATGTTCTCTGCATCTTGTCTACTGCCCTCTTCTGACTCTGATTCAGTAGCCTCTGTGGCCGAAGATGATTTTTGTGACAAAATTTGATCAAGTGTCGTACGTTGTCCTGAAGCGTCTGAATCCTTGTTCTTCTCAAATCTTGATGATTGGGAATCTGAGGATTCTGAAGCTTCTGATTGTACGTCTTCTGAGGATTCTGATTGTTGGGACTGTCCGTCGTCTGAGGATTCTGAACCTTGTGAGTCACCGTCGTCAGAAGCTTTCAAATCTTGTGTTTCTCTGTCGTCTGAGGATTCTGAATCTTGTCCATCTTCTGCGGATTCTGAATTTTGTGATTGTCCATCTTCTGCGGATTCTGAAGTTTGTGATCGTCCTTCTTCTGCAGATTCTGAAGTTTGTTCCCCTTCCGCAGATTCGTTTGCCTCTGCTTGCTCCGATGCACCTTCAGCATCTTCAGAATTTGATGAACCTGATAGGTTTTGTGAAGATTCATCAACATTATTTGATCCGTCTTCTAATGATTTTTTGCTGCGTTTTTTGGCTCCAGACGAATCTGTAGCCATCTCAGCTGATGATTCTGTAACACTTCTGTCGTCAGAAGAGTGTGTAGGTTGATGACCCTCTGAAGCTTCTGTAGAGCTTCTTCGTCTCTCAGTAGAACCAGAAGTCAGAATTTCTTCTAAACTTGGCGTTGATGAATGATGTCTATGATGCCTACTGCTTTCTGTACTACTATCTGAATGTCTTCTTCTTTCAGTAGTACTATGAGATTGTCCAGAATAGGCTGTAGAGCTTTCTGAATCATCTTGATTGTTGTCATAATTGTCTTCATCATTGTGGTTTCTATTTCTTCTACGACGTCTTCTACCTTCGTCACTACTATGTTTGCCTTTGCCATGACTACCAGATCCTTTGTGGCTGCCATGATGTCTATTGCCGTGATCTTCACTCTCTTCATCATCAGTACCAAAACCTTTTCCAGATTTCCATTTATTTCTAAGGTCTTTGAACTTTTCTGGAGTATCAAAGTAGTCATGGTCATTGTTTCTACCATGAGACGAGCCTTTAGTGTCGATTTCATCATAAGGCCTTGTTTGGTGTTTTAGTCGTTCTTCGTTTTGGTTCTGTGATTGCCGGTTTGCAGCATCGTCGGATAAGCTATGAATAGCATCAGAAAGTAGTTCTTGATATGCGGCATGAGAATAGCCATGTTTGTTCTCGGCTGAAGTTGTTGTTGCAGTAGGGTAGCCTTTTGGCTTCTTTCTCCAGTAAAACCGGACCTTTCCTTTTCCCTTTGTTCTATACTTGCCGCCGTACTTTCTTTTCGAACTGTACTTGCCGCCAGACTTAGTTCCCGATTCAATGTCATCATCAAAAAGTGCAGAAGACATGTCACTGTGCTTAATGTGTGATTCTGAATGCGATTCTGAACGAGATGCAGAGTGTCGTGATTCTGAACGTTCTTCCGACTGCTGACTTTGTTCAGCCGAAGACTCTTCTTGTCCGTTGTCTTTGGAAGAATGCGATCCCGAGCGTGAATTAGCGTGCTTTTCTGAAGACGATGATTGTGCCTGAGATGCACTGTAGTGTTTAGAAGCATGCGAGTGTTTTTCCGCACTGCTGCTGCTTCTTGATGCTGATGATTGGGCTTGAGATGCACTATAGTGTTTTGAAGCGGATGATTGTTGCGAAGCACTGTGTCTTGCTGAAGCAGATGATTCTTCAGATGCACTATGGTTCTCCGAAGCTGATGATTCTGCATGAGAAGCGCTGCGACTAGCTGAAGCCGATGATTCTTCTTGAGATGCAGCGTAGTGTTCAGATGAACTTGCACTGCTGCGACTTCTTGAGGCAGAGGATTCTTCAGATGCGCTATGGCTTCTTGAAGATGATGATCCTTTGTGGGATGCCGCGTAGTTTTCAGATGAACTCACGCTGCCACGACTTCTTGAACCAGATGATTCCTCTTGTGAATACGCGTGGTTTTCTGAGGATTCTGATCTTTGTGAATTAGCGTGGTGTTCTGATGACGATGATTCTTCTCGTGAATTAGCATGGTGCTCTGATGCCGATTCTTCTTGAGCACCGTTGCTTCTTCCTGAAGCTGATGATTCTTCTCGTGAATTGGCATGGTGCTCTGATGCTGATTCTTCTGAATTGGCGTGGTGCTCTGAAGCTGATTCTTCTTGAGCACTGCTTCGGCTTCCTGAGGCTGATGATTCCTCCTGTGAATTGGCATGGTGCTCTGATGATTCTTCTTGTGAATTGGCATGGTTTTCCGAAGGTTCTTCTTGTGCATGTTTGTTTTTCTTTGACATAGCGGATTCCCGGCTGTTTTCCTCAGAAGATTCGCCCTGTTCTTGAGCTTGTCCGTGCTCTTCTAAAGCAGCGGATTCTTGTGCTTTGTCTTGATCTTCTGTAGACCCTCTACCATGTTTTCGTGATTTCGATCCTTTAGAATCTCCATTTTCATCTGAATTATCTGAACCACGTAAATCATCTCCCATTTCTCCGCGAGCTGTCGAAGCATCTTCTAAAGATGCTAGTGGACTTGACAGGTCATCTGGTCTTGCAGGATGCTTAATTGTCGATTTATCATCTCCTTCTGAAGAATGTGTGACAGCTCGTGTGCTACGATCTTCATATGATCTTGAAGTGTAACTACCGTGTCCAGCTTGATCAGTGTGAGGATGCGTAGAATCTTTGCCAGGTTTAGTATGATGTCCATCGCTGTGACCTCGTTCTTCACTCGATCTTGTTCTTGCTTCATGCGTAGCGTCTTCACTCGATCTTGTAACACCTTCCCGAGAAACATCAATACCTTTACTTGACCCAGTAACAGTATCAAGTCCGTGCGTCGAAAAGCGACGTCTTATCATACTAACCGACACTGACGGACTGTAATACATTTTGCTGGCAGATACAGTACCATGAGATATCTTGGTCACATCGCCATGATAAGCACTTGATGTTACATGTTTAGTGTCGTCAGTCTTTGTCGTAGCACCTGAGAATCGTGTTCGCCAGAAATCAGCGTTTGTTGATTTAGCACGGTTGTGTAAATCATCGTCCGTAATGTCTGTAGCGTCAGTACCGTGAGAATGTTTACTATGAGTACTGCCGTGCTCGTGTTGGTCAGTACGCTGAGTATGACCATATTCTTCAGTACTACTGTGATCTCGTCCTTCAGAATTTTCACTAGTTTCATCACTATAGTCTCCTTCATCAGTAACAGTACCATGAAACTGTGATTGTTCAGTTTGTGCTACTGTGGACGCGTCTGAAGCTATGTCGGTTTCTGTAGATCCACTGGTTACAGAGTGATCTTGTCTCGAGGTTTGTGGTGTAATTTCTTGTGAGACATACTCTGTAGAAGGCTCACTTTCGTCTACTGTAGATGTAAGGTCGATACGAGGCTTGTGGTGAAGTGAAGTAGTTTCTTCTCCGGAGAACGGTGAGTGTTCGGTACTATATAGCCCACTACTAATATATGTTGCACCGTGCTTGGTACTATGATGTCCGCTTGATTCAGTACTACCAGAAGAGTTTTCATGACTACCATCGCTTACACCATGCTTTGTACTGTGATGTTCTCCTTCTTCCGTACTACCATGTTCTCTTTCTTTCGTACTGTGACCTTCACCGCTCTCATTTGTTCTATCTTCATCACTGTCACCCACAGCTGGATGTTTTATAAATCGATGACGTCGTGAAGTATGCGCTACTGATGTTGTGCCGTATACCGGCTGTAAACTGATAGTATAAACATCTTCAGTCGTACCACCAGATGCAATTGACACTTTAGTATGCGCAGTACGAATAGGCATTGATACTGAATAGCCGCTGGTCACTTCAATCGTAGGTAACTCTGTTCTTTGACTGTTCAAGATTTCTCGGTCGATTTCGGTACTTTCGTCAGTACGATGTTTGCTAGAATGGTCACTAGTATAGCCGTCTTCACCACTTTGTGTTGTATATTGTTTTGAGTAATCTTCATTACTTGTGCCTGTACCAGTGTAGTCTTTAGAGTAGTTGTCGCCTTCTTCACTACTTCGAGTTGTATATTCTCGTGAATAATCACCGGTGTAGCCATCGGTACTATGTAGGTCTTGATCTTCCATTGAAGTTCTGCTGTAATCATCTGTGCCATGTTCGGTCGAACTTCTATCGTAATCGTCAGGGCTACTGGCATCACCAAATGCACCGTGCTTCAAGTGTTTTCTAGAACGTCCAGTTTGCTCAGTACTTTGCATGGTATGATCTTCGGTCGAACCTCTACTGTAGTCTTCGGTATTATGTTCTGCTGAGCCTCTACTGTAGTCCTCTGTACTACTGCCATCAATGATCAAAGGAATCAAAGTTTCTCCAGATTCGTAAGTAATTCCATCGCCTTCTCTTGAGACTCCTTTGCTGCTTTGACTAGTACTGTGTTCTTGACCGCTTTGGTCAGTACTATGTGTTGAGTAATCTTCGTCGCTACGACCAGTACCATGTTGAGTATGCTGTGTTGGATGGTGACCAGTATGACCGCCCTCAGTACTATGTAGGTCTTGATCTTCTATGGAAGTTCTAGTACGACGTTCATCACTTTGGTGAGTACGTTGAGTTGACATGTCTTCACTACTGTACCCACGGCCACTGTCGACATCAGGCCTACTACTGCCTGTAAAATGCTCTTCTGGTGACATTGTTGTTTCTACCGGAGCCATGGTCGTACTCTCATCTAGTTCAGAACCCAAAACCTTGCCGTACATCGTAGATAAGGTTGTTGCTGTTAATCCATCTTCATCTGGTGTAGCATCTTTGTATGGTGTTGGCTGGATTTTTACTGGATGTCTACATGGTTTGCCATTTTTAGTCTTACCATAGCTGTTTTGACTGTTTTTGCGTGACGAATAGCCTTGAGTTGAGCCATCACTATCAGTGTAGTTTGAGAAGTCATCAACTTCAAAATCATCTTCCGATTCTCCGTCATCTGTAGTGCATGGTGACGTATCTTCTTCCGTACTGCCACTTGTGAATTCAGGGATGTCAGAAGAATCTGTATGTTTTGAATAGTCTTCGGTACTATGGTCTGATCTTGAATAGTCTTCATTGCTCTGGCTAGTAGTGTATTTTGAATGATCTTCACCGCTATGTCCAGTACTATGAGAATAGTCTTCATCACTTCTACCAGTACCATGTTGAGTATGAAGTCCTTGTTCGTCTGAGCTTTGAGTATAGTCTTTGGAGTAGTTTTCATTACTTGTACCAGCACCAGTGTAATCCTTAGAGTAATTATCGCCTTCTTCACTACTTTGAGGTGTATATTGTTTTGAGTAATCATCAGTGTTGCCATGGTCGGTACTGTGTAGGTCTTGGTCTTCCATAGGGTTTTTACTGTATTCTTCAGTGCCGTGTTCTTGTGAGCTTCTACCGTAATCTTCAGTGCTACTGTCATCACCAAATGCAGCATGCTTTAAGTGTTTTCTAGAGTAGGCGTCGTGTCCCGTTTGCTCAGTACTGTGCATAGCATGACCTTCCATTGAGCCTCTACTGTAGTCTTCAGTACTACTTCCACCAATGACTAATGGTATCAAAGTCTCAACAGATTCATAGGTAACTCCTTTACCTATTGACAATCTTTCTTGACTTTCCGTACGCTTTGATGTTTCGTCATATGGCACTATAGTGTCTCCTTCGTCTGATAAGCCGTCGTCATCAATAGGGTTGGTTGTTTGGTCATCGTCCGAGCTCTGTACGGTATGATCTTCCATGGAGCCTCTACTGTAGTCATCAGTACCGTGATCAATAGGATTTCTACTGTAGTCATCAGTACTGTGCTTAATAGGGTTTCTACTGTAGTCATCAGTACTTTTACCAAAGCTGTCTTCAATAGGGTACAAAGTGCTAATGTCTTCATCAGGATGATGATGGTGTTTTGTGTGGTTGTGTTCTGCACGTCCTGTAGCACTTCCATCAGTACTATGCATTTTGTGGTCTTCCACAATGGAGCTTCTACCGTAATCTTCAGTAGTTTTGTCATCGAAAACTGGTATTGAAGAGTCTCCAGAATCCGTACTGTTGCCAGAATCTCGGCCATAATCACTCCTACGCTCTTCACTGGATTCAGTACGAGAAGTGTAGTCATGTTTAGCACTATCAGTGTAATCATCCCTCTCTCTTTCGTCTGAACTTCCATCGTCATATGGTGTAAAATCGCCACTTTCATCCGCGCCATCAATATCCAACGGATTCACGGTGTCACTTCTGTCATCGTAAGTAGTAGAACGTTCATAATCGTCCATGGAACCCCTACTGTAGTCTTCATTACTTCGAACAAAAGTATCTTCAATGGGGAATATTGTAGTAATTTCGTCTTCTGGGTGTCTATGACGTCTGGTGTAGCCTTCGTCATCAGTGTCATCGGACGTGTCATAAGGTTCGGTGTCAATTCTGGTATCTTCTGTTGTATGGCGTCTTGAATCTTGGGTACTGTCATCAGTACTCTGAAGGCTTTGGTCTTCCATGGGACTTCTGTCACGACTGTCATCTTCGGGTGTTTTGCCACGGCTATCATCTTCAGGAGATCTGTCACGGCTGTCGTCTTCTGGAGATCTGTCACGGTCGTCATCTGAAGGATAAGGTCGTCGGCCTTTGTCTGACGTTGGTAGTGGAGGCAAGAAGTCACCATCATGGTATAAACCTTCTTTTCGACGTTTTTCAGCACGTTTTGCCTCTTCCATAGAACTGGCTTTTGAACTTCTATCGTAACTCTCAGCATGGGCCTCATCTGAACTTTCACCGTATCTATTAGCATGGGATTCGTCTGAGCTTTGTCCGTACTTTTTGGCACGTTCTTCAGCTGATTGTTTACTGTGCTTGGCAGTCTTAGATCTTTCATAGCTTTCATTGTACCCTTCAGAGCGTTTTTCACTTGATCGGCTGTTATACTTGCCAGAATGGGCTTCTTCTGAACTTTCATCATATTTACTGGAACGTTCTTCAGCTGATTGTCTATCGTGCTTGCTTTGACGAGCTTCTTCTGAGTTTTCATCGTACTGTTCGGCACGTTCTACAGATGAACTTTTACCGTAACTACGATAGCTAGAGTCTCCAGAGCTAGCACCGTATATTCCTGAACGTTCCTCTGCCGATTGTCTACTGTGCTGCCTTTGACGAGCTTCTTCAGAACTTTCATCGTACTGTTCAGCACGGTCTTTGGCTGATTGTCTACTGTACGCATCAGAACGATCTTCGTCTGAGCTTTCGTACCTTTCAGCACGTTCTTCATTTGATCGACTGTTAGACTTGCCAGCACGTGCTTCTTCTGAGCTTTCATCGTACCTTGAAGCACTTTTTTCACTTGAACCTTCACTGTGCTGTCCAGACCGTTCTTTAGCTGATTTTCTGTTGTAGGCTCTGGCACGGGCCTCTGCCGAACTTTCGCCATACTCATATTCATAGCCAGAACCATATTCGTAGCCTGAACCATCTTCATAGCCTGAACCATATTCGTCATCAGAATCTGTACCATGTTTTCCATGACGTCTTCTGTGACCCTCTTTGTACCTAGAACCATATTCATAGCCAGGACCATATTCATCGTCAGAATCTGTACCGTGTTTTCCATGACGTCTTCTGTGGCCATCATCAGCACCTTGCATGTTCTTGTCTTCCATAGAGCTTGTACCATGGCCTTCAGCGCTCTCTTCCATGGCACTTTTACCGTAGCCTTCGGAACGGTCTTTAGCAGAACTCTTTTTGTAATGACTGGCACGTTCTTCAGCTGAGCTTCTTCCGTACTGGCTGGAACGGTCTTCGCCTGAGCTTCTGCCGTATTGGCTGGAGCGGTCTTCGCCTGAGCTTCTGCCGTATTGGCCGGAACGTTCTTCTTCTGAACTTTCACCGTACTTGCTGGCACGATCTTCAGCTGAGCTGTGATCGTACTTGCTAGAACGGGCTTCTTCTGAACTTTCACCGTACTTGCCGGAACGAGCTTCTTCCGAACTTTCACCGTACCTGCTGGCACGCTCTTCCGCTGAGCTTTGATCGTAATTGCCGGCACGAACTTCTTCTGAACTTGCGCCGTACCTGCTAGCACGCTCTTTAGCTGAACTTTCACCGTACCCGCTGGCACGCTCTTTATCAGATTTTCTACCGTAGCCTTCTTCACCGTCTTCTGAACCGTGTTTTGGTTTACCGTGCCCATGACCATGTTTACCGTGATGTTTCTTATCATGACCGTGCTTTTCATGCCCGTCCTTGTCATGTCCGTGTTTGCGACGGTCGTCTTTGTCACGGCCATGACCGTAATCGTCTTCATCTTCCCCGCTGAAATCTTCAGGACCTATGTCACGACCGTCTTCAGGGCTTCCGTCAGCAACTGAAGGATGTTTTCTATGGTACTTGGGTTTAGGAGATCTACCATGACCTCTATCTTCTGGGCTGATATCACGATCGTCTTCAGGATATCGATCACGGTCCCTATCTGAGGGATGTTTACGATGCTTAGAAGGTCGTCGTCTATGACCATCAGGATGTATTTCGCCTGGTTGTGGTAAAGGAGGTAGAGTATCGCCTTCTGGAGTCAAGTCACCATCGTCGTCATCGAATGGAGCCTTTGTGTCTACCTTGCCTATGTCTGTATTACCATAGTCGTTGTAGCTTTGGTCGGTACGGTGGCTTGATTGATCGTCCATTTGGTCTGTAGCGTAGCTAGAATCGTAGTCATCTTTAGCGTGGCCAGAACCTTTATTGTGATTGTTGTAGTCTTGATAAGAATCTTCGTCGTCACCTTTATCATCAGCATTGTAGCCTCGAGCTGAAGCATCTTCATCGTCACTTCTTTCCGTACGATAACTTGAAGCATCTGTACTGTAGCTTGAACCGTATGAATCATCATCATCGTCATCATTTCTATCAGGGTCAAACAATGGATTCCGACGATCATCAAAGCCAGAATCCTTGTTACGGTGACTCTTTGCATTCAAATCGTCGGCCATTTCTGTGGATTCAGAAGTCGCTGTAGTCGAATCTGTACCATATGAAGAGTCAGAAGTCTCGTACATGTCTTCTCCTCCGGTAACTTCAGAAGAGGCTTCTGAAGAAGTGAAGACTTCAGTAGAACCCATGCTTGTTGAGGTACCACTAGTACCCATTGAAGTGTCATAATCATTGTCTTCTCGGAGCTCTGGATGATTTTTTAGAGCACAATTGGCGTACGATGAGTTACGAGTAAAAACGTGTTCGCAGAGAACAAAACACTGGTACTTTTCTTCTTCATCACAGCGAGGGGATCGGCACTGAAATTTGAGATTTTAAAAAATTTTGAAAATTTAAAATTAAAAAAAAATAGTTTTATATGTACCTAAAATAACAATAACTTTCTCTACAGAGCGATAAATGGCCAAACGTAAAATGACAAGAACTTTGTTTACAAAGCAAAAAATGACAAGAACTTTCTTTACAAGCCCAAGATAGCAAAAACTTTCTTTCCAAAACTTAAAATGGCAAAAACTTTGTTTATAAAATAAAAAATTACAAGAATTTTCTTTACAGGACAATAAATAGTAAAAACTTTCTTTACAAAACCTAAAATGAACGAAACTTTTGTTTTTAAATACAGTAACCCTTGCGACAAAAAAATAAAATTTGGAAAGAACTACAATTAAAAAACGGTAAAAGAGCCTTAATTTCAAATAAAAATCAATAAAAATATCAAAGGTCAATTTTAAATAAAAATGAACTTTATATCAAAAAAATTTTAAAATACAGTATCCACTTACCACATGACCTCTACCATACACCCTAGCGCATTTCTCGTCGTCACAAACGCACGTCACTCCCACCTTACACTCTCTGGGGTGATGACCGTGCTTCTTGGCACCAACCGTACCACTCGTCCATAGTACTACCGTAGCGAGCGCGAATAGCCCGCCGAATAACCGCATTGTGGGCGCAAATGAAAGCGAAATAGTGTTTATTATCAATTGCTTAAATGGCCCATTACATTACTTTTTTCAGTGGCTTTTTATGTGATCATAAATTTAAATGAACACTTTGAATTATCTCTTCGCGAATGACAATAATATGTTAACTAATTTCGATTTATATTCAATATGGTTAGAGGTAATTGCCATTTTATGAATATGCTAATTCCGTCTGTCAAAGATTACATGGTTTTTCGGGTAAAGAAAGTTCTTACCGTTTTATAGGTCGTAAACAAAGTTTTTGCAATTTTTTTTTTGTAAAGAAAGTTCTTGCCGTTTTTGTTTTGTAAAGAAACGTTTTGCCGTTTTTGTCTTGTAAAAAAGTTCTTCTCATTTTTGGATTTACAAAGAAAGTTTTTGTCATTTTTCGTTTTGTAAAGGAAGTTCTTGCCATATCTTATTTTGTGAAGAAATTTTTAGCCGTTTTTATAATTTGTAAAGAAAGTTTTTGCATTTTTAGAAAATCCATATCATTTTTTGTTTTGGAAAGGAAGTTCTTGTCATTTTTTGTTTTGTAAAGAAAGTTCTTGCCGTTTTTCAGCACAAAACTTACATTTCAATCTATTTTTATCCTAACAATAAAAAATTCCTATTGCACCGTGCAACAAGTTTTATTTTTTTTACCGTGGTTTTTGTGAAATGTTTTAGGTAACAAATATGGTTCTACGTTTTAGCCTAGACTAATAAAAAGCTATTTAAAAAGTTTTTCCGTTGATTGCTTCAAAAATAATGGCACAATAATTTTTAATAAATGACTGCTGCTAACTAAAATGTTTTGCACTGTGCAGAAAAATAAAAATTTTGAGCTTTTTTGGTTTGTAAGGAAAGTTCTTGACGTTATTTGTGTTGTAAAGAAAGTTCTTGCCATTTTCCATTTCGTAAAGAAAGTTTTTGCTATTTTAACATCTGTTTCTGCTATCTACGGTAAAGTGCAGGCAGTTCGTGTGATTAAAATGACAAATTTTTCGTGCATAAATTAAACAAACAGCTAAAACGACGTAGACTTGGTGAAGTATTTGAATTTTTTGGTTTTTTGTGTTTTTTAAATTGTTTTACATTAAAAATTGATTTTTGTTCTTGACGTTTTCTTTTGTTGCGACAAGGAAGTTCTTGCCATTTTTTGAATTGTAAAGAAAGTTCTTGCCATTTATTGTTTTGTAAAGAAAGTTCTTGCCATTTATTGTTTTGTAAAGAAAGTTCTTGCCATTTATTGTTTTGCAAAGAATGTTCTTGCTATTTATCAACTTGTAAAGAAAGTTCTTGCGATTGTTTTATTTTGTAAGTTTGTAAAGAAAGGTCATGCCATTCCCAACCAACTACAAGTTAATTGTTGTTTTATCCCGTCTCCAAATGACTTGTTTGTGTTTTTTAAACTTTGACACTTCCAGTTTTTCGCTCGAAATCCAGTTTCAAATCCAAATTAGTTTTCATTTTTTCACTTTCTGTTCGCCTTGTTTCCGGATTAAACGTCTTTCTGTCGATAATTTTAGACGCACAGTTCGGTAAATTGGGTAGGGTAGGGATTTGAAAACATTTTTTTTTGAAATTTACAGTTTGTTTTTGTATTTTAAATTGATTGAATTTTGCTATACCAGGTGTTTTTTAATTTTTTGGGCAAAAAATCTAGCTTTTTTTGTAAATTGAAGGGTTTAGGCTTATAGTAAAAACAGGCTAGGGTAAAGACGGAAGCGATAGTAACTCAAAAGTAAAGAAAGTAAGATAGGGTGGGGTGGGGTAAAGTAGAGTAGAGTAGAATAGGGTGGGGTAGGGTAAAGTAGGGTAGGGTAAGGTGGAGTAGGGTAGGTTAAATTAGGGTAGGATCAAGTAGGGTACTTTAGGGTAGAGTAAGGCATGGGATGGACAAAAAAGAGGCATGAGAACATAAAGGTCACAGTGTCAAGGTAGGGTAAATTTAAAATAAGGTAAAGGTAAGGTTGAGTTAAGCTAGGCTTATTCTACATTCAGTTTTAGGTAGGGTAGGGAAAGGTGTGGAAAAAGCAAGGGTTAAGGATCTTTGTAGAGATAGGGGGAGGTAAAGGTTAGGCTACACTTATGACTTTGATTAGGCGAGGTTAGGGAAGGGCAGTATAGCCTAAACTAGGGGTTGGGTCAGGTAAACTGAACTAGGGTATGGTAGTGTAGGGTAGGGTAGGGTAGGGTAGGGTAGGGTGGGGTAGGGTAGGGTAGGGTAGGGTAGGGTAGGGTAGGGTAGGGTAGGGTAAGGTAGGGTAGGGTAGGGTAAGGTAGGGTAGGGTAGGGTAGGGTAGGGTAGGGTAGGATATGGTACGGTAGGGTAGGATAGGGTACGGTAGGGTAGGGTAGCGTTGGGTAGTGTAGGTAACATAATGTAGAGTACAGTAGAATTAGATTGGATAAAGTACGGGTCGAAACTCTAGTGTTTTCTAAAAACATTTTGTAATAGTTTTGTTCATGTAGGCTATTATATGTTGTGACGAGAACGATTTCTCTTCATTCTCTGTGGGAGATGTTCCAAATCAAATTTTGACTCTTTACTTTTTATAGCTTTTGTAAACTCGGAAAATAGAAGTGCTTACAAATTGGAAGGTTAAAATTTGTGTTCTCTGATTGAAATGTTATTGTTTTGTCTATTTTTAATGTCATAACGACTTCTTTTATATAAGTTTCTTTATTTTGCTTTACCTCACTCTACTTTCACTGTCGCACTCTATCCTACCTTACTTTACCGTACTCTACCTTACTCTATTATTGTTTAATTTATCTTTCTCTACCCTATCCTAACTTACTCTGCTCTATCTTACCCTACTTTGCTTTACTCTACCTTTCTTTATCCTACTCTATCCTGCTTTACTCTACCCTACTTTAACCTACCCTACCTTATGCTACCCTTCCTTACGCTGCCTTAAGTTACTCTGTTTTGTCCTTACATATCCTACACTGCCTTGCTCTATCCAAGCACACTCTGCTCTACTATACCCTCTATAACCTACTTTACTCTTGGGTTACTCTTGTCTCCGCCTTTACTTTAGCCTTGTCTGGCTTTACCCTACAGTACCTTATCTTACTTTAGGACTACGTGTGGCCTTGTTCTAGGCATTTTACCTTCATTTTAGACTATTTAGATATGATTATTCAAATTTTCACCTTTTCTAGTTCTTATCAACAGTATGAAGTACCAGCTCATCTTCACCTTCTTATTCCTCATTGCTATGGTACTATCAGTACCAGTAAAGGAGTCCAAAAAGCCGGCGTTCGTTGGATACTGTAACAAAGACAAGGACTGCGAGAAGGAATGTCAAGACTTTTGTGGGTTGATCCATAATGCTGATTGTAACAAGTATCAATGTGCTGGCAAACGATGCTATCAGACGTGTGTCAAACGGACTGAAAAATAATTTAAATTTTTGAAAATATGTTTGAAATTAGGTAAAATACGAACTTCTTAATTGTGGTTTTGTTTGAAACGAAATTTTGTTGATATTAAGGTTTTTTGAAAGTGGAAGTTGGGTGGAAGATTTTCAGTGCAAATTACACTAAAAATCTTCCACATAATTTCCACTTTTAAAAAGTGTGAAAAACTTGTTTTTAGGCTATTTTAAGCTTTTTTAAAAATAAAAGTTGAGTGGAAGATTTTCAGTGCAAATTACACTAAAAATATTCCAACTAACTTCCACTTTTTAAAATAGGAATTTTTGATTTTGATAAAAAAAAAGAATCTTGCCAATAATCTAAAAACAACTTTTTTTTGTAAAATACGGCGTTCTTACGGCTGTATGCATCATATTTTTTTGTTAATAAATAATAAACGAATCGATTTGTAAAGAAAGTTTTTGTCATTTTTTTGTTTGTGAAGAATTTTATAGGCACTTTTTTGTATTGTAAAAGGAGTTTTAACATCATTTTTTATTAATTAAACCATTTTTTTGGATTTTTAAGAAAATGGAAGCTGAGTGGAAGAATTTCAGTGCAAATTACACTAAAAATCTTCCACTCAACTTCCATTTTTTAAAAAGTGTCAAAAACTCGTTTTGAGACTATCTTAAGACTTTTTTAAAAATGGAAGTAGGGTGGAACATTTTCAGTGTAAATTGCATTATAAATCTTCCACTCAACTTTCACTTCAATAATGTCCTGTTTTTTGAGTTGTAAAGAAAGTTTTTGCTCTTATATTTTATGTAAAGCTAGTTTTTGCCACTCTTGAACTTGTAAAGAAAGTTCTTGCCACTCTTGGACTTGTAAAGAAAGTTCTTGCCAGTTTTTGGTTTGTAAAGAAAGTTTCTGCCATTTTACGTTACCTAAACTTAGCTTTTTTTACATTTTTATAGATTACAAAACCAAAATCTCAATAGGCTAAAGTAATATGTAACCAGAAATCTGTCGGCTCATTTTTAACACATTTTTGGTTCATTTGTCAGGGTTCAAAGCCCTTGAGGGATAACCAAGTTATCCATGTTCGTTTTAACAAAATATTCGAATATTCTTAAGGACTGTGCACTTTGAAGTGTTTTGGCATTTCTAAAGTATATTTTCGAATAAAAGGCTATAGGGTACTGTATTTCATTGTAAGGTAAGGTATGATTGAGTAGGACAGGGTACGGTAGAGTAGGGCAGGGCACGGTAGAGTAGGGCAGGGTAGGATATTGTAAAGTAGGGTAAAGTAGGAAACATACAAGGATGATATTTGGCTTAGATAGCTGTGGCCTAACGGTTTTATTGGATTAGTCATAAGCAGGGCCGGGCGGGTTCTCTCCTTTCCCCCCCCCCACCCCCCCCCCTCCCCCGGTCTACACCCCCTCTCCTAGCGTCCGGCCCTGGTTATAAGATCAGGCTTTGTTTAACGTAAGCTTGACATAGGTTTTGGTTTATGTTTAGGCTTAAAATTAGGCTTATACTTAGGCTCATGCTTAGGATGTGGCTCAGTCGTGTGCATAAGCTTAGGCTTAGTCTCAGTATTAGACCTAGGCTTTCTCTTACGAGTGATGATCAGGCTTGAGCATAAGCTGAGTATTACGCTTTGTTTGAGGCGTAGGCTAAAGAGTACATAGATGCTTATTTTTAGACCTGGGCTTAATTTTATGAATAAATTTTAAAAATTCACAAAGTTTAAAAAGCCATAAAGCCGTTGAGATGTTTCTAAATTTATTCCAAAACTTCTTAAACTTTGTTATCCCAAAAGGACAGGCGGAAGAACAAAAGTCGAAAGGGCTCTTTGTTAAGAAAATGTTTTATGTTTTGTTGTAACACGGTATATTCAATATGAACCTACAAAGATAGTAAGCTTAAGCTTTGTGGGTTTAAGATCAGTAGGTTTAGGCTTAGTAGGCTTAGGCTTAGTAGGCTTAGGCTTAGTAGGCTTAGGCTTAGTAGGCTTAGGCTTAGGAGGCTTAGGCTTAGTAGGCCTAGGCTTAGTAGGCTTAGGCTTAGGCTTAGAATGCTTAGGCTTAGTAGGCTTAGGCTTACTATGCTTAAGCTTAGTAGGCGTAGGCTTAGTAGGCTTAGGCCTTGTAGACTTGGGCTTTGCAACCCTCAAAAGCAGTGTCAACATTAAGTAAACGTAGGCTTATAAGACTTAGATTTAGATAGCTATGCTTAGTACGCTTAGGTTTATAAATCTAAGGATTAGTAGTTTTAGTTATTTTAGGCCTAGATTTAAGTTACGGCTTAGGAAATGGCTAGAAGCCGAACAACAAAGCGCAATACCTCGGTGTAATTTGGAGCAAGATCCCAACACTCGCAGTCATTTGTTGGGTCGTTTTACATCGAGGCAAATATTACAAAATTAAAAAATATTACATAAGAAAACGTTGCGTAATACCATTTCTTGTAATTTCTCTAAGGCTATCTTGTTTTATCATTCATATTAGGTAACAGCGTACAAATTTCCAGTGATCGCTTTTGATAGGGATTTTGAAAACGTAATCAGTGTTGTAAAGACAAGTATAGTACGAAAACTGATTTAGTACACGTATGCTTAAGATTAGATTTAAGTGTAGGCTTGAAATTAGAGTTAGACTTAGGCTTAGGCTTAGGCTTAGACTTAGGCTTAGGCTTAATCTTAGGCTTATGCATAGGCTTAGACTTAAGTTTAGGCTTAGGCTAGGCTTAGAATTGGGCTTAACACTTGGCTTGAAGTTAGGCTTCACCTAAGGATTAACTTCTTTTTTTTATACTAATTTAAACTAGGGGTTGGTTTAGTAGGCTCACGTATTGTAGAATTCTTCTTGACTTTAAGTTATGTTAGCTAAGTAAATCTGATTATTTTTTTGACATTTTTCGTTGGAGTAATTGTAAATTTGTATGTTTTTATTTTTTTATTTTTTTCTAATGACCTTTTTACACATTTCTTCTCTTAACCATGCTATTGCTATAAAACCACATGTTTCGAGAATCAAAATATGAACTTTAATTTGTTATATGTCATCACCTTTCGTCTATAACAATATAAAGGTGGGTCCAGACGAAACCATCACATGTTTTTTCGAAATTTCATTTTATTTCAATTTTGTGAAAACACTTTCAAATCAGTTTTATTCGGAGAAAAAGCGATAAAACTTATGCGTCAGATACTTTTCCGCAAACTTTACATTATTTTAGGTCATCAAAAACTGCTTAAGGAGAAATTTGGGTGAACGCGTGCGGTTAGTAGAATAAAACACCCTCTACGGGTTTTTACTTTTCCCTTTGTTTTTGTTTACTTTTCGCGAAAAACCGTGTGGCTAGCCAAAATTGAATTCGGCACTGTTTTTTAGGGTTAATTTCGGCCCTAAGGGGTTTAGTTTTGTTTTGCGGCGAGGAAATGAACTGAATGAAGGTGGGAAGGAGGTTTTGGTATGTAATCTTGGGTTTTGGAGAGAAAAGGTTTAAAAATTTTAAATTTTTTTGTATTTTTAGGCTTTGTTGGATTAGGTAGTTGAATCACGTTTTGGAGGTATAGGTAGAGTTAGGCTTGACGGGCTTGATAGGCTTAGACTTAGGCTTAGTAGTCTTAGGATTAGTATGCTTAGGCTTAGTAGGCTTAGGCTTAGTAGGCTTAGGCTTAGTAGGCTTAGACTTAGTAGGCTTAGACTTAGTAGGCTTAGGTTTAGTAGGCTTAGGCTTAGTAGGCTTAGGCTTAGTAGGCTTAGGCTTAGTAGGCTTAGGCTTAGTAGGCATAGGCTTAGTAGGCTTAGGCTTAGTAGGCTTAGGCTTAGTAGGCTTAGGCTTAGTAGGCTTAGGCTTAGTAGGCTTAGGCTTAGTAGGCTTAGGCTTAGTAGGCTTAGGCTTAGTAGGCTTAGGCTTAGTAGGCTTAGGCTTAGTAGGCTTAGGCTTAGTAGGCTTAGGCTTAGTAGGCTTAGGCTTAGTAGGCTTAGGCTTAGTAGGCTTAGGCTTAGTAGGCTTAGGCTTAGTAGGCTTAGGCTTAGTAGGCTTAGGCTTAGTAGGCTTAGGCTTAGTAGGCTTAGGCTTAGTAGGCTTAGGCTTAGTAGGCTTCCTTAGAAGACCTGAAGTTAATAAAGTTGGGTTTGATAAGTTGAGGCTTATTAGGCTTTTCCTTATCAGTATTATCTTTTGTATGCTTAGGCTTAGACTCATTAGGATTTTTAATTAAAAACCAGCTGACGATTAGAACCTAAAAAAATTTTTTTTCATTAGCTACTTTAATTTAATTGTGGTTTACAGGCTGATCTATTATGCATAATTTTAAAAAATGACTTTTTACCGTTTTTCAGCCAATTTTTTGCACTTTTTGTCTTAATTTTGCTTGTTTTTGCCACGAAATTGCTTTAATTTTTGTTTTTTTTCACGTTTTTTAGCAAGAAAAGATATTATTTTTTAATTTCATATGTTTCTTCAAATATAATGCTAATCATTTTTTATCAAAATTTTATCAAAAACGATTAAAAACTGGCCGAAAAACATTATTTTCCCACTCATTTTCTGCCCTTTCCTTGCCCGAAAGAAAAGACGAGAGAAACGAAGAGCCGCACCGCAAAGCCCGCTGTAGTTCAGTGGTGAAAGGCGCTCGTTTTTTAGGCGCGTGGGCTCGCGGGTTCGAGTCCGGCTGGGTGATTACAAATAGTTATCCCTGTCTTACAGAAGATAATGGTGACAATTAGTGTGGTACGAATGACAGCTTTTGCTTTTTTGACTTTAAATTATATATTTTTTAATTCTGCTCAACTTATTTTACTGTCATTTTATTGCTTGAAATGGCAATTTTTCGACTATAATAAGGTTTTTTCAGAAAATGATCTCAAATTCCATTGTCAGTGCCATTCTTTTTTTGTTCTGCCTTTTAATACAGTATACCAAAGCTACATTAATTTCGTGTTATGCAAAGTAAGTCTAGATTTTCATTCTTATCCATTTTTAATTTAGAAATTTTAAGAAATGGCATGTTATGAAAAGTGGAAGTTGAGTGGAAGATTTGTAATGTAATTTGCACTGAAAATCTTCCACCCAGCTTTTATTTTTAAAAAATCATAAAATGGTCTAAAAATCATTAAAATTGACAAAAACTTTCTTTACAAAACATAAAATGGCAAAAACTTTCTTTACGAACCAAAAAATGGCAAGAACTTTCTTTACAAATCATAAAATGGCAAAAACTTTCTTTACAAACCAAAAACTGACGAAAATCTTTTCAGACATATGAATCCACGGCCAGAAATGATCGACCCATACTTGTGTACCCATATTTTACTGATTGGTAGTACCAACTTTGGAGGGGATGGTCCAACTTTTCCTCCAATCGAAGAAATTCGAAGGTATAATAAGTTGAAAACAGTCAATCATCGACTAAAAGTGCTGATCTCATTGACTCCCAACAATCCTGCCATGACTGCTGTGGTATGGTTTTTTCTAAAATTTTTAAAAATTTTGAAATTTAAAAACTTTTTTTAAATTTAAATTTAAAAAAATCGGTAAGAAATGCCATTTTTTGGTATTTTTCATTATAAAATACGATTTTTTTATTAAAATGGCAAAAATTTTCTTTACAAAACAAAAAAAAGAATTTATCGTATAACATTTCACCCGCAGGCTGCGAGCCCCAAAAGTTACAATTGTGGTACTAAAATGGCAAGAATTTTCCTTACAGCACAAAAAATGGCAAAAACTTTCTTTACAGGTCACGAAATGCCAAGAACTCTCTTTACAAACCTTAAAATGACAAGAACTTTCTTTACAAATCAAGAAAATGCAATAACTTTCTTTACAGTTCAAAAAATTGCAAAAACTTTCTTTACAAAAAAAATTTTTTTATTTGTAAAATACAGATGTAAATTGGCATTTAAAACATGATTTTAGACCTCAAACGAGATCCAATTGGCCCAATACGTCGCCCAAGTCAAGGACTACCTATTGGCCAACGACGTAGATGGATTTGATATCGACTGGGAGTTCCCGGTCTTCAGTCCGGACGCCAAACCATCGGACAGAGATGGATTCAGCTTGTTATTGAAGGTAAAATACGGTATCATGCGTTGTCGTAGGGGTAGATTTTTGAGGTAGGGGTAGATTTTTGAGGTCGGGGTAGATTTTTGAGGTAGGGGCAGATTTTTGAGGTAGGGGTAGATTTTTGAGGGTGGGGGTAAATTTTTTGAAATAGGGGTAGGTTTTTGAAGTAGGGGTAGATTTTCGAGGTGGGGGTAGATTTTTGAGGAAGGGGTAGACTTTCGAGGTCGGGGTAGATTTTTGAGATAAGGGGTAGATCTTAAATTTAAAAAAAATTCCAAATTTAAAAAAATTTTCATTTTCAGGCCCTCAGAGAAGAGTTCGACAAAACCGGTCAAAAGCTCATACTATCGGTAGCACTAGGGGCTCCATATACAGTACTAGAGAGGTCATACGATATCAATGCACTAAACCTCTACGTTGATCTAGTCCAGATAATGAACTACGATTATCACATCTACAACCCTGTGACAACACCGTTTGTTGGATTCAATGCTCCGTTGAGGAAACTGCCATATGAAATCTTCTTACTCGACCGGTTGAATTCGGTAGGTGTGAAATTTGGGTGAAAATCGGGGCTAGATTTACAAAAATTGGGGTTATGCAGCCTGCGGAGAACATCTTATACGAAGGGTTGCGAAATGGTTAAAAATTGAGGTTGTAAAGAAAGTTCTTGTCATTTTTTGTTTTGCAAAGAAAGTTACTGCCATTTCATGATTTGGAAAGAAAGTTCTTGCCAAATTTTGTTTTGTAAAGAAAGTTCTTGCCATTTTTGTTTTGTAAAGAAAGTTCTTGCCATTTTTTGTTTTGTAAAGAAAGCTCTTGGCATTTTAAGCTCTGTAAAGAAAGTTCTTGCCATTTCAGGAATACTCAACCCAGAACTACTTGAACAAAGGCCTCGACCGAAATAAGCTAATTTTCGGCATTCCAACCTATGGTCGAGGCTTTAAACTGCTCACAGAACTGCTCCACTTCCCTTATTCACCAGCAGTTGGAGTCTCTGCGCTTGGTGAATATATTCCTTATCGACGGGTAAGTTAACACAAATTTTTTTTATTTTGGAAAGAAAGTTCTTGCCATTTTTTGGTTTGTAAAGAAAGTTTGTGCCATTTTAAGATTTGTAAAGAAAGTTCTTGCCATATTAAGATTTGTAAAGAAAGTTCTTGCCATTTTAGGCTTTGTAAAGAAAGTTCGCTACCTAAACCTTCATTTTCAGTCCTGTAAATATCAACTTTCGAACCAATTCAGCTATGTCTGGGAGGATGGAGCCGCTTCCCCATACCTATATCAAGGCCGGGAGTGGCTGAGCGTTGAAGACGAGCGTAGCGTCCGTCTGAAGGCCGAATTCGCCCGAGATCTTGGCGTAGCTGGCGTCATGATCTTCGCCATCGATTCAGACGACTACGATGCCAAATGCTCAAATAAAACATTTCCACTGATTAAATCAATCCGAAGTGTCTTCAAAACCGACGAAGAAGTCGAAAAAATGCGTGTTGAGGACACGAAATTCGACCGGAACGATGTCATTTTGGACAAAATGGAGAAATTCGAAGTCGACATTCTAAAGGAAAGCCCAGTCACTGTATTGGCTACAAAAGAAAAGGCAAAAGAAGCCGCGAAACTTCCAGAAGATTCGATTGTTAACGATGTTCACGTTCAAAAACACGTCGAAATTGACACTAATTACCCAACAGCTCTTGGAAATGACAACAAACTGGGACAAGATGGTACGAAAAAGAATCCTCAGAATCTCGGAAACCTTTTGGATACTATCATTGGCTTCAAACTAGACGATAAAGATCCAGAATCCAAAGTAGAAACCGACCAGATCAGATCTAACGTTACTTCCAAACAAACTGCCAAAACTAATTCAAATGAAAACCTAAATGAAGTTAATGTAGCTTCAAAAGAAGCCCAAGATCACAATCAACATCTGAAGACCAATATCCAAACACCTGTCCACCATCACCACCAAAAACGACCCAAAGTATCCGACACGGTATCCTCGATTCTGGCCAAACAAAAAGAGGCCAATAACTTCGATGTGGTTGAATTTAAAAAGTTGAGGAAGCGTAGACGACGACATAACAAAAAGTGGCGAGATCACTTCATTGTTGTTGGTTAATCACTTTGACATTCATCTACCTTCATGTATTTATATTATCTATGACATTTGCGCAAATTTTTATATGAAACTAATAATAAAATAGCTTTAAACGTGTTAATTTGTATATAGAGTTTTTTGATTGACATAAACATTGTGTTTTAAATGTGTATTTCTAAGTTTTATAAGTAGTATGAACGTATTTTCCCTTGAAAAGTGTCGATTTTCAACCCACAAAGGCTTTAAATAGCAGCCTATGACAAGATAAAACACCTATTAACATTATGCTAACCCAAACGTACTTTTACCGTACGCAGATAACTTTACTTTGCCTAAAGACTTGGCCAGTTTAGCTTTTTGCTCGTCAAAAAGAAAAGATTTGTTTACGGGTCAATAGTTGAAGCCCGCCTCATCGGAAAATCGAAAATTTTTATCGAAAAACCTTCTCTTCCACATAACTCTTGGTCATTTTAGCAAGAGTAAACCTTCCTTTCAAGGTTATTATGGTCATTTTTCGTATCTTTAAGCTCATTTTTAAGTTTTATCTTGTTGTAGACATCTGGTAGCTAAATTTTAATCATTTTTATATAAATCAATGGTTTTTAAGATAGAATTAAAAGTTAATGTTGAATAAGTTGGGGAAGGACGTATTTTATTGATACGGAATTTTATACATAGTTTTTTGCTTGTTTTTATGTAAAAATTGGCTTTTTTGGACGATTTTACGGCTCCGAGATGTCATAGTTAATATTATAATTAATGTTTGACGACTTGTAATTTATAGGTCCAGATCTTACAAAATGACGGACTCAAAGTATTTTACAACAACCAAGAAAGGTAATCCATAATGCTTTGAAATATAATTAAAAAATATATTATTTTAGGTGAGATCTTCGAGCTCAAGAACGAGTTGAATTCCGAGAAGAAGGAGAAGAAACGTGAAGCTGTAAAGAAGGTTATAGCTAGTATGACAGTTGGCAAAGATGTTAGGTAAGTTTTGACAGTGTTTTTAATTGTTTTTGGCTTTTAGTGCTCTTTTTGCGGACGTGGTCAACTGCATGCAGACAGATAATGTTGAATTGAAGAAGTTGGTGTACTTGTACTTGATGAACTATGCCAAAAGTCAGCCAGACTTGGCCATTATGGCTGTTAATACTTTCGTCAAGGTAGGGAAAGGCAATTTTGTTTGTGAATGGTGTTATGGGGAAAAAACGGATGTTATAGTAGAGGTTAATAAAAGTTTTTGGAGTTTTTAAAAATTTAGATGTTTTTGACGAAGGTTAGATGAATCGTTGAATTTTTTGGTTAAATAAGTTTATAATAATGCTGTTTTTACTTGTTTTAGGTAACAAATTTTTGCAATTTATTAATTTTGTCTCATTTCATATTACCCATCACATTTCAGGACTGCGAAGATCCAAACCCTTTGATCAGAGCTTTGGCAGTCCGCACAATGGGTTGTATTCGAGTAGACAAGATCACAGAATACCTTTGTGAACCTCTACGCAAATGTATGAAGGACGAGGATCCATATGTAAGAAAGACGGCAGCAGTTTGTGTGGCCAAGCTGCACGATATTAACCCTCAACTGGTTGAAGAACAAGGTTTTGTCGAACTGTTGACTGAGTTACTCAGCGATGCCAACCCAATGGTTGTTGCAAACGCTGTAGCAGCTATTTCGGAGATTAACGAGACTCATCCGCTTATTGAGATCAACGGTAGCACGGTTAACAAGTTGCTGACAGCTTTGAATGAATGTACTGAATGGGGACAAGTGTTTATCTTGGACGCTTTGGCTAATTACCAACCGAAAGATGAACGAGAAGCTCAAAAGTAAGAAATTTTTGTTAGTTTTTGTGTTTTTAGGTATCAACTGGCGTCAGGAGTTGGTGAATTATGTTATACTTGACATCAATTAGTGTATATTGTTTAAAGATCACTATAACTATGTTGTTTTAGCATCTGTGAACGTATAACTCCACGATTAGCTCACGCAAACGCTGCTGTTGTTTTGTCGACGGTTAAAGTGCTGATGAAGTTGATGCAGTTGTTGCCAGAGAACGGAGACTTTATTCAACAGCTGAACAAGAAGTTGGCTCCACCAATGGTCACATTGTTGTCCGCTGAACCTGAAATTCAATATGTGGCGTTAAGAAACATCAATTTAATTGTGCAAAAGAGGTAAGGAAGATTTCTTAAGTTGGTGTTGAGATATGAGAGTTTTATGATATTATTCATGATATATAATTTTTGTGATTTTTGAGGGATAATTGATTTTACTCGAAGTTTTTGGAGATTCCTTGGATGTTAACATGATATTTAGATAAAGTGCGATGTTGTAGTTAATATAAACTTATATTTGCAGACCAGACATCCTGAAGCAAGAAATGAAAGTCTTTTTCGTCAAGTACAACGACCCAATCTACGTTAAAATGGAAAAATTGGACATTATGATCCGTTTGGCTCAAGCAAACAACATCTCCCAAGTACTGTCCGAACTCAAAGAGTACGCGGCCGAAGTTGATGTAGATTTCGTACGAAAAGCGGTCCGAGCTATCGGCCGATGCGCCATCAAGATCGAACAATCTGCCGAGCGATGTGTTACCACTTTGCTGGAGCTAATCCAAACCAAAGTCAACTACGTTGTTCAAGAAGCGGTTGTCGTTATCAAGGACATCTTCAGAAAGTACCCTAACAAGTACGAAGCCATCATCTCTACCTTATGTGAGAATCTGGACACTTTGGACGAGCCGGAAGCTCGTGCTTCAATGATCTGGATCATTGGTGAATATGCGGAGCGAATCGACAATGCCGACGAGCTTCTGGAGTCATTCGTCGACGGATTCCACGACGAAAACACCCAAGTCCAGCTGCAGCTTCTAACCGCCGTGGTTAAGTTGTTCCTGAAGAGACCATCTAATACTCAACAGCTTGTCCAACGTGTTCTACAGCTGGCTACACAAGAATCCGACAACCCAGACCTAAGGGACCGAGGCTACATTTACTGGAGATTGCTTTCGGCTGATCCACAAGCGGCCAAAGAAGTTGTTTTGGCTGAAAAACCATTGATCAGCGAAGAAACTGACCTTCTGGAGCCATCTTTGTTAAGCAAGTTGGTCTGTCATATTGGAAGTTTGGCTTCGGTTTATCATAAACCACCACATTCTTTTATCGACCCCTCCAAACATAGTCTGGGATTGGCTAACAGCTCTAGCAAGTAGGTTTTTAATTGTTTTTTTGAAACTAGGTAATATTTCGTTGAATTTTGAGGTTTTTAGGCAATATTTTGGTGAGTTTTGGGGGTTTTTAAGTAATATATGGACTAATTTTGAGTTTTTAGGTAATACGTGGTTGTTTTTTTAAATTTTTGGGTAATATTTGAATAAAAACTACTAAAAACGACATTTTAGTGACGATTCCGCTTCCGGAATCAACATCTCAGCTGGCTCCAACGGCGGCATTCTCAACACCCAGCCCACCGTAATCCCAGCCCAAGCTTCAATCGTAGCCGATCTCCTCGAACTAGACTTTGGCGGCCCAGCAGCACCACCAGCTCCAGCTGCCCCAGCCCAAAACGCACCAGTCGATTTACTGTTTGGAGACGCCCCATCAGCAACAGCCACTTCCACTGGCCTCGGATTGGACGATCTTGGCCTAGGATTGGGTGGCTTGAACCTGGGTGGTACTACTCCAGCTGTACCAACTGTACCAGCGGTTTCAAGCAGTACTCCCGTTAATACTGGAGCCGACTTGTTTGGACTAACCTTGGGCAGCGAATCGACTGGTAGTGGATGTTATGTACCACCGAAATGGGTAGGGACTGGACTTTGAAAAATTTTGAAATTAAAAAAAATTAAATTTTGAAAAAAAATTCAATTTTCAGACCTGGCTCGACGCCACAAAGGGCAAAGGCCTTGAGATTCAGGGAACGTTCGCACGTCGGAACGGTATAATCCAAATGGAAATGACCTTCACCAACAAAGCCATGCAGCCATTGTCGGACTTTGCCATCCAGTTCAACACCAACTCATTTGGACTCACCCCCTCGTCCCCAGTCCAGCTGAGAATGTTGTCGCCAAACGAAAGCTCCGAAGTCATTGTAACGTGCGCTACGACCGGTGGCGTCGCCAAAATGGAGCCATTGACCAATTTGCAGGTATCGGTTTGGTTTTTTTTTGGCTGTTTTTTGAAGTTTAGGTCTTAAAAATGAGGTTTTTATGGTTTATTAAGGTCGAAAAGGATGAACAGTTTTGTTTTAGTCGTTTTTAGACAACTTTTAGGTAACAAAAAGCTTAAAAATGCGAAGTAATTGCTAAAGTTTGAAATAAAGTGACTAAAAATCGCGGAAAACGCGAGGTATTTAAGGTTTTATATCTGTTTTAATCAAAATTTTATGTTTTCTAATACAGGTAAGCCAATTTTACTTTGTGCGCGTCGTGATTTAGGTTAAAGTTTAGCTATTACGGCAGGAATTATGATGAACATTGAATTATGATGACCTACATCGTCTTCAAAGAGCGTTATAAGCTTCTTCAAAGAGCGTTATAAGCTTTTGAACGAGGATGCAGAAGTCATCTTGAAAAAACGCTCTACAATTCATTTTGAAAGAGCTTTAGAAGCCAGTGTACCATTTTGAAAGACACTTCAGAAGTCACTACGAAGCCATGTAAGCCAGTATCATCAAGATATAGTTTAATTACTTATTGAAAAACAATTTTAGGTGGATCAATATGAACGACAGGTTTGTGATTTTAAAAAATTTAGATCAATTTTAGCTCAAAAGTACAGAAAAACGCAATCAATGTTATGATAAAACACTAGAAGGGTCTTTTTCAATTATCGACGATTTTATGGCGCTAAACAAACCATCCATCATTTTACTGTCCACGGCACAGGTCATTCTGAAAAGTTTGGACTTTGAATGGTGGAGGAGATAAAATTATTCATTGGGCAGAACTAGTACAGACGTATTTTACATTGGACATGGCTTACAAACAAGAAAAAAACGGTCAAATGAATAAAAAAAATGTGTTTATCATTAGTTGAGGTTATTCTCATTTAAAACGACGTAAATAAGAATGATCTTAACAAATGGCACAGACGATCCCGGCCAACCACAAATATTAACCTACCTTGTATCCGTGTTATACTCTCGATCCGGGATCTTCTTCATAATGTCAGCGAACTGAGCCGTCACAGCCTTCTCCATATCTCTCTTCTTATACTTGCCGGTAGCCACAAAATCACTAACCTGTCGTGAAGTCAAGTTGTCAGACAGATATTTGATAGAACCTCGACATTCAGGATCATTCAGTTTAGCAAAGAATCGATCACTCTTATTGAAAAAGATAAATAAACCACAGCGTTTGGCCACAGGAACGTTCATCAGATGTTCCATGTAGCTGGCACATTCGTCTAGCAAGGTTCCTTCATACTCATCGTGATCTACGTCAAAGTCACTGACTGGAATCACGAGAAGGACGTAGTTTGAGACGTTTTCGTCACCGTCGTGCTGAAAATATTAGGTTAGATGATGTTGGTATTTAAAAAAAAAGCTTAAAAAATTTTTCTGACCGAAGCCATCCGCTTACAGAACTGTAAGGAGACCGGGTTTACTGGGCCAAGTCAACCCGCCTAGCGCTAGTTGTACTCATGCTATTTTGCAAGCGATATTTCTAGTAAGACTTACCCCATGAGCAAATTTGTCTAAGTGATTGACAATCTTTCTCAATTCACTTTTCTGACCTCCAACATCATTGATTTCAAGGTCGATATCGTTGATCCGAATACGATATGTGTGCATATCTGTAGTTGGTTTACGAGCATGCAACTTGTCCTGGTGGGTTACCACGTAACCGGGCTTGAAAATGGCTTCGACTTTTTCGGCCGTCAGAAAGTGTTCACATCCATCGAAGAGTTTGCGATTCTCGATGCGGATTAGGTTACGCCGTTTCCAGACTTGTTGGATCTGAAAGGTTTTGGCATAGCATTAGTGTAGGTAGTGTGATTTAAAATTGCCTTATATTTTTAAATTTGTAGCTTGTGTTCTTTCCAGCTCCGGAGCTGTAATGGTGCCGGGGGTTTTTTGTATTGAAATTCGTCAGTTTATAACTCTAGCTACGGAGCTGCCCCGACGCCGGCTCCGGAGCCTTTGGCAACTCTGCCAGTAACTTACTAGATCACTTTTGAACAGTTTAACCAATGAACTCTGGAATTCTTCAGAATCTAACTCTATGCCAAGCTCTCGGCTGTCGTCTTCGGTCTTCTCTAAGATTTCGTCTAGCTGTTGGATTATTTTCTCGAATTCATCTGGGATTGTAGCTGCTTCTTTTTGAAGTTGCTGAAAATTTAGGTAAAATACGTGTAACTACCAGAGGCCGTAACGACGTCCCTGGCGTAAACCAATACGAAATTTGAAATTAAATATTAGTTGATTTTGAAGATTTGCTGAAAGACTTTTATTGAAATTTACGATTACTCAATAGCAATTATTATTCCTTACTTTGATCATCAAATCCAATGCGTCAATGATGTTTGTTCGTACAGTAAGAAGCCAAAAGTCATTGTCTTCTTCGGGCAAATCTTTGAGCTCATTCCACTGATCGTCGCACAGTTTGTAGGATTCTTTTTCCTTACACAAGATTAACAATTGACGAATAACCGTCGTCTTACCGGCTGATCCTAGACCGGTCATGAAGAAACGAACCAACTTGTTCTTTCTCTAAAATGTTTGTTGCTTGGTTCCATAATAAACGTATTGTGAGCTTTTAGTTTGAATTTCATTATTTTTTGATATAATGAAATAAAAAAGCTTTCTGTTTAGTATAACGTACATATGTAAAATGAGCTTGCTGTAAGAAATAAACCAGACTCGATAATAATTCTTACCGTTTTTTCAACTCGATCTTCTGGTGATCGTTCTGGTGGACATAGAAACGAAGCCAGCCCACCCATTTACCCGTATATCAGTTTATAAAAGAGTACCCTATAAATAATGCTAATTAGTGTAAAAACACAAAATTAGTATAAAATATTAATCTTTCATTTGCGAGCATAGTTAATGTGAAAGATGTTAAAAAAAGAAATTACAATACCCAAGGCTAATAATTGTAAAGCTTTTTAAAAGTAAATTAAGCCGAAACTTTAAATTACACGAAAAGAATGCAAAAATAACCAAAAACTGTATGCGAATCAACAAAAAAGCCCTCCGGCGATGAGGTTTGAAATACAAAGAAAGGTGCTGGCGTTCAGTGATAAGACATGGAAAATATTTGCGAAAAGTTCAAACACGAAGACACTCCTTTTTGTGGCTAGCCATTGTGTTAAGCCGATAAATTTGGAATACAAAAGATACGAAAATGATGTTGTGTTTAGGTGCTACGTAGTGTTATTGTTAGCAACAAGGTTTTGTTTCGATCTTTTTTCGAATATTAAGCGAATCGTATTAGGAATGGTGTTTTTTTATTTAGAAAATGTAAATAAAAATTATTGTTTTAGAATACTGAAGCATAATATTGTCAAAACTTTGTTTTATGTTATCTAAAAGACACTAAAAGATATAGCACCTTAATGAAACATGATTTTCGTTTATTTTTGTGTTTAAAATTTATCGACTTGACACAGTGGCTATCCTTAAAATGGATGGTAGTCGTTGGTGATTTTTTGAAAACATTTTTAAGTCTTATCATGGATATAGGCAACTTACTTTGGGTTTTAAACTTTGACATTTTAGGGTTTTTTCTTTATATTTTAATTTTTTGGTCAGTTGTATATTTTTTTTGTATAGTTTTCATTTTAGGCTTAATTTAATCAAAAAAATTTTAAAGTAAATCAAGCATAAAAAATTTTTTTTATTATGTTTTAAGTATATTAGGTCGTTCAAATAATTCCGTGTTCTCTCTAAAAGCTAACTTTTGGGGCTAGAGGCACAGAATTATTTGAACAATCTAAAGTGGATGTACATTCACCTTCCTCTCCCTCTAGCTATGTTCCTGACTTTAATATGAATTTTAAAAATTTGAATTTTTGTGAAAAATGTGTTTTTTGCAAGAAGCTAACCAAACAGCATGTATCACGAAATGATAAACCAAAAAAGTTTGAGCTGATAACAAGTTGAGCTATTTTTTGTAGTTTAACCGATTGAGTAAGGAAAATATTAATGTGAATCGTTTCAGGTGGCTGTAAAAACCAACTTGGACGTGCTGTACTTTGCTGTCGTCGTGCCACTACACTGCTACTTTGACGAGAATGGCCAAATGGACAAACGAGACTTTCTACAAATGTGGAAGGATATTCCCGAACAAAATGAGGTCCAATTCCAGGTGGACAATCACCAAGGGCTGAGTGCTGGTAAGTTGGTATAGGTTTTTGAGAGATTCTAAGTTACTAAAGCAGTTAAAATTGAGGTTGTTGATTGTTGTAGCTTGCAAATAAGTTGTTTTGGTTTGTTATTACAATTACAAATTAGTTTGATGGTCTTTACGTTTGCCTTAGCAAAAAATTATATTGTAGTAGGCGGCGGCTTGGTCAAGGATGACATAATTTTTAATAATTTGAGACTCTTGATACTGTCTATTGTAATGACATTTTATGAATTACCTACCAATTTTCTGCATTTTCAGACCAAATCTGCCAAAAACTACAAAGAAACAACGTCTTCACGGTGGCTCAAAGAAATGTGGATGGACAAGACTTGTTGTACCATTCGATCAGATACACGAACACTATCTACATTCTGTCCGAACTGAAGATGCAACAAGGCAACTCGAGTCTTACTGTAAGTTTTTTGGGTCTTTCAAAAGGTTTTGGGGAAAGATATTGAGCTTGATATTAACATAGGCATAGGATATGGGGGACTTGAGGAAATTGATTGTACCTTGGTCGGTAGGAAAGGTGTGTGCTTACGTTTTAGTATGAAGGTAAAAAATAGTTTCCTTGATGTTATGGAAGTCATTTTTGGATATATTTTCAGTTTTTTGATATTAGGGTAAATATGTAAGCCATGCAGCTAATGATATGGGGTACTTGACTTGATAAATTTGTTGCTTTTTGGTGTTTTATGCATCATATAATGAATCATTGGTTAAACAGAGGTCCTGCCTACGTCAATGTAATTTCTTATCAGTAGGGTTAAATAATTTTATGGGAAGTGGCAGAAAATTTAAAAAAATTTCAAAACGTTTTTGAAAAAATTATCTGTCTTGGCATGAAATCTTTAAAATTAATGTGCTTTAGTGTTTTTAGGTATGAAAAGTATAGTAATTTTCATAAATTGCTTATAAATGGCATTTCTAAAGAAAAATTTTAAAAAATTTGAATTTTGAAAAATGATCTGCCTTGGCACAAAATTTTGAAAAATGATTCGCTTCATATTAAACTTTAAAAAAATGTTGTTTTAGGTATCAAAAGTCAAAAAAATATTCAAAAAATGCCTGTAGGCATTTTCAAAAAAAAAAAAACTAAAAAATTGCATTTTTGAAGAAAAAATTTTAAAATTTAAAATTTTGTAGCTTTCCTTGAAATCTCGTCATTTGGCTGCTATTTCCAACATGAATGAGGTCTACCAAACCATACTCAACAACTAAACCACCAAATATTTTCCTGCCCTATATATTCGTGGCTATATCGCTTGATTCCACTCACATCTTGTGATTTATTTTGAAGTTTTGTAACGATCTTTTTACACGTATTTTAATAAAGCTTAACTAGTCTGCAATTGTCAGTAATATGTTGGCAATGGTCGATTGTTTGGTAGCGGTTGATAACGGGAAAATTTATTGACCAAATTGACGTGAAGAATGAAGCCTTTCGAGCCATATCAACCAGTGTTTTGTCTGGACGATCCGGGCGATCTAAAATATTAATAATTATTAACTTTTATTCAAAATAAGCATTGTAACGGTTTAAAGAGATAATTTTAAATATCAAAATGATTAGTAACTTTGTAAAACTTTTTCTATTCGGTGACAATTTTGATAAAGTAAAAATGGCAGATATGATGTTTGGTTGTTTTCCCTCTTCTACTTTACCATAAGAATTCCATGCTACCCCGATTAGTTCGGACTTATTTCGTATACGCATATTATCTTACATTATACCGTTTAGAGGACGAATTTTTTGGATTTTTTAAAATACGGTCTGATGATTTTCATAATTATAAAAATTTTTTAACAATCATTACAAATTGATTTAATTTTTTGAAACCTTCAGTAACTAGTGTCCGCTGTGTCTTTTAGGTCAAAGGTCCGATGGCGAATCAGTGAGCGACGTGGTACTGCCAAAATGGGCCAAATCGGCCGAACACTTCATCACCGTCCACAGACAGACCTGGTCTCATGCCAACTAAACCAATGGATCAATAAATGGAGTTTCATCAGTAGCCGTAAGTTGTATAATTAGTTGTTTAAATAATTCTGTGCTCCATTTTAAGACAAATTTTCGGGAGAGGGACAGAGAATTATTTGTAAAGGTTAGGTCGGTAATTGCAGCTTTAGCTTGCTCACATAAGTATGAGTTTTAAAGCAAATTGTCTGGGATAGGGGCGCAGAATTATTTCAACAACCTAATAGAAGTTTTAGTCATGATATTTTAGAAGCAGGCACAATAAAAGTTTTCTTTACTTTGGGCGGGGTAATTTTATTTTAGGTACAAGCAGGCAATACCCCCCGAATCGGTCAATCTCTACCAGGCGATAAACTAGGCCAAGACGGCCAATCCACCACGAATGAACTCCCCCTAACAGTCGACCCCCTGCTAGCCGTGGGCAACGCTTCCCACCCTCCGCCGAAACGCCACCTCGGCGAAGCCTTTGACCAACGCCTTCAAGTCACAACCAATAACTCTGACACTTCGGTCGCCTCAAAGTCTATCATCGCCTACGGCTATCCGGACTACAGCGTCAGGGTGATCGACGCCGAACCCGTAAAACGAGTGGTATATGGGCATGGAGGTGTTAATATGTCTGGCCAGGTCCGAAACAGCCTTGTTTGCTGATATTTATGTGGCATCTGGATCGTACGATCCGTGGTGTTATGGCACTTTAATCAACATACACAACAAATTGCTGGAGAGTATAATCAACCGGGTAAGTGGAGGGAAGGAGATGAGAAATGACCAGAGGGTTCAACTTTTTGAAAAAAAAGAGTGAAAATGTAGATTGAAAGGGGAATTGTTATATCAGATAAGATAGGGTATGAACTCTTTTATCATATATATGCATATTATATGAAAGATAAATAAATAGTTTGGGCCCTATAGTTTAGAAATATATTAATGTAATTTATAAGCCTACAATTGCACTTACTTATATGGTAATACTATTTAGAAGAACCTTTTGTTCTGCTTTCAGAAAGAATAGATTATCGTACAACCGGACCCTGCCCTACTCTACCCTATCCCACCCTACCCTTTTTGTACAATCATTTTTCAATTATGAGTAACAGTAAAATGTCAATGAAAAAGAAGTCAGTATTTATTCTCATGAGGTAAGATCAAACGTTGTCTTAATGCCCGACTGAATGATCATTGTAAAGCATTCCTGTGAATTGATCATTTGTATTTGTAGCCACAAAAATTTTTGCCTTAAAAGTCCGACAAGATCCTGACGTCTCATTTGGCTCTTCGAGGCGGCTTTCGTTGTCGGTTGACTGTCCTTGAGCCGGCTTCATGTTCACCCACTCGTTATTACGCTGAATTTTTAAAGATAATGTCGAATATAACGAAATTCAACTTTTTTTAAAAATACTTGGATACTAAAACTTTTTCATACAACAACTTTCAAGGGTAACTTTATCTATAAAAATAAATCAGGCAATAGATTAAGTAAGCAGATCAAAATGTAGGTTCTCGAGTCACTTTGGGTCCTTGCTTCGTGAGCGACGGCGAATTCCGGGCAACGTATCCCTCTCCTAAAAAAATTCACCTGCACTAAACGTAATTTACTGTAAAGAGAAAAAATAAGATTTCTACTTTATTGTAAGTTTTTAGTTTTTTACGACGCTTTTTCTAATAAAATTAAGCAAAACAATAAACAAAAAAGCGCAACTTACCTTTAAATTGGCTGGGACGGGCTCCTCTGGAATCAGTCTAGCAATCTTTTTTTTTTATGAGTTCGTAGCGCACCAAGATTAACTCCTCTATAGCGCTCTCCAGGTTGTTTCGGCACTCATTCATCCAATTCTCTGGAACGTTGGTGTTGAAAGCTCGAACGTAGGTCTTGCCAACGTCGATCAAGTTCGTAAGCTTTTTGCACTCTTGTTGTTTCAAATTGTCAATTCTAAAAAATTAAGTAAAGGTATCATTACATCGAAATGCATTTTATTTTGTAAACTATTTTAAAAAACGACCGCTCTGTTATTTTTATTTTTTGTAATTTTCACACCAATTCATAAGCAAGCTTTATTTTCGAAATTCTTTTTGTCAAAATAAATAAAATTTTTGTTTTCACTTTTTTATTAGAGTACGGTACTATATATTTTGAATTGAAAGTATGGGAACGGATATGGCATGGGTGTGACATGGGTATGGGCAAGAGTTTGGCATGGGTTTGAAATGGGTATGGCATGGGTACGAATACGACATGGATATGGCAAGGGTTTGGCATGGGTACGGGTATGGCAAAGGTTAGGCATGGGTATGGGCAAGGCTTTGGCATGGGTTTGGCGTGGGCATGGCAAAGGTTAGGCATGGGTATGGGCAAGGGTTTGGCATGGGTATGGCAAGGGTTTGACATGGGTATGACATGGGTATGGCATGGGGATGGATAGCATGGGTATGGCGTGGGCACGGGTATGGCAAGGGTTAGACATGGGTATGGGTACGGGTACGGCATGGGTGTGGCATGGGTATAGCATGGGGATGGTATGGGATTTGCAAAAACTGCTTTAGAACGTGAGGGCCGGAGGCCCGAGGTTATTTATTACTGTCATGTGAAATGATAAAACTATTTGAATATAAAAGCCAATTCTATTATCAAAATTTAGGTTTCGAGGGCCGCAGGCCCGAGCCTAGTTTTTAAAATATAATCAACTGTATTAAAATTAGCATGTTTAAAATAAAATTACATGCAGTGACCAGGTCATAGGACGCCCGGAGCGTGTCGGTCGACTTAATCTGCAACGGTTTTTAGTCTGGGGGAGGGGGTCGAAAAAATCGGTTTTTTCCAAAAATCCACACGGGGGCCAAGTTTAACTTTTTCGAAAATTTTTTTTCTGGTGGTTTTCCCTTCAATTCCAGCTACAACGAGCTGGAATTAAAGCTGGGAACGACAGAAAAATTTGCGGGAGTCCGCTAATTTGTTCCATTAAAAAAACTTACGAAGTCTCGGCCATTTTTTTCTGTCCTCTGTCACAATACACAGCTTGGTAGTAATTTTGGAACAAATGTAGAACGGGATCTTCAACGGACTCCAATCTATCGCTTCGCAACTTTGACCAGGAAAATGACTCCTCGTGCAGCCAACTTTGGAGTGAACACGCAACCTAAAATGAAATTTTTGAAAATCTTAAAATTCTAAAATTTGCATAAACGCACTAAAAATGGAAAATTTAAACTGTTTTTTTTGGAAGTTGGTGTAAGACGAGAATTTTATTTTTTACCACGTGTTCGCTACATTTTTTGGGTAGGTAGGGGAGGTGGGTAGAGTTGATTATGACAGAGTAAGGTAGGGTATTGTTAGGTAAGGTAAGGGAAGGTAGGGTAAAGTAGGGTAAGGGAAGGTAGGTTATTGTACGGTAGGGTAAGGTAAAAGATGGTAGGGTAAATTAGGGTATTGTTGGGTAGAGTAGGCTAGGGTAAGGGAAGAGAAGGTAGGGTAAAGTAGGGTAGGGTAAGGGAAGGGAAGGTAGGTTATTGTACGGTAGGATAAGGTAAGAGAAGGTATGGTATTGTTTGGTAGGGTAGGCTAGGGTAGTGGGAGGTAGGTTATTGTACGGTACGGTAGGGTAGTATTATTCAGTACCTCAAAGTAGTTAAGTTGTATGGTAATCTACACTGTCTGTAAGATAAACGACAACCTATCCTTAGATAGTAGTATTCAGCACCTCAAAGTAGTTAAGTTGTATGGTACCATACAACTTACCTATAGTACGGTGCTGAATAATACTACCTAAGGATAGGTTGTTGTTTATCTTACAGTTACAGTAGATTACCAAACAACTTAACTGCTCTGAGGTGCTGAATAATACTATCATTTTTACCTAATTTCAATCGTTTTGTTAATTTTTATTCTAAACTTCAATTCAAAACATATTTTTTTCATAAATTATTAGGTGCTGACATAAAGAATCCGCCAATCTTGTAAAATTCTGTAAAAAATGGGGGGGGGGTCCTATATGTGGGCACCTAATATGTTATTTAAATTATTCAATTCTTAAAAAATCTTAAATACTTTTAAAAAATGAAAAACATAAAAAAAAAGAATTTTTTTCGCAAAATGCAAAATTTATAAATATTTTACTTATTCTGTTTAGAAAAAGAGATATAATGGGAATTCCGACAACGCAGGATCGAACCCGCGCCCTTCGGAGCCGAAAGCAGGCGTGCAACCGCTGAACTAACCGATCACCGGGGTTCCCTTTATTTTTCGAGACAAGAGTGAAAGCGAAAATAATGAAAATAAATCTTGACCAAATAAAAGTACCAAAAACCCCTCACGGAGGGTAAATTTTCTTTCATTTTTCTACTAATTTGACTATGCTCTACAACTTGTATGTACCACTTTTTCACCATTCCATTTCACGGTGGTGACCTTTCCTTGTTAGTATTTTAATAAAGCTTAACTAGTCTGAACTTGTATTTATATTGTAGTAGGAATAGTATGGCAATAAGGAATTAAGCACGATATGTTTACTAGACAGTACCCGATATAATACATAGTTAAGAAAATATTAAGGTTAGTTAGCTCACAAGGTTAATACAAATCCTTCAAAATGTCCTCCACCGTCCTGTCCGAAGCCACAATTTCGAAGCCGGTTGGGGGTTCTGAAGTCGTCGGAGCTGGTGATAGCTTCACGGTGGATTCTGAAGTCGATGAATGAGGTGCAGGAATAGTGAAGGCTTCTGACGCCGTTTGTGCTGATGACGGCTTCGTGGTGGATTCTAGAGCCTTTGGAGCAGATGACGGCTTCGTAATGGATTCTGAAGCCGTTGGAGCTGGTGATGGATTCACGATGGATTCCGAAGTCGATGGGTGAGGCGGCGGAGCTGAGAAGGCTTCTGACGCCGTTGATTCCGATTTTGAGGCTTCGGTCGAGGATTCTGAGGTTGGTGGTGGCTTCACGGTGAATTCTGAAGCCTTTGGAGCTGGTGATGGCTTCATGGTGGATTCTGAAGTCGTTGAAGCTGATGGCGGAGTTGAGAAGGCTTCTGACGCCGTTCCAGATGATAATGGCTTTATAGTGCCTTCTGAAACCGATGATGGTTTCACGGTGGATTCTGAAGCCAATGAAGCCGATGGTGGGGCCGAGAAGACTTCTGACACCGTAGGTTCTGGTCTTGAGGCTACGGTCGAGGATTCTGAAGCTGGGCTGACTCGGCCCGACGATGAAGCCGATACTGGAGTCGGATGCTCCTCAACGTACCGTTCCAACTCGGGCAAGATGAGTTGAGCCGCGTGATGCTTGGCCACCTTTTTGCTGGCCGGGCTGGAACGGGTGACCAATCCCAACGGCTGACAGACGGCCGTCACCACGAACCGCCGTTCATGTTCTGGGCCTTCGGCTTCGTCACGATAGGTGACTGGGGGGAGCTTGTTACGTTGGCAACTGAAAATAATTTACTGTGGTAAGTTTTAGGTATAGTTGGTTATGTTGGTGCCGTTTTTTGGTACTATATGTGGTACTATTGTATTTTTAATGGTACTATATATGTGGTACCAGTATATGTTTGTAATGGTACTAGTAGGTTGTTCAAATAATTCTGCGCCCCTTCTCAAAGCAAATTTCGGGGGTTGAGGGCTCAGAATTTTTTGAACAACCCAATATTATGTGGTACTATGATACGTTTTTAATGGTACTACATATTACTAATATGGTACTATATGTAATACTATCATGTATATATTGTGATACAGTATGAGGTACAGTACTTACAGTGTAATCACTTTGCCAACGTAGTCCACCTGCGCCACTTTCGCCGGTTTTTGGGCCGGGATCACGCTGACATACAGCTTCTCACTGAAATTACAGTAATCATAATGGTACAGAGATACTAGTGTTTTAGAGGGTCTGGTACGGTAGTGTGGGTACTGTAGAACAGGATTGCTTAGAGTAGGGTACGGTAGAGTAGGGTCTTATAGAGTAGGGTACGGTATGGTATGGTAGAGTAGGGTAAATTAAGGTACTATAGGATTTGTACTGTAACTCAAATCAACTTCTTGGCCTCCTTCTTGTTGGTACCGGGCATACGGTACTTGTGGTGCATGCCCGCATCCACAATCTTCAACAATGTCTCTTTGGCCGCCATTTGAAGGGCCACGGTTTTGTTGATGGCCTCGCCATGACCTTCCATTCCACGGAACACGTAGGTTCGGCCAAAGAATGAATGGCCGTCCTGAAAGATGGGCATATATTGATATTGTAGTAGGTAAGAACGTACTGTTTTAGTACAACAATGAGTACTAAATGGCCTTTTATAACTGTACTATACTTATTGTGCTATACTGTTGAAGAACGTACTGTCTTAGTACTATAATCAGTACGAAATGTAGCTTTAGGTATCGTACTATGTTTATGATGCTATTGTAATAAAAAACGTACTGTTTTAGTATTGTAATTACTATAAAATGACCTATAAATACTCTTATCACATACTGTAACTAATAATAAATTCACTTTTAATATCGTACTATATAGTACTTGGCCATACTACGTCACCTACTATAACATACTGGGTGACATACTATTAAGTTTGACGGTAAAGTACTGTAACTATGGCCTACTGTAGCACTTCATCAACCTACCTTCATCGTGTCCACCTCCTTCAGACACGCCCGCTCGCCGTACTCCCTAGTACTGATATTATCCAGTACTAGGGAGGGACTAGACCCTTCGTACGGCAGTACTCGGTCCTCTGGGTCCGGCTCGCCACATACTACGTCGTGCTGAAAATAAGTTTTAAAAGTGTTTAAAATGCGAAAGATACAAATTGTTAAAATACGAAAATTAGTGAATTATTATACTTCTAGTAGTATGTTGTTGAACTCACGTCATACTTGACCACTCGTTGGACCGGCGAACAGGCCGTCGGCTGGAAAAAGTCCTCAAATTTGATTTTTTGGGACATTTTGAATGGTTAATCTGAAAATGACAAGAACTTTCTTTACAAAACAAAAAATGACAAAAACTTTCCTTACAAAACAAAAAATGGCAAGAACTTTCTTTACAAAACAAAAAATGACAAAAACTTTCCTTACAAAACAAAAAATGGCAAAAGCTTTCTTTGCTGTCTCAAAAATGACAAAAACTTTCTTTACAAAACATAAAATGGCAAGAACTTTCTTTACAAAACATAAAATGGCAAAAACTTTCTTTACAATACAAAAAATGGCAAGAACCCTCTTTTCAGACCAAGAAAAGACTTAAACCTGAAAAATATAGAGCCTTCCATATAAAATGCGTCCTTCAGGCTGCACTATGCCAAAATTAATCAAATAATATATTCTTTACAAATAATCTTGGTTATTTCACAGTCTCGTACTCTCTTTCCAAATAAATAATATCACCAACATTCAAGTAAATTATAGTTTATTAATATCAATTTTTTAAAATTCCATTAATAATTTATCAATACCAATAACAATTCCAGTAGATCAACGACTCCAGCATCAGCCGTTGGTATCCTATCCAGAACATCAGCGGTTAATACTGTATCCAGAATTACTGATGTCAATCCAATTCGAGTGCATTTCTCAAGATTTCTGAACGATTTTTAAAAAATTCCAACAAAAACCTTCAATACCTTCATCTAAAATAATATTTTAATGCTTACCGACTGTTTTATGATAAATTTAAAGCCGCACCTATGCTGAATAGGTACTTTACAATCTCTAAATACAGAAAAACAAAAGAAATGAAGATTACCTGGTGATAAACTGGCGCAGCATCCAAAATCTTTCACAGACATCGGGTGTGTTCACGGCTAAGAAAACGTGAATTTCCTTGTCGAAAGGGCCTCATCAGCTGAAAATAACATTTAAAATACGAATACTAATCTTATTTTATATTATACGAGACATACAAGCCAAAAAAAAACACCAAACTTTCAAAAAATCAAAGAAAATCCTCAGTTCTAAACATGTATAATATAAATTGATAAAACCTTACCTGTTCTTTTGAAACTTCTAAAGTCTAAACCTCTTTTCCAGCTTCCTTACTATCTTCTTCGGCTTCTTCACCTTCTTTTCCATCAGATTCTAACTTTCGATCAGAGTTTGCAGCCCCTTCATCTTCCACTTGTTCAACTACTTGTCCAAGACCAGATTCCTCTTCCAACTGAACTGATTCCATTGATTCGTTGTCAAATGTTAACGACTGTTTAACTCTAACTTCAGGTAACTTCCGTTCTTCATATACATCAGACTGAACTCCATTTCGACTTCTTCTGGCTTCTGAACCTTTTCCTCATGCTACTTCAACTGAATCCAACGAAATTTCAGACGTTTCAATGGTGGAACCATGACCATTCTGATCACTATCTTGCATCATGCTGTTCTACACATAAAATGATTAAAAGTGTCCGTATTGACCAGTTACCTGCAAATTTATAGACATAAGAAAAAGGCATAGTGAACAAAAAATAATTTTTTCCGAAAATCGACAAATATCGGGCGCGACTTGAGAACGAAGACATGTTAACGAAGAAAGGTTTTATTATTTAGAAAATAAATAAAATTATTCTGCAATTCGTTTCACATCGATTTCCAAAAAAAAACATTTAAATTTTTCGTTTTTAAATGCGTTTATGCAAATTTTTGAAGCTTATTATCAAAAATCTCATTATAGGTTCAGGTTCTGTTTTTTTCCTTGTAACGGTCGACGATCTGGATGGACTTCGGATTATGGGCGACACAAAGTAAGTTTTTTTAACAAGATCAGATAAACGGACGCCCTACGGGCATCCTACGATATGGAACTTATAATGTAACGTTATTTTGATTGATTGTGCAAATCAATACTGTAACCATATGGCTCGGGCCTGCGGCCTTCGCTTTTTTATTAATTTACTTTCAACCTTTTAGCTTCATTTTCAATATTCTTTTTTTTTCAACATAAATAAAACTTTTTCAAAGAAATAAAACCTTTGATAAAAAATAAAATAAAAGTTTTTTAACCAATTTGAAATTTTTGAACATTTTAAAATTTTTAGACAAACCTTGCTTTACTTAATTTTTTAGAATCGAATTACCCTACCTTCCCTTACCCTACCCAACAATACCCTACTTTACCCTACCTTCTCTTCCCTTCCCTTACCCTAGCCTACCCTACCCAACAATACTCTACTTTACCCTACCTTCTCTTACCCTACCGTACCGTACAATAACCTACCTTCCCTTACCCTAGCCTACCCTACCCAACAATACCCTAATTTACCCTACCATCTTTTACCTTACCCTACCGTACAATAACCTACCTTCCCTTACCCTACTTTACCCTACCTTCCCTTCCCTTACCTTACCCAACAATACCCTACCTTACTCTGTCATAATCAACTCTACCCACCTCCCCTACCTACCCAAAAAATGTAGCGAACACGTGGTAAAAAATAAAATTCTCGTCTTACACCAACTTCCAAAAAAAAACAGTTTAAATTTTCCATTTTTAGTGCGTTTATGCAAATTTTAGAATTTTAAGATTTTCAAAAATTTCATTTTAAATTGCGTGTTCACTCCAAAGTTGGCTACACGAGGAGTCATTTTCCTGGTCAAAGTTGCGAAGCGATAGATTGGAGTCCGTTGAAGATCCCGTTCTACATTTGTTCCAAAATTACTACCAAGCTGTGTATTGTGACAGAGGACAGAAAAAAATGGCCGAGACTTCGTAAGTTTTTTAATGGAACAAATTAGCGGACTCCCGCAAATTTTTCTGTCGTTCCCAGCTTTAATTCCAGCTCGTTGTAGCTGGAATTGAAGGGAAAACCACCAGAAAAAAAATTTTCGAAAAAGTTAAACTTGGCCCCCGTGTGGATTTTTGGAAAAAACCGATTTTTTTGACCCCCTCCCCCAGACTAAAAACCGCTGCAGATTAAGTCGACCGACACCCTCCGGGCGTCCTATGACCTGGTCACTGCATGTAATTTTATTTTAAACATGCTAATTTTAATACAGTTGATTATATTTTAAAAACTAGGCTCGGGCCTGCGGCCCTCGAAACCTAAATTTTGATAATAGAATTGGCTTTTATATTCAAATAGTTTTATCATTTCACATGACAGTAATAAATAACCTCGGGCCTCCGGCCCTCACGTTCTAAAGCAGTTTTTGCAAATCCCATACCATCCCCATGCTATACCCATGCCACACCCATGCCGTACCCGTACCCATACCCATGTCTAACCCTTGCCATACCCGTGCCCACGCCATACCCATGCAATACCCATGTCATACCCATGTCAAACCCTTGCCATACGCATGTCATATTCGTACCCATGCCCAGGCCATATACATGCCATACCCATGCCAAACCCTTGCCCACACCCATGCCTAACCTTTGCCATGCACACGCCAAACCCATGCCAAAGCCTTGCCCATACCCATGCCAAACCCTTGCCATACCCTTGCCATATCCATGCGGTATTCGTACCCATGCCCACGCCATACCCATGCCAAACCCTTGCCACACCCTTGCCATATCCATGTCGTATTCGTACCCATGCCATACCCATTTCAAACCCTTGTCATACCCATGTCACACCCATGCCATACCCGTACCCATACTTTCAAATCAAAATATATAGTACCGTACTCTAATAAAAAAGTGAAAACAAAAATTTTATTTATTTTGACAAAAAGAATTTCGAAAATAAAGCTTGCTTATGAATTGGTGTGAAAATTACAAAAAATAAAAATAACAGAGCGGTCGTTTTTTAAAATAGTTTACAAAATAAAATGCATTTCGATGTAATGATACCTTTACTTAATTTTTTAGAATTGACAATTTGAAACAACAAGAATGCAAAAAGCTCACAAACTTGATAGATGTTGGCAAGGCCTACGTTCGAGCATTCAACACCAACACTCCTGAGAATTGGATGAACGAGTGCTGAAACAATCTGGAGATCGCGATAGAGGAGCTCATGTTGGTGCGCTACGAACTTATCAAAAAGAAGATTGCTAGGCCTATTCCTGTGGAGCCCGTCCCTGCCAATTTAAAAGTAAGTTGCGCTTTTTTGTTTATTGTTTTGCTTAATTTTATTAGAAAATGCGGCGTAAAAAACTAAAAACTTACAATAGAGTAGAAATCTTATTTTTTCTTTTTACAGTAAATTACGTCTAGTATAGGTGAATTTTTTTTAGGAGAGGGGTCTGTTGCCAGCAATTCAACGCCGTCGTTCACGAAGCAAGGACCCAAAATGACTCAGCCATCACTACAAAAGACCACTAGAGAACCCACATTTTGATTTGATCTACTTTATTGCCTGATTTATCTTTATAGATAAAATTATCCTTGAAAGTTGTTGTATGAAAAAGTTTTAGTATCCAAGTATTTTTTAAAAATGTTAAATTTCGTTACCTTCTACATTATCTTTGAAAATCCAGCGTAGTAACGAGCCCGTGAACATGAAGCCGCCTCTAGCCAACCGACAACGAAAGCTGCCTCGAAGAGCCAAATGAAAACTCAGAATCTTGTCGGACTTTAAACAACAAGACTCGCTATTTTACTGCAATTACCGATGACAATAAGCTTCTGGTGCCATATTAACCCATTCTCAAACTCAGAGACAACCGACCGAAAGCCAAAACAGGCTCGAAGCGCTAAATAAGACCGCAGAATCTGGTCACAAATTGAATATCAAGACGCGGCATGGTCCTCTAATTGACATTGCAAACGCCGTCAAAGTAAATAAATCTTCGTTTTAAGTCCAAATTGATGTAACTTTTTAAAATAAACTTAACAAATAATCTTGGTTATATCAGTATCGTACTTTCTTATCAAATCAATAATAACTTAATATTCAAATAAATTATTGTTTATTATTATCAAAGATTAGCTATTAAATTTCTGGTTACCCATAAAATTCGATCAAAATTTTAAAAGTGAATAATATGAATTAGAACAATATGAAAATAAGAAATAAAGGTGGTGGTTAAGGTTTTTCCATTTTTTGGATTTGTAAAACTTTCAAAAACTCAAAATTCAAAAAAAATTTAAAATTTTTCAAAATTTAAAAAAAATTTTCAGATTTTCAAAAATTTTTTAAATTTCAAAAAATGGAAAAAACTTATTGACCAAGATACAAAAATGGAAAACTAAGCTGCAAAATGAAAATTTTCATAAAATAAGAATTGACCCCAAAGATAAAAAAAATGTTGAAATTCGATCAAAATCAGACCTAATACTTGTTAAAATCGATTCAAATCACTACAAATGGACAAAATACTTTGATCACAACGTTGTTTGATTGTTTTCCTGTAAGTTCTGATATAATTCGTATACTGATTAGCGTTGGAATACCCTTAAATATTTTTAAAAATGGGTTTTAGCTATTAAAAATGGGGTTTTAAGGGGGTTGACATTAGAAAAATAGGTAACAAATGGGTTTGAATGAACAAAAATTGTCATTATATGATGACAAATAGATGAAAAATGTTATGAACGTTTGTTAAATCGTTAGAAAATGTCATCAAATAATGGAAAAGTAGTTAGAACATGTCATAACATATTAAAGGTATAGAAAAGATATAAAAAAGGCTAACAACATCAAAAAATGGCTAGAAAAGCCAAAAACATCCCAAAAATAACTATGATAACATAGCAAAACATAGTACTGCAAGACAAAATAAGGCATTTCAGGTTCATCACAATATCAAAAACAGATTAAATTACCCAAAATACAGTAGTAATCTTAACCACAATCATTAAAAACAGCAAAAATCGTTAAAAAATCGGTTGAAAAGTGTCAAAATCAATCAAAAAATCCCAAAATCATGCCAAAAAGTTGAAAAATGTCTAAAATTTTTATCAATTTTGATGCTTCAAGCCATGTTTCACAAATGTCCGTATCGCTTCTTGTATTCGTAGTGGTATTTGTTAAAGTCGACGTTGAATACGACCACGGCGCCGCTTTCCAGTCCGCCAAGAATGTAGCGTTGATTGTTGGATAAGGCCACACAACGAATGGCACTGTCGGTTTGCTAAAATACGAAAGTTTTAAAAACTATTGTTTTTAAAGACTTTTTGTCATCGAAAATCTATTTTTACTTGTTTTTACTCAAAAATAAATGATAAAAATTCAAATATAAATTTTCGCGCAATTTTTGGCATTGTGTTTCAAGTGCGGAAAATGCTCCTAAAATACGAATAATTTCTTATTTTTTCCGTATTTTATGATATTAACCTTTAACTACCACAAAACCAATTAAAAAATTTAAATTTTGATTTTCCCGCATTTTTGGCATTCCGTTTCAAGGGTTTAAAATTGTGCAAAACATTTATTTTTATCATTTGAAATGCCTTTATTTACCTTAAAAATTTAAAAAGCTTAAAAACAAGTTGAGAATCCTACAACCTACCCCCTCTACTATAATATTATCCTGCCCAAAAACCGAGCCCTACTACAATATAACCATACCTGGAAAGTGTACAACATTTGAAGCGGGAACACTCGAACGATCGATATTTTGCCATTTTCCGTGCCCACAATGATGTATTCTCCATCTCGGCTCAACGTGGCGCACAATATTTGGTCGGTGCTTTTGTGTGCCGGTCGATTCAACTGATTACCAGTAGTCGTATAGGTAGCAATGTATTCTTGGCCATAAATTACTGATACGAAACCGTCTCTACTCAGTAGAATGTTCGAAACGCCGGGCATTGGTCCTTTGTGGTTGGGGTTGAGTTCGTGACATACTAATGAGCGTAGTAGATCGCCGTTCGTCGTGTGCATTAGTACTGTGCCATCGGCGGCGCCTGATACGACGAGGCCGTGTTCGGCCGATACGGCAATGGCGGTGATTTCCGAGTCGTGGCCGGTTAGGATGGCACGAGGGGCGGGGGATTCGCCTGGAAAAAAGCAAAATTTATTTTTTTTGAAAATATTGAACTTGGTCCCCCCCCCCTATGGATTTTTTCAAAAATTTTTAAATTCAAAAATTTTTAAGTTATTGCAAAAACAGTCAGTTATGATGCATCTAATACTACGTTACGCCAATATCTGTCTAAAAATGTCACTTTGATCCAAAAATTTTTTTTCTAAAAAATTAGAGCCTGGTGCCCTGTGGATTTTTTTTCAAAAAGTTGAGCTCGGTCCCCCCTGTGGATTTTTTTCGATAATTTTTAATTTCAAAATTTTTAAAGCTCTTTCAAAAACAATTTCTTATGATCCGTCTGGTACTATTTTACGCCAATATCTGTCTAAAAATGTCACTTTGATCAAAAAAAAATTTTTTTCTAAAAAATTAGAGCCTGTTCTCCTGTGGATTTTTTTTTCAAAAAATTAAAAAATTAAAAAAATTATTTTACCGCGTCCATGACAAGCATGTAAAGACTCATACTACCTTTTACAATAGTATCATTTAAAATGTGATTTTACGCAAAAAAATTTTTTTTTCAAAATTTTCGAAAAATTGAACTTGGTCCCCCCTGTGCATTTTTTTGCAAAAATTTGTTAACTCAATTTTGATGACCCATGCCTTAAAAATGTTATAACTATACTACCCTATGCTATCTTATATAACTGTTTCTCTTTCAAACCACATTTTCATTAAAAAAATTTTTCAAAAAATATTGAGCTTTTCAAAAAATATTGAGCCCTGTGGAATTGCTTTACAAAAAGTTGAGCTTGGTCCCCCCTGTTCACTTCTTCTCTTCCTCCTCTTACCCGGCTGATTATACTCTCCAGCAATTTGTTGTGTATGTTGATTAAAGTGCCATAACACCACGGTACAATCGTACGATCCCGAAGCCACATAAAAGTCAGCGAACAATGCTGATTCGGATCTGGCCAAGCATGTTACCACGTCTCCATGCCCATACACCACCTGCTTTACCGTGGCGGATTCGGCGTCAATGACCCTGAAGCTGTAGTCTGGGTAACCACAAGCGATGATAGACTTTGAATCGACTGAAGTGACAAAGTTATTAGTTGTGACTTGAAGACGTTGGTCAAAGGCTTCGCCAAGGTGGCGTTTCGGCGGAGGGTGGGATGGGTTGCCCACGGCTAGCAGGGGGTCGACTGTTAGAGGGAGTTCATTCGTGGTGGATTGGCCGTCTTGGCCTAGTTTATCGCCTGGTAGAGATTGACCGATTCGCGGGGTGTTGCCTGCTTGTTCTGAAAAGTATGTTTTAAAAAATCAATTTTAAAAGTGGAAGTTATGTGGAAGATTTTCAGTGTAATTTGCACTGAAAATCTTTCACTCAACTTCCATTTCTAAAGAAGTCTTAAAATGGTCAAAAAACGCGTTTTTGACACTTTTAAAAGTGGAAGTTCTGTGGAAGATTTTCAGTGAAAATTACACTGAAAATCTTCCGCTCAACTACCACAAGAAAAAACTTTCAAAATAACTTAAAAACTCATTTTTGGGTCTTTTTCAAAAAATCAAAAAAAAATTTTTTTTAACTCCCCCCACCCTGCATCCAAAAAAATTACCCCGCCCAAAAAATAAAAACTTTTATCGTGTCTATTTCAAGACCTGCTTCTTATAGCCACAGAGCTTCATCATGCATATTCCTAACACTTCTATTACGTTGTTCAAATAATTCTGTGCCCCTAAACCAGACAATTTGGCTTGAGAGGGGGCTCATACTTATTTGAGCAATCTAATACTACAACTACCGACCTAAGCTTTATTGTGCCTTTGCATATGGCTTCAATTAGGCTGTTTAAATAATCCTGTGCCCCCTCACCCTGAAAATTTGTCTTGAAATGGAGCACAGAATTATTTGAACAAGCTACAGCTAATTATTATGTGCCGACATAAAGAACCCGCCATTATAATTTTCCTGTAATTTCCTGTAAAAAATGGCGGGTTCTTTATGTCGGCACCTAATATATGATAAAACTTACGGCTACTAACGGGATTCCACTTATTTAGAGCAAAAACCAGGTTCTGAGCCACCGAAATGACAGTCGGGTTCACCAGCTGAGGGAAGGTGTTCGCACTCAGATGAACGACGGCACTGTTCGAGATGAACTTCATGAGCATACAAAGGTCGTCTCGAGTTGGTTGGAACATCAATGGGCTGATGGTCATGACTGAGTGTCTTGGCGGGTGTGGGTCGGTCATTAACTGGACTGGAGTTTGGCCGAAATGTAGGATTTGCTCTTCCAACGCCTTCCGGGTATCCGAGTTCTCGATTGCGTCCAGATTCACCGCGCCTTCGTACGTTAGATAGTAGAATACGTTGGTGGCGCGGACTGCCTCGGGGCCGCGTTGTTTGTAGCCGAAAATGAGGTCGATCCATTGGTTTAGTTGGCATGAGACCAGGTCGGACTCGAGGCATTGTCTGTGGACGGTGATGAAGTGTTCGGCCGATTTGGCCCATTTTGGCAGTATCACGTCGCTCACTGATTGGCCATCGGACCTTTGGCCTAAAATGACACCATTTACATACAGATGATAAAAAACTGTCATCGTGACTTATTTTAAAACCCACATATTTACATTCATTTTAATAGAAACGTCATTTATATCATTAAAAAAGTAAAAAAAATTTCCAAAAAATGTGTCACGATGAAATAAAAAATCCGTCACCATGACATATTTTAAAACACCTTTTTAAATATTCCAAAAAGCGAAAAACGAAAGAGGACGTATTTTACATAAACTACACAAAAAATTTTACAATTTCCAAAAAATATGTCATGACGACATAAAAAATCCGTCATCATGCCATATTTTAAAACACTTTTTTAAATATTTTCAAAAAATCAATACTGACCATAGTTTACATAAAATCCACAAAAAATCTAAAACTTCCAAAAAAATGTGTTACGATGACATAAAAAATTCGTCATCATGACATATTATAAAACACCTTTTTAAATATTTTTGAAAAATAGTGACTAATCGTATTTTACAATCAAAAAAATCCGCAAAAAAAAATTCTAGATTTTCCAAAAAAATGTGTCATGACGACATAAAAAATCCGTCATCATGACACACACCAAAGACATCACTTCGTCATCCAAACCCACCCAAATCGTATCCGTTTTGATTGTAGAACATTTCCGGCAGGTAAAACAGTTCCGGGATCAGTTCCTTCACATTGTGCGAGTCCTTTTGGCATTGATTCCAGGCTTCGGCGATCGAGTGAAAGAGGCGGTCGGATTGGTCGAATTTGCCACTTTGGAGGTTCAGGAAGTAGGTTGTGAACGGTTCTAGGCGGAAGAGCCAGTTCAGTGTGAAAGACTGAGTCGAGTAGTGGGTGCCGTAGTGAAACGCTGGCACTGATTCATCGTCCCAGTTGTTGAAACGCTCTTGGAAGTGTTTGCGACGACTCTCTGATAGGGCTCCGATTGGCTGAAATCATTGATTAAAGTAGGGGTAGAGTAAAGTAGAATAGAGTAAAAGTAGGGTAGAGTAGGACTGGGTAGAGTAGATTAGAGCAGACCAGGCTATGGTAGTATTCAATAAAACACAGTGGGGTAGGGTAAGATACAGCAGGGTAGAGTAAGGTAGGATAAGGTAGAGTAGGGTAAGATAGAGTAGCGTAGATTAGGGTAAGGTAAGTTAGAGTAAAGTAAGGTAGAGTAAAGTAAATTAGAATAAGGCGAATCATGGCAATGTAGAGAAGAGGTAGGGTAAGATAGAGAAGAGTAAATCTAGGTAGAGTAAGCTATAGCACATTACGGTAGGGTAATATAAAGAAAGGTTAGACAAAGCATGGAATAGCTCATTAGGCGGGGTAAAAGTGGGTGAAATAGAGTAAAATAACTCATATGTACAGTAAGATATCATTTATCATTTAAAAAAAATTGTTACCTAAAATTAATCTTCAAGCCTAAAGCTTATGTTTTAAGCCTAAATTATAACTTTTCATCCCAACATCTATTTTTTAACTCTAAAACCTAAACCTGATTTCTAGGCTAAAAACCAATTTTTATTACCTAAAATCCATTTTCAAAAAAAATAATTTTTAAGCCTAAAGTTGTATATTCATAAGCCCTTTAAGCCTAAATTTTCATTTTTTCACCTTAACGTCAATTTTTAAACTTTGAAACATAATTTTAGACTATAAACCAACATTTATTACCTAAAATCAAAAAAAAATTTAAGCCTAAAGTTGTATATTCACAAGCTTTTTAAGCCTGAACTTTGGTTTTCATAAGCTTTTTAAGCCTAACCTTTGATACAGATAAGCCTTTAAGACTAAAGTTTGATATTCACACGCCTACCTTTGACAAATCCCTAAAGTTGGAAGCCTCGCTCAAGTCCAATGTCTCACTGTCATAATTGGCCAAGACCCACGGGAAGATCGGGTATTGATTTAAGTCGTTGTAACTTCTTCCCGCAATCGTATTCAAGAACATTAGGTAGTCAAAGTTGGAGATTTCACGTCGCTGCCACTTCTGTGGCATATCCGAATGTTTGAAGAGTTGGCGTGGCAACATGAGGGAGGTTTTTCGACTTTGGGGTAGACCATACTTGACTCCGACGCCTACTCGTGGCAAATGCTCTACCACGGCTTTCACCAGATCTTGGGAGGGGAAGGCGAACATTACTGCGGCTGAAAAAAGAGGTTACAGTATGAATACAGTATAAGGTAGAACAGGTTGGGGTATGAGTATGGGTAGAGGTGGGAATAAAGGTAAAGATAGAGGTAGACCTAGGGGTAAGGATATAAGGAGGAGCGGAGGTAAGAGTCGAAGTAGGGGTCTAATTAGGAGTAAGGGTAAAGGTAACGTAAATATAAGGGTGTAAATTGAAAAACTCACTTCTTGATGACAAAAACAGTTCCAAAGCGACATATCGTAGCTTGTATCGACGTAGGAAAATGGCTCGAATCTCTTGGAAATGCCATCTGCCGTGTAGGTAATCGCAGTATTTTAAACTCTGAAATCATTTTTTATATTTACGATATAACTATAGGCTTACACGGTGTTATTGAGTGTAAAAACACATTACATTAAACTCAAAAATTTAAAAAAAATAAAACCTGTTTTAGGTTTATATTTTCATTTTAGGCTTATAATTAAAGACATATCAATTTTAAGCTCACCCCACCCTAGATTACTCTACCCTATTGTCAACCTAATCCTACCCTACCCTACATTACTGTGTACGCTTTTATGCTCTGTCCAGCTATACCTTACATTACAGTACCCTATTCTGTCTTACCCTGCCCAAACCTATCATATGCTATGTTTCTCAAGCTTCTTTTAGGCTTAATTTTTAAGTATTGTAACTTCATTTTTTCTTTTTCTATTTTATTTTATGCTTATTTTAAACTTAGGCTTAATTTTTTACTTTTTACTTGGCCATTTTTCAGTTTATTCTTTTGTCTTTCACATTTTCATGTTTAAGCTTATAATTTTTTTCTTCCATTTTTTAATGTGAGGTTGTTCAAATAATTCTGTGCCTCTTAAAGCCAAAAATTTGCTTTAAAAAGAGCACAGAATTATTTGAACAATCTAATATTTAGGCTTACTTTGAAGCTAGAATTTAATATTGGTATAGTGTTTAGTGCGGATGATATGAGTATGGTTATTAGTGTGGTTTGATATGGATATCTTGATTTGTGGGGTTCGATATGAGTACAGTCATTCGTGTGGTAAGTAATCGATTTTGTGATTAGTGTGGTTTGAAATGGCTACCATTATTAGTGTGGTTTGATATGAGTATAGTAATCAATGTAGTATAGTATGGGTATTTTAAATACCCATATCTGATATGAATTATATTGACATATCAAATAGTGTGTTACTGTATGGGTATCATAAGTAGTGTTACATGATATCGGTATAATTCGTATTTTACAAACCCTCAAAAATACATTTTGCCATTTCAATTGTGATTGTGACTTTTGCCAAAAGAAAGAATAATTTTTTGATTGACAAATATTCTGACGGGCCGTGACCGCCCCATTATTCTTCATTAAACTTACCTCAATTCACCTCAACTGACAAGTGGCCCGAAAGCCTCGTAAATCGGTAATTCTTTGATGGGTTTACGAACAAAAAATAATTTATTGCAAATTTGATTCATTATAAACGGAAGCCTATTTTTTGAGAAAAATGAATATTTTGGCCGCAGGCTAAAACTGAGTGGATTACTGTTATAAACGTAAAAAAAGTTCCTTCTAACCCTTAAATCTCAAGTTTTGCGGTCGTTTACGATCATTATCAAGCCCCAGAATGTTTCGGTCATTAATTCACACCAAAGCCCGTTTACCGCATTAAACTTTTCTTTTGTGAAACCGCGGTTTTGATATGGGTATCATGATTAGTGTGTTATGATATTGGTGTTGTGATTAGTGTGGTTTGATATGGTTATTTCAGGTAGTGTACTTTGATATGGGTATAGTCATTAGTAGGGTATGATATGGGTATTGTGATTAGTGTATTAAAATATGGGTATCTAGATTAGTGTGGTTTTATATGGGTATCATGTGATATGATGTTGGTATAGCAATTAGTGTGCTATGATATGGGTATAATAGTAATTTCATTAATAGGTATGATAGTGAATAGTTTCTTTTTTACGTCTACTTCAGATTATCGAGTCCTTGCTGAATATTTTGATATGTTTTAAGCTTCTTTTTTAAACCATTATAAGGTTTTCTTTGTGTTTTTTTTTCATTTTTCTTGGTTTTCTTTTAGTTACCTGAAACTTGTTTTGGCTTTACTTCATAATTCGTGCCATTTTGCACCATTATCTTTCAATTTTGTGAACCTTTTCAATAAAACCTCAAAGAAGATAAACTTTTTCACACTCCTCGAACTCCCTATACCCCCTCACACCCCTTTCACCCTCTCCTATCAAAATCACGATCAAATTCCCAGTTACATCACGTTGGGTCGCGCCTTTTTCATATCTGACATTTGACCTTTTCACGACATGATCATGACCGAATAATTATGACAGGTACAGAGCTTGCAAGCAATTATTAATGGCATTCGGCCAGTTTCGGATTTCCGTCATCGCATAGGCAATTTTGTGGCCAAATGGCCGCTTACTTAAGAATATAAGGATTGAGAAACGGCCGATTATGGAAAAGTGGCTTAAAATGACAAATTTTTTTTGATTTTTAAAATTTTGGAAGTTTATTATTAGTACGCTCTGAATTAGTAGTCTTCTGCTTGATAGGTTTAGTGAGTTAGTAGGCTTAGGCTTAATAGGTTTAGGCTTAGTAGGCTTAGGCTTAGTAGGCTTAGGCTTAGTAGGCTTAGGCTTAGTAGGCTTAGACTTAGTAGGCTTAGACTTAGTAGGCTTAGGCCTTACGTATGTTAAGGTTACCACGACTCTTTGCCGGATACGATACTTTTTCAAATTTTAACCCACCCCCCTCCGCCAGATTCAAAAATTTTAAAAATCAAAGTTTTACCCTTCCTCAGCTCAACTACTACCTTCTACACTTGTTTAAAACACTATAATCGCCTTCGTAATGCGCAATAATAGCCTGTTCTAATCTCGTTTCCATCACCTGTGCGCGTAATTTTCGATGGGAAATGAGTGACAATGTCAGTGTCCGGTCAATTCGCTGTAATTGTTTTGCCATATACTTTGGTTTTCAAAGTTCAGTGAAATTTTCGTTAGGCGGGGTAAAAATACACATGGGTTTTAAAAATATTGTGTCGAGGGGGAGGGGGGGGGGGTCAAATTATACTTGATAAAAAATTGTGTTGGGCAAATTAAACCATATAGTTGAGTTTTTAAAACATCTTGTAGGGCCGGGTAAATATATATAAATTTTCAAAAATTTTGTGTTGGGCGGGGTAAAAAATGGAAAAATTTTTTTCATGAGGAATTTTTTTGGGTGTCGCTGTGTACAAAAAAAGATTGTTTTGCCTACATTGCCCCCTGGGCATGAATTTTGTAATTTTTTTCTCTACCCGCATTATGAGAAAAAAAATTTTTACCCTACCACCCGTTTCTAGCTACATCCCAGCCCACCAACGTTTTTTTCAATCCATAAATAATAGAAACAACAAGTGATCGGGAGATTTATCTTTCTGCTAATCAACTGATTAGACGGATCGGTTTTTTTTTCGGCCGTTCGCAAGGTGGCAAAAACAAAATTCGGGCCCGTTCCGCACATCGCTCATGCCCCACTCTTCGTTTCGGGTCGATTTTAATGGCAACATCGCCTATTATTTTCGAATGGGGCTATTAATTTGGGTATTGTTTGACGAGTTGTTTCGATTGTTTGTGAGGATTTGACAAATTAGTCTTGCTGCCTTTTCTGACAACCGTTTTTTTTTCGCTGGAGGCGGGTTTTTTAGATAGTGCATGTGTCAGTAGGGGTAGTTTTTGATCATCCGGAATAATTGGGGGGGGTATTTTTAATAGTATACATTGTAAATTGACATTTTCAAACTGTGCAATCTTCAGCTGAGCCTTAACGTACTAGGCCTCAGCCTACTAAGCCAAAGCCTACTAAGCCTAAGCCTACTAAGCCTAAGCCTACTAAGCCTAAGCCTACTAAGCCTAAGCCTACTAAGCCTAAGCCTACTAAGCCGGATAAGCCTAAGCCTACTAAGCCTAAGCCTACTAAGCCTAAGCCTACTAAGCAAGCCTACTAAGCCTAAGCCTACTAAGCCTAAGCCTACTAAGCCTAAGCCTACTAAGCCTAAGCCTACTAAGCCTAAGCCTACTAAGCCAAAGCCTACTAAGCCTAAGCCTACTAAGCCTAAACCTACTAAGCCTAAGCCTACTAAGCCTAAGCCTACTAAGCCTAAGCCTACTAAGCCTAAGCCTACTAAGCCTAAGCCTACTAAGCCTAAGCCTACTAAGCCTAAGCCTACTAAGCCTAAGCCTACTAAGCCTAAGCTTACAAGCCTAAGCCTACTAAGCCTAAGCTTACTAAGCCTAAGCTTACTAAGCGTACTAAGTCTAAAATTACTAAGCCTAACCCCACCAATCAAAAGCCTACCACCACTCATAAATTTGTGTATTCAAAACATAGGTTTTTCTATTTAATTTTACACACAGCAACTGCCGAATCCGTATTTTACCTTTCCTTACTAAAAAAAGAATCGTGGTAACCTTAACATATGTAAGGCCTAAGTCTACTAAGCCTGAGCCTACTAAGATTAAGCCTACTAAGTTTAAGCCTACTAGCCTAAGCCTACTAAGCCTAAGCCTACTAAGCCAAAGCCTATTAAGCCAAAGCCTACTAAGCCTAAGCCTACTAAGCCTAAGCCTACTAAGCCTAAGCCTACTAAGCCTAAGCCTACTAAGCCTAAGCCTACTAAGCCAAAGCCTACTAAGCCAAAGCCTACTAAGCCTAAGCCTACTAAGCCTAAGCCTACTAAGCCTAAGCCTATTAAGCCTAAGCTTACAAGCCTAAGCCTACTAAGCCTAAGCTTACTAAGCGTACTAAGTCTAAAATTACTAAGCCTAACCCCACCAATCAAAAGCCTACCACCACTCATAAATTTGTGTATTCAAAACATAGGTTTTTCTATTTAATTTTACACACAGCAACTGCCGAATCCGTATTTTACCTTTCCTTACTAAAAAAAACCCATTTTTTACCTTTTCCACCGGTTTTTTTCCCGCAATTTTCCTTCAAAAAATTGACTCGAAATTACCGGGCTTCGTCCCAGTGCCTCGATTCTGTCAATCAAAGGGGTTGTTGCGAGCCCTCTGTCTACGGTTGTTCCGATGCCGCGATTCGCTCGGTTGACTCCGCCTTCCCATTCCCTTCGCCGGCTAATAATTTATCATTCTTTTGGAATTTTGCATGTAATCGAGCGGCCGTTTCGGGGCATTTATGGGTAGTTGAATAGGGCATGGGCTTCCTATACTAGGCATGGGGTTCTTATAAAGAGCATGGGTTTCTTATACAGAGCATGTGTTTCAAATATAAAGCATGGATTTCTCGTACAGAGCATAAGATTCTTATTCAAAGCCCACACAGATCATTTTAATTTTTTTTTGCAGAACTTTGTTTTTTTTATTAATAAAACTTATTTTACCCTTAGGGCCGTCAGTATGGGCTTAGCATTCAAGGGTAAAAAAGGGTGGAAAATTTGCTTTAGTAGCTAGCAGTAACCGTATCAAAACCTTTTTTGCATAAAAAATCCACAGGGGGGACCAAGTTCAAGTATTTTTTCAAAAAAAAAATTTCTCTTCTTCACCCCCTAGTCAGCCATAATGAAGATCCTAGTACTTATTTGAAATTTAAAATACTAAAACCTCTTATAACAAAAGCCAATTTAAGCCGAACAGCCCTCTTTTTCAAAACGCCCATGCCCTATAGGCTGTAATATGTATTATACATACGCCCTTTGTTAAGAAACCCATGCCCGGTAGACTATATATACGCATTGATTAAAAACCCATGCCCTATAAGCTATATATTCGCCCTTGATTAAAAAACCCATGCCCTGTAGACTATACAGCTTAGCGACCATATACAGGCTATAGCAACATGTTGCAAACCCATTTCGTTCACCACAAATTATTATGAATTGAAAACCGTTTGTTCACCCCCACCAACCCCAATTTTGGCGTTTTAAAAAAGGCGCAACGTCTTCAAGGTCTTAAAAGTATTTTTAAAACTTTCACCCCGAATGTAATCGAGAAGAATATTGTGCGGCTTTTCACGGTGTAATTTGCTTTTCATAAACAGTTGTGTTGACTGTTTATTGGGGCTGGTGGGCACGGATTTTGCTTACATTTCATTTATTTTTTCAAAAATCTTGAAAAATTTCAATTTTTTTTTAATTTTAAAATTTTTTAAATCTTGTCGTAACTAGCAAAAACTATCTTTCCAGCCTCCCAAAATCAGCCATGCCCAATATGATACCCCTTATTTTACCATTTACTACCATTTTTCCCCAAAAACCTTTCAAAACCTTCGAAATTTTCAAAAACTTTGCCCTGATTTATGTGTTCTAAAACAGCCTCCGGGCCTAGTCGTTTTTTGATAGTGTCTAATGGGTTTGGTGATTAAAAAAATTAATCGATCTTTTGTTTCGAACGGCGTTAAGACGTTTTTTGGCCATAAATTTGACTCGCCTACCTGGGCGGATTGTACTTTTCTTGGACTTTGAAACGGCCAAACTTGAAATTGGGTGTTGTTGACAGTTTTGAGTATATTTCATTTTATTATTGTTGTATCGGGTAGTTGCTTGATTTTTATGATCGGTTTGGCTTTGGAAAGTCTATAAAAACTTAATATTTCGCCTAAAAATGACTAAAAATTAGCTTTTTTGGTCCAAAAACCTCCTAAAAACCTTAAAATTTCAGGTTTTATGCACGGGTTTTAAGCGATGTTAGGTCAGAATGCGGTAACTTGTCAACAGATCAATAATTTTTTAAATAAAAAAGTTCATACTCGACGGAATCAAGTACAACAGTCGATACATCAAGTCGTCAAGATAGTACAGGACGTGCTTAAAGATGTTGAACTACAGGAGCCTAGGTTCATACCCACGCTACTGGAGAATAATGGACGATATGAAGGGGTAAGGGTAATACCTAGACTTATTTTATAAACTAACAGCTATAGATTTCCTCTATAAAGCTATAGAGAATAGTTTTTGGTAAACACTGGACTGTAGTAGACAGTGGATAATAAAATTTAACTTTTTGTTGCCCAAAATCCTCTATTGATTTAATACCAACTCTTTCAGTTAATAGTCCACTCCCCAGAAGAGTACGAAGTCTTTCTCTACCTCAACCAAATGGGAGTCTTCAACTTCGTCGACGATGGTTCGATTCAAGGCTGTGCAGTTTTAAAACTCAGCGACGGCCGAAAACGAAGCATGTCATTATGGGTGGAGTTCATCACTGCCTCTGGATACCTATCAGCACGTAAAATACGAAGCAGATTCCAAGCTTTAGTGATGCAATCATGTGAGAAGCCACAATTCCGAGACAAATGCAAGGTTTTGAATGATAACAGTGACGTCAAACTCAAGATTTATGACAAGTTCGTAGTTACTGTGAGTTTTTGCTTTGTTTTTTGATTTTTAGAAGATTTGAATGGAGAGTGGTACCTTATAATGTTATTGTAGTGCATAAAGTCATTAAGAAAAAATTTTTTTGAAAAAAAATTCAACGTGGTCCCCCCTGTTAATTTTTGGAACAACTTAAAGTTTTTTACCTACCCCCCTCCTCTCTCAAAAATATATTTTTTATCACTTTACAACCTCTTAAAAGTTCTGTATTTTACCCTTTCAGGTAACTTGTGCCTTCCGTTGCAATGGAATCTGGCCCCGATCCGCTTCACACTGGCCCGCGCCCGGCTCTTCTTGGCCTGCCCCCGAAATCGTAAAGGAAGTTCACTACGAAGGCTTCGATCTACTGTCCAAAGACATGTCCGGTCCATTCCAAAACCAACTCCCACCTCAGAACGCGGCCAAGAACCAGGCCGCACAAAGTTCGATGGAAAGCGATGCTTGGGCGATCAGCATGGTGAATGCTGAAGATCATTTGCTTCGGCACGTGAATCGACGAATGGTTTATGCCATTCTGAAGACGCTACGTGATCGACACTTGAATTTCGCTGCTACACCCGTTTCGAATTACATTATCAAGACGTTGGTGTTGTACGAATGCGAGAAACATATCAACGATGCCGAGTGGCACGAGTTTTGTTTGGGCGACCGGGTTATTGGTGGGTTTTTCAAGGGTCTTTGAAGGTTTTGGGGGATTTTTTAAATTTTTAAGGAGTTCTAAAGGTGTTTAAGATAACTATGATTCTTCCTGATTGTGCTACGCAATTTTGGCCCTTCTTTAATATTTTTCAAAAAAAAATTTTTTTGAGAAATATTGAACTTGGTCCCCCTGTTGATTTTTGAAAAAAGTTTAATATTTCCCTCTACCCAGGCCAAAATCGCCCTTGATTATGAACTATTTTAAAGATTTCTGTTTCATTCTTTACCATTTTTCCAAAGTTTTTTGGTGGGCATGGGTTTTTTAACCCCAAAAAATATTTTTTTAATTTTTCTAATTTTGGTAACTCAACAGCCCCTGTCCACGCTTATCCTTTAAATTTCTTTAAAATTCACCCCCATTTCAGGCGTGCTGCTACAACTAGTAAGCTGTTTGCAATGTCACAAATGTCCGCATTATTTTATTCCGTCGTTGGACTTGTTCCGCGGCCATTCCTCCCACTTATTGGACCATTCAGCCAAGGCGGTTTGGGCTTTGGTGCGGCAATTGTTGTTATCGAGTCGAGCTTTGGAGTGTTTGTAAATTCTTGTTTTGATCATGTATTAATAGTCAATGTTCTTTATTAAATATTATTGACGCTTCAAGGGTATTTTTGATTTTCATTGGTTTTTTGAAGGTTTTTTGAGAGTTTTGAGGGCATTTTTTCTTGATGTTTTGATAGTTTCTCTTGTTTTCTTGAACATAATTAAGTTTTTCATTCATTTCTTATATTGTTTTATAATTTTTTTTCAAATCTTGTCTAATATTTTATATTTTTTCTTCACCTCTTTTCCAACCATTTTTGCCTCAAAAAATACTAAAATTCAAGAAATTTTCACTACTTCAAACCAAAATCATTTCTTTTTCAAATTGAAAGCCTTCAAAGCACCGTATTCCCTTCGCTAATGTTTTCGCCTTCCTCGAATGAGTAAAAGCGAGTGAGGAAAGTGAGGGTTGTCACTTTTCATTTGAATCAAACTCTTTCCAAATTCATTTTCTCGCTTTGAAATTTGGCTCAAAAATATAATACGAGGGAATTTGAATAATCTTTCGGAATAACGTAGTTTTGCTTAAAATAAGCCTAAACAAGGGTTTTTAGACCGAAATAAGCCTAATACGTTCAATTGGCTTAAGATAAGCTTAAATAAGCTTTTTGTAGATTCAATTAAGCCTAATACGTTTACATGGCTTGAAATAAGCCTGGTTTTTTCTAAAAAGCCTAGCCAAATTCAGCTTTTTTTCAATATAAGCCTAACATGTTAACTTGCCTTAAAATAAGCCTGAAACTAAAAAATAAGCCTAACCTCAAAAGTTTTGGCCAAAATTAATCTTCTCACCATAAAAATAAGCCTAATACCTTAACTTAGCTTAAAATAAGCCCAAATTTTTCAAATAAGCCTAAAATGAAAAATAAGCCTAACCTAAATATTTGGCAATTAAAAAATTTTTTAAACTAAAAATAAGCCTAAATTTCACAAATTAAGCCTAAATTTAGCAAAAAAAAATAAAAAAAAGTTTTTAAACCCACCTTTGGATCCAACTTTTTGTAGGCCGGATCTTCCTCATCCGCGTCGAAGTAAACGTCCGATTGGGTGATACTGACCGTGCCCGGAACGGCCACAACCGATGCGATCAGTTGGGCTGGGGTGCTGAATGAGGCTCTTTCTGAAAGGTATTAAATTAAAATTTTTAAATTTATGTTTTGTCATGACATTTTTGCAAGTTTTCAAACCCGCGAAATTTCAAATTTAAATTTCCCGCCAAATTTTCAAATTTTAATTTCCACGACAAACTTTTTTAAACTGAAATTCCCAGCCCTAAAGGACTGTCCTCCCCTCCCTCCTATCCAAAACTTTTCAACCCCCCTCCTCCCCTTTTCTATTCAAGAAGATTAACCCACCCAACAAAAACACCGCCCAAACCTCCTTACCTCCCCTCTGCTCCCTGGCCTCAATCTCCTCGTTGGCCCACTTCTCAATGTCGGATTCATCGACCAGTTCCTGGGCCAGCTGGTTGCTTCTTCCGGTTGTTATCATTCGTTTGGCCAAATCTTTCAGGACCTTTTCCCGTTCGTCTTCTGACAGTTTTTCCAGTTCGGCTTCGGCATCTTTGCTCTCTTTCGACTGGGATACGACGGCTTCTGGATGTGTGGTACCGAAAATGTTTGGTACGAAACGTTTGCGACGTCTTGAGTCGTCTTCCCATGGGTCTAGGCGCCAGAAGGTTTGTCTGTAAGTGGAGAAGTTTAAGTGCAATACCATAGCTTAAGCTACGTTATTCTACTCTGCAAAACCCTATCTTACCCTAACCTACCTTAACCTACCCTACTTTACCTTACCTTACCCTACATTATCCTACCCTACCTTACCTTACCTAACCCTACACTATCATACCCTACCTTAACTTACCTAACCCTACAATATCCTACCCTACCTACTCATATTAATCTACATTTTTCTCTCTGTTCTTCATCTCCACACTTACCTTTTGCCCTGCTCCTCCGCCCAAGGACCACTTGGACTGACCAGCACATTCCTCGTCCTCTCCAAGCTCTTAGCCGCAATAGCAAAATCCCTCCTTCTAGCCGACTGAATCAGATGATCCGTGATCTTGGTCTCCTTTCTTCGTCCTTCCAGCTCTTCGGCCGAATCCTCATCAAACTTTGTGTGCTTCTGAGCATCTTCCGCGCTCAACCTCTTCAATATATAGTCGGCTTCATTTGCTACACGAACGATATGATCTCTTGTAGCATGTGCCATTAGACGGCCTTCGTTCACCAGCTCAATAAAGGCTAGTCCGGCGTGTTTTTGAAGACTGGTTTGCCATTCCTGTGAGCACAACAACATGACCAACTCGATGACACTGCCATTTTGGTTCTTCAGGGTTTGCATTACCTTGATATCGGTCATGATTTCTTGCGAATGGGTCCCTAGCAAGGTTTTTTGGAGGAATGAGCGGAAGTCTGCCATAATCTCTCGGAATAATGGAGATACGGATTCAAGAGACTTCTGAAGTTTGTCGGTCAGGTAGATACGACGTTCACCCGCGTCGAATTGTTTCACGTTCTCCGCTGTGAATCTAAAATGACGACTTTTAAATTTGTTACCTCAAGCTTTTTTTCAAAAATTGTTGCTTAAAATTCTGTTCTTTCTTAAATTTATTGCCTAAAATACTATTTTTTCAAAAATTTGTTACCTAAACTGCCACTTTTTCTATATTTGTTACCTAAACTGCCACTTTTTCTGAAGTTGTTATTTAAAATACCATTTTTTCCAAATCTGTTACCTAAAATTCTATTTTTTCTCAAATTGTTACCCAAATTACCATTTTTTCGTAAATTTGTTACCTAAAATACGATTTTTTCCAAAATTTATTACTTAAACTGCCATTTTTCAAAATTTATTACCTAAAATTATATTTTTTCAAAAATTTGTTACCTAAAATCAAATTTTTTCTATATTTGTTACCTAAAATTGCATTTTCTTCACAAATTGTTACCTAAAATGATTTTTTTTCCAAAATCAACCCTCTCCCCTCAAACCCATACCTCTGAAGATGATTTTCGTCGTATTTTCCGTCGTCCTCAATAACAACTTGTTCATCATCGAACTTGATGGCTGAGATTCCACCATTCAGTTCAGTGACATTTTCTTTTTCATCGCCTGATTCGGCCGATGAATCCGCGACTTTTTCAATCCCGTTTGATGGTTTTGGGTCTTCCGAGTCCTTGTCGCTTCCATTTTCACTTTCCTTGTCTTGGTTTTGAGGGTTTGAGACTGAGGAATGGGCTGATTGGCTTTCTACTATAACATGATCGTATATTAGGTTGAACCAAAAGTAGCGGGACACTTTTTAGTTGAAAGATAAGTGAAAAATGTCCCGATACTTTTTGTTCAACCTGATATTTAAAATTTAAAAAATTTTTTATTCACAAAATTTACAATTTTTAAAAATTAAAAAATTTTTTTTTCAAAATTTTCAATAAAATTTCATTTCTAAACCCACCCGACTTCCTTCTAGCCGAGCTGTCCGAGTTCGTGTCAAAAAATGGACTTGGCGATGTTGGTGGCTCCAAGATGTCTCTGTACCTAGACACCATTAGCACACTCAAGAAGTAAACGACCGCCAGAGCCAAGAACTGTGCCTGTCGATTCTCCTCCATGTCTCTGTAGATGACTCCCTTCAGGCGTTGCATATCCACCTCTTGTAGGAGGCGGTCCATGTTCGAGATGCCCTTGTTCGGGTCCTTCTGAAGCACACCGTCGCATAAAATACCGCACAGAATCTTGTTAGGTTAGTCACGTTACAACACAAACTTACATTGTCCAGGGCGCCGTCGATGAACTCGAGGATGGCCGTGTACTTTTGGCGATGTTTTACCGTGTGTTCGCTGAAGCCGCGCTCTTTTTGGCCCACGCGGCAGGCTAGGATGTTGCGGACGGCCATTGTTGATACTGAAAATAGCATTTTATTTGTTTAGAGGGTTAGAAATGGCATTATTATTTGTTTCAAAAGCCTAAAATTCAAAGTAAAAAACTGTTACCTAAAATATCATTTTTTGCCATTATTAAGCCTAAAAACCTCATTTTTGTTATCTAAATAATTTTTCGCCAAATTAAGCATAAAAACTTTATTTTTGTCCGAAATTTCTGTTTTGTTACCTAAACATTAATTTTTGACCAAATGGGCACCAAAAGTCTACTCTTGTTACCTAAACATCACTTCTTGAGTATAAGACATAAAAAACCCAACTTTTTTATCTAAACATCGATTTTTGCCTAAATTAAGCCTATTTAACTTCATATTTGTTACCTAAAAACCAACTTTTTTTCAAAAATTCTATTAATAAAGTCACTATACCACTTACCCAATCTCAAGCTTTGCCTTAAAATCCCACCAGGGGGCATATTCTTTTCCTGTTCCAGTTCACTGAAGCTGACTCCACTGATAAAGATGAAGGTATCGGCCAGCTCAACGAATCTTGTCAAGAACCCTACAGCCGTTTTAATGCTGATATCCTGATGCGTGTTGTCTTGAATTTCCAATTCCGAGTTGGGTGATGTAGCAGCGGCCAGGAGGGGTAGTAGACCACCACAGGCCATGATTAAGCTGTCTGATAGCTGTGACAAAACATGTACGGTGTTCGAGACGAATACCTGATTGTCATTACTGTTGACATGGTCGACTAGTGGGGTTTGAGATTGGGCCCATTCTTCTACTACTTTTTCGATATTCTTGAGCAGATCATCTAGTAGACGGACATGAACATCGCTCCAGGCAAAGTCTGGCGTACGGTAGATGGCTGTGGGTCCTTCGTCTTGTTTCTTAAGATCTGTCAATTGATTTTCGGCCGATTCTGATGAATTTCCGTTGCTTTGGCAGGCTTTTTCTTTTGATTTTCTGAGGTTTTTCTCCATTGATACCTAAAAAATTGTAAATCACGTGTTGCTTTAAAATTTTTAAAAATTGTTACCTAAAAACCAAAAAAAATTTTTTTTATTATCTAAAATTTAAAAAAAAAAGGTTTTTGTTACCAAAAAATTTTAAAAAATCAATTTTTGTTACCTAAAAATAGCAAAAAAATTTTTGTTACCTAAAAACAAAAAAAGTTTTTGTTACCTAAAAATCAACAAAAAGCCTTTCCTGTTTCCTAAAACCTTAAAAACTCAAAAATTTGCACTTTATTCAGTATATTATTCAAATAGCTTACTTTCGAATGAGCAATAGCCAACGTATCCACCCAAACTCTCCACCCTCCGTACTCCAATCGAATCGCATGGTACAACAAGATGGCAAAAAGTTCATAGACCAGCTCAGATATTGTCGCTTCCATGTCATTCTTGGGATAGACATACGCCAATGATATTAGCCATTCTTGCCATACGGACATCTGAAGGACGATTCGTCTGTTTTCCCTTGATTCCTTGCACATTTTGATCAGATCGATAACGTAGATGCGCTTTACCTCCATCAGCTCTGGTGTTTGTTCACTTTGCTCCAACAAGTTGGCAATGACTTTTAGTAGGGCTGAGTTCTCGAATCTCAACGTTTCGTATTGATATTCTTCACGTTTGGCAAAGTTCACGTCACATGTTACTCGTTCCACCAGGATTTCGAACAGAACGTTGTAGGTTTTGGCTGATAAGCTCTTGGTGTTGTTCAGGAGACGTTGTGATAGGAGGTGGAGAAGGTTTAGTTGATTCACTGCTTCAGATTTTCGCCTGAAAATTAAAAATTTTAGGTAACAATTTGCCCAAAAAACTAATTTTTAGCTAAAAACTAGCTTTTCAACATTTAAGATAACAAAAAATCCAAAATTCACTATTTTTCATAATTTTTTTTTCAAATTTTTAGTCGTAAAGCAGCTAAAAACAAATTTTTTCATAATTTTAGGTAACAAACCTATAAAAATCCCTATTTCTTCAAACTTTAATACCTAAAACACCTACTTAGCAGTGCTTCGACACAAGAAGCTTCCAAAAATCTTGAGACTAGTCAGCCTGACAGTTTCATTTCCACTACCCAGCAGCTTAAAAATGACCGCAGTTCCTTTTTTCTTGTCAAAGGCTGGGATCATGACAGCCGGCTGGTCGCTCATGAGTCTCATGATGAAGGTTAGGACATCGTACATGTTTTCGTCTTCTGATTCGGTTGATATGAAATTGAAAAGACATTGAAGTTCCTCGTCTCGTTTTGTTTCTTTCTCGTCTTGAAAGTTGGTTGGGACTGTTTGGAAGACCAATCGGTTGATTAGCTGAACATAAAATAATTTAAATTAAGAAACTTGAATTTAATATTACCTAAAGTTAAAATATCGTATATAAATCATTTTTAAAGCCGTATCAACTCTATTATAATTAAGTTTTCAAAATTTTTCTTTTCAACTGTTACCTAAAAATTTTGTTTTTTTTCAAAAACGACCGGTCGAAAAACCTACAAAATGTCATCCTCTTAATATGTAGACCATTTTTTATTTATATAACCACGTAGTACCCAAATTTTCAAAATTTTTTTTTTCAAAATCGACCGGTCGAAAAACCAAAGTGCCATTTCTAGTCTACATATCCCATTTTTTAAGCTACATAAACAATCCATTTCTTGATTTACAAAAAAATTATAATTTTTTTACCTAAAATCTAATTTTAAAATATCGACCGGTCGAAAAAAAAAATTTACTATCCCCATTCCTAAAATCCCTTTTTATGTTTTTTACTACCAATTGGCCTTCCCAAAACATCTTTTCATTTTTAACACCCCGCCCCCGAAAAACATTTTTTTTTATTTTTTTACCACTCCACCCCCGAAAAACAATTTTTTAATTTTTCACCACCCCTACCCAAAAAATCCATTTCGAAACCCTACCTGTAACATAGCCGATCTCACCCTGATAACCGAGCTTCTGTCCAATTTATCTTCTCCATTCTCATTTAACCTCAATGCTTTGACTTTCTCCGATTTACCAGTCGGTACCATCCAGTAGTAGTTCCTTATGGCGTTCATCAACTGTACCACAATTGGTGTTCGCCTCACGTATGTCACATTGACGGGGTTTGTGAACAAATCAATGGCCAGATATTCGTATAGTCTGACTTGGATCAGGGCTGAAGCTCGGATCCATAGTGGTGGGGCGAAGAATACGTGTTCTATGAGTTGTTTTAGGAGGGGTACACCCGTGGGGCTGTTGATGAGTTGTTTTGTGATATTGATAAAGGAGTCCAGTACCATGACACTCAAATGTTGAGGAGAGGCGGCGTGTTGGAGTACGTGGGCGATGATGACAAAGCCTTGAGAGTAAAAGAGTTGTTGTTGGGCTCGGATCGAGGTCTCCAGCAACAGGGATATCACAGACAACATGGATGAGCTAAAATTTCATTTTTTTTTTAATTTTAAAATTTCATAAAATCAATTTTTTCAAAACTTTGTTACCTAAAAAGCAACTTTCTTAATTAAAAATCTATTTTGTTAGCTGTAATTAATTTTATTACCTAAAAACATAATATCTCTACCCAAAGCCAATTTAAATCCCTTACCATAATTCGTAGTCCAATTGAGGTTCGCCTTCGTGCGGAAGGTCGATTTGAGCAAATAATGGCAACAACATTTGAATTCCACCAACTGAATGAAGCGAATTGTGGATTGAGTGAGTGGTTATCACTTCAACTGGCTGAAAAAAACATTTTTATATAATAAAATTGCAAGAACTTTCTTTACAAAACAAAAAATGACTACTTTTTGCTTTCCTTAAAAACCGTAAATTTCAAAATTTTTCAAAAAAATTTGTTACCTAAAATTTAAATTTTCCAAACAAATCGCTTAAAAGGCACAAAATCATCTTAAAGTGACACAGAATGACCATAAAACTGCCACAAATCCATAAAAACTCTTAAAAAAATTTAAAAATTTTGTTACCTAAAATTTTAAAATATTCAAAAATATCCCATAACGTGCTAAAATAATTTTAAAAAGTCTACCACACCCACAAAAAAGCAATTTAAAACTTATAAAAGCACCATAACCTCTAAAAATTTCAAAAAAAAATTGTTACCTAAAATTTTTAAATTTTCAAAACAAAACTGAAAATACACAAAATAACACACAAAATAGCTCTCAAACCCTTAAATTCTCCTTCAAACCTCAACATCTCTTTAAAAAACCAATAAGCTATCAAAACCTCAACTTACATCCTTCATAACAGCATGAGGAATCTGAACAAAGTAATCAGACTTTCCTCCATTGTACAGACACAACTGGCCATGACAATTCTTAGGTGAATACGCAAAAACCAGCCAATTGTGTAGTCGTCCATCGAATAGATGCTTCTTGTAGCCTTCTGGAAGATTAGATTCGGCATCGTGCTTGAACAAAGATTGATATGTTGGTCCTAAACTGAAGAGACAATTGGCTTGGTCTAGCGACAAATGTTGTGAGAATAAGTATATGGCCCCAAGTTGGCCACAGAACGCTTCGTTTAGGTTTGGCTCAGGACCACAGCCAACAAAACAGCGGTCAAAGTTCTCGGACGTGTTGACGTACCTAAAATAAGGTGAAATTAGCTTTTTAAGTAAAGAAAACCAAAATTTCCGAAAAAAACTTTTTCAAAAGGTCAATAATTTATATAAAATTTAAAAACTGCCAAAACTTTTTCTTTACCTGCACGGTGCAAAAGGTTTTTGTATTGCACGGTGCAGTGATTATTTAAAAATTTGTTGTGCCATTCTGTTTAAAGATATCAAAGTGAAATTAGTTGTAATAGCTTTTTATTAATGCTGACTAAACGTTATAACAAGAATTGATACCTAAAATAAGCTACAAGTTGAACAGTGCAAGATATAACAATCGTTGCACAGTGCAAAACGACAAAATATTGCATATGCAGCAAAACTGAATTTATAATTAAAAAGCATTTCATAAAATGTCAAAAACTTTCTTTACAGGACAAAAAATGACAGAAACTTTCTTTACAAAGCAAAAATAGCAAGAACTTTCTTTACAGCACAAAAATGTCAAAACCTTTCTTTGAAAAACCAAAAACAGAGTCCTAAAACCGCAATAACTTTCTTTCCACTTCCCCATACCTACCAAGAATTGTAGATCGTCTCAACCAAGTTACCATCAATGTAGCACTGTATTTCACTTTGACCCCAGCGTGCGTAGACGAATGATAATACAACGTGATGCCATTTTCTTGATGAAAATTCGAATTTAATGCACTTTGTCACTTCTTTACTCGTACCTCGTTTTATATTGAGTACTAGGCATGCTCCCATAAAATAGGCCGTATATCCCAGTCCTTTAGTTGTCTTGAAACTAGAAAAAATAAAAATTAGTTAGAGTCGCTATGAAAATGACATTAAAATCTCTATAAAATTATATACTATCATAGAGAACGTAATTTCCAGCCAAGACACCAAAACTCGTATTTTACAAAACAAAATCTGTCAAAATCTTGAACCTTATCACAATTGTCAATAACTTACTCAAATAATATTGGTTTTTCTTTTTCAAAATTGACACTATTCAGCGGATCCATTCTGAACCACGTACTGAACGTCCAGCCATTTTGGTACGGCCATTTTGACAGCGGAGGCAAAGCAATACCCTAAAGCAATATAACACATCAATCAGTACACTTCTCTACTTCTTTTAACATTAAAATACTAACAATCGACTAACCATTGACCAATTTATGCCCATTTATATTAACCACACCTAAAAGCCAACAAAAATAATATAAAATTAACATACCGCTCCAGCATTGCCTGGGAATGAGAAGAAAACGTCGCAGCCATCTCGTTTTGGCATCTCCAACATTACTTTTAATAGTTTAGCAGAGTTTCGTCGCTAAAAAATTTAAAAGTTAAAGTTACTTAAATATTAGCAAATATCAGCCCTTAAAGATCAAAAATGCCATTTTTTATATAACCCTCCTGCCAAAACTAATGAAAAATATACTCAACAACTTGTATATACTCTAGATAAACTTTTCCAACAACAAAAACGTTTAAAATCAACCGTCTTCTTACCCATTTGCCGTCTTCAGCTTGAAGTGCCCTTAGAAAATGTTTGGTTTCCTTGACTGTGATTGAATAATTTGTCAATACCGATAACAATTCAACCAGTAGATCAGCTACTTTAGCATCAGCCGTTGGTATCCTATCCAGAAACACTGATATCAATCCAATTCGAGTGCATTTCTCAAGATTTCTAAACGATTTCCGACAAATTCCAACAAAAACCGTCAATATCTTCACCTAAAATAAGGTTTCTAATTTTTATCGGTCGTTTTATAATAAATTAGTAGCAGTTAATGTCTTTAGAAGCCTTTTTAATATCTCTAAAATCAAAAAACGTTAAAAATTCAATGGCTACCTGAAGCTCGACCGGAGCAGCATCCAAAACCTTCAGTAACCCTCGAATGTGTTCATGGCTAACAATCGAAAATCGGCTTTCTTTGTCAAATGGACCGCCAACCAACTAAAAAAACAAAATAAACAGAGATCTCAAACGTATTTTACATTATAACCAATATAGAAGCTATACAATTACCTAAAGATATAAAAACAACAAAATCCTTACCACATTGAACACTCCATCAACAATATCGCCAGAAACATAGTTGCCGTTATCGATAGCTTCAATTAGTCTAGCGTATGTTTCATCTGGACTTTCACCACTTCGATCTATTGTTGACTTCCGTTCTTGCAAGGCATAATGTTGGCTCATGGTTGAATCCACGGTTTTCTAAACATAAATAATATAAACTGATAATCTTACCTGTTCTTCTGAAATTTCTAAAGTCTCAGCCCCTTTTCCAGCTTCATTAATATCTTCCTCAACTATTTCTTCCTCTTTTCCGTACGATTCAAGCGTCTGTTCAGAGTTTGCAGCCTCTTCATCTTCTACTTGTTCATCTACTTGCCCAAGACCAGGTTCCTCTTCCAACTGAACTGATTCCATTGATTCGTTGTCAAACGTTAACGAATGTTTAACTCTAACTTCAGGTAACTTCCTATCTTCATTTATACCAGATTGGACACCGTTTTCGACCTCTTCTGGCTCATGATCTTCTCCCCGTGCTACTTCAACTGAATCCCTTGTAATTTCAGACGTTTCAATGGTCGTATCTTGACCATTCTGACCAGTATCTTGCATCATACTGTTCTACACGTAAAATAATTAAATGTATCCGTTTTGGCTAGTTACCTGCAAAGAAATAGGTATAAAAACTTGGTATAGTGCGCAAGAAATAATTTTTCCGAAAATCGAAAAATGTGGGACGCGAACTGGAAACGAAGACATGTTATACGAAGAAAGGTCGTTGTGTCATAAAAAGTGGCACAAAACGTCAATCAAAGCACGTTTAAAAAACGGAATTACAAGGATTTTTTACTTTATTAATAAAAATTTCAAAATTTAAAACCAACGCCCTCAAAAACATGTTATAGTACCTCCAGTAGTGTGAAGATAAAACCAGCTGGAAACGATAGAAAAAACTCGAAAACATGGAATATTAAATTTGGTCAGTTGCCATAGACCTATTTCAGTAAAATTTTAGCAAAAAAGCCGATAAAAACTCGAATGCAAACGTGGCACACCCAAAAACACTTTGGCTGGTGATCAGGTGTCTACTATAACATCAATTATTGTCGTTCTAAACCATTTTTTGATAGTTTAAGTTATTTTTGTGGTAATAATAAGTCGTTTTGTCTATAATATCTAAAAAAGTAAAAAAAAAATTTTTGAAATTTTGAAAAAAAATCCACAGGGGAGACCCTGTTCAATTTTAACCTAAATTTATAAAATGCAAATGTTTGCCCATAAGCTAAATTTTTTTGAACAAATTTTAAAAGATATAGATTTTCAAAGCTCCTTTATACATTCGAGTCAAACCTCGGTTGAATAAACTTATTGTAAAAGCGAGAAAAACATTTTTCTTTTTGGAAAAAATCTCGCGAAAAGGTCGGAAAATTTCGCCTCAAAATGGACAAAGAATCAAAACACTTGCTACAAAATGCATGAAACATCAGCAGTCATTTCTCCATTATTCGAGGCGTTAATATTGAATAATTAATGCTTTCAACCAATTCGCGGCCCCGTTGGCTTCTGGTCTTGGCGGCCGAAACTTGGGTTTGGGTCCTTAACTGAATTGTTTTGTAATTAAAGGGGGTTGAAAGAGTTTTTAGGTTGTTCATAAGCAAATAGAGGGTTAAAAGCCATAGCTTTTGAGAAATACAAAAAAAAATGGTAAGAACTTTCTTTACAAAACAAAAAATGGCAAGAACTTTCTTTACAAAACAAAAAATGGCAAGAACTTTCTTTACATATCGCAAATGGCTACAATTCCATTAAAAACCACATTTTCATACCCAAAAAGCTCTAACAGATCTAAAAAATTTAATTTTACCTCAAACCCTCCGTCCAAAAACATGAATAATATAATTTTTCCAGTACGTCTTCGTAAATTTTCGTATTGAAATGTAAAAAACAAGTAAATGGTGTACTCAATAAACAATTTCTTTTCATCTACCAACGACAATTTAGTGTTTGAGTATCGTAAAAGCACAGTAAAACGACTTTAAATTTGTTAATTGTTATAACAACCTGCAAAGCGTGGGATGATGACATTGTTTTTGAAGCCAAATAAAAGTTTTGTATGACAAAAAAGTGATTTTAAAGCAAAAATGATATTTTTGATAGTGATTACACAAAAAATAGCAAGAAATTTCTTTACAAACCAAAAAATTGCAAGAACTTTCTTTACAAGTCAAAAAATGGCAAGAACTTTCTTTACAATTCAAAAATCCAAAATCCATAAACTTTTTAAATTTTTGCACCGTGCAAAAAAAAAGCCAAAACTAACGACACGAAAAAGCCGAAAAATGACAAAATATTCAAAAAATATGTTATAGTGAACGTCAACAATTACATTTTTCCACTATATTAAGTATATATTCTTAATGCTCAACCCATCATTATGAATTTTTCCATGTTCAGCCATTTTTAGTACGAACGAGCCTTGTACTCATTAAAAGAAGAGTAAGAAACACATTCAAACAAAACGTCTTTCACAATGATTAAAAAAGTTTATTAGAACTTTGGTTGAAATAAAGCTAAAACTTTCTTTACAAAATGAAAAATGGCAAGAACATTGTTTACAAGACATACAATAGCAGAAACTTTCTTTACAGACTTTAAAATGGCAAGGACTTTGTTTGCAAAATGAAAAATAGCAAGAATTTCTTTACAGAACAAAATATGGCAAGAACTTTGTTTACAAGATAAAAAATGGTAAGAACTTTCTTTACAAAATAAAAAATGACAAGAACTTTCTTTAAAAGACAGAAAATGGCAATAAATTTCTTTACAGAACAAAATATAGTAAAAACTTTCTTTACAGAACTTAAAATAGCAAAAACTTTCTTTACAGCCTATCCTATCCTACTTTTACTAAAATGCCCACCAGTGCCCTGATCTGCCCTATTTTCTGTCCTACCCTACGATAACTTGCCTTGACGAACTGCTTTGTACCGCCTTGCCTTGCCCTATCCTACCTGGATTTACCTTGCCATACCCTACCATAATCTGCGCTTTTCTACCCTACCTTTACCTGCCTGTCGTTACCTGTCCTTTTTTACCTTACCTAACCTTTTAAAAGTCACCCCCACCCTTAAAACTTTCAAAAGCTTTACTCATCTCTCCCCCATCCCTCAAACGTTAAAAAACTTAAAAAAAAATAACTACCAAACCCTACCTTACGCCACCTTACCCTACCTAATCCAACCTTACCTTACCCTATCCTAGATTATGCAACCTTACCTTACCCAACCCTACTTTATCCAACGTTACCTTATCCTACCCTACCTTATCCAACCTTACCTTACCCTACCTTAAAAACCTCCCCCGTCCATAAAACTTTAAAAAACTTGAAAAACATAACCCCACTCCCCGAAAAGCCATGCTCATTAGCCTTTTTTTAAACGTGCACTTAACCCTCTTGATAAGCGTGTTCGTACTCGACGGCCGAAAGGGGGGAAGAGCCGCAAACTTTTCATCTCACAATTATTCGCCGTTTGTTGGAAAAAAGCAAAGGTTTTCGGACGTTTTTTTCCCGCAAACAAAAAATTATTCCCCACTGACTTGAGGCACGATGCGGCTCTAACAACAACTTTATATAACAAGGCGTGGCGAAAGCACATGGACTTAAGGAAGCGCGACGAGCAAATTGACCAGAAGTAAGGCCATTGTGGGTTAGAGAGGGAAGAAACGGGAACTTTTTAGCTGAGGTATAAGTTGAGGCAAAGTGATTATAATATTCTAACATCCTAATAATATTTAATTTTTTTCTTGATCAACTACAGTTCAAAATTTTGAAATGAAAAATCTTTTGGCCTAGTTATTACACATCATCAGAATTAGCTAATCTCTTAAATTCAGCCTTTTACCCTAAAACCTTATCGTAAACACTAGCCTACGACTAGGACTGAGTTACACCTAAGCCTAATCCCCAGCTTAAGCCTAAGTCAAGACCTATAAGTAAGCTTGTTACCTACCCGAATAGCTCACCCGGTATTACTCACCCTAAGCCCAAAAATTAGCCTAAACCTTAGTTTCTGAAACCTATCTTGAGGCGAATTTTATTCTTATCCCTAACCTAAGCCCTGGCTCTAGCCGAAGCCCTAGCCTAAGACCTAGTCTAAGCCTAAGCCTCATCCTAAGCCAAAGCCTAAGCCTAAGCCTAAGCCTAAGCCTAAGCCTAAGCCTAAGCCTAAGCCTAAGCCTAAGCCTCAGCCTAAGCCTAAGCCTAAGCCTAAGCCTAAGCCTAAGCCTAAGCCTGAGCCTGAGCCAAAGCCTAAGCCTAAGCTCTGGCTCTAGCCAAAGCCCTAGCTTTTGCCTCAGCTCTGGCCTTTGCCTTAGCCCTAGCTCAAGTTTGAACCTAAGCCTATGGCCTACCCTTAACCCTACCCCAAGTCCTACCCCAATTCTGAACCTAAACCTATAGCCTAGCCTTAGCCCTAGCCCAAGTCCTGGCTCTCCACAAACTTTACCCAATCCTACTCTATATGTACCAATATTAGTATTAACTCTAAGACCTAACGATGTTTCACAGTGCTAAACAAAAAAGTTTCAAACTTTCAAAAGTTTGAAGATGTTAGTCCAAACAAACCCTGAAGAATTTGATGTCGTTAAAACTTTTTTCTCAAATTTATGGCAAATTTTGACAAAAAACTGTCATTTCAAGAAACCAGCTTCTGTAAAATTGGATTTTTTAAATTTATAAAAATGAGTTAAGCCTAAGGGTAATACTATCCCCAGGGGTAAGGGTAAGACAAAGCTAGAGCTAAGGATGAGTTAGGGTTGGGATTGGGACTAGGGCGATTAGAACGGGAGCTAGAGGTGGGCTAAAGCTAAGGCTAAAGCCAGAGTTAGAGTTGATGCTCGGGCTAAAGCTAGAGTAAAGGCTAGAGCTAGGGCTCTGGGCTAGGGGTCTAGACTAGGGCTCTGGGCTAGGGCTAGGGTTAAGGCTACAGCTAGGTCAGAGCAAAACACTTACCAAATTTTGCACGTCCGGCTGCATCTGCACTATCATGGATAATATATGATAAAGACAACTCTTGCTACAACAAACTCTGTATACCCTACTTTATCCGTTACTGACAACAAGTGATCACCCTAGAGCCATTTCAATAAACATAAACAATTTTGCCACTTTATCAACACCCCACAGAAGTTTTATCACAAAATTCAAACGCCAAAACCACCTGATTGAGGGCGAGGCACGAAAATTGGCCCCAAGTTAAAGGAATTTTTGACCACCCCAACCCAAAAACATTCCTTTTTCGGAGTTCTCGACCCACTCTCGACATTAGGTCTGCGGTCTCTTCGTTTCGAATAGCCTCTCGGCTTTACCTGTCCACCTGAAATGGGCTTTTTCGTAAGGCAAAAACACTCGTTTCGAGCGAAGAGGACGATTGAGGTAAAATGGAAAAGATCTTGAAGATTGAAGAGAGTGCAAAGATGGGTTTTTCAATTGTTTTTATTAGTTTTGGAAGGAACTTTCTTTACAAACATGACTGATTTGAAATAATTTTTAATCGAAATCTCGAATTTTTAAACTTTTTTCAAATTAAAAATTTATTTATATTCAATTTTTTAACTTTTAGAAATTAAAAAATGTGTAAAAGTTGTTTTTAGGCCATTTTAAGACTTTTTGAAAGTGATAGTTGAGTGGAAGATTTTCAGTGCAAATTACATTACAAATCTTCCACTCAACTTCCACTTTTAAAAAAAGTCAAAAACGTGTTTTAGACTATTTTAAGACATTTAAAAAAATGGAAGTTCAGTGGAAGATTTACAGCGCAAATTACATTAAAAATCTTCCACTCAACTTTCATTTCTGTAAAATAGTCTTTTTCGACTTGTAAAGAAAATTTTTGTACTAAAATTAAAAATTCAAAAATTTTTTGAATTTTGGTACCCATCCTTCCTCTATATTGGAGCCAATCAGGGAAAACTAGAAAAAAAACTGTGCTCCACCTCATTCCTGGTTTAAAAACGCTTCTCCTACCCTACCCACGCCCTTCATAAAACAAATGAATCTTTAGAAAACTCAACCGGATACTATCATTACCTTTTAAAAGCCTTTTTCCTCTCAATACAATACCATATCACCTCGAAAAGTGGCAAAGAAAACAAAAGTACAGTCCATTCACGACGTCCTCAACCGGATCAACGTTTGCCTTTTCTTTGACTGCGTTCTCATTAAGTCAAGGTCATTCATATTCATCTGTTCGCTAATTTCTTTGCACCTTTCTCAACTGTTTTTGACTTGCTTTAGGTTCATTTGTCCGACAGACATGATAAAATAATAGTTTTATCGTGTTGTTCGGTTAAATTTGAGATTTTCTTCGAAAATTTGGGGCCTAAAATATATTTTTAATCATTTAAAAGCGAAAATCAACTCTAATCGTCTTAGTCAATTAAGAAAAAGACTCTCAAAAAGTCGCAGTACCAGAAAAAAAACAAAGTTTTGTTATTTAAAAACCAATATCATATCAAAAATGGCAATTAAAAGTAGAAACCTGACATTATCCATAGCAAAATCTCACAATAAAGTTAAAAATCCACAAAATTAAAAAATAAAAGAGGCAAACACCCTGTAAAATCCAAATTCCAATCAATACAATATCTTATTTATTTAGTTATGTACATCAAATAATGTTATTATAGACATTCATTCAGGTATATACTACAATATCGTTGTGAAATGCTTTTGAAAATGCGATTCAAATTAATTGAAAAAAATTAAAGTCATATAACTATATAATACTATATAAAAAATTGATTTGCTGTACATTATCTTTAAAAAAGTCGATTAATTTATATTAACATTGGCACACTTAACAAAAAGATCGTTTTCTAGCTTTTTCTATACCTAACTAGCCTTTTTTAGCTTGTAAAATAAAACAAGATCTCAAAGACCCTATAATATAGCTGATTTAATACTCTTCAACCATTAACAGTTGGTTAAAATTAGAAAAATATTATTAAAGTAACGCTGATATATTACACTTGACAAAAAAATGATTCTGGGCACAAATAAGAGGTACAGACACTGGTAATAAGACTAAAAGAAAGCTTAAGACTATGTTCCAGCTAAAGAATTAGCCAAACGTTGGCTGAGAGCAGTAAGTAACGTATAAAATGCCATTATCCGCCTGCATAGTCTGATAAAGCGCTCCAATTGGTACCGATTGCAAAACCAAATTAGTGCCGCCAACCATAAGGAAGATCGCTTCATTCTTTTTAATCTTGAGTCGACTCCTGACCAAAGCATACAGGTAAGAGACAGCTTGAGTGTCATCGATTAGGAACTTGTTGATCTTCATGTGATTGAGGGTCTTTTCCGCAAAATACGGAATAAAGACCACTGGCACCTTTCCTGGTTGACGTCGGAACAGTAGCTTCACTGGAACACCTTCTAAACATCAAACATCAATAAAGAAAGCAAAAACCTACTTGAATTTTGGTTTTCCAATGCGTTATCCACTAATTCTTCGATTTTGTGTACCTCAACATTTTGATACGCACATGTTTCGTCGTGCTGACCTTTCTCGCTAAATTTCATAACAGCACTACATCCTTGAGCTTTGTAGGCACATGGAAATTGAAACATTTCAACCATTTCCTCCAAAGCGCGGGATCTGCTCACACCTAAAGATTTTAGATATCACAACAGTATTATTCATAAATTTGAACCCGAACTTTGCTGAATTAAATTCTAAACTTTAAAAACAATAAAACAAAATTACTTACCATGTGGTTGACGGCATAACGGACAATTCTTCACGTTATCCAAGCAGCAATTGCATAAAATATGGCCATTCTTGCATTGGAAAAAGGGTGGTGAACATAGTTGGAAGCAGACGGGGCATTCTAGCTTCTGAAGCAGTTTGTCAACATTAATTGACTCTGCTAATGATATTGATTCGGTTAGATCGTTGTCGGCCATCGTATACGACGAATATACGATAAATTAGCGTAAAAAGAGAAAAAAAAATAAAATGTGACTGTTTTCGCCTCGCGCCCGGGCAATTTCATCTGAAAAACAAGTTTGCAGGCTGCAGCTTAATATTATACCGATTTTTTCTTTCAAAACGGTAAATACTATAAAAGTGCCGTGCTATTAGCATTACCCTTATATTATTCATCATTTAAAAAATATTTTCGATCAATTTTATTTTTTATTTTAATTCGATTAACTATATTATAGTAGTTGCTACGTCGCTGGAGCCGGTGCTCGTGCTGGAACGACATCATTTTGAAGTTTTCGAAGGAATCGTTTTTGTTTGAGCAAGTTTTGCATGGCGGCACGTTGGTCTCGTGTCTCCTGACGCCAGCGGCTTCGAAGACCGCTTAGGATACTGTATTCCTTCTTCTGTTTAGGCTTATCACTTTTGAAGTCACAGAATGGTTCCAGAGGCTGAAAATGGTACTATATTATTTCTAATAGTCTCTTTTAATTACTATTGTAATTCTAACTTGCTATAGCCTACCGTAGCTTTTAAGGCTACTGTAGGTTATTATCAAAACCCTACAGTATCCTTACCTACAGAAAAAACAAAAAACTTACAGTAATCCCTCCGCTTTTGTGGTATTCCTTCAGCTCCATCTGTCGATTCCTAAACATTACCCTGAAATTCATCTGGCCTCGAATCCATTCATTTCGCTTATCTCGGATTCTGATGTACCGTTGGCTTCGAAGCCGTCTCTTGTCCTTATCACTCAGGTTCAACGGATTCGCTGTTCTGTAGTATATGAAGATCATTAAGCCTATGGCGAGTACGGTGATGATTCCAAACGTGGCGGCGAACATCAAAAGATTCGTACGGCGAATACTGATGGCATAATTTGAATGTACCTCCACACATCGTGCCCAGTCTCGCGTGGCTACACAGTCGTTGTAGTCGTCACTGAAATTTACTGATCATTAGGTATATAATGCCATTTCTTGCTCTGTAAAGAAAGTTTTTGTCATTTCTTGCTCTGTAAAGAAAGTTTTTTTCATTTTTTGCTTTGTAAAGAAAGTTGTTGTCGTTTCTTGCTTTGTAAAGAAAATGCTTGCCGTTTTGTTTTGTAAAGAAAGTTCTTGCCGTTTTATGTTTCGTAAAGAAAGTTCTTGCCATTTATTAAGATAACTTACATAAAAGCCTGTTTCGACCAGTAAATATGATCCCATAACCAAGTAAAGTTACCCATCGTTTACTACAGTAGCAACAGAACATACATACGAATTTTTAAAACCGACCGGTTTATAGGTAAAAAGTAAAAAATAACTAATTGGGGGTTTTAAAAATTAGAAAAGTAATTTTCAGTCAAAATGGACGTTCGAAGATTTACTCCATCCTATCCTACCCAACCCTACCCTTTTAATGTTTATCGGCTGTTTTATACCAAATTCATTGTTATAAAAGTTTTTAGAGCTTCGTTAAGACCTCTAAAATCAAAAAAAAATAAATTAAAGATTACCTGAAGCTCAACCGGCGCAGCATCTAAAACCTTCAGTAACCCTCGAATGTGTTCATGGCTAACAATCGAAAATCGGCTTTCTTTGTCAAATGGACCGCCAACCAACTAAGAAAACAAAATAAACAGAGATCTCAAACGTATTTTACATTATAACCAATATAGAAGCTATACAATTACCTAAAGATATAAAAACAACAAAATCCTTACCACATTGAACACTCCATCTACAATATCGTTTGAAACGTAGTTGCCGTTATCGATAGCTTCAATTAACCTCTCGTATGGTTCATCTGGACTTTCACCACTTCGATCTATTGTTGACTTCCGTTCTTGTAACGCATAATGTTGGCTCATAGTTGAATCCACGGTTTTCTAAACATAAATAATATAAACTGATAATCTTACCTGTTCTTCTGAAATTTCTAAAGTCTCAGCCTCTTTTCCAGCTTCATTAATATCTTCCTCAACTATTTCTTCCTCTTTTCCGTACGACTCGAGCGTCTGTTCCGAGTTTGCAGCCTCTTCATCTTCTACTTGTTCATCTACTTGCCCAAGACCAGGTTCCTCTTCCAACTGAACTGATTTCATTGATTCGTTGTCAAAAGTTAACGAATGTTTAACTCTAACTTCAGGTAACTTCCGTTCTTCATTTACACCAGACTGAACTCCGTTTTCTACTTCTTCTGGCTCATAATCCTCTCCTCTTGCTACTTCAACTGAATCCGTTAAAATTTCAGACGTTTCAATGGTCGTATCTTGACCATTCTGACCAGTATCTTGCATCATACTGTTCTACACGTAAAATAATTAAATGTATCCGTTTTGGCTAGTTACCTGCAAAGAAATAGGTATAAAAACTTGGTATAGTGCGCAAGAAATAATTTTTTTCCGAAAATCGAAAAATGTGGGACGCGAACTGGAAACGAAGACATGTTATACGAAGAAAGGTCGTTGTGTCATAAAAAGTGGCACAAAACGTCAATCAAAGCACGTTTTAATGAAAACGGATAAAGATACAACGATTTTTTACTTTATTAATTAAAATTTTAAAATTTTAAAACCAACGCCCTCAAAAACATGTTATAGTACCTCCAGTAGTGTGAAGATAAAACCAGCTGGAAACGATAGAAAAAACTCGAAAACATGGAATATTAAATTTGGTCAGTTGCCATAGACCTATTTCAGTAAATTTTTAGCAAAAAAGCCGATAAAAACTCGAATGCGAACGTGGCACACCCAAAACACTCTGGCTTGTAGTCAGGTGTCTACTATAACATCAATTATTGTCGTTTTAAACCATTTTTTGATAGTTTAAATGATTTTAATAATATCAATAAGTCGTTTTGGTTATTAATTTTTAAAAAAATTTTTTAAAATTTTTTTGAGATTTTGAAAAAAATCCACAGGGGGGAGGACCCTGGTGAATTTTAGGCCAAAATTTTTTAAATTTAAATTTTCTCCCGTAAACTAAATTTTTTCGAATAAATTTTAAAAGATATAGAGTTTCAAGGCTCTTTTTATACATTAGAGTCGAACCTCGGTTCAATAACGTTATTGTAAAAGCGAGAAAAACATTTTTCTTTTTGGGAAAAATCTCGCGAAAAGGTCGGAAAATAAAAATTTTCGCCTCAAAATGGACAAAGAATCAAAACACTTGCTACAAAATGCATGAAAGGGACAAATGCGGTTTTCGGAAATTTGCGGATCTGCGGTTTTTAGACACTTGCGGATTTTTTAAAGGTTTTTTTTTAAATTTTTTTAAAAAGGGATTTGAAAAACATTGGAACAATTTTACTAAATAATCTTATTCTTATGGTGTACAGGGGGAGGGGCAGGGGCAGGGAGTTTCAAGTGGTTACGTAACTACGCGTTACACAATAGCAGGAAAAACTATAAAGGCTCCGCTGCATTTCGCAGAAGATAAAATATTTGCCGGCGTGCAATACACAATCTTAATAGGGAATGATGTAACAAATACTTGTTTCACATTATTGACCATTTTTCAAAATATTTAGTAACTGTCGCCTTTCCCGACATGACAGCAAAGACATTGGCCCATGCGCTAGTCTCAAACTTTTACTATATTTACGGTACTCCTACCGAGTTAACAAGTGACAATCAATCATCTTTCACCTCTGAATTTTTCACCCAAGTTCATAAATTACTAAATATTCATAAACGGTTTAGCACCCCATATCATTCCATGGGAAATGCTGTATGCGAACGAAGCTTTCGTACAATTGAAAATATGCTCGGTAAATACGTGAGCGAAAGAACTGACGATTATGACGAATTTTTAAGTGCGATAACCTTCGCATATAACTCAAGTGCACACGCCACAACTGGCGAAACGCCGTTTTTTCTTATATTTGGCCGTGATCCGGTCATGCCCATAGAACCTCTGCTTAACTCTAGAGCTATTGTGTCATATAGCGATGCAGACATAGGACTCTATTCCAGAGCCTTAATTACCTCACTAAATGCAGCGTATAAAGCAGCGGCAACAACACTTGCCAAAAATGCAGAAGAAATGAAATTAAGGTATGATAAGTATAGTAAAAATACCAACCTTGTAGAAGGTAGTTTAGTAATGTTAAAACGAAGAACTGGAATTCCCGGCATTGACCCTAAACTTTTGTCGACTTGGATAGGTGCTTATCGTATCATTGAATTATGTATTCCTCATGCAATTATTGTCAGCTTGGAAGACCCGAGAAAGCATCCAATCAGAGTTCACCTTAATCAGGTCAAGCGGTATAATCCGCCGACTAGTCCACTGTTTTCCAATCAGGCCGATCTCAACGATTTGGCCACGCCCAACCAACAAAATGTCCCAATGCCAGGACACAATCATCAGATCACCCCCGGTTACCAGATGCTACACGGCAACCCTGACCCTATTAAACCAACTCATTCTTACGAGTTGCAACCTCGCAGGACGGCTGGCCCGTGATAACCCGCGTGACAAATCAAGTAATTATTTTTTGATTTCAGAATGATGCGAATTTCGCAAAGCCTCGAGAGTCTTCAGCTCGATCCCGAACAACAACATGCCAACATTGTAGATGGTCTACCAGGACAAGGTGCAGAGATGGCTCCAAACGCTATGGCGGCCGAACTTGATTTCGGCATACAAGTCAACGATGCCATGGACAACTTCTTTGATCAAGATGTTGGTATTGGTCAAAACGACGCAATTGGTCATCACATGAGAATTGGGCAAGTGGACGAGTTGGACGATGGAAATGGCATGGATCACGATGCTGGTCATGGAGTTGGAAATGGTCTACATGGTCAAAATAGAGTGGATGGTCAGATGCCGCAGCGTCAAGCCGTGGAAATGCACATGCCAAACAACCAAGAAATGGGTCGACTGGAAAGTAATAGAGAAGCAGGTAGAGTTCAAAATCCAAATGCGCCTAGGGTCCCTCCCCAGCATTTATTTCGCTATACTGTAAATACTAGTATTACGAACTTAGGAAACATTCAGAGGCGTGCATCACGCCACCTTTTAAGTAGCGCATACACGACCCCATACGACAACCTGACTACAGGTAGCGAACAGAGAATGGCTGAGCCACTTTATATTCGGCTCACTCGTAGCCTGGGATGTTTGTCCGTCGGAACAAACGAGACTCAAATCTATTTGGTTGGCTCATTCCAGCGCACCTTTAGACCCCCAACACTCGGGTCAATAGTCCTTGCAACGCATTTTGCGGACGTAGTAGGTTTCCGACCCCAGTTAAGATATCCCAAACCATCTGGCGTAATCACAAGATACACCATCGTATCGATCCCCGACACTCGCAAGTCACTCGCGATAATTAGTAACCTCATTAATTATCCTGTCATCCAGGTACAATGTGAATTAGGCGTTTTTCCAGCTCACGCAGCTATGCTGCGTAGCCAACGACCGGCTGTCACTAACCAACCATTGGTTATTCAGCTAAGCCAAATACTGGATTACAAAACTGTCACCGAAAACGGGACACTTAAGCTAATCCGCGCGTCCTTTTCGAATGAAACTTTATTCGTCAGCGCTATAGCGTATAGTCTGGTGGACCCATTTGGTACCGAACCTTAAAAAAGGGAAAGGAAGCGTCCTACAACTTACTCCCCACAAACGAATCCTCGTTACAAAAAATAAAATAAAATAAATAATAAATTTCAGATAAACTTAATATTTTATTGTACTTTTCTAATTTTCATCTACTCATTTTCTAATACATTTTATATATTGTTAATTTCCGTAGTTTATACCGTATTATATAATACATTGTATACATTGTTAATTTCAGTATTTAAAATTTTATGTGTCAATAAGTACATTAATTTTGCCAATCAATACATTTATTTTCTTAGTTGTATATTGTTAATATATACTATTGTTATAATACTTTATTTTAGTCATTAATTTTTAATTTACTCAGATTTTTTACGGGCAAATTTTGACACGAAAATATTTTAATATTTAGGAAATGGAACTAAAAAGATAGCTGCAAAAACAAAAAAATTGATCATGAACTATTGAATGACGTATTCGTAACTTTTAGTCATATTAAACCGTATAGAACAGATTTCGACCATTGGGAAGAAGTTGTTTTATACTAGGAAAGGCTGATAAAGGTTTCAAAAGAAGACGTAAACTATGTTAAATAGACGGTTAACTCACAAACATGTAAACTACCAACTAATTCGAAATGGTACACGTAAAACACTGCACTTACTGCTAATGTCACGAATTGAAACTACGGACTGTTATGGATTGCTGCTTTATCTTTATACACAATTTAAAAGCGACACAATGAGGGAATATACATTTAGTTTATTGCATGATTTGATCCACACTTTAAGTGAAGGAAAATGGCACATCTTTGCTAATTTTTAAGAATTGTGCAGAATTAAAAAAATTGTACGGTATCACAGTAATGCCAACTTTAGATACGTGATTTGGTAGTGGCAGTCTCAAAATACGCTAACTCAAAAGTCGACATATCGGCATACTCAATGGGTGTTGCAATAGCTAGAAACGCTATATTAGGTGGAAAATGTGTTGACACTACGTTAGAGAATAATCGACTTTGAAATATCTGTTTTTATTGAAAATTATGCTTTTTCTTTATACGTAAGTCATACTATTTTTAAAAATAATTTTTTTTTCGTTAGAAAGCAAAGTTTAAAGTCCATCTTTCGGCGTTGATCCAGCCGTATAAAACCGGAGCCGTATGCAATTTTAAGATAATTTAACCAAAGAATTTAACCCCTTAGAGCTCCAATTGGTCTGGTTTTTAGTTGTTTTAAGATTACTGTAATTTTCATGATAAATGTAAATTTTAAAAATATTGGTAAGCCATCCCTAAATTTGGTGTAAACTATTTGTTTCTGATATTATGGAGTACATACAGTATACCTTTCAGGAAAACAATTGGCAGCAACAAATATCTGTGATTGTTTATAAGGTTCTACTCGAGTATGACGAAGACTCGTAATCTATTCCGCTTTCCGAATTTCCAGCTAATGAAAAAAAATTGCTACTAAAAAAATTCCAATCCAACGTATGAATTAATTGTGTCTGGTTAGGATTACAAAAGATTGTTTCTATGCTCATGCTGATGATTTACATGTTTTTGTAACCCACCGTCTTTTGGATATATTCAGAACGACGTAAAAGTTTAAAGAACGTTTGTCTTTAACTATGGATGAAGGATACAAACAAATATACGAAATTCTCGGGTAAGTTGATGACGTCAAAAAATAATTAAAAAATAACTTTTAGTGCAGTACAAGACAAAAATGCCAGCTACATATACGATCTTGGTCTGCATATAAACTTTAAAACATTTGACTATCTATAGTTTTCATGTTATCAGATATATCTGTAATTGGAACGTGCGACTTTCAATACTCCATACAACATAAAACAAACAATATTACAGACGTTATGGTTTTTGACGCTGACAGACTCTTGGTTTTAATTAAACTTTTAACTCTATGGCTATTGTATTCATATAGTATATATAGTATATTTCATATAGTATATTTCACATAGTATATTTCATATAGTTTATTTCATATAGTATTTCATATAGTATATTTCATATAGTATTCCATATAGTATATTTCATATAGTATAGCAAACTTATCCTACCAACCATGATGTCCTTCAAATCTTTTGAAGACATGATACCTTTTGAGGCTATGTGTGTACCAAGTGACGAGCTTACATCAAGCGACTTGTCTTTGGAGTCTCATGTCTCAACGACCGAACCTCTCTTTGGTGGATATGGAGCTTCAACCAACATACAAGCTTCAGAAGGATTCGTCACGTTGAATTTTTCGCCCAATGTCGACCAATCTATGTCGTCGACCTTGCCATTCTTTGAGCCGTTGTCTTGGTGGTCGACGGTGGCTCAAGAATATCGTCCTGAGGACGACAAGGAGTATATGAATGCGTTGGAAGCTGAAGTAGAAGACCGAGACAAAACCAACAAATCGCTGTTCACTACGATAGACTGCCGAATCTGGACATTGAACCAACTCCGAGCGTCACTACACTTCCCCCTCAAAAAAAACGTCGCTTTTGAAACACGTAAGTTATTAATTGTACGATATAGACATGGAAAAAGGTTTTTCGAAGCGTTCTTTGTAACATAGGCCTACTGTAGTATTACACTTTATTATAATAGAGCCGAGCGATTCCTGGTGCTGCTGAAGTCCTACAACCGGCTTCCAGTTAGGCCAACTACAAGGCGGTTCGCGGCAGCCACCGAGATGGTGGAGCTAATGTCTTTGATGTCGGTAGGCCGCGAATTGTTGATTGCGACCATCTACCAAAGAGAGGACAATGGTAACCTGGCCGAATACGTCCGCGGACGAGGAATGATTTTGGTCGATGCCTTGCTGAAGCACAGTGTGGGGGTGCTTGCGTCTGTACTGATTCACGAGTTGGGCCATGCGTACCACTGCACTATGCTTAAGAGCAGCTGGCAGCACTACGAAAGGGCGGCTGACGCCGAGCGGCGTAGAGCTGCTCGGGAACATCGTTCTTATCGCTGCCCAGGACATAACGAGGCGTGGAGCTGGTGCTGTGAGGAAGTTCAGTACAGGTTAGGCATTGATTTTATTCCAATCTTTGAAACATTTTAGCAATAAAAATTTTGATATCGCAATTTTGGCCATTACTTATTGATCCCTGGCCAGTTGTTTTTCGTCAATGACTGTTGCTACCACATCTGGGTTGTCGGATTGCAGCATGATGGCGTTAGCCCCAGAAAGTGGTGCTCGCTGCAAGTGATTACGGGTCATTGAAGTCGATGGTTGCTGCGGCGCGATAGCAGCGTTGACATTGCTTCCAATCAATTTGATGGCCGTTTCAGCACGTTCAGTTTCGGCACGTCGTAGGGTTGACTCAATCTTTCGAGCCCGTTGTCTGGTTTCTTCCAGCGTCTGTAATTCCAGCCATTGTAATGGCTGTGAAATATGGCTGGAGACAAACTTCAAATTTATTTTCTCAAAAATATTTTTTTTTCTCAGTGAAGATCAAAAAATGGCGCAGGAAAATACAAAATTCTGCGCCATTTTGACAAGAGAGCACAATAAAACGAGAGACACTAGAGAAAAGACTCTCTCTCTCTTTCAAACGATATTTTTTTTAGATAGCGCAGGATTTTGTACTTTTCTGCGCCATTTTTTGATTTTCACTGAGAAAAAAATTATTTTTGAGAAAAAAATTTGAAGTATAAGTCCCCAGCCATAAATGTTGTTCTGAAGCCTAAGTACAAATTCCTCTTTGAGTCGCTTACGTACCTCTTCAGGCCTGCCGTCTGGCATCAGCTTGCTGACCAACTTTCTGAGTCTGGCGTAGAAGTCGTCCACTGATTTTCTTGACTTTTGTCTGGTACTGTACAGCACTGACAATAAGCCTGATTGTTCGCTGTCGGCTCGGTAGGATAGTAAAAGTTGAGATTCTAGGTTCTACCTGTTCTTGATCATTTGAAGGTACCTTAGTGCAATAGTTTCGCTAAATAACCACAGCTCTATACAGCAAGTAACAAAAATCAACAAGAAAATTTAAAAATCGAATTTTACTTTTCCGTCCTTGTGAGTTGCTGGCAAAAGATGTTGGTACAGTCTTTTAAGGTTACTGACGTATTTTGCACCACAATAATTGCAAAAGTAGTCATTATGCGTTCTTTTGTAACAGTCTTTGATATTTTTCAACATATTTCGTCAAAACATAGGTACAGGGGCAGGGGCAGGGGCAGGGGCAGGGGCAGGGGCAGGGGCAGGGGCAGGGGCAGGGGCAGGTGCAGGGGCAGGGGCAGGGGCAGGGGCAGGGGGCAGGGGCAGGGGCAGGGGCAGGGGCAGGGGCAGGGGCAGGGGCAGGGGCAGGGGCAGGGGCAGGGGCAGGGGCAGGGGCAGGGGCAGGGGCAGGGGCAGGGGCAGGGGCAGGGGCAGGGGCAGGGGGCAGGGGCAGGGGCAGGGGCAGGGGCAGGGGCAGGGGCAGGGGCAGGGGCAGGGGCAGGGGCAGGGGCAGGGGCAGGGGCAGGGGCAGGGGCAGGGGCAGGGGCAGGGGCAGGGGCAGGGGCAGGGGCAGGGGCAGGGGCAGGGGCAGGGGCAGGGGCAGGGGCAGGGGCAGGGGCAGGGGCAGGGGCAGGTGCAGGGGCAGGGGCAGGGGCAGGGGCAGGGGCAGGGGCAGGGGCAGGGGCAGGTGCAGGGGCAGGGGCAGGGGTCTGCATATAAACTTTAAAACATTTGACTATCTATAGTTTTCATGTTATCAGATATGTCTGTAATTGGAACGTGCGACTTTCAATATCCCATACAACATAAAACAGACAATATTACAGAAGTTATGGCTTTTTGACGCTGACAGACTTTTGCACATAAATACGTTTTAATTAAATTTTTAACTCTATGGCTATTGTATTCATATACAAATAATACACTGTAATTTTCAACCTTCTATTAACTACGATTTTACTGTTGTTACTAACCTAAAAGATAATAAATTTCTTATAACTTTAAATCGTCATTTATATTGTTCAGTCCAGCAAAATTTTATTCCTACATGTTGTCGCTGCATCTGATTAAAATCATAAAGTTGAATAGTTTCAAAATTTTGAAATTTTATTGCTATGTATTCAATAAATGTAGATTTGCACTAATATTTATTGTTTGGACTTACAGTTCACAGTTTATTGTCTGACTGACGATACTCCTGGACTTACAATGATAAAGCCCTACAGTACACGGTGTTTCAAGATTTGTGCTGGAAAGTAAAAGTTTCGTTCTTAAAAAGTAATGGTCCAATTTAGATAATTTTGTACTGGGCTACAAATTGCAGGCTTGGCGCAGCTCGACGGGGTAATTTTTTTATAGTTCGATTTAAAAAAATAGTGATTTTGACAGCTCAGGCTTCCCAAAAATTGCGGAGGAAATCCCCAGTTATCAGCATAAATATGGATATAGGCATGAGTATGAATATAGGTAGGGTTGTGGGTGTGGGTGTTCGTATATATGTCTAGGGGTATGAATATAGGTATTCAGGGCTGAGCGCTGGAGGGGGAGAGTGTACGGGGAGGGGAAACCCCCCCCAAGAAAAAAAATTTTAACAAAAGTTGAACGTGATCCATCTTGTGGATTTTCCGAAAAAATTTTTTTGACCCCCGCTCCCAGACCAAAATTCCCCGCCCAGCACTGTAGGTATCGATATGGTTAAGGTAAATTCAAAAGCACAGAGGTTTTTTTAAATTTAGTTTGTCTAACAAATGAGTGTTAAAACTAAAAGTAATTTGAAGATAAAAATGAATTAAGGCGCATATATACTCGAAATAGTTTCAGCAGTCATATTGCACTGAAATAGCAGAATATTAGATTGAAATAAAAACAGTCGATTTTGAAAAAAGAATTAAAAAAGACGCGCGACCGAAGCCTTTTCCTATAAATTAAAACATTTTATGTTATTATAAAATAAATTTTCATTAAAATAAAACAAAAATACAATGCCCACCCATATAGGAGGCCCGTAAAAATATACAAACAGTGTTTACTTAAAATAGGTGAATTGAAAGGTATACAATTATACAATTATAATAAACAATGGAATTTTATTAAATTGGTCGTGTAATGTGTTTATATTCGGCCGCCATATTACATATAAAAAACAATCAAAGTACGGTATCTTCAGCAACGTTGTGTCTCAATAGATTATATTGTAGATCAAGAGTTGATTTTACAATAGATAAGTGGTCCAAATTGTTTTTAAATATCGTCTTATTCCGTATCAAATTCATTAGAGATGGCATACAAATTAGTGCCCTCGTATTTCATGAACATTGCAGTGTTCACATCTGTCTAAAAATTATAATAAGATTATATTGTAATCCAAAACGTCTACAACGAAAGGAGAGAGATAATTAGAGACTAGTTAAGAAAAATATTGTTGTGTATCTAGCAAACATTTCTAAATTTGAAAAAAAATTATTTAATAAAAATTTTTTTAAAACTTTAAATTCCCTGAGGCAATCGAAGTAAAATAATTGTAAACGCGTCTACAAGGGAATTGCACTAAATATCCCTCTGCTTTTTGAATGAGACCTATGTAGGATGAAAGAGCATAAAAAGTTACCGGGAAAACTGTTTTTAAAAACTCTAAATGTATTCGTCTAGCGAGTTACAGTACGCTCAATAATCTTATATGTTTTAAGAGTGTAGCTTTAAATGTCAAAAAATGACATTTTTTGATATTTTTATTAATAAAAATATTTTAAATAAATATTTTTTCTAAAAGTGTCTAAAAGCAAAAAATAAGACTTAAAATATATTTTTTTATTCAAAATATTGTTTGGCTAGCCAAAAAATCTTGTCATGATGGCTGGGCGCCAAAATGAAATCGACGGGATTCGAACTCACCACCTTCTGCGCCCCAGACTAACTGCTTACCCACTCGACAAAACTGGATTAAAGCTTCAATCCATTCGTTTTTCTCAAGACAAATGAGCAAGGTCAAATAGAAAACCATATGTAAATCCTTCGCTAATATCTCGCTAGCCGAAGCCATTCAGCAGTTTTTGAAAACTGTTTTCCCGATAACTTTTTATGCTCTTTCATACTATATAGGTCTTGCTCGAAAAGCCGAAGGATATTTGGTGACATTCCCTAGTAAACGTATGGACAAGCAGCTGAGCATCTATGTTAAAGTGGTGAATATAATTTGCTTTAAAACATCGAAACTTACGAAAAAGTGAGAGACACATGGTATTCCATTCAAACCATTACAAGCAGGGTACAAAAAGGAACAATTTTCCACTCCATGTGTCATACCGGCAACAGACAAAAACGTTTCTACGTTTGCCGTAAAAGGTGGACCTAGGTTTTCCATAGTGTCAACACATTTTCCACCTAATATAGCTTTTCTAGCTATTGCAACACCCATCGAGTATGCCAATATGTCGACTTTTGAATTAGTGTATTTTGCGACCGCCATTATAAAGTTTCGTATCTAAAGTTGACATTACTGTGATACCGTACAATTGTTTTTAATTTTGTACAATTCTTAAAAATTGGCAAAGATGTGTCATTTTTTGCGAAAATTGGTAGTACAAGGAATTCATATAAAAATTTTGAGCTGATTCTGAGCGGGGCAGGTTGAATACTTTTCTTGTAAATTAAAAAAATTGAAAATGTATACTGTAACTTTCTCGCTTTTAGAAACAAAAATTTTATTTCATATTTAAAATTGCTGAAAAATGGAATTTAAAACACGTACCGCTGTAACGTCTTTGCAATCCAAGGTTTTTGTTATATTATTTTGTAGCAATCCATAAGTTGTGGCATAAAGCTCAGCTGATGAATAGCCTCGGTCAATAAAAGTTTGACGATGAGTTAACCAAAACGCGGCGTTTGATCCAACGCCGTGCACAAAAATGATCGGCTAAAAAATTTAATTTAAAACGTTTTACCCCACTTAATTTAAAAAGTTGTTTTAAAATTGCAAAAAATCTGTTTTTATTTTGTTTTAAACGTGAAAAAAATTATTATATATTAGGTAGGGTTTAATTCACCCAGATTCGAACCTGAGGCGGCATTTCAGAAGGATAACGCTTTATCCATTCGACCACTCGGTCACAAGTTCACCTTTCCGTTCGTTTCTCTTATGGCCTTTTTGGGAATTTAATAGGGAATCAGTGCAAACTTTAAACGACCATAACTCGGTCGAGACAAAAATTTAGCAACTTTTGAAAACGGATCCTCGATCAAGACGACCACATAATTTTTTTGAGCTATATCACATGTCTGGGCGTTGGGTACACCTTTTGACACTTTCTTTGTGAGAGTTGAAGGTTAGGTACTTTCCTTGTTAATTTAAAAATTTGTTTTAAAATTTTTGCTTTAAAAAGTGAAAAAACCATTATATATTATAACATTTGGAATCACTTAAACACAGTGGATTTACCATTGAAACCCGTCTTTACAAATTAAAACCTTTGACCAGCTTATTATCTTACCCTATTGAATACAGGCTGGTATTTTTCGCTTTTCCCTCCAAAGCTTCCCCTATACAAATAGCCTTGATCCAATCGCTCAAGCTTTGTAGCAACATCCCTTCCAAATTCTTCTACGAGAAATTCTCTAAAATGCGGCTTAAACTCGGCAAAACCCAACCAAACCGTTGCGAGGTGTATCAAGATGATGCGCAACATTTTCTAAAACTTGTTCAAAATTAAGTATATTAGAAAAATTATTATTCAAAAAACAAAGTTTGCATTCAATAGCCGGTTTTTTTATTTTATTTATTTACTTTACACTACAGGGTGCGCCAAAAGTTCTGTTACAAAACTATACAGGTTGTTTTCTCTATGTTGCAGTTAAATTATTTAAAATGTTTTATTTTAGCTTATTCTCCGTGTTTTTGTATTGCATAATCATAAAGTTTTAACTTTTAAGTCTTCATTGTCTTCCGTCTGCCTGTATTTAGATGTCAAACATATTTGATTAAAAAACCGTGTAACAGAACTTTAGGCGCACCCTGTAATCAAGCTTCTACAATTACAACTCGGGAAATATATTAGAATGCAACAAAATGATTTTGTTTTTTGGCTCAGTTGTTTTTAAAAGTCTAAGAAATCCAATAATGTAAAAATTATGAAACAAGTTTAAAACATAATTTGAAGCCAATTGGTAAATTACAAAAAAAATATTTAATGTGGTTGGGTACCAAAAACTATAAAAACAGAACCATTTTGAACGTTTGGTACCATTTAGTACCAAAAATTGTTTAAACAGTACCCCTTTGAGCCTTTCGTAGCATTATGTACCATACAACTAAATTAACTAAAAAATAAAAAAGAATTCTTTAAAAAACCCGCAAGTGTCTGAAAATCTGTCTTAGCTGCATTCTTTAAATTTTACAAGTTTAGACTAGCTCCATTTTTTCAATTTGACAAGTTTAGACACTTTACTGAAAAACGAAATGGTATAACTGAGATACTATGAAAATAAGAAGTTATTCGGTAATCAAATTATATTAGGGATGCATGCTAATTGACATAACTCTAAGCAGAATGCACAGAGAGACATGCCAATGCACAGGAATATGCACAAGGTACCTGCGCATGTTTATAGAAAAAATCAGGGGAATCTATACATTTATACAATCATATCAAAGTTTTTACAAAGTATATTTATGATTTTTATAAAATCTTAGCAAGTCCCAGTCACCCTAAGTATATAAAGATGTAAACCACTAATGTGTTTTTGCAGCGCGCCGTTTATACAGATTTTTGCCGCGGCGTTGTTGACCAAAGGTCGCAGACGCTAAAAAAAGACACGCAATGCCGTAATACAAATTGTGTATTTTTTAGGACATACTTAAACATACCCCTCACATTGCATTATAAGATTGCCTTGATCAGTGCCGGACGGGGACTTTTGGTCTGGAGGCGGGGGTGGAAAAAAACCTTTGAAATTTCATTTTTAGATTTTTCTGAAGGTAAAAAAATTAACAACAAGGTCTAAGGTGCACGCAAAAAGTGAAAGCCTTTGTAAAAGAATTCAGTTGGCTACGAATTCATGAAGTTATCGACTAAAGTGTACGCTTCACCATGGTTTTCAACTTTTTTCCTTCTTTGGTGTGCTGCATTAGTTGGACCTAGCACGAGCGCACCATTAAGCCACGACAACAAACAGCACTTGGCATTCCGCACCGCGCCAGCACGATAAGAGGAGAGGACGGTCAATCAGGACACTCATACAGTATTGGGTTGGTCAGCAGGCACAGGACAGTTGGGACGTCCGAAGGGCGTCACACTATATATCTAGATCTTAGTTCATATCGGTTTAACATTTATATTATTGTTGATTGTTTGAGGAAAGGTAAATCTTATACCCTTATATTGTGGTCTTGTTATTGTTCTAGCTTATTTCTGTAAAACCACCCCCTTATATTGATCCGAATCATTAATCTGAACAAGTGATAATCCGAAAATGCCAAATCAGGTCAGTAAGGCGAGTGAAGTAGAGCTTTTTATCTCGATTACGCGATTTTTAATGGCTTCATCTTTGCCACGTGTGGATGTTCACTATTGTGAAATAGACTGATCCTGTTGTGCAATAGGGTTTCAATGGTAATGTGGAAACATTAAAAAGATTCTGCGAGCTTTTGTAAACAAAGTTTCTTTCCTATTTTGTTTTGTAAAAAAAGTTCTTGCCATTTCTTGCTTTTTAAGCAAAATTCTTGTCATGCACACAATCAAGTTCAAGCTCATTTTTAGAAATAACACACATAAAGGCCTGTTTCGATCAGTAAATGTGATCCCATAACCAAGTAAAGCTCTCCATCTGGACTACAGTAGAAACAAAACATACATACGAATTTTTGAAACCGGCCGGTTTATAGGTAAAAAATAAAAAGTAACTAACTGGGGGTTTTAAAAATTAAAAAAGTAATTTTTAGTCGAAATTCGGTCGGAGTTTTTGGTTTTTTTCCTCTTCTTTCTTATTTTACCCGACTGTACTTTACCTTCCCATAGCCTTTTCCTGGCCTTGCTTTTGCCTTGCCCTGGATTTGCCCTGGCCTTGCCCTGGCCTTGCCTTGGCCTTGCCTTGGCTTTGATTTTCCCCGTGCCTTGCTTTGCCCCTTGGCTTGGATTGCCTTGCTTTGTGCTGTCCTTACTATATTGTACTATTTCTATCGACCGGTCGATAATTAAAAAACATTTTTTTTTGTTTTTTTGGCAATTTACTATTAAAAATGACGTTTTTTTAAGCTATCAGTCAATAGTTTGGAAAAAAAATTTTGTCGGTCGGCCGATAACTTAAAATTTTTTTTTGATTTTGTGGTCAATTAGTGTTAGAAAATTCCAGTTTTTAAGCTATAGGTCAAAAACGTTTAAAAATTTTTATCGACCGGTCGATAACTTTTTTGGGCCAAATTTAGCCTTGCTTAGGTACATTGAACTCTAGGCTATTTGTACAATTAGTGCATCATCTTTTTAGACTTATTCTTGCTTTTAATTTTTTTTTATCGACTGGTCGATAATTTTTTTGGGACAAGTTTAGCCTTGTTTTGGTATAATTTGCGCATCATCGTTTCTTGCTTTTGTCACAAAAATACAAAATTCTTTCTTCCTACCCTCCCTCCTCAAATTCACCCCTCTTTTCCCTCTCCTCTCTCTCTCTCAAATCACCCCTCATTTCCTTAATTTTCCTTTAAAACTTGTCGACTTTTGTTACACCCAATAACACGAAATTAACGTTTTTTCGGTATGCAGCGACAAAAGATGGCTAGTCTATTAGTAATTACTGACTTTTCGTCTGTCGCTTTTAAATTTCGAAAAAAAACAAAAGTGCGCTTAGGTTATTTATTATTAATGACCTAATTGTTAAAAAAAAGTTTTATTTTAACAACGTGACGTTTCTTTTTGCTGCGTAAAGTTTGTTTAACAAACGTGTGGCAAAAAACTGGAATGGCTAGCGGGAAGTGGTGGAGGAGGGATGGGACTTTTTTGTTGCCATTTCCACATTGTTTGGTTACTGTGGACGCTCGGTTATGTTGTTGAATATAGTTTTGGAGAGAGGATTGTAAGCGTATGGTAGATAAAGGCTGGTAGTAGTATAGGATTACTGTATGACGGTCGTTAGGGAAAGAATAAAATTGGGTGGGTATGGGATGATAAAGTAGGGCGAGGTGCGATATACACCTATGGCTAAAGCTAAAATGTAAGGCTAACTCTCATTCTCAAACTTAGAAATAAGCTTAGTCGTAGATTAATGCTTATTCTTAGGCTTAGACTCAAGTTTAGGATCAAGATGTGGCTCATGTTTAGGCTCAGGCTTAGGCTTAGGTTTAGGTTTAGGATCAGGCTCAGGCTCAGGCTCAGGCTCAGGCTCAGGCTCACGCTCAGGCTCAGGCTCAGGCTCAGGCTCAGACTCAGGCTCAAGCTCAGGCTTAGGTTCAGGCTCAGGCTCAGGCTCAAGCTCAGGCTCAAGCTCAGGCTCAGGCTCAGGCTCAGGCTCAGACTCAAACTCAGGCTTAGACTCAGGCTCAAGCTCTGGCTTAGGCTCAGGTTTAGGTTTAGACTGAGGCTCAGATTCAGGCTGAGATTCAGGTTGTGACTCAGACTCAGGCTTTGGCTCAGGTTTATGCTGAGAATCAGACTCAGGCTCAGGCTAAGACTCAAGCTCAGACACAGACTGAAACACAAACATAGACTCAGGCTTAGGTTTAACTTTAAGTTTCGCTAAACACAATCTTAATCTTTTTCCTTTACATAAGCTTAAAATTAGGCTTAGAATTCATTTTAATAATCACGTTTTTAACTTCCACGGTGTGGAAATAAAACGTGACAACTAAAAGTGATCCCTTGCTGAAATTTTGAGCAAGATCTCAGCACTCGCAGTAATTTGTTGGGTCGTTTTACATCGAGGAAAATATTATAAAATTAAATAATATTACATAAGAAAACGTTGCGTAATATCATTTTTTGCAATTTCTCTAAGGCTATCTAGTATATCATTCATATTAGGTAACATAGCTAAAAATTCCGTCATTGTTTTACTGATAATTTAACGGGTAGATTGGATCTGGCCTATACAGTGGCCGAGGGCCTGGCAAGCACCTGAGAAAGACTACTGTATGGTAGTATGCTACAATACGTAGGGTACGGAAGGTTAGGAGATGGTCAGTTAGGGTAGGGTAGGGTAGGGTAGGGTAGAGTAGGGTAGGGTAGGGTAGGGTAGGGTAGGGTAGGGTAGGGTAGGGTAGGGTAGGGTTTAAAGAAGGCAAACTTTCAGCTGAAAGTAAGAATCTCTTCCCACGCTTTTCTTTACGTCATTTGTCATCTTTTTACCGAGAAACAACATTTCATTCTTTTATTGTTGTAACAATGTTTCAAGTGTATTAAAGAAAACTAAAAACTAGTAAAAAGTTACACTTTAATTTTTCTTATTTGGCTAATTTTATTTTTTAAAAATTTTTTACAAATTAAAAATAGCAAGAACTTCCTTTACAAAGGCTTAAGATGACAAGAACTTTCTTTACAAAGTAAAAAGTGGCAAGAACTTTCTTCACAAAGTAAAAAATGGCGAGAACTTTCTTTACAAAGTAAAAAATGGCAAGAACTTTCTTTGCAAAACAAAAAGTTACAAAAACTTTCTTTACAAAACAAAAAAACGTCTTTCATCTCATGTATAGTGTTTAAAAGTGCATTTACGTTGTACTTTTAATTCTTTGAAGAAAGTTGAAAGTTACGTTAGGTCAGTAAACAATTTTCACACTATAAAAAGTCGACTTTACAACCAAACTTTTTAATAACTTTGTACGATTCCTTTACGTTTCAACCATCTTCTTCATGAATGGTGAAGATGAAAAGATGTGCAGTTTATTTCATTCACTTTTACTTCTTTTTTCTGTCGATTTGGCTAAAGTGTAATAGTGTAGTAGGTTCAATTGGGCTGACAGATTTTTTGGGAATGGTGATTTTTATCTTTGGAGTAGTTATTGTATGTTATTTTATGTTTATGTGGGGTAAAGATAGTTGTTAGTTCAATAGAAGGCTGATTTTTAAAGCTTGTAAAGAAAGTTCTTGCCATTTTTTGTTTTTAAAGAAAGTTCTTGTTATTTTTTGATTTGTAAAGGAAGTTCTTGCCATTTTATGTCTTGTAACGAAAGTTCTTGCCATTTTTTGTATTGTAAAGAAAGTTCTTGCTAGTTTGTTAATTTTTAAAAAAGGTTCTTTTCATTTTTTGATTTGTAAAGAAAGTTCTTGCCCGTTTTTGTATTGTAAAGAAAGTTCTTGCCATTTTTTGATTTGTAAAAAACGTTCTTGTCATTTTTTGTTTTGTAAAGAAAGTTCTTGCTATTTTGTTGATTTGTTAAGAAACTTCTTGCCATTTTTTGTTTTGTAAAGAAAGTTCTTGTCATTTTTATTTTGTAAAGAAAGTTTTTGCGATTTCTTATTTTGTAAATAAAGTTCTTGCTACTTTCGCACGGTATTTAAGTATTAAAGCCAATATGAATAATATTTTTTGCGTTTTTACGAATATTCGAATTCGTTTGATCTTCTTATGTTTTTTTTTGTAAAAAACGTCAGACGATTTTTTTTATTTTTACGAAAAAACTATACTTTTTCGGCTTTTTTATATGACAAGATTCAATTGACGTTCAAAATTTTTATAAAATTTCGTTTAAACACTTTTTAATTACAGTTAAATTCGTGTATAATTTTGTAAGTAATGAATTATTTTTAAGGACGGTAGAACACTTGTTTAATAAATCTCTCGGAGTGTTAAAAGTTGTTCATTATAAAGGGGTTTTGTTATAATGAAGTTTAATATGCTCTGTTTAGTATTGGGTGCCGACATAAAGAACCCGCCATAAGTATTAGGTGCTGACATAAAGAACCCGCCATACTTTTCCTGTAATTTCCTCTATAAAATGGCGGGTTCTTTATGTCGGTACCTAATAAAGCTGAAGGTGTGTCCACAAGGTCCGATTTAGTCTAACAAAATTGTAAGCAACTTTGAAGGATCTCTGGCCGGGCTTCTTTTAGTAGGCTCGAAAGCGCGGGCCTGAATAAGACCTCAGAAGTTAAGCGTAGGGCCTACAAATACAGTGGAACGCCTGTACAACGAACTCTTCTATAAAGAACAAATTTTGAACCCTCGCCTACCATTGCACAGTGCATTTAAAACTCCTGTATAACGGAACTCCTTTATAACGAACAAATTTCAAGTCTCTAAGCGATTCGTTATTCAGGAGTGGCACTGTAGATTTGAAAAAAATCTCAGTCAGCTCGATTCGACTCAGTCTGAGAGGAGAGCCAAAGCAAATTTGAAAGAAGCAAGACTGGCACAAGCTCAAAAATGGTCCTTGCTCGGCTTTCTTAGAGGTTTTCCGTGTAATGTTAATAATGGCTTTGGAGGTTTTTTGTTATAAATAAATTTGATATGGAGGAGTTTGCTCGTGATACAGAGGCGATGTTATATTAGGTTGAACCGAAAGTAGTAGGACACTTTTTAGTGAAAAACTAAGGGAAACATGTCTCGCTACTTTTGGTTCAACCTAATGAAAAAAAATTTTATAAAGAAGTTTGTTGAAAAGGAACTTGTTATAAAGAAGCTTATTATACAGAGTTTTGGTTATTAACGAGTTTTTAAGACAAAACTTTTGTTATGAAAGAGTTTGGTATAAAAGAGTTCGTGTTACAGTAGTTTTACTGTAATTAAACTTTCTTTTATTATTATGGTTTAACTTTTAATCACTTATAATATCTAACTTTAGTCAACCGCCACCAAGCTTGGTCATCAACACACGATCAAAGAACGATCATGTTCAAAGTCATATCGTTTGCCACTTTCATTATACTGGCAGTTAATGTGATTGCGGAGAATCATGAAGCCACCATTAATGTGCATCAAGATGCCTCTAGAATGCAAGTAAGACCAATGAATCATGCCAACCTACCTCATATGGCTGTTCGTCGCGAAACCCCAAAAAGGAAGAAAGGTAGGGTTAATAATGGCATTTCTTCCTTTGTAAAGAAAGTTCTTGCTATTTTTGGTTTCGTAAAGAAAGTTCTTGCCATTTCTTGATTTGTAAAGAAAGTTCTTGCCATCTCTTGATTTGTAAAGAAAGTTCTTGTCATTTTTTGGTTTGTAAAGAAAGTTCTTGCCATTTCTTGATTTGTAAAGAAAGTTCTTGCCATTTTTTGTTCTGTAAAGAAAGTTCTTGCTATTTTTGGTTTTGTAAAGAAAGTTCTTGCCATCTCTTGATTTGTAAAGAAAGTTCTTGCCATTTTTTGTTCTGTAAAGAAAGTTCTTGCTATTTTTGGTTTCGTAAAGAAAGTTGTTGCCATTTCTTGATTTGTAAAGAAAGTTCTTGCCATCTCTTGATTTGTAAAGAAAGTTCTTGCCATTTTTTGTTCTGTAAAGAAAGTTCTTGCTATTTTTGGTTTCGTAAAGAAAGTTGTTGCCATTTCTTGATTTGTAAAGAAAGTTCTTGCCATCTCTTGATTTGTAAAGAAAGTTCTTGCCATTTTTTGTTCTGTAAAGAAAGTTCTTGCTATTTTTGGTTTTGTAAAGAAAGTTCTTGCAATATATTGTTCTGTAAAGAAAGTTTTTGCCATTTTATGTTCTGTAAAGAAAGTTCTTGTCATTTTTTGGTTTGTAAAGAAAGTTCTTGCTTTTTTTGGTTTTTAAAAAAAGCTTTTGCCATTTTAATTTAAATGGTTCAGCCGATAGCAACGTGTGCAGTTTCAACGATATGGACTATAAACTGCAGTTCTTCTTCAATTCCAAAACGAACCGTGTTCACTTTGACCTGACGTACAGCAACTTCCCTCAACATTACGACCTTTGGACTGGTGTGGCGTTTGGAAAGTCAATGGTAAGTTTTACGACTGTCTAAGGCATTATTATGGTAGGATATAATAGAGAAGGGCTTGGTAGGGTGAGGGTAAGATAAGGATTCACGAAGCACAGTATGCCGTCATACGGTAGAGTTGAGATTGGTAAGACATAAAGTATAGTAGACAATGTAGAGTAGAATATGCGGTAACTTTGCTTATATTAGGCCGTTCACATAATTCTGCGCCCCGTACCCTACATATTTGCTTTGAGAAGGGGCGTAGAACTAAGTGAACAACCAAATTGTAAAATTGGCTATGGCAAGCTAAGGTTACGGTAGGTAAGCTAGATTAACCTAGGATAGGGAGGGCAGGGCACGACAGGGTAGGGTAGTATACAAAAGGGTATGGTAGGGTAGGTTACGGTAGAAAAAAGTAGTCAGGGTATGGTAGGGTAGGGTAGGGTAGTTTACGATAGGGTATTGTAGGGTAGGTTACGGTAGAAAAAAGTAGTCAGGGTATGGTAGGATAGGATATGGTAGGGTAGAGTAGGGTAGGGTAGGGTAAGGTAGGGTAGGGTAGTGTAGGGTAGGGTAGGGTAGGGTAGGGTAGGGTAGGGTAGGGTAGGGTAGGGTAAGGTAGGGTAGGGTAAGGTAGGGTAGGGTAGATTAGGGGTAGGGTAGGGTGTGGTAGGTTAGGGTAGGGTAAGGTAATAAAAAGCAACTTTCGATTTGTTGTTACCTATAAATAACCTTGAAATTTGTGGTTTTTGTTGAATGATAAACAATTTTTATTTACTTTTTGCAAAATGACCTTGAAAAAACAATCGAAATTTACTTCCAAAAAACCTATTTTGAACTTGTATAGCCTTTTTATGGGTTTTAATTGCAGTGTAACGTCTGAAAATTTTTGAATTTTTTTAAATTTTTTAATTTTATTTAACATGATAAAACTGAAAATTATGGTTTTTTCAAGTTTCGTAAGTTCAATAAAATCTGTGACACTTCGTCAAAAAACCAATAATTTTTGTGGCATTTCGTTAAAAGTGTTGAAAACTATCTTTTAATAGTAAATAATTAACAGTTTTGCGTTGAAATTGACAAAAAGTTTCTTTACAATTCGCAGTTCTACACAAAACTTTCAGTTCGGACTGGATGCTGTGATAGTACGAGTACTGGGCGGTCGTATCATCGTATCAGACGAATTTACTCGTGGCTACGGACCATCGATGGCTGATCTAGTACAAGATGTCAAAATGGTCGGGGGATCAATTCAAAACGGCGTTTTAAGGGTCCAATTCACAAAACCTGTGGAGACTGGTCAGCAAGGATACGATGCTTCGTTGGCTGGATGTACAACATGGCAGGTAGGGTTTACTTGGCAAAAACTTTGTTTACAGTACAAAAAAAATTTTTTTTAAAATTATTTTTTTGTAAAATGGCCATAAACGACATATAAAGTTAAAAAAGGCACTTTAAAGAAATGGAAGTTGTGTGGAAGATTTGTAATGTAATTTGCACTGAAAATCTTCCACCAAACTTTCATTTTTAAAAATGTCTTAAAATGCCTTAAAAACGCATTTTTATCACTTTTTAAAATTGGAAGTAACGTGGAAGATTTCTAATTTATTTTGCACTGAAAAACTTCCACTAAACTTCCACTCACCAAAACTCACCAAAACCCAATAAAAATCGAATTTTTAGTTCATTACTGGTCTAAGCTTAGCATCACCTAACCATGTGTCAAAACATACCCGGTTCCCAATTCGACAAGAGGTCTGTCTGGACAGATGTACTCAATAACCTACTATAATATAAACTTATTGTATTATTATTGTAGTATTCCTTCGTTTATTACTATTCATAGCATTATAGATACATCACAGATACAATACATCTTGCCAAAAGATTCATAAACTTATTCTTTATACAAATTACAGTACAGTAAATACATTATATATATTATGATGACGTTATGTACAATATGAGTTGGGATCCGAATGGTGTATATAATTAGGTAAAATGTATAACATACACTTTAAAAACTTTTCAAACTCTCTTTAAAACACTTATTTTACTCTGTAAAAACGTTTGACAATCATTACTTTTAGCCGATACTTTTTGTGACATTTTGTTTTTTATCCAATAACATTTGTGGCTTTTCGTTAAAACTAATAAAAACTGTAAAAAAAGGTCATTTTAAGTATTTTTAAAACTTTAACCTTTAGATTTTAAAAAACTGGGACATTTTTTATCTTTCCAATATTTTTTTGACACTTTGTTACTTTTTCTAATAGTTTTTGTGGCTTTTTGTCAAAACTATAAAATTGAGTTAATAAAGCCTTAAAAAAGTTTTTAACCCTTTTTTTAATGCTTAAATAGTATTTCGATGTTTTTTATCATACAGTAACAACTAACTACAGTATGCCAAACATATACACCATTCCAAATACCAACCATAAATTTAAAGACCGTGTTGATGTCGTTTCGGACGTGGATTGGGATGACAATGCGCGAAGTTTGTGCGCCTTTTCTGGGACATTATTCTTTTTGAGATAAGAGTCGCCTTTACGACCCAAATTAATGGCCAATGTCTTCGGTCGATTTCGTGGCGGTGGCGCTGAAATATTGGGACATAATGAGTAAAATGGCAAGAAATTTCTTTACAGAACAAAAAATGGCAAGAACTTTCTTTACGGAACAAAAAATGACAAGAACTTTCTTTACAGAAAATAAAATGGCAAGAACTTTCTTTAAAAAGAAGAAAATTGCAAGAACTTTCTTTACAGAACAAAAAATGGCAAGAACTTTCTTTCCAAAATAAAAAATTCATAATTTTAAAAGTTTTTGAAAAACCAATAAAATCTGTGACATTTCGTCAAAAATCCAATAAAATATGTGGCACTTTGTCAAAAAACCAATAAAATCTGTGGCATTTCGTAAAAAATTAAATAAAACCTATGGCACTTCCTCAAAATTCCAATAAAAACTGTGACACTTCGTCAACCCCAAAAAGCCAACTTACATAACCTCGGCGGAGGGTACTGCGGCTTAAAAGGCCTGGGTGTGGTCGGTGGTGGAGCCACACAAGTGGTACAATTACAACCTTGGGCCGATTTTAGATCGCAAACCGGCCGTTGTCGCATCGCAAGTTGTAGTATGTTCTTGTCCATTGGAAAGGTGGGTTGAGCGACACATCGTCGCGACTTTAGTGCTATGTCAGCACGAAACTCGATTGATGTTAGGCAGTACAGGAGATCGTTTGGGGATGAGTGCCAACACCTTAGTGGGTCATTGTAGCAGTCTGTGGTTAGGGCATCTACTGTCATACAGTAGGAGCATTTCTGAAAAGAATGGTACGGTAAGGTATAATAAGGTAAGGTAAAGGAGAGCAAGATACGGTAAGGTAAAGGAGAATAGGGTAGGGCAGGATACGGTACGGTAAAGCACGGTAGGGTACGGTATAGTACGGTAGATACAATAGGGTAGGGTAAGGTAGGGTAGGGTAGGGCCGTGTAGGGTAGGATAGGGTAGGGTAGGGTAAGACAGAAACGTACTAAATTCTCGACGTCCGGCTGCATCTGAACCATCATGGATAATATGCAGATGATCGAGCAGTCCATTTCGTTGTTTTAGGTTCCAAAGATTCGTTTCCAAAGCATTAACACGATGAGGTTAAACAACTGTTGTTGATGAAAAAAGCTCGCTGAAAGTTGTTTTTTAATGTCGATAAGTGAAAAACAAAAAAATCTTTATGGAACGTAAAACTTCGTATAGTCGTATTTTACAAAAAAAAACAGCAGGAATTATGTTTCCAAATCATAAAACAGCAATAACTTTCTTTACAAAGCAAAAAACAAAGGGTTCTTAAAAGTGGAAGTTGAGTGGAAGATTTGTAATGTATTTTGCACTGAAAATCTTCCACTCAACTTCCATTCTCAAAAAGTCTTAAAATAGTCTAGAAACACGTTTTGGACACTTTTCAGGAGTGAAAGTTTTGTGGAAGATTTTTAGTGTACTTTGCGCTGAAAATCTTCCACCAAACTTTCATCCTCTGAAAAGACGATAACTTTGCTTAAAGAAGAAAAATGGCAAGAACTTTCTTTACAAAACAACAAATAGCAAGTACTTTCTTTACAAATCAAAAAATGGCAAAAACTTTCTTTACAAAACAAAAAATGACCTTTTTTCCCTTTCAACCCCCAACTTTGTACCTAATCCAGCGTAATTGGAGCACAAACCTCTAAAAGTCTGCGCAAAAAACGCGTAAAATTTGAAACAAAAACGTTTTCGGACCTTAAACGAACCGTAAAACAATGGTCACTCGCAATTGTCATCACGAATAAACAAAATTGTAGGGTGTGGTAAGTTAAAATTGATATTAGAATCCCATTTTTGGACAAAAAAAGACCAAAACTTGTTGATTATGAAGCATAAAATAGCAAAACCTTTATTTACAAATCAAAAAATGGCAAGAACTTTCTTTAAAAAACAAAAAATGACAAGAACCTTCTTTACAAAGCGAGAATGGCAAGAACTTTCTTTACAAAACAAAAAATGACAAGAACTTTCTTTACAGACCATAAACCGATCAGATATTCAATTACAAATCATAAAACGCCCGGTTTTAGAAGTGGAAGTTATGTGGAAGATTTTTAGTGTAATTTGCACTGAAAATCTTCCACTCAACTTCCACTTTTTTAAAAAGCACTCCAAGAAATTTAAAATTTAATTAAATATTAAAAATAATATAAAAACACAGCCTTAAGAATCGTGACAGTCAAATTTTAATAAATTTAAAACCGCAGTTTGTCTCATTTTTTAATTTAAATAATTGTCAGTCAAAGCCATCATAAGCCAGATGTTTTAACTCAACGTTTTTACGGTTTTAACGCCAATTTTAATGAGGTTCGACAAAAAAAACAACCTAAAATATGAAAAAAAATTTTTAAAACCTAATGTTACGAAATGACAATAACTTTTTTTACAGCTACCCTACCCTACCCTACCCTACCCTACCCTACCCTACCCTACCCTACCCTACCCTACCCTACCCTACCTTACCCTACCTTACCCTACCCTACCCTACCCTACCCTACCCTACCCTACCCTACCCTACCCAACCCTACCCTACCCTACCCTACGCTTTCCTGAATTAACTAGCCTGTCCTACCCTAACTAGGCTATTTTACCGTAGCTAGTCTACTCTGGCTTGCTTAGCCTACCTAAGCAAGCCAGAGTAGCCTACTATTGCTTGGCTAGCCTACTCTAGTTTAACTAGTCTGCTCTACCATACCCTACGCTTTCTTACCTTTTCTTGCCCACCCTATTTTGGCTAGACTGCTTTACATTTACTAGCCTAACTAGCCTAAACTTGCGTATCTAGTCCAATCTGGCGTAATTATTTTACCCTGCCCTATCCTACTTTACGCTGCCTTTGGTTAACGGGTCTGCTTTATTATACAGTACACTTCTCCTGCTGAACTATCCTAATGTAAGTAGCCTATCCTACCCTAGCTAGCCAATCCATAAATTGACTTTTTTTAAACTTTTTCGGAAGTAGAATGTCTGTTTGGTTTACATTCCTCTAACTAGTAAAACAATGCGGAAATTGCGTGTTTGGAACGAATAAAATTGGCTGGATCAAGCGAGATGAATAATATATAGAATGGCTGTAAATCCTTTGGAAACCACAATTTATTGCCGAGTTTGGCTTGTAAATGGTCGAAATGAACTTTTTTATAATAAAAAATGACAAAAACTTTCTTTACAGAAAAAATGGCAAGAACTTTCTTTATGAACTAAGAAATGGCAAGAACTTTCTTTACAAATTATGAAATAGCAAGAACTTTGTTTACAAAACAAACAAATAGCAAAAACTTTCGTTAGAGACAAATATGCGTCTTATCGTATAAGATGTCACCCGCAGGCCGTAGCAAACTAAATTTTGTTTCTTTTTTAAAAAATTGCAAGAACTTTCTTTCCAGAACCATAAATAACAAAGACCATCCTTAAAACTCAAAAAATAGCAAAAACGTTCTTTACAAACCATGAAATGGCAAGAACTTTCTTTACAGAGCATGAAATGGCAAGAACTTTCTTTACAGCACAAAAAATTGCAAGAACTTTCTTTACAAAGCAAAAAATAGCACAAACTTTTTTTAAACAAGGCAAAAAGGCAAAAACTTTCTTTACAAACCAAAAATTGGCAAAAACTTTCTTTAAAAACCAAAAAAAAAGCAAGAACTTTCTTTACAGAGTAACTCCGTCAAATTTCTAAAAACATTTTTACGCACTTAAAATAATGACCTCTGGCTACTCGTAAGAAAACTTTTGAAAAAAGCTCATAAAGAAATTCCAATTGGCTAAATGAGCGACCGTTTCGCTAATATGCCCTAAGGAGATGACAAGATTTCTTTTAATATATTGAAGAAGTTTGGCCGATACTTTTTGAAATTAAAATGGCAAGAACTTTCTTTACAAAACTAAAAATGGCAAGAATTTTCTTCACAAAGGTTGAAATTGCAAGAACTTTGTTTACAAAACAAAAAGTGGCAAGAACTTTCTTTCCAGAGCAAAAGATGGCAAGAACTTTCTTTATAAGACAAAAATAGCAAAAACTTTCTTTACAAAACAAGAAATAGCAAGAACTTTCGTTACAAACTAAAAAATGGCAAAAACTTTCTTTACAAATCGAAAAATGGCAAAAACTTTTCTTACAGGACACAAAATTGCAAGAACTTTATTTAAAAAACCAAAAACCGCAATAACTTTGTTTACAAATCGAAAAAGCAACAAAAAACAATAAAAACAAACTCTACAGTGCTCTGTAAATTACTGTGTCATTTGAGGAGTCCGAAAATAATTGGCACGCGGGGAAAAAACGCTTTTCGACCGAAATAAAACAACAAAAAGTTGGGTTGAGAAATGCGAAAATCCGTCAATCTTCCCCACCCAAAAAAATGTTTTTTCCACTTCGAAACTCCCCCGACGGTCCGAAAATGAAGAGCCAACAACGGCTGAACGGACCGAGATTTATGACCTCGGCTGGGCTATTAAAAACAGTACAACATGTGGAACAGTACACTTGGTTTGGGTGTATGTATGTGGTAATACGATAGACAACACCACCCTTCCTTCCCACCTCGTCGAATGGAAGAGGGGAGAAGGGGGGGGAGGAAGAGAGATATAGGGTGGCTTGGAACAGTACTGTTGGTCTGACCAAACCATGACTAAAAAATTTTTCCACCCCCCTCCCCCCTCCCAGCGAAAAAACCCTTAGGCAGGATCCGGTCAGTACTATAATATATGAAAAAATCAGTAAGATATGGTAAGACAAAGGTAAAGAAAAGTTAGCTAAGAGTACAAAGAGCTATAGACTAGAGATAGGGCTTGGACTCATAATAAAGCTTTAGCTAGGCCACCTGATAAAGCGTTTGCTAAGCTTTGGCTTAAACCTGAAGTTAAGTATTTTTTAAGCAAGACAGAGCTAAGCTTGGCTAGCCTACAGTATTTTAAAGGTCGGGTAGGGCAAGATACGGTGCAATATGCTACGATCCAGTACGGTCCGGTACAATACCGTCCGGTACAGTTTATAATAGTGTAGTTTGTTAAATCACGTTCCGGTACGGTTCACTACTGTTTAGTACGGTAGAGCAGAGCAAGGCAAGTCTAAGTCTAGGGCAGGGTAGGGTAGGGTAGGGTAGGAAAACAAAAACCAAGCTAGCAAAAATTTATTTATTCAAAAAAATTCAAAAAGCAATAGCTCCCGATTGCCATGCCTTTTCGAATCTAAAAGCGCAACCTTGTATTTCGCTCTTCCAATTCCCTCGAGGGAAACTTGTTGAGTCTGCGAACATTCGCCGGCCGAAACAAGAGTCGCACAATGACGAAACAATACTTTTGACAAGTTAAACACCCCCTAAAGTGGTAAATTACTGTTTTTCTAGTCAAAAGTGCATTTGTAAACAAAGTTCTTGCCATTTTTTGTTTTGTAAACAAAGTTCTTGCCATTCTTTGTTTTGTAAAGAAAGTTCTTGTCAGTTTATGTTTTGTAAAGAAAGTTCTTGCCAATTTGAGTTTTGTAAACAAAGTTCTTGCCATTTCTCATCAATAACCCTGCAAAAACTTTATTTCCATCTAAAAACCGTTGAAATTCCTTCAAAGATCACTGGATTCCTCCGTAGCGGTTGATTTGTCGTCGTACGGTCGTTTCCTGTGTCGATACCATTTGTGTGCCATGATACTGTAGATTACAAATGTCACAATACACCCGATTGTGGCTGATAAGTACTTTTGTGACAAAAGTGAGAATAGGTCCAGGACGCTGGTGCACAAGTTGTACAAATGGCCCAGGATTCGAGGGATACCGAAGCAAGCCTAAAGTTTAAAAAAAAAATTATCGACCGGTCGATAATTTTTTTTCAAAGGTGTTGGCTGACACTTTAAAAAACTTCATTTTTAAAAAACACTAAAAGACAAAAAAACCAAAAAGTTTTTTTTAACTAATCGACCAGTCAATTCGAATTTTTTAAAATTATTGACCGGTCAATAAATTTTTTAAAATTTTTATTGATTGACAGCTTTAAAAAGGTCATTTTTTTTAAAAGAAATAAACCAAAAAGCACAAAAAAAAATTTTTTTTAATTTATCAACCGGTCGATAAAAATTTTTTTAAAAGTTTTTGAAAACTTACATAAAAAGTCGATGACAATTCAGGCGACGCTTCAACATAAGACATTTCCAAAAGAGTCACTGCAACCATGATTTCCGACAAACCCAACAACAAAAGTGGCACTATCGTGTACAAAACTGGCACGGTGTTTGGCTTCACAACTTCGTAACTTTTTATCTCTGGCTGGAAAGAAAGTACTGTAATATACGGTAGATACGATAGGGTAGGGTACAGTATAGTACGGTAGATACGACAGAGTAGGGTACGGTAGGGCAAGTCGAAGCAAGGCAAGGCAAGGCAAGGCAAGGCAAGGCAAGGAAAGGCAAGGCAAGGCAAGGCAAGGCAAGGCAAGGCAAGGCAAGGCAAGGCAAGGCAAGGCAAGGCAAGGCAAGGCAAGGCAAGGCAAGGCAAGGCAAGGCAAGGCAAGGCAAGGCAAGGCAAGGCAAGGCAACTTACATGATCAGTTGATCCGGAAATGATTATCAGAGTATGTAAACCAGCATGTTGATATCTAAAGGAGTAGTTGGCCGGAGTTGATATAAAGTCCTTCTTATCGATGATACCATCGGCCGAGTGAATTTCATTGTCGTAGAAGTGCACGCTGTAGCTTGAAACAACAATTTTTTAAAACATTTTTTAACGTACCCTACCGTGCCCTATCGTACTATATCGTACCCTACCGTGCTTTACCGTACCGTAATCTAACGTACCGTCCCTTTCCTACCCTACTCTACCCTACCTTACCGTTACAGTACCCCATCGTACTCTACCGTACCATACCGTGCTTTACCGTACCCTACCCTACCCTATTGTACCCTAACGTACTCTACCGTACCTTACCCTACACTACCCTAACTTACTTTCTTCCAAAAGGTATCGTTTTAGACTTGAATACGATAGCTGTGGTACTTTCTTTGGTCTTATTTTGTTGCTTTTTGTAGAAAAGTGAGTTGAAGTCTCCTGACTGCTCGTAGGACACGAAGCCATTTCTATCTTGGGGATCACACACTGGCTCTATATTGTTATTGTCGTCTTGTTTACAAAAAGCAATGTGACCTGCATAGTTTGGAATTGTCACTACCACCCTAAAGTTCAAAAAATTTGAAAAAAAATTGTAAATAAAGTTCTTGCAATTTTTTGTTTTGTAAATAAATTTCTTGCCCTTTTCAAAAAAACTCAAACTCACTGAATGCCATTTAAAATATAACTGCACGTCGTGAGGTTCTTATCAAGCATAAACATCAAAACGCCAGCACTTTCATCAACATTCAGCACGTAGCCCCGGTCGCTTTCCAAATACTCTGATACCACTATACTCACGTTTCGACATTCTTTAGTTCGACTCATCGTGAAATTCTGAATCCCTGGTGTTAGCGACCACCATGTGTTTCGAATATTGTGCTGAAATTTTTTTATCAGTGACTTATATTATAATAATAATAATAGTTATGATTGCACCGTGCAACAAGTTTTGATTTTTGCACTGCGCAATTTTTAGCGTATTTTAGGTAACAAATAATGTTTTATATCTTAGTCTAGACTAGTAAAAAGCTGCTAAAACAATTTTTATTTTAATAAGTTTAAAAAGAATGAAGCAATGAATTTTTAAAAAATGGCTGCACTGTGCAACAACTTTTTTGCACCGTGCAATTCTTAGTGTAATTTAAGTAATAAATAATGTTTTACATTTTAGCCCAAGCTAGTACAAAGCTATTAAACCATGTTTCACAGTCATAGCGTCAAAAAGAATGGCACAGTAAATGTATAAAAAATGACTGCACCGTGCAGCAATTTTTGATTTTTGCATTGTGCAATTTTTAGTGTAATTTTAGTAATAAATAATGTCTTATATTTTAGTCTAGACCACTAAACAGCAATTCAATCAGTTTTTCCTTTTATGGCTAAAAAAAATAATAGCACAATGAATTTTCAAATAAAGGCCGCACCGTGCAGCCCTTTGTTTTGCACTGTGCAAGTTTGACCTAGTTTAGGTAACAAATATGTTCACAACTTTTGGTTTGTACTTATCAAGCGTTAATAAAAAGGTTTTGCTTTAAAAGCATAAAAAAGAATGGCACAGTAAACATATAAAAAATGACTGCACCGTGCAACAATTTTTGATTTTTGCACTGTGCAATTTTTAGTTTAATTTAAATAATAAATAATATCTTATATTTTAGTCTAGACTACTAAAAAGTTAGTTAATTAATTTTTTTTTATGATTCAAAAAGGAATGGCATAGAAAATTTTCAAAGTTGACTGCACCGTGCAACCAAAAAAAATACTTACACCGTGCAATTAAGTTTACTTATTTCAAAATTAACAAGAAATCTTACCTCAACATAGTTCGAGAAGTACCCAATGTCATTTTTTGTATCATTCTTAAACGTGCTTGCTGGTACCAATTCTGGTGCAAATCGCTCGGTTAACACGTAGACATAGCTTCTGGTCTTATCTTGTGCCACTTCTTTATCGTTTTCAATCAGTCCGGCCAAAAATACTGCTGCCATTAATGCCAGTACCATGAAGAATAGACCCATTTGATACGCATGACAAAGTTCAAGTGTACCAGACGTCGCATTACTGGGTATACGATACCGTATACCGTAACTACCGTAGCCAATGTGATGAATTCGTACAGCGGCCAAAAATACTCTGGCAGAAACATAAAACCGTGTATTTTGATGTTCACTTCGTAGGTTAGGACTTCTGATACTTCCATGATATATTGGTACCCTATCCACCATAGTGTTAGAGGTATCAGTAGGGCTACGAACTTGGTAAGTACGTGGATGTCTTCAATGAACTGGAGCTGAAAGTAGCATTCTTTAGACGCTTTTCTATAAGGCTAGACTTAAACGTACAGTACCTTAAAGTAGCCTACAATATTATAAGTAACTCTACAGTACCCCAAGTTAACCTACAGTACCTTGCATAAAAATACCCTACCCTACCCTACATGCTGTACTCTACAGTATCCAACTTCTCTTTACCATATGTTACTGAACCTTATTATAGTCCAAGCTAGACATAGCTTTCCTACTGTAACCCTAGCCCGTGATAACTATTTTTACCATAACCAAAGCTACCGTATACCTTACCCTAAAGTGCCTAAACCTTATGTTTTATCACTTCTACTGTACCGTATGGCTTCATAACACTCTGTCGTTTGCTACCGTACTGTAGTATATACTTGCAGGACCCATCGGTGCTTTACTGTACCTACTGATATTCTACTGTATCAAAAAAGTTCCGTATATTCCGCATAATACCGTAACTACTTACTTTTTGGCAATAGAACGAATTCCTTCTGACACTCTTTTGTTGTACACATAGTTCATCCTGGTTACATTTGTGAGTGTCCATATAGTAATCCAGTAACTTAATCGGTTCCTTGGTATACCGATTTCGGATTATTTCCTTCGATGACATAGAAGAAGTGAATGGGTGAAGAACAATCGGCTTGACTTCAACTTTGTGTCTCAATGAACGTCTATAGTTTTTTATGGCTTTCTAAAAAGCATAAAGCATATTACAGTGTATAATAGCTTGGAAACGACTTGATAGCCTTTTTCGAGGTAGAGTAGGCTTGAGATAAGGTACTGAAGGGTAGAACATTTTAGAGTACTGTAGAAAAAAGTAAAATACCGTAAAGTACTGTAATGTAAAGTAGTGAAAGATAGGGTAATGTAAAGTAAGGTAGAGCGGTTTAGAGTTCTCTGGGTTACTGTAGAGCACAGTACAGACAATAAACTGCAGTAAAGTCCAGTGCTGCAAGTACTGAAGTGCTAAGGCTAACTGTAGGTACAGTAAGAGTGAAAAATGGCTAATTATAGGTATTGTAGGACTAAGAATAACTGTAGGTACTGTGGAGCCAGAGCTAACTGTAGGTACTGTAGGACTAGGGCTAATAGTGGGTAGGGGAGGGGGAGGGGAGGGGGAGGGGGAGGGGGAGGGGGAGGGGAGGGTAGGGTAGGGTAGGGTAGGGTAGGGTAGGGTAGGGTAGGGTAGGGTAGGGTAGGGTAGGGTAGGGTAGGGTAGGGTAGGGTAGGGTAGGGTAGGGTAGGGTAGGGTAGGGTAGGGTAGGGTAGGGTAGGGTAGGGTAGGGTAGGGTAGGGTAGGGTAGGGTAGGGTAGGGTAGGGTAGATAAACTTACCCAGTAGATTCTTACAGCGTCAATGATAGGATTGTGAGTTGGTTCTCTGGTCTTGTAGTGGAAGGTGCCCATGGCGAAACAACAAAATCCAAGTAGAATGTAAGCTGTGGCAAAGCCGAATGTGGCTGGGTAACATTTTCGGTCGTAGTAGCAGTAAATTTCTAAAAATTTTGAAAATTTTTCAATTTTAAAAAAAAATTTCGAAATTTTAAAAATTTTCAAAAATTTGAAAATTTCAAACCCACCGTTAACCTTTGGAAATATAATTCCAGCCAGCACCCCGGCAGCGTTCGAAACAAAGTGTATGATCGGTACTATATAGTATATGGCCTTCTTCTCGTACGACTGAAGTTGTTGTAGTATTAGCGGTATGTAGGCTGGTATGATAGCTGTTCCAGTGATGAATATCACACAGAATAGAAAAGAGTCCATGATGGCATGGCTATCAGTATCAATGAACACGGCCGCCGATGACCAACACAATGTTGAGGTAGACAAGAAGAATAGTGGGGTAAATATCATTACTGTTCTGGAAATGGCAAAAAGTTAAACTGACTAGCCAAGCTAAAACAGCCCAAACCTGACCAGACCAAACCAGAGCAGCCAAGCCAAGCCAAGTCAAGCCAAATCATGACAAGCCAAGCCAAACTCAGTATAACCTCACTCTGCACTTTTGTTCAGGCTAGTCCAGCCCGACCAGGCCTGACTCAGTCAAGTACGGCCCCGTTTAACCCATCCCAACCTAACCCAGCCCAACGCAGTCTACACCAGCTCATCTCAGCCCAGCCTAGAACACAGAGTTTTAGACCAATCCGGCACAACACGGCCTAGTCCAGCTCTCTTTTTAATAAAAAAAACTAGCAAGGATTTTCTTTCCAAATCAAAAAATGGCAAGAACTTTCTTTACAAAACATAAAATGGCAAGAACTTTCTTTACAAGCCAAAAACCACAACTTACCTATATTGACCACAGTACCCATCGCTCATGAAAGCTCCAACGAAGCCGGCGGAAAGCGAAGACATGACAATAAAATCAGAGATAGCAAATGCCGTGGGCTTATCCAACTTCATCACATGGTACATGTAGTCGGTTTGAGTCATTTTTACTATGTAATACCCAATATGACAAGTAAATACCGACAGTAAAAGCCAAAACAATGCCACTTTTGGTAGACCGGCCCAAATCTCTGATATTGTTTTGGATTGGGTCGGTGGGGGGTTGTGGCATCAGACATTCTTTCTCTTCTGACTCTGAAAAATTGCAAGAACTTTTTTTAGAAAACAAAAAATAGCAAGAACTTTCTTTACAAAACAAAAAATAGCAAAAACTTTGTTTACAAAACAAAAAATTATAAATTTGCCATTTTACAAAAATCCGATAAAAACTGTGACATTTCGTCAAAAAATCAATATTCGTTGTAACGTAAAATAACAACTGGCAAGAACTTACTGATATTAGATGAAAGTGAATCTTGATGTATTATTGAGCCCATGCTACGAAAAAAACTCAACCGGATCGGTTGAAAGTAGAAAAAGTAATGAAATTCGTTTTTCATTTTTCTTTCTATTGAATGTCATCAAAGTACAAAAATTACTTTGGGATAACTTTTTTTAGATTGATATGTCTAAAAAATTTTATAAAATAAGGGCTTAAGTTTAAACTTAGAGTTCGGTTTAGACTTAAGAGTGACCTCGACTTTAGGCTTACGCTTAGGCCTAAGTTTTTGCTAAAAATGAAGCGTAGTTTCTAAGCTTAGGCTTATCCTCAGAGTTAAACTTAGACTAAAAATAATTTTTAGACTTAAAATTAAGCTTAGGCTCAGGCTCAGACTTAGGCTCAAGCTCAGGCTCAGGCTTAGGTTTAGGCTCAGGCATAGGCTTAGGCTTAGGCTGAGGCTTAGGCTTAGGTTTAGGCTTAGGCTTAGTCTTAGGCTTAGGCTTAGGCATAGGCTTAGGCTTTGGCTTTGGCTTTGGCTTAGGCTTAGGCTTAGGCTTAGGCTCAGGCTCAGGCTCACGCTCAGCTCAAGCTCGGGCTGAGTCTGAGGCAGAGGCTCAGGCTCAGGCTCAAGCTTATTTTACTTCAGGCTCTAGCTCTAACTCAAACTCAAGCCCAGCTTTAGGCTTAGATTCAGGCACAAGGTCAAGTTCAGGCTTAAAGTCAGGTTCAGGCTCAGACTCAGGCTTTAGCTCTCTTAGAACTTTTTTTACGTTTACTAGTCGTTTTTACTTAACTTGTGTTTTTTTTCAAATTTAAAAATTTCAAAAAAAAAAGTTTTATTTAATAATAAAAATAATTTACATAGTATGTACATTGTCATTGAAATAAAGACGAAAGGGAATGTAAATTAAAAAACCGCAAAAATATTTTTTTTGAAAAAAAAATATTATCTTACAAAAGAGAACAGCATTGTCACATACTCAAAACAATTAAAAATTGGAATTTCGGGTCACAATTTCATAATTTCGTATGAAGACAACGTATTTTACACTACTTCTTGTTCAATCCCTCGTAGTAGTTGGGCCATTCGACTCGACACAGTGGACAAGTCGTCTCTTCGTAGCTGTTCCATTTACTTCTGGACCAGTTCTGTACACACTCCTTGCATCCAACCTTTTGTTCGCAGTATCGACAGACTACGGTTGGCGTATCTTCGTAGCAAATGTAACAGATTGGACTGGAATGGTCGTATAATGGTCGGTCACTGTTGAAAATATCGACATAGCTTCGGAATTTGGAGGTGGAGGGCTGGGAGTGAAAGAAGTGGGGCTGGAGGGAGGGTCCTGAAATGGTTTTTATTAAATTTTTAAAATTGTTTTGATTTTATAAGTTCAATTTTTGAAAATACTAGCTTCAGACTTAATAACTTTAGGCGTAATAGACTAAGACTAGATACGCTTAAGCTTAGTTAGCTTTAGTTTAGTAAGCTAAGATATTATAGGTCTTAGGTTTTGTAGACTCAATCCGCCTTTAGCAGGCTTAAGCTTAGTAGGCTTGAACTTAATAGGCTTAGGCTTAGGAGATTTAGACTTAGTAGGCTTAGGCTTAGGAGGCTTAGACTTAGTAGACTTAAGCTTAGTAGGCTTTGGCTACGTAAAGGCGTAGGTATAGTAGGCTTAAACTTAGTAGATTTAACAACAGTCAGCTTAGGCTTAGACTCACTAGACTTAGGCTTTCGTAAGTTGAGTATTGGTAGGCTTAACTTATTAAGCATAAGATTAGACTTTATTGGCATGGTCCTACGCTTGCTTCAAAACCTATAAAACTTTATAAAAGTTTACGAGTCTTACCGTATCTGATGGTTGTTAGGTCTTGATGACTGTCTATTCTAGCGACTTTCATGATTTTATTTTAATCTGAAAAAAAAATAAGATTAAAAAAGTAAACGACTAAACCATAAACATTTTTCGTAGCCTAACACGCTCGACAAATTTTAATTAAGGTTAGGACTAAAGTTTAAGTTTTAGTCTAAGTTTGTATAAAAAATGGCCAGTAAAACGTAATCCCTTGCAGTAATTTAGAGCCAGATCCCAGCACTCGCAGTCATTTGTTGGGTCGTTTTACATCGAGGCAAATATTACAAAATTTAAAAATATTACATAAGAAAAGGTTGCGTAATACCATTTATTGCAATTTCTCTAAGGCTATCTAGTTGTATCATTCATATTAGGTAATAGCGCGCCTGTTTTCTATTTTTTAGAGCTTTTGGAGATAAAGTTAGGTTTATGCTCTAAAGTTCGCTAGGTTAGTAGGCGTAAACTTATTAGGCTTAGGCTTCTATGCTTTGCCTTAGTAGGCTTAAGCTTAGTAGGCTTGGGCTTGGGCTTGGGCTTGGGCTTGGGCTTGGGCTTGGGCTTGGGCTTAGGCTTAGGCTTAGGCTTAGGCTTAGGCTTAGGCTTAGGCTTAGGCTTAGTAGACTTAGGCTTAGGCTTAGGCTTAGGCTTAGGCTTAGGCTTAGGCTTAGGCTTAGGCTTAGGCTTAGGCTTAGGCTTAGGCTTAGGCTTAGGCTTAGGCTTAGGCTTAGGCTTAGGCTTAGTAGACTTAGGCTTAAGCTTAGGCTTAGGCTTAGGCTTAGACTTAGGCTTAAGTTTAAGCTTAGGCTTAGGCTTAGTAGACTTAGGCTTAGTAGGCTCAGGCTCTTATTACGCTTGAGCTTTGAAGAAAATGTAGACTTGTTATTTGTTAGCAATAATTTTAAAAACTTAGAAAATTACCAAAAAAAAACTAACGTTTAAAGCTTGTTGAAAACCACTAATCACTAACTATACCCTTTCACTTCCTCACAAATTACAAAAACTGTCAATAACCGAGAAGAAATCTATAAAATTCCATTTGTTAAAAGAAGAAAACCAAAAAGGTGGAAGAGTTAACGCTGAAAAGTCATAAACTCCATGTTTTTTCGTCGCAAAACTCTCCAATTTTGACCGTTAACGCGACAAAAAAGAGCAAACCCTTCGAAGGGAAGTCAATAAAAACTTGTCATGTTAAAAAGATATACATTGTGAGCTGCTGAAGATACATTGAAAGGTATTGTGACGGTATCAATGGTGATATTACAAAGTAAAACTACTGTACCACTGTAAAAGATCAGTATAGTGTTTTGTTTGTAAAGGAAATTGAGTTTTATGTCATGGAAACAAAATTGTAAATAGAAGTTTATTGCTTTAGCATCGCTGTGCTTAGTTAACGGCTTTGGAACGGTTTGTATTATCAACAACATGAGAAGAACGATTAAAACAAAAAATTAATTTTTATAATTTGCAATTATTTTTTTTCATTTTACTAAAGCATTGTAGCGTACAGTTTGTTAGAAGGCGTACCTCTAGTAGTCTGAGTAAGGTTAAGCTTAGAAGACTTTGGTTTAGTAGATTTGGTAGGCTTTGACTAAGTAGGCTTTGTAAGCAAATTTTTAAAAATTCAACCTTTGTAGGCTTAGGCTTAGCAAGCTTAAGTTAAATAGTCTTGCTCGTAGTAAGCTTTTGCTTTGTAGGCTTAAGCTTAGTAGGCTTAGGCTTAACAGGCTTAGGCTTAGTAGGCTTAGGCTTAGTAGGTTTAGGCTTAGTAGGCAGGCTTAGTAGGCTTAGTATGCTTAGGCTTAGTAGGCTTAGGATTAGCAGGCTTAAGCTTAGCAGGCTCAACATAGTAGGTTTAATATAGGCTTTAAAGGCTCAATGTTAGTATATAGGCTTAGCATGAGTAATATTACAATTATTAGACCGCAAGTTTATTAGGCTTACGCTTAACCGTCCAGTAAAATAAAACATTTTAACAAATTTTAAAAAAAATTTTGTTGCACTACCCTTACCTTTTTTTTCACCACGTACCTTTCTCTCATTCCTTACCCTACCCCCTTCTCTTACCCTCTACCCTTACCTCTTCTTCTATATCACCTCCTTTCCCTATCTTTAACACGTCCTCACCCTTACCTCTCTCTCATCCCTATCTCTACCCTTCCCTCACCCTTACCTATTCCTTCGTCTCTACCTCTCGTAGCATTAAAAATAAACCAACCATATAACCCTGGAGTTATAAACCACGTTATCAAGGTATTACCCTCTTAATGACCACCCATTGTAAGAGAAACTGGCGGTCAGATAACACCCTAATATCGACTGATTCCGAAACATTAAGGAAATAGAATTAGTAGACTGGACTAGAAAATGCATGTTTGAGTCATAAAACTGTCGTCGCATTAAAATTGGCTGTATTTTTAGAAATGAAAATGAGTTTTAAGGAAGTGAAAAATGTCGAAAAAACTTTCTTTACAAGTCTTAAAATGGCAAGAACTTTCTATACAAAACAAAAAAGAGCAAGAACTTTCTTTACAAAACAAAAAATAGCAAAAATTTTCTTTACAAATCTAAAAATAGCGAATTTACAAAACAAAAAGCTCATAAATCTAGCGGTTTTTAGAAATCCGATGAAATATGTGACATTTCGTGAAAAATCCGATAGAATCTGTAGCACTTCGTCAAATCTTTTTAAAATTTGCTTAAATTAGCTAAAAAACTCTACAAAAACTATTAAATTATTCAAATAATTCTGTTCCTTCTAAGCCTACAAATATGATTTAAGAGAGGGCACAGAATTATATAAACAACCTAAATACAATTGAAACTCCCTGCCAATATTCATAACCAACAAGAGGTTAATTTTGAACGCTTTCAATCAAATTATATGTTTATATAGTACTCTGATAAGTAAAGCAAATAAAAAGCACATGTCTGACCTGTGATACTACCCTGCTCGAATAACAAATGATAATTGATATTAAAGTAGGTCAATATTGTTTATTTTTCCAAAGTGTTAAAGGTCGAAGAGCGCGTTTATTAGGGTGAAAAGAAAGTTCTTGCCATTCTTTGATTTGTAAAGAAAGTTCTTGTCATTTTTTGTTTTGTAAAGAAAGTTCTTGGCATTTTTTGTTTTGTAAAGAAAGTTCTTGCCATTCTTTGATTTGTAAAGAAAGTTCTTGTCATTTTTTGTTTTGTAAAGAAAGTTCTTGGCATTTTTTGTTTTGTAAAGAAAGTTCTTGCCATTTTGTTCTTCGTAAACAAAGTTTTTGCCATGTTATACCTTGTAAACAAAGTTCTTGCCTAAAAATACAAAAAGTTGCCTACAAATCGGAAAAAATAATAAAAGCTGTAAACAAAGTTGTTGCGTGTCGAACGCTAACAAATATATTGAGAAATAACCAAATTGAAAAGTGATAATCAGCCCTCGTGCTCTCGCTTATCATTTTTCTTCTAATTCCATAAGAGGTCGTCGATAAGGGTACCAAAAAGGGTCTCGTAGTCTAATAATTAAAGTACGAAAGTGATTAAAAACCAGGAAGAGCCCCTCTAATCAGTTGGTTTGTGATTGTGATCAAAGAGTTAGCTAAAGCACGTTGGATTAATGGGGGGAAGGGTGGTGTAAAAGGAAGGGTAGTGTAGTACCGGGTGGACTAGCTGACCAGGTAACAAGTGTATTCCTAGTGAGCTCGGTCCAAGACTTGATGACTTTATACTCAGATTAAGGATTAGGCGTAAGCTGGTTTTTAGGCATACCTTTAAGCTTAAACTAAAAGGTAAACTTAGGTTTTAGCTAGAAATTAGGGTTGGACTGAGCCTTAGACACTTAGCCTTAAACTCATAATTAATATTAGGCTTAGAATGAGGCTAAAACTAAGATTTAGGTTGTGACTTACAATGTTTTGTTTGGCTTACGTTTTGGCTTGAGCTTACAAGTAGGCTTAGGCCTAGGTTTAGATTTTGCGTCAGTCTTAGGTTTACTTTTGGATTAGGTTTAGGTTAATGCTTAGGGTTGGAATTAGCCTTAGGCTTAAATTTATTTACAAAGCATAAAACGGCAAAAACTTTTTTTACAAAACAAGAAATAGCAAAAACTGGGAGTTATTCTTCATGAGCACCAAAACTTTCTTTACAAACAAAAAATGGCAAGGACTTTCTTTAAAAAACAAAAATTGCTTTAGCAAGCCGTTGAACACAAGATCTTTAAACTATTTTTCTTTAACTATTATACAGAAGATGATGATCAAGATGCGATCATTCTGAAGACTATCTTTTTCTCTTTTAAACGGGTTTATACCCGGTTTTGTACAGATTTTAAACTTTTTGAAATTTTAAAACTTGGTCATTGCGTCTACACTAATATTAAGTCATTTATTGATAAAACAACATTTAATTGGTTACATAAAGTAATATAGATCAAAAATTGTCATAACTTTAAAAATATTACAAAAAAATAAAAACCTTTTCAAATTTCGCGCGTTTTCGGCTCGTGTGGCATTTTGTTTCATTGTTTTTCTATTTATTTCTATGACTCATTCCCTCCGAACGTTTTTCGAAACAAGAATGAGCAAGAAATACTCTTTTCGCGTATATAAACAAGCTCTACCTCAACCTCATGTTCGACTTAGACTGCGGTGAATATATAATATTAATCTTGACTTTAATTCTCCTGTTAAATCGAGCAAAACCTTGATATTAACATAGGCGCTCCTTGTTTTTAGTATATCACATTATTGTCGTTGCTTTTACTCTTTGTTTTTGGTAAATACAATAAGATTTGTCTTTGATTTATAGTAAAAACAGTTTAAACTTTTATGTTATTACCGGGAATGCTAGCTTTTTTGTTAAATTCATTGAAAAACAATTGTTTTTCTAAGGAACCCCCATGTTATAGTAGGTTTTGGAAGTGTATTGACCTTCAACAATGTTTTTTGTTGATTCCAATGCGTCAGTTATGTTGAGAAATGTTTTGTTGACGTGTAGCTTTTATTTTTTTTGTTCGAATTTAGGTTTGTGTTTAAAAAGGCGTTCAGTTTATCTTCATCATGTTGGTTTATCCTTGTTGAGCTTTCGGGCTTTTAAAATTGGTGTTCATTTTAAGATTATTGTTGGAGTTTGGGCTTAATCTATTCCTTGGGTTCTCTATTATCTAAAGGTTATGTTTTTTCTTAAGTTCATAGGCATTCGACCAGTCAAAAATCACTTTTTGTTCAAGAGGTCATTTTCAAGTATTTTAATCAAAACTCGCGTTTGTTTTTAAAAATTGGCAAAATTATTAATAATTTTAGCAAAATATGTACATACTAAATCTTATAATTTCAGTTTGTAAACAAAAATGCAAGCAACAACCGAAGATATTACGGTGCCATGGGGTCAAGCCCCAGATCCAGCTGATCATCAATATGGAAAGTGGAGAATGGCCGTTTTTCAGGATGTTCGTGAGAGTTTGGATCAAACCAAGCTGTATTTTCTGTATGATCCTGTAGCCGACGATAACTGCATCACAACGTAGGTTTTTTACATTTTTTGTTTGTGATTTTAGGTATCAATGTTAATATTGAGGTAATTGATGAAATTTGTGAAGTGGGCTTGGAGTTTTGATTGGGATAAGATATTTTAGAGGATTAGCTATATTTTCGGCTATAACTTAAGATTTTAGGTAGTAAAATGAGTTTTTTATGGCAAAAAAAATAATATCGTAGACATCTAAAACAAGATTTTTAGTGAAATTTGATATTAGAAACAAGTTTTATCTTTTATCGCATGAATAACATAACTTTACATTTTCAGTGGAGGCAGAAAAGGAATGACATCTTTTGCCGTGTTTGACACGATCCGCAAAGCTTTTGTGGCCGAGATTCCGTTGAGAGTTCAAGGAAGAGTCAAGTTCATGTTTGCCTTGAACCAACCGTCGCCAGTTGGTGGAAGTTCGATGGTTGTGGTTACTCACAGTGAGGATTATGGTCAATATGTGGTAAGGAGTTTGGTTTTGTTGGTTTTTAGGTAACGGGCGATGTAAAACGGCCATTTATTTAGGTTTAGTTGTTAAAAAGCTTGGTTTTAAGTTAAGCAAAGTTTTTTTTGTGTTTCTTTTACTAAAATATTAATTTTTTGTTATTTTTCAAATTTTAAAATTTTTAGCTTCACTTCTGGAGAGTCGACTTTACATCAGATGGCCTATCAATTGCTGGAGAACCTCGATCTCTGGTCAGTTCTCCAATACCAGTGGGCGAAGACTACATCGTAGCCTTGAGAGAAGATGCTCCAGAACTCGTCGTGATCTCAGGACCACAAATGAGTGTTTCGGTCATCAACGCGTTGACCCAAGGACCTCAAGAACCAACCAGAAGATTCGACGTGCACGGCGCCGAGCTGGCTCACTTTTACGATGGATTTGTGAGCCAAGGCAACGTCTACTTTTTGAGTGCATCTCCAGATGGCCACTTGGATTACAGTAGAATTCATATATTGTCGTTGAACACTCAACAGATCACTACACAGTATTGTCAAGCTGACCCTCAAAGAGGTAACCCACCAGCCAGAAAACAGGCTGCTCTTGATGCCATTTCTGGCTTTATCTTGTTGGCTGGAGGTGAGATTGACTATGGAAATGGCAATGTTCAACGACTGGTCGATTACTGGGTCTTGGACTTGCAGAGTTTCAAGTGGAATCAGGTACCAGCTCAAATGCCAGTACCATTGATTGAGCCGAGATTGAGCACCGCGCCTTCAGGTAAGGATTTCTTGAAGTCTTAGGTATTAAAAATTTTAAAAAGTGTGAATTTTAGGTATAAAAAAACTTAAAATTGAGGTTTTTTAAATAAAAATTTATCTTGTAGGTAACGTCTACGTATGGGGCGACTTTGACGACCCATTGCCAGGCATGCAATCAGGCCAAACTCACGTTCGTATCTTGAGAGTCAAAGGCCTAAACACCCTATCTCCACCATCATACAACCAAGCCATGGGCGGTGGATCTCAACCCTACGGAGGTAACCAACCATACCCAGGCTCGGGAGGCAACCAGCCATACCCAGGATCAGGAAGCAACCAACCATACCCAGGATCAGGAGGTTCATACCCAGGACAATCAGGTAACAACCCACCCTACCCCGGCTCTGGCGGTGGAAACCAACCCTACCCAGGCCAACAGTATGGAGGTAATCAGCCATACCCAGGTTCAGGTGCTTCATACTCAAATAATCAGCCCTATCCCGGAAGCGACCAAAAAATCAACCCCGATCAGCCAAACCAACCCTACCCAGGTTCGGGCGGAGCTTCAGGACCACCAACTTCGTATGGTCCGGGCTCGGGAGGAGCCTACCCACAACAACCCTACCAAGGCTTCAATAACCAGCCAGTTCCAAACTCGTACCAACAACCAGCTGGAGACGCCCCACCCCAATATCCATATTATCCACCCCAGGAAAAGAAGAAGGATTGCTGTATTCAGTGAAGTCTTGTAAATAATGTCATTTTATAGCCTTCTGAAGCCTCTTAACTAGTATTTTGGGGTTCTGAAACCTTGTAACCAACGAAAAAAGTCTTGTCGTAAATTTGCTATGATTTGAAGGTTGAAAAACGACAAGACTTTCTCAATTTTTGAAATTAACTCTATTTTATTGATTTTTGGAAAAAAATATTTTTTAAGCTTAAAATTGAAAAACAAAGCCAGTAACCAACTTTTAATCCTATCTTCTTACTGTAATTCGCACGAAATGTGATTGTATAGTGTAATACCCTATCTATAACCTATTTTGTCTGTTTCGCGTAATAAATTGATGTAAATATGGACGTATACTTTTTGTTTACGTTTTATTACATGTTTTTTAATATTTTTAATTGAACTATCGTAATTTTTTTAATTAGATTATTAAGGGATGTCCACTAGGTCGGCTGGGTCGATAGAAATTGAAAGGGGCCGGGCAGGCCCAAAGGTCGGGGTTAAACCAAGGCCTTAAAAGGCAAAACCGAGGTCTTAAGGGCTTAAACCACGGCGTTAGGGGGCCCAGTTTAGGTCCCACTAAGCTTCAAGGGTCAAACCAAGGCCAAAACCATGATCTCAGGTGCTCAATTCAAGGCCACAGGGGCTTAAGTCATAATCTCAGGGGCTTTAACTAAGGCCTCGGAGACTCAAACCAAGGGCTTGAGGGCCCAGTTTAGGTCCCACAAAGGGCTAAATACAGTGGTCTCTGTATATAGTGAACCATCTGTATAAGCAACTCTCCTTACAGTAAACAAGAAATTTGACCCCGCCAAGTCAATTTACACTGAAAAGTCTCTCTGTAAAGACAACGCCCCTTATAGTAAACACAACATTTCGGTCCCTTCGGGTTGCTTATATAGAGAGAGTACTGTATATCTGAACTCGAGAGCCGGTCCCAAACCAAGGCTCACCCATGAGCCGAAAAATTGGGTCCGGCAGGTTTAATTAAGCCCTTTACAGGTCTAATTCATGATTAAAGTTTGATTCAGATCCGTTAATTATTTCTCATTTTTATAATACACTATATGCATTTCTACTATCTCATAAGTTTTAGCATGTTTGCCGCGAAAAACAGTCCAATAAATCGGCTAAAGAAGCCGGAAACTCGTTGAGGCAGGAAAAGGGCAAACTTCCGACGGCTCATTTACAATGCCAAGAGATACCACTCCTCCACCTTGGCCGCTTCAAGGGTTCACTGGAGACGCAAGTGGGGGCAAATCTCATCGAATATTTTAGCTGGGCTTTGGATTCCTCACTGACAGAGTAAGTTACTGTTAGGGATTGGTTTTTCTTTTGGAAGTGTTAGGGATTGGCAAAGGTTCTGATTGTGTTGGGGTAGTGTAGGGTAGGGTAAAGTAGGGTAGTTTATTGTAAAGTGAGTTAGGATAAGGAAGAGTAAGGTAAGGAAGAGTAGGGTCGGGTCTTTTAGGATAGGATAGAGTAGGGTGGAGTAAAGTAAGGCAGAAAAGTAGGGCAGGGTGTTGTGGGAAAGGGTAGAATAAGATGGGGTACTTTAGAGTGTATTAGGGTAGGGTAGAGCCGCGTAGGCACAGCAAGGCATGGTAGTTTAGCGTAGGGCTCAAATTTCTGTAAGGTATTGTTAGGATAGTACGTATGCAGTGTACAATAAGAAAAGGTACTGTAAAGCAGTGTACTGAAAGGTAGGTACTGTAGCGCTAGGGCTAGCTAGACTATAACTCAAACTAGGGTTAGGACTAAAGCTTAGTTTGAGACTAGGCGAGGCCAGGCTAGTTTAGGTCATTAGGTACGGCAGAGTAAATTAACGTAGTACAGGTTAAAGTAAAGTACGGCAGGGTAGGGTAAGGTAGTATAGGGTAGGATAGGGTAGGGTAGGGTAGGGTAGGGTAAGGTAGGGTAGGGTAGGGTAGGGTAGGGTAGGGTAGGGTAGGGTAGGGTAGGGTAGGGTAGGGTAGGGTAGGGTAGGGTAGGGTAGGGTAGGATAAGGTAGGGTGGGGTGGGGTAGGGTAGGATAAAGTAGGGTCGGGTAGGGTAGGGTAGGGTAGGGTAAGGAAGAGAAAAGCAGAGGAAACGAAAGAGAAGCTCAAATATTATTATGAATAAGCAAAATTTTTGTCAAACGTAGACGCATATACTCATTAATCAAAATGAAAATAGTCGTTCGAGAGAGGGAGGGTTTGTTTAAGTAGTCATAGCAATGAGCGAGGGATGTGCGCAAATTTTATTTGATTTTTAAGAATTTTTTAAAAAAATAAAAAAAATTTTTGCGAAAGTTTTGACGTTGGTTTGTTAAGGTTTGCACGAGTAAAAACGACAAAACTTTTTTCATTTCTTAATATTATATACTAGGCTGTTCAAATCATTCTGCGCCATGTAACTGAAAATTTGGTATAATAAGAAAGGGCACAGAATTATTTGAACAACCGAATATTTTCAAATAAAAAATGAAATTTTTTTTTATTTTTTATAATTTTTTTAAAATTTAAAAATTTTTTTTTTAGTTCTTAATTTTTTAAAAAATTTAAAAAAATTTTCATAGTTTAGTATTAATATGGCCTTTTCCAACAATGTTAAATGATAATTGAGTAAACAGGCGTTGCAAAAGATAATAATCTTGATGTTAAACATGATTAAACTTTTCGAGGCAAATGACGAGTTTTCTTTGAGTTGAAAGTGTGATAATAAGGAACTTCTTATCAGTATTCTTTATCACAATGATAAAAAAGGGCTTTTGACTTATTACACACTTTGAAATTTATTATCTATTGAGGCCGGGCAGGGACTTTTGGGGACGGAGGCCGAAAAAAAATCGGCTCAGGTAAAACCAAAAATTCACAGGGGGGGGGGGACCACGTTCAACTTTTTTAAAAATTTTTTTTCTAGGGGGGGGTTTGAGCTTTTTCTTAATTTTTAAGTAATTTGAGTATATTTCAGATACAGAACTAGTGCCATACCTAAACAATGGACCCGGAAGAGTTCCGAAAACATGGAAAAGAAATGGTCGATTTGATTGCTGACTATTGGAAGTCGATTCCCAGTCGAAAACCCATGCCTGAATGTAAACCCGGATTTTTGGCTGATCAGGTAAGCTAGTGCTAGCCCAAAGTCCAGGGCCCTAGCCCAGAGCCCTAGTCCAGAGCCCTAGCCCAGAGCCCTAGCCCAGAATGCTAGCTCAGAGCCCCAGTCATGAGCTCCGGTTCAGACCCTTAGTTTTAGCCCTAGTCCTAGCAAAGACTTCAGCCCTACCCCAGAGCCCTCGTTCAGAGCTCTAGCCCAGGGCCTTAGCCTAGAACCCTAGACTAGAGCCTTAGCGTTAGACCTCAGAGCCCTAGTTTTAGCACTAATCCTAGCCAAGACTTCAGCCCCAAAGCCCTAGTTCAGACCCCTAGTCAAAACCCTAGTCCAGAGACTTAATTTTAGCCCTAGTCCTAGCTCAGACCTCAGCCCTAACCCTAGTATTAGTCCTGCTCCTAAGCCTTAGACCAGAGGTTTAACGCTAGTCCTAGCCTTCGTTCTACCTTAGCTCTAGCACTAGCCTTAGCTCTAGTCCGGAGCCTAAGCCCTGGCCTAGCATGACCTTAGCCAGGTTGTTCAAATAATTCTGTGCTCTATAAGAAATTTTGTTTAGAAAATTTGGTTTGAGGAGAGAGGGCACAAAATTATTTGAACAACGTAAATGTTCAAATAATTCTGTGCCCTATAAGAAAATTTTTTCTAAAATATTTTTTAAAAATGGGCACAGAATTATTTGAACAATCCAACACAACTTTTTTCAAAATATCAGCCTTCAGATAGTAGACCGAGCTCCAGAATCCCCAGAATCCTGGACGGAAATCATGAAAGATATTGAGCCATTGGTGCTGGCCAACAATACAAATTGGCATCATCCACTGTTCTTCGCATACTACCCAACTGCTTGCAGTTATCCAGCAGTCATGGCTGATATGTTGAGTGGAGCTATTGCTAGCATCGGATTTACTTGGGTATGGTAATTTTAATTTTCTTTGAAGGGGGGGGGGGAGAGGTGGTTTTGTTTTTTAGGGCTGGAATTTTTTTTGAAAATAAAATTTTTTTTTAGTTTTAAAAATGAAAAAAAAAATTTCAAAAATTTTTAAAAATTCAAAAAAATTTAAAAATTTCAAAAAATTTCAGAAATCCTCCCCCTCAATGACAGAACTCGAGATGAAGATGATGGACTGGCTTGTGGATGCGTTGGCCCTGCCAGAACATTTTAAAAACTCCCATCCAGGAAATGGGGCCGGCTGTATTCAATGCACAGCCAGTGACGCCACTTTAGTCGCTATTTTGGCGGCGAGGAGTCGGGCTGTTACTGTAAGTCAACTGTGTCATATAGCAATCAAAAATGGCAATAACTTTCTTTCCAAACCTTAAAATGGCAAGAACTTTCTTTACAGCACAAAATATGGCAAAAACTTTCTTTTCAACCCTTAAAATGGCAAGAACTTTCTTTACAAAACGAGAAATTGCAAGAACTTTCTTTACAAAACGAGAAATGGCAAGAACTTTCTTTACAAAACGAGAAATGGCAATATCTTTCTTTACAAAGTTTAAAATGGCAAGAACTTTCTTTACAAACTAAAAAACGGCAAGAACTATCTTTCCAAACCTTAAAATGGCAAGAACTTTCTTTACAAATCTTAAAATGGCAAGAACTTTCTTTACAAATTGAAAAATTGCAAGAACTTTCTTTACAAGCCATGTTTCAGACCTTAAAGTTAAACGAAACCCAACTGGACAAGTTCTCAAACTCAGTCAAGAACTTCAACATAAAGTCTGCCATCAACAATATCTTGGAGAACAAAGAGCCAAAAGATGATATAATCACCTTTGAAAGCCACGACCCATCCTACTTTACCAAATTCATTGGCTACTGCTCCGACCAATCCCATTCCTCCGTCCACAAGGGCTTCATGCTGGCTGGAGTACGAATGCGCAAGGTACTGAGTACTCGAAAGAACGAAATGGACAACTTCTGCATGGACCCAGAAGCCCTAAAAACGGCCATAAAAGAGGACCGTGCTCGTGGATTCATACCCTTCATCGTGGTCGCCACCATGGGTACCACCTCGACCTGTGCCGTGGACTTTTTGACCGAACTTGGACCAATCTGCAACAAGGAGAACATATGGCTGCACGTTGATGCCGCCTATGCGGGCAGCTTCCTACTGTGCCCCGAGTTCAGATGGATGAGTGAAGGCATGGAGATGGTGGATTCGTTCAACTTCAACCCCCACAAGGCCATGATGATCAACTTTGACTGCTCACCAATGTGGTTCAAGGATGCGACCGAAGCCATCAAACACTTCAATGTCGATGCTGAATATTTGAAGCATGAGTATCAGTCCGTGGCTCATGATTATCGAGTGGGTTTTGGTTTTTAAAGGGGTGGGGGTAGGGTTAGGGTTCTGGGTATGAAACAAGGCTAGAGGTATGAGAATGGGTCTAAGGTTAGGCTCAGGGTTAAGCTTGGGGCTAGGACTTGGAGCTAAGGACTAGAACTAGGGTTAGGGCTCTGGGCTAGGGCTTTGAACTGGGGCTCTGCGCTAGGACTCTGGTCTTGAATTTTGGGCCAGAGTTTTGGGCTAGAGCTCTGGGTTAGGGCTCTAGGCTATGGCTCTAAGCTATGACTCTAGGCTATGCACGTCAAGAAAAAGCTAACCTTCCGCTGGGTATTGAACGGAATTTTGGCATAGTGAAATAAGAAGAAAAATAATATTTAGAGAAAATATTTTATGGACCAGACATAAACAAAGTAGTAATAACAATAAAAAAACGACGGGATCAAGCTTATTCAAACAAAAATCTGATTGGTAATTAATGTTTTTCATCGTGAACGGAATTGGCGCCAAAATTATTTGGCCATGGATAATATAATATCGTGTTTTATTCATAACTCAAAAACTACTCCTTAGATTTTGGTGTTTTTGGTATCAAATTAATCGTTATTTTATTCTACGTCTACCTATGAAGAGATCTCTAGCCCGTTGCGTGCTCGTTGTAAAGTTCTACATGATTTTACGGTTTTAGAAAACCATATTTTCAGACCGATCATAAACAACGGATAAAGTCAAATTGGCTATAATGGCTGTTGTAAATAAAACTTTGGGTGTTAAATAAGGTTTCTTATAAAAACTTTCTATGTTAAATGTCCAATAACTATCAGTAAAAAATTGTTAAAGTCGAACAGGTTTATTCTCTTCTTGTTGCAGAATGCCAAAGATTTTTCTCTATGCGTGCGGTTTTCTATTATTTTTTCTTGACGTGCTATGGCTCTGAGCTAGGGCTCTGGACTGAGGCTTTGGGCTAGGGCTCTGGGCTAGGGCTCTGGACTAGGACTCTAGACTATGGCTCTGGGCTAGGGTTCTAAGCTAGGGCTCTGGGCTAGGCCTCTGGGCTAAGCCTCTAGGCTAGAGTTCTGGGGTAAGACTCTAGGCTAGGGCTCTAGGCTAAGGCTTTGGGCTAAGACTCTGAACTAGGGCTAGGGCATGGCTTAGGGCTAAAGCTAGAGCTAGTGGTATAAAAATAGTATCATTATCCTTCATTTCAGCACCTTCAAGTAGCTTTGGGCCGTCGATTCAGATCGCTAAAGGTCTGGTTCGTACTCAGGGCCTTAGGCCTGGAGAAGATTCGCGAATACCAAAGATTACAAGTGAAATTGGCCAAACAATTTCACCAACTAGTCTCGGCCGATGACAAGTTTGAAGTTGTTGTACCTCCAAACCTGGGACTGGTTTGTTTTAGGCTTAAGGTAAGGGTTTTAGGCCTAAAGTAAGAGTTTTGCACCTTAATACGCATCTTTTGATCTTGCGTTTTTGGTTTTTGACTATTTTTTAAATTTTAAATTTGAATTTAAAAAATATAATTTTAATTTAAATTTTTAAAAAATTTTGAAAAAAAGTCATTTCAGGGCCAAAACAGTCGCTCAGAAGCCCTCCTGAATCTCCTTAATCACGATAATCGAATTCACTTGGTGCCAGGCAAAACCAACGATGTGTATTACCTTCGGTTTGCCGTTTGCTCTCAACATACCAAAGAAAACGACATTACCTTCGCTTACAATGTCATTTCCGAACTTGGATGTCAAGTAGAATAAATGGTTTTGTACTCTAGTTTAGTGCTTTACAGTACTAATGATACTTTAGTACTTGTGCTTTACAGTACTAATGATACTTTAGTACTTGTGCTTTACAATACTAATGATAATTTAGTACTTGTGCTTTACAGTACTGATGATCGAAGTATGGTTAGGGCAAGAGCTAAAACTAATGTCAGGGCTAATGCTTGGGCTAAGACTAGAAATAGAACAAGTTATAGGTAGGGGTCGGGTAGTGGTAAGGATAGGGGTAGAGGTAGGGGGTCTGAGCTAGAACTCTGGGTTAGGGCTCTGGGCTAGAGCTCTGGACTACAGCTCTGGACTAGGGCTTTGGGCTAAGGCTCTGGACTAGAACTCTGGGCTAGGAATTCTCTTTTAAAAAGATTCAATTTACAGTTATTATTAGTTTATTATATACAATAAGTTAAGGTATAGCTACATTTTCAAATTAAAAAAATTTTAGGTAACAAATTTAAAAAAATATTGAACTTTGGGTATATAGGAGTTAAGTAGGTATAGCCAATTGCTGGCTCGTATAATTTACATGTTTTTCAAAATTATTAGTATTTTAGGTATTAAAATATCACCACCATAGGTAATATCATCACCATGAGTAAGGTCATCATAAAAATAAGTATAGGCACCACCATGTATAACATCATTATTAATAAGCAATAGCACTACCGATATGAGTAATGCCATTTTCAATTTAAATAGTGCTACTTCCAACCATTCCTTTCTCATTTACAGCTCAATCTTCGTCTCACCAACTCTTTCAAATTATCTTCATCATGATTCAAGAACACTCGCTCCTCCGACCCCACAACTCTGCTCAAGTACTCGCGATTACTGTGATCACTCATACTAACCGCGTAGAACTCAACGTTCTCTAACTGACGGATTCTTTCAGCCGGCGCCAACGCATCGTCCTGACTGTAGCCATCCGAACTCAGTATCACGATGGCCGGCACATTGCGACGTCGATTCTCAAGCAGATGACGTGCACTAGACAAAGCAGCACCAATGTAGGTGGTACCAGTCAGATGTCGAATTTGGTTCAGGTTCTCCATCATTTCACGGCCGTCGTTCACGTTGTCGAACGTGAATTCCGTCTTTTGAATCCGGGCCCCAGCGAACTGAATCATGGCTACACGATGAGCGTTGGGGCCGACCTTCATTTGAGACAGAATCTCGGTAAAGTACTTCTTCTGTTGATCGTACGTCTTCTGAATCGAGCCGGATGAGTCGACGATGATCAGGATGTCATGAGGACAGGCTACGGAAATTGTGTCACCTTCCTTGATCAACATGGCATTATTGAAGCTATGTCGGGTTGTGAAGCGTTCTACAGCCCGTGATAGGGTTGGCAGGGTTGGAGGAGGAGTGATGTTTGTGGGGCGGGGGAATCTTGAGGTTCTTGTTGAGGTCCTTGGTGCTATCGTGGTAGTTCTTGATTCTACCGTGCCTCGTGGCTCTACCAAGCCTCTTAGACCTACAGTTCCACTTCTCAATCCTATTGAGCCATTTGGCCCCACCGTGCTTGCCCTCAACTCGTTTTGTGAATCTGTCCCTTCCAGTCCAGAAACAGTGGATAAAGCAATATATTGTCGACCAGTCGGAGTAGGAGGCCTTCTGGTCGTACTTGGTGCTATCCTCCAACTCTGTAAACGCTCATTTGCCAATCCTTCACCATCTAAATTCGAATTTACCGGTCGATTAGTGAATTCGTTTCGACCGGTAAAATCATTGCGCGGCTGACGAGTTGTTTCTTCCAAATTTCCAAGATCGACCGGTCGTTTTGTAATTTTTTGTCCAAAAGATTTTCTAGTAGTGAGCAATGTTGTCGCTCCAGCACCATTTTTGGTCGTAAAAGCTCTAGTTGTGGTGAATGGTCGATTTGTTGGCTTGACCGAGGTTACAATGGCACTAGTTTTGACTATTGTTTCGACTGGTCGTCTTGTTGGTATTGGTCGATGATTGATGGATTTGGCATTTTCGATCGGCACTGGCTGCTTTGTTTCTTGGTTTTGTGAATTCAATTCTTTCTTTGCTTCTTCTAATTCTTCCTTTTCTTGTTTTATTTCTTCCTTTTCTTCTCCTATTTCTTTCTGTTCTTCTTTTATTTCTTCCTTTTCTTCTTTTATTTCTTTCTTTTCTTCTTTTATTTCTTCCTTTTCTTCTTGTTCTTTGTCATTTTGTTGATTTTCATTACCAATGACCACATTTTCTTCACCTTCTGATCCATTTCCAGCTTGATTTTGTCCATTTTCACTCTCGACCGGTCGATTTTCAATCTTCTTAACAACAGCTGACTTGATTTCGTCCTTTTCGCTTGAAGATGGCGTAGTTTGGACCAATGGTTTCGTGGTCATGAAGACCGTTTTGGCTTCAAACGCATCTTCACATGAGTTTTCTTCCAACTGGCATGGTGGAGTAGATGGAGATGGACTAGGTTCAGTGGGTAGTCCAGTTACTCCCATCGGGATTAGTGGTACTGAGTCTTGGAATTTGGATGAGGCTTCGGCTAGCTCGCCCAGGTTTAGGATTTCTGAAAAAATGGGCGGGTAAATTTGACCTTACTCTGCCCTGCTTACCTTAAGCTACCCTACCCTATCTATCCTACCCTTACAAAATGAAAAAACCCTTACCGTCATCATCCTTATGTTCCCTGATAGAATCCGTATCCAACACTTCAATTTTGTTATCGTGAGTCACTAGTGGAGCCTTGACATTAGCTGTATTCGAGGACTTTAACACTGCATTCAGTGGCTTATGTTTATATTCACTTCGTGGTCCACCAATTCGAATACAAGCTCGAGTTCGCTCGGCTTCCACTATCAACGTGTCACGGAGGTTGCGAAGCCTTGAGGGTCTGAAATTTGAAAAAATATAACTTTGGTTACCTAAACTTCGTTTTTGTTACCTAAAATTCAACTTTTTTTTTTCATTTTTCTATCTAACAGTCAGATTTTTTTATTATTGTTACCTAAAATTCGTTTTTTTTTATTTTTGTTACCTAAAATTCATTTTTTTTCATTTTTGTTACCTAAACTGAATTTCCAAGCTTAAAACCCCAAAAAACAAGCCTTCCACCTACCCAAACACATTATCCTCACTGCCAGCGATCTTTTCCAGCATCAACTCCGAAGCCGGTTCAGTAGCACTAGCCACGTAGATCCTCACATTCTTATGTTCTCTCAGCTGTTTGGCTGGCTTGGCTGGATCGTCTACCGACTCTCCATCAGTGAATAGCACGATAACTTTCGATGCATTCGATCTGGCTCTATCCTGCCTGAACAGCTCATTCTCGGCCTTGCGAAGCGCGTAGCCGGTGTGAGCTTGGCCTTCTGTGGCATTCATTTGATTCAAATGTTCTTTAATGTCATTGGCTGAGGGATAGGTGCCTAAGGCAAACTCGGTTAGTGGGAAGTTGGCGTACTGTACGGCGGCGATCCGTACGGTATCTGGCTCTAATGGTAGTGAGTTTACTAAGGCTACAGCCCAATGTACGTGCTCACGGTAGGCTTTTTCGTGTGTTCCTGAGGTGTCGAGGACAAATACGATGTCCAGCTTGGGATTGCAGGCATCTGAAGTTATTGAAAATTGTTTTTTAGCCATATATTACCCTACCCTAAACTGTTCTATCCTACTCTACCCTACCAGACTGCATATTACAATGTAACTCAAAACCTACTAGGATCATTTTCATCCACCAAAACCACACTTTCAGTGATACCACCATCATCAGTTGCCACTTCCACCTTTTCGACACCTTCTTCACTATCAATTTGAACTTCAGAAGCAAAAGTTACAGTAGCATTCTCACTACTTTTAGTAGCATTTCCTCCATCAAAACTAGTCTTCGTCGTTCCGATTGTAGCCTCTTCTTCATCATCGATGATATTACTGATACTGTCATCAATCGATGAGGCTATGTCAATTTGATTGTCAAGTGGAACCTCCTCGAGCAGTTCCTTCATTTCTCTAGTCTCAGCTATTGGGATTTCTGGCAGCTCAGGCAGAGTAATATCTAGTGGTTCGGACGTGTCGTTTGAAGATTGTTTTTGAATGTTCTGGGTAGCTTCTGGAACTTGAATCTTTTGTGTAGCTTCTAGTAAGTCTTGAGCATTTTGTGTAGCTAGGCTTTGTGTAGCTCCTTCTGCATTCTGAAGGCTTTGTAACCTCATTTTTGAACTTTCCATCCCAAAACCTTTAGGAAAATCGATATTTTCTTCACCTTGATGAGCTTGTTGATCATCTCCAGCATGTTCCACAGTTAATATCTTTTCTGTTGTAGCTGCATTCGCCTCTGTTATTGAATTTTCTTCTTGTTTGTCATCATTTTGAGCTTTTATTTTATCAATTTTATTGATTTCAATGTTGTTTTTATTGAGTTCGAAGTTATTTTGAGTCGTATCAAAGTTGTCTTCAGTATTTTCATCCGTTGCTACAGTCACAGGGGCTGCTGTTGTAGATTCTTTGGTTTGGCTAAGGATCAAAGTCTCTTTGTCTTGGACTACATTAGCTGGTCCATTGGTTGTTTGAGCTTCAGGGTTAGTTTTAGTAGCTAATGGGTTAACTTTAAAGTCGTTTTCATTAGCTTTTTCTTCAGGTTTAACTTCTTTTTGTTCTACTTCATTCATTATTTCTTCTTCTTTGTCTTTTTGTTCTTCTTTGGTTTCTACTTTTTCCACTTTATCTTCTCTTTCTTCATTTTCTACTTCACCAACTTTATCATCTTCTACCTCCATAGCTTTGTCACCGACCAAATTCGGACCACCAACAACAGTTTCAGTGCTATTATTCGACCGATACACTAGTGCCACAGTGTCAGGCAAATTCAGAATATCGGCTACACTCTGAACCTTCTTTCTCTCCTTGATCAAAGCCAACTGATCTTCCAGATATTTTAGACGTTTTTGTTGCATTCTGGCTGTGAAATCAATCCTCATCTTGGCATCTACCTTATCATAAAAGTCTTGTAAAATTTCTTTTCTCAACATCTCTTCTTCCAACTCTTTTCTGGTCGGTCTTAACGGGAAATCGACCGGATCTTCAATGTTGAACAGCCTTTTAACGTCCGGCAAAGCTTCTGGCTTCTCCTTCGGATCATTGTCAATGTCAACAACCTCATCTTCAGATAATCCCAGCTCCTGAATGATCTGTTTGATAAGAATTTCTTCTTGAGAATAGAATTCTTCTTGTGCTTGTTGATATTCTGGAGAGACTAGGACTTCACGTGGGTCGATTGGAGGCATTTCCTTTGAGGATGAGCTTCTTGGAGCGTCTGCTTCACGTTTTGTACGGAACAATCCACGTTTTGTACGCAACGTTTCATCATCTTGTTGGATGTTAATATTGAAAAAGTCCTCTTGTACTAGGTTATCATCTACTGATCTTGGCTGAATGTTATGTTTATCAGTGTTGATGGCAGTATCATCACCACTGTTATGAACGTTCTCATTATGAAGAGGAGTTTCTGTGATTCGGCCCATATCAACTGGGTTCCCTTCATGAACCTCTTCTTCTACAATATCTCCACGATGCTTGCTGATTTCATGACGACGAGCTCGACTATTAATTTTAATTTCACTTTTCGATCTTAATGTAGGGTAGCGTTTAAAACGTAGAATAGTGTCGGAAAGCTTTTTGTAGTTTATGGTTGGAAACAAAGTTTCGGCCGAACGTTGAACACGAACTTTGGAACGATGGTTGGCCGTGATATCTTCTTCTTTTATGTTGGAAACAAAGTTTTGAGGGTTGGATTCTGAAAGTAACTTTGTAGAGAAAGTTTTTGTCATATTTTGTTTTGTAAAGTAAGTTTTTGTAATTGTTTGTCCTGTAAAGGAAGTTCTTGCCATTTTTTGTTTTATAAAGAAAGTTATTGCCATTTTTATCCTATAAAAAATTTTTTTGTCAAAAAGCTCACGTTTAGCCCTGTCATCTCCCAATTTGTTCTGTTCCTCTCTCAATTTGCTCAGTCTTTCCTTGAACATTTCCGTCACCTCATCCTGACTAACTTGATGTTCAACACCAGCCTCAACCCTAGCCTTTGGCTTCCATTTAGGCATAGCACGACGTCGAAGCATCTCCTCCGACTCTTTAGTAAGATCAACAACCTCAATATCAGTATTACGTTCTCGAACCATCTTTAATGTCTTTTCAACTTGCTCAGTAAATTGATGATCGTAGTTTAGAAGCTGGTACACTTCTGGCGAGAAACTTGGGTCTTTCACCAACTTTTCTCTGATATCAGCTGGAATGACATAGTCATACTTTGTCACTGGTACCACTTCCGAGTTTTTTCTTTGTTCTCGAAGTTTTTGAGCAAAAACTTGAGTGAACTTGTTCATGATGTATTCTCGAGCTTCTGGAGATTCATCAGCAATCGTTGGTGGGGGCATCCATGAAATTGGCAAGTCACTACCAGCTATGGTACGAATTCTGTCAAAAACATGGTCAGAATTGATGTATGCTTTGATGTTTTCATTGATTCCATAGTCCAAAGTTAATAGGCATCGTACTCGAAGAGGGATAGTGGATGGTAAGGCTGGTAGACGTGATTTTGCCAGACTTTTGTTAGCTGTAGATGAGTTTATATTCTTTATATCAATATTGTGGTTTGATCCTTTAATTTTGTTGATTTTCAAACCTTCTGAAGCCCGTTTTTGTCGATTCTTAGCTTCTGCAGTCGATATTTTACCATTTATTGTAGAAACCCTACTACTTTCTGCAAATATTTTACCTTGTCCTTCACCATCCTTCTGATACTTCCTGTAAATTTCGGCATATTTCCTGTAGTCATAGTATATTACACTTGGTTCCAGGTCCTCCTCCTCCTTGTCCATCTTCGTTATCAACCGATCACGTTCGTCATTCCGTTCTTCATTCAAAATTGACATAGCAAAGGTGTGAAAACCTTCAAGTTCTCTAAATGTTTTATCATCAATCGTGAGTTCCCCAGCTTCTTCCGACGTTATGCATATTGTTAATGGTAGGAGTAGGAACAACGATGTTTGGAGCAACATCGTGGCTGAAAATAGGTAACGATGAGCACGGGAACAGATAAGAATTTGAAGTTTTAGCACAATACATCACGATTTTTATAAAAAAAATAGAAAAGTTGGGTCTACATTAAAGATTCAGAAGGTATGTTACTTAAAAAGGAGCTGAAAAGATCACTTATAAAGGTTAAGACTTACGTGGATAGACTAAAAGCTTAATAGCTATCTGTGTAAATATAGAATTCAAACGAACTACCAAAAAAACAATTAAAAATTCAAAAAATGATCTACATTAACATCGAAAAGTATCTACAATAACATCAAAAAAATACAAAAATAAAAAACCTTGCAAAGAAATATTATCACAACACATTACAATAACAAATCCAAAAAACATGGAAATTCCAAAAATTTTTAAAAATCCGGAACACACCGGTCGGATTCTGATCCCGAATCCCGAAAGGTGTGGAAGATATCAGGAATCATAAACTGATGAGATATTTTCCCTTTCGGAAGGCGTTTTACCACTCCTCCTTATTCATCAGTGTTTTTGCTTTCTCTTTTTTTTGTTTTTGTTGAATCGGGGTCAGCAAAATGATTTTTATATCAGTAGCGTGTGAGAAATGGCATTTGCCGGCTTACAACCAGACAAACATCGTAAAGAACGGTTTATGGTTTTGATTTACACTGTTTTTGCAGCGGTCGATAACAGCAAACGTTTTTCGGAGGTTTTCAGTGGTCAAATGCAAAACATAAGCTTTATCGACTTTGAACTAACATTGCCTTTCAAATCCAAGAACACCTCTAGTTAAATGTGCCATTTTAGGTAAGACACATGTAAAAAGCTGTCTTGTTTAAATTTTAAAAGCACAAACAGTTAATAATACATGTTTTACAGCTCATTAAAAGGTTTTTCATCAATTCAACAAAAAGAAACAAGAAATTTTGAATTTTTATGAAATTCGCGCACGTTTGCCACAATATCCTATCGTAAAAACTGTCAAACACCTTACTTTGCTTTAATTTACCTTTATTAACCTTTTCACAATAACCTTTTTTAATAATTTAATTCAAAGAAAACACTTCTTTTCAAAAAATAAATGTTACCTAAAACATAAAATAAACCAAATTCGGTTTATAACAATCGAAAAGCCTACATAACTCAAAAACATCGTGTTTATTACAAAGTTCTGATCATGAAAAACACTCTGCACCATCTTCTAACATAAAATCATCATTAACATACCTAAAACCAGAAAAACCAATGAAAAAACTTACGTGAAACTGAAACAGCAATGACAAATTTGAAGAAGAACAAAGATATTGTCCTAAATATCTTTTAAATTACAAAGATAACCACCACGATGAATCTAAAACATTGCTTTTCGTTCTACAACAAGGAAAACCTTATCAAAAACAAAATTTTGTCCAAATTGCCAAGAAAAAGAGAGAGTTGGCTCACATTTTACAGTCAGGGCAGACATGACTCCTTTTCCCCGAATTTCAGCGAAAAATTTTGTTGGTGTACTTCGGCCGATTTTGACAGTAATTTGTGCATTTTAACCTTGTTCAAGATGTTTTTTGTGTTTTTTATTAGTTTATTAAATTTTTCTAAGTTCTGTGCTTTATTTTCCTTTTGTTTTGCTATTTAGAGTCATGTTTTATATTATGTTATCCATGTGGTTGCCTCAACGTAACAAAATTGACTCACAATGACATTGTTTGGGATCATAGCTGTTGCCAATGGTAATTAAAGTTAAATTAGTTATTTTGACAGTTAAAAAGGGCACAATTAAACGTATGTTCATCTTTTATATTATGGTAGGTATTCGTTTTTCTCACTGTTACACCTTTGCCCTCAACTGTCTTCAATGTCACAAAATTGATATCAACTGGAACTCTGAAGCTTTATATATGTCTTCTACAACTTTTTAAAGGTAAGTTGATTTTCTATTTTGCTTTTGAAGTTTAGGAACATTGTTTTTTCAAGCCATCCATTTGGCTACCTCAACATAACAAAATTTTGACAGATTGGCGCTGTTTTTGGCTCAATAATGTCAATATTGTTTTTGTGGGCATTCTTTAACATTACAATGATGAGTAACGGTGAACGATTATACAGAGACACAGAAACGGATTTATTTTATGTTAACTTATCCACCTGGCTACCTCAGCATACCCAATTTATAACAGATTGCCAATGTTTTTTGCCTCAAATGTATCAATATTGTTTTTAAATTGAAAGAAGGACACTTTGACACAGGAACAGGATCTAAACCGACCAGCCCTCCTTTGAAACCAAAGGGAACACATCTAAACAAAGGACTCGAATCGGATCAGAGAGTGTTGTTGTCGCCATTCGAAATTTGAGGCAATATAATCGAAATATTCGGAGAAAGCAGTTCCGATTATTCTTCTTTCGGCCGGCGACTTCGAAATTCGAGCTGCGGGGTTTAAAGAAAATTCCGGGACTTTTGAGGGTTTTTGGGCATACCTATTACGGCCATTTGTCATCATGTTGCAAGTTCTTCGTGATTGGGTAGGTTTTTTTGTTTGATTTAGATTATTTTAGGTGGAATATTGGAAATTTACTGTAATTTTGTTATTAAACTTTGGTATTGAAAGAACTTTGTTTACACGGAAACAATTGGCAAGAACTTTTTTTACAAACCTTTGGCAAAAACTTTTTTTACAAAACAAAAAATGGCAAGAACTTTCTTTACAAAACAGAAAATGGCAAGGACTTTCTTTACAAAACAATAAATCGCAAAAACTTTCTTTACAAAACGAAAAATGACAATAACTTTCTTTACAAAATGAAAAATGGCAAGAACTTTCTTTACGAAAAATATTTTTAGTTCATGTTCGGGTGTCAAAGTCGACGTTGTAAGAAATGTGAGGAACCAACGAACTTGCCAAACATCTACACTATTCACAATGATCCATTTTATCGTATGTTACTTTATTTTGCTCATCGTGACGAAAACTTTGTTTACAAGGTTTAAAATGGCAAAAACTTTGTTTACAAAACCAAAAAACCAGAATTTCTACAAACTTTTGGAACGCTTCGCTAAATTTTGTTTTTTTTTCTAGCTTCGTCAAACAAACTTCAATTCGAGCAGACGGATTCGTATTTCGACGATTGAAACTGACCTAAACCACAAACAAAACGGCATTTTGTTTACTAACTTTATTTTTAATTTGAATGTCTTAGTTTTTACTTTATAGTCATTCTATTTTACATTGTTATCATGATATATTATCTGAGTGTCAACTTTGATCTTATTTTATTTGGCAGTTGATTTTATTCAAGGCTTTTTATTGTATGGTATAGGGCTCTTTTAATGCATTTTTGATTATTACACACTTTATTAATATTGTTTTCACGAAAATATAGTAAGTTACAGTATCCAACTTACCGTCTATTTATTAGTATGACATTTTTACTGCAATAACCTTCAAATGTGACGCATATTTTCAATTATTTTATTATAATACACGCATAATATTGATGTAAATCATATTGGTCAGAGATTCAGATGAAATAACAAGAAAAAATGTAAAAAACAATGGCAGTGGGCTTCAAATCTTACTGTAGCTTCGATATATTTTGTACCGTTTTTGACCCTAAAAGCTTGGTTCAGTACTGTTTTCTGGACCATTTAGGCTTCGAAGTACCAAATTAGGACCATTTTGGACCAAAGGTACCAATTAAGGACCATTTGGACTAAAGTACTATTTTTTTATCAAAAAAAATATTTTTGGTTACAGCAAGACCTTAAAACCCTCAAGGCAAATCGATTTCCACGCCGTCCACATCGACCGAGTTGAACTGGAATATTTTAGGCTTTTGTCGATGTTTGTCTATCACTTCTTGAAGCCTTTGAGATACCTGAAATGGCAAAAACTTTCCTTCCAAAGCAAAAAATGACAAGAACTTTCTTTACAAAACAAAAAATGGCAAGAACTTTCTTTTCTTAACATAAAAACCTTAATTTTGGCTAATTCTAACAATCCGATACAATTTGTGACACTACGCCGAAAAACCAATAATTTTTGTGGCATTTCGTCAAACACTAGAAATCGTTTTTATTGGTCAAAAATAACAATTTAAACCAAAAGAAAACGCAAACTTTCTTTACAGTTCGAAAAAATGGCAAAAACTTTCTTTACAACAGGTAAAATGACAGTAAACCCTTACTTGATCAGCGTTTTTCGTCACGAATCCCACGTGAAATGAGGTCCCTTTCGTCGTGACGGAAATGTCCACTACGGAACGGGCAAATGTACGTCCATCCTGGAATTACAATCATGCAAAAAGAACTTTTTTACAAAACAGAAAATGGTAAGAACTTTCTTTTCAAAGCAAAAAATGGCAAAAACTTTCTTTCCAGTCGCTTACCTTTAATGAAGTGAACTTATTGCAGCTATTTACACCCTTGATATCACAAATGTTGAATTGAAGTTGGCGTGTTTCCGACTTGGGAAACAGTAAGCAATGCCTGGCACGATATATTAGCTTACTGTTGTAGACGTACAGTACACCCGGTGGACAATCCTGAAATAATTTTTATTAACACAATGTTGTAAAAACAGTGTTGTAAAGAAAGTTCTTACTGTTTTGATTCATTTTTTGGCTTTTTAGATTATTGAAGTTGAGTGGAAGATTTGTAATGTATTTTGCACTAAAAATCTTCCACTGAACTTCCACTCTTAAAAAGTTTCAAAAACATGTTTTTAGGCCATTTCAAGACTTTACCAAAATGGAAGTTTGGTGGAAGATTTTCAGTGCAAAATACATTACAAATCTTCCACTCAACTTCCACTTTTAAAAAGAGTCAAAAACGGGTTTTAAACCGCTTTTTTTAAAATTTTATCCACCCCAGCTTCTTAAAAAACCACAATTCTTCCCCGTACCTCAATCTTGTCTGGCTCCTCATCGCCCTTCTCGGCCGGCACGTCCACCAGGACGCCGTTGATGTGCCAGAAGTCGCGGATGGCGCTGTCCGGCGACGACGGATCACAGGCGCGCACCAAAATACAACCCATCGCACATTTAAAGCATTCGCCCTAAGGCGTTCGAGTTTTGGAAGTAAATTTTGGGCGAGATTTTTGTTACAATTTGGTTGCTTCCCTTCTTAACAATCCAACCTTGTAAAGGGGTGTTTCGTGTGCTGAAAGTAATGAATAGTCTGTTTTTGTATTGGAGAAAAAGGGTAATTCGTCATTATGGCGGGGGTGGAAAAGGGACCAAAATGGTATAAAGTTCAGCGAAGTTTGGTGGAGTGATAAATATATTTTTAAATTAAAAACGCACGGAAATATGTAAAAAATATTGTTTTACATAACTTTGTTACGAAAAAAGCCTAGAGTTATATATTATAATATAATTTGGGGACCAGACTAGTGATATAGAATAGGGCTGTAGGTCCAAACAGTAGGCTATGGCTATAAGACTAAGGCCAAAGTTTCTAAGGGCGCGAGAGTTTATAAAAGATGCCGGTGCTGGGGCAATTTTAAATTTGAAAACTGTGGCTAGGGCATAAGGATAAGGCTATAAGTCAGGCCTGTAGGCTGAATCGATAGAGTTAGGTACAAGGCTATGCCAATAGGATATACGGCTACGGTTATAAAGCTAGGACGATAAATCTAGTAGTATAAGCCTAAGGCTACAAGGGTAGGACTGTAGGGCTAGGGTTATAGTACAGAGTTGTAGGCTAAAGCTATTGCTATGAGGTTATGGCTATAAGGCTAGGGATACAAGGCTAGGGCTATAAAGCTAGAGCTGACGTTAGGACTATAAGGCTAGGGCTAAAAAGTTTGAGTGATAAGGCTAGAGATAAGACCAAATCCATAAGGCTAGGACTATAAAACTACACCGAGAGACTAAAGCTATCGGTTAGGGCAAAAAGCTAGTTCTGTAGACGAGAAAAGTCTTAACATACGGGTCAGTGCTAGTTCTACGGCCAGGGTTCAGACTAAAGCTGTGCTATAGCTAGAGCTCAAGTTAAAGTTAGAGGTTTGCCTTCAAAAAACATCTACATTTTTTACTACCCTACTCTAACCTATACTATCCTGCCCTATCTTATCATTGGAGTATTTGGGCCTGCTATTGTAATGAGCAGGCACCTTTATTCGAAAGTTTATATAAAGCAAACGTCTATAAGTGAACACTCAAACACAATCCACCCCCTAGTATTTGCCACTTTCCATCAAAAAAAGCCCCAACTCTGAGTATTTTACAAGCCCAAAACACTAAAAAAATCGAAAAAAAATTCCGAAACAAAACGCACTTTGCAATTTAATAATTTGCCTCGATTAAGAACAAAACAAAAATGATTCGACGGCCGAAAAACTCTTTTTTCGCCCACTTTTTGAGGCAAAAAGAATGGTTTTTAAATGATTTCCGGTCAAATGAATAGCACACGGGAGTCAGAAAACAGCTAAATATAAAAAGAAAACGCCCGTGACAATGGGCGCTGCGCGAGAATGACAAACAAAGGATCAGAAAGGACTTGAAGGTATAAGAATTACATATTGTACTAGCGTTTGATTGGAGCGCGGAGGTGAGAGTGTATGGGATAGGGTACAAGCTAGAGTGAGTAGGTGATAGTGCATGGGATAAGGTAGGAATTAGAGAATGCAGTTGATGGGGCATAGGATAGGAGGGTACAAGTTAGAGCGAACAGACAATAGTGCATATGATAGGGTAGGAATTAGAAGGCTAAGACGATAGTGCAAAGGAAAGGTAGATTTTAAAGCGAGCAGGTGATAGTGCATAAGATAAGGTACAAATTAGAGCGAGCAGACGGTAGTGCATATGATAGACTACGAATTAGAAGGCTCAGGTGATAGTGCATAAGGTAGGGTAGATGATAAAGCGAGTAAGTGATGGTGCATACGATAGAGTACACATTAGACTGAGCAGGTTATGGTGCATAAAACAAGGTACAAATTGGAGCGCGCAGAAGGCTATGAATAAGGTAAAGAAGAGGTGAGAACGGTAAGGTTGAAGAAGAGAGAACAATGAGCGAAAATGCAACGTGACTATTGAAGATTGAAAATAAGTGAAAGACAAACAAACTTGGATTGTATTTGGGTTCAAACAGTACTGTAAACAAGCGTGAATTTAGGTATTATTTAAGTTCGAACAGTACAGTAAACAAGTATGGGTTGAGGTAGGCTAACAAAAAATTAGCAACGTTAAAATGAAATTCAAAAGAAAAATCGAGCCATAGTGGTACTCCTGTATAAAGAATTGCTTAAGGGTCTGAAATTGTGATAGGTATACCAAGCCGCTACGACATAACTAACAAACCCCGAGCTGTAAACGGGTAGGGTATAAAAAGTAAAACGAGGCAGGGTATCGGTAGGGTTAAAGGTAGGGGTAAGGCAGAATAGGGTAGGGTAGGGTAAGGTAGAGTATGGTAGGGTAGGGTAGGGTAGGATGGGATGGGGTAGGGTGCGGTGGAAGGTAAGGTAGAAACAGAACTATTACTACTACCCCCAAAAAACTACAGCACAAACGACTGAACAAACTATAATGTAATGTTAATAAATATCAATATACTAACACTCCACTCTACAAAGCGGTTTATTTGAATAATATTGTGGTGTATATAGAGTTAAAAAGAGCAAATAAACACTAAAAAACTGACTTTTACTCTGAGAAAGTAAAGAAAGTTCCTGAATGTTAAAAAGTTAATTTGTTTACCTTTTGATACAGCAAAACATCTATTATTATAGGCAAAGTAAGTGGGCCTCGCCGTGTCATTGAGGTCGTAATTTACATTTTTGGCATTTTTAGGTATAAATAGAATTAAAAATAGTTCAAATAGGTACTAGCCGATCTGAAGAAGTAACAAATTGCATTGTAAAGAAAGTTCTTGCCATTTTTTATTAGTAAAGAAAGTTTTTGCCATTTTTTGATTACTAAAGAAAGTTCTTGCCATTTTTTGTTTTGTAAAGAAAGTTCTTGCCATTTTATGTCTTGTAAAGAAAGTTCCTGCAATTTTTTGTTCTGTAAAAAAATGTTTTGCCAGTTTCTGTTTTATAAACAAAGTTCTTGCCAGTATCTGTTTTGTAAAGAAAGTTCTTGCCATTTTTTGATTTGTAAAGAAAGTTCTTGCCATTTCATGCCTTGTAAAGAAAGTTTGGAGAAAGTTCTTGCCATTTTTTGCTATTTAAAGGACGTTTTAGCAAATTTAAAGTAATGTGAACACCAATATTAATAAAAACCCCAAATATTTCAAAAAGTATGAATTTCCCTCGGAATGTGCGGAAGGGCAAAGCAGTTTTTAAGAAGTTTTGCCCAATGTCAGGTGGGTCAAGATCAAATTTCGAGCACCCGACACAAGTTACTTTTTGACGTTTTTTCGCTGTTTTTCCACGCTAAGGCGATTATATCGAAAATTTTTGAGAAAAACATATAAAACCCAGTGTGTACACAACGGCAAATAGGTTTTTGACTTGGGGTGGAAGTAAAATTTTGTTAAAATTTGAAAATTAGAAAAAGTGTGAAAAGAAAAGAAGGGTTGGGGCTAAGCCTTAGGGTGGGTGTGACTAAAAGCAGGTCAAAGCTAGACAAGGAAAATCATTTCAGTCCACGGCTTGGCATTTCAGGTTAGAGCAGAGTGAGGCAAGCTAGGACAAGACAGGGCATGATAAGATATATTATACTAAAGCAGAGCAGGACAGAGTGAGATAGGGTAAGACAGGGCAAATCAGGGCATAGAAATACAGGGCATGTTATGGTAGGATAAGGTAAAGTAGATTAGGGTAAAACAAGGCAAGGCCAGTGGAAGGCCAGGGCAAGGCCAAAGCAAGGCCAGAGCAAGGCCAAAGCAAGGCCATGGCAAGACCAGGGCAAGGCATGACCAGGGCAAGGCAAGGCAAAGCAAGGTAGGGCAGGGCACTTAAGCCTAGTTCATCGTAGTCAAGAAACAAGCTGTAACAAGACCCAAAATCTCAGTTTAAAATATCTAAATTTATCAAAACAGCGCCCGGTTTAAGCAAATAAATACAAAAATTTAATTGAAAAACAAGTAAATGTGTAATTTACGAAAGCCCGCTGCACGCTAGGCCAAGTCACGAGAGCCCTCAAAATTGTAAGAATGTACTTGGTCTTCACGCATTTATAAAAAGTTTAGAAAGGCCCTGAGGGTTGGGAGAGTTAAAACTAGTGTTTTCAATTAAAAAGCTAAAAATTTCAAAAAATTAAAAAATTTTTTAAATTTCAAAAAATAAAAAAAATGACAGAACTTATAGTGCCAAAGTATAAAACAATACTGTACGACTACTACTAGTACTGTAAACAAAGTTTCTGCGCATTTTTCTAAGCTTTGCTTCCATAGCAGATAGGCAAAGAGCGGTCCCGTCCGATCTGGCAAGTTAAGCAACGGCGCGCATGATTATTCGGCCAGGGTTCGAAAAACGGCGACGTAAAAAGTGAAAAAGACTATCAAAAAAAAAAAAAAACTATGTCTTGGTTGATATAGAATCGTCATTTAAAGACCTTTAGCTTGTCTTTTTTAAAATTCCAAAATTTGCAAAAACTTTCTTTCCACCTAAAAATCAACCTTTTTACCCCCAAAACCGGCCTTTCTTCCCAGAAAGCATCAAGAAAACGAGGAAAAACCTTAAAAAACTTTGTAAAAACAGCCTAAACTGCATGTTTTTTGCAAAATTAAAATACTTTGTAGCTAATTAGTGCGTAAAAACCACGTTATTTTAAGACCCTAACCTACGTAAATTAAGATTTATGCAACAAGCAAGGCATTACTTTAATTAAAAACACCAAAAAAGTGAACGTTAAGACAACATATTGAGGTAAAGCGGTTGAAAAGGTAGTGTTTTGAGGTAAAATACGAAATATATAATCTTGTCGAAAAACCTGACTAAAACTTTCTTTACAAAACTGAAAATGGCAAAAACTTTCTTTCCAGAACAAAAATGGCAAAAACTTTCTTTACAAAACTATAAACGACAAGAACTTTGTTTACAATACAAAAAATGGCAAGAACTTTCTTTACAAAACAAAAAATGGCAAG